TTTTTGGATTGTTTGGCCTCAGAGCATGCCCTCACATAAAAATTCCTATTTTATTTTACATTTAACAAAGTTCATTTACCATTCATAAAAAAATTGGATTAATATTGTGTCAATGATACATCACACTGATATATTAGCATTTAATCATGCTGTATTTAAAACAAACTTATGACTTATATTTTGATGTCATCACCAAAAGCGGTGACATATTGTTATGGTCTCCAATTTTTGTGATGGCAGTTGGTGCTCAGTGATTGATAGTTGGTGGTTGGTGTCTGTAACAAATTCTCACAACTTCCAATAACTTATGTATATAGTATGGGAGCAAAGGTCATTCCGTGTCCTTTTTAGAGGCGAGCTAAGCGACATATATTTTCATGAGCTATACGTGATACTTACCAAGAAAAATGATGTTGGCAATTCTGAATCCGCGACGGCGTTGCTATGGTAACCAAGTAAATATGCCACGCCCACTTTTAGGGGCTCTTTTCAGTGTATGGCCCCTATCTCTGTCATTTTTTGTTCAGATTTAGATGGCATTCACACCAAATGGAAGCTAATGGGTAATGCAATCAGGAAATATTAAGTTGGCAATTCTGAATCCGATATGGCGTTGCTATGGTAACAAAGTAAATATGCTACGCCCACTTTTCGGAGCTATTTTCAGTGTTTGGCCCCTTACTTAGTCATTATTGCTCAGATTAAGATGAAATGTGCACCAAATGAAAGGTAATAGATAGATCAATCAAACGGTTTTTAATATATGCAAATATGGTGATTTGCATATCAATTATGACGTCATAACTGTTTGTTCTTGCATATTTTATTTTAATCATAATGTATAGATCTGGTAAATTATTGTCTTTAAAATGGTCCGTATAATGTTTTTAACTAGTCTTGTTTATTTCTTTTTGTTGAGTTTATTAGTTTATTCCATTCACACATGTATGATCATAAAAGTTGAATAAATATAATGAAAGTTTCCTATTTACACTGTTACTTTGGTGACAGCATGTAACAAAACTACCTGCTGTAAACAGAGAGTTCTTTAGGAAATGTTACATTTTGACCAGTTGACTGAGATGTATTATTTTTAAAATTTGATGACAGAAAATAATCTAATAACCATAGTTATTAAATTTGGATTGTGTTATATTATGATGTCATAATGGCAATTTTCAATCAGGGGCGCAGCCAGCTTTCAGTCAGAAGGCAGCCTGCGATCGTGGCACAGGCAACCCAAAAGTATTTATAAGATAGGTTTTGAATTTTACAAAAATTGATCCAACTTCCTTCAAAATTTAGCAAAAAGCTTCAAGTCGAAAGCTTTCTTTTATCTAATGGTTCTATTTTTATCGGATATGAGGGGAGAGGTGAACCCAGCGCACCCCATCCCCCACCCCCCTAAGCACTGCCTATGTTAATCCAACTAGATGTTGCTATGGTAACCATTAGGTGAATATGCTAGGTAAATCAGACAATACATGAATAATGTAGATTGGCTGACTGACATACTAAGTACATGTTAAGGAATCATAGCTGATTTTTGTGATTATTTTCTTGAAATAAGGTAAAATTGCTCAAAATGATTCCTCTGTAACAGACATTGGTACTAACTATCCCATTAATCGCCCAAAACACTTGACAAACATTTTACAAAACACAAATTGTAATAATAAATTTCAGAAATCCCCAGGAATTAATTGACAATTTTGCAAAGATTAATTTTCGCTTTTTTATCAAGCACGCAACTAAATCGCAGGCTAAAAATACCAGGAGTACAGTACCTGTTATGGTATCATAGCTGCTTTTTGTGATTATCTCTTGAAATAAGGTAAAATTGCTCAAAATGAGTCCTTTGACATTCACCATAAAATGCGGTCAAAGCTGAAAACTATGATTGTTTCCATTTCTTTACAGGTATGGAATATGGAAGCCCCTGATTTAAGATATGCTTTTGGTTTTGAAATCTGACATCCAACCATTCGGTTCAAAATTAGTACAGTTATGTCTACATGACCAAAAAGATGAAATAGTCTAAAGTATTGACCTATACCATAAAATGATATTATTTTTTATGTAAATTGACGTTGAACATATTTTTTCGGATTTCAAAACCATTAGCAGCTATTAATGCCGCGATGGGTATGCCAGTCAGTCAATCTACATAATCCATGCATTGTCTGATTCTTTAGCTTCAATTTGGTGAATATTTCATACACACTCAAGCTGTAATCATGACAAAGATAGAAACGAAACTTTGAAAAAGCCCTGAACAGTGGGGAAGGCATATTCACCTAGTTACCATAGCAACATCATATTGGATTAAGATAGGTATTGCCAGAGGGTGGGATGGGTGCTCCCCCATTAACAAAAAATAGAACCATTAAATAGAAGAAGAGCTTTAAAATCATTTTGACCAGAAGCTTCTAGCTCAGTTTTGAAGGAAGGTGCATCAATTTTTGTAAAATTCAAAACAAATCTTTGCCATTATGACATCATAACACAACACAATCCAAATTAAATAATTTTCTATAGTTATAAGATTATTTTATTTTCTGTCATCATATTTTAAAAAGACTACATGTGTCAGTCAGCTAGTCAAATGTAAAATTTCCTAAAGAATTCTTTTTACATCAGATAGTTTTGCAATGTGCTGTAACCATAGCAACAGCATAAATTGGACATTTTCATCACATTTTTAGATTCATTCAGATTTTATGACCATGCAAGTATGAATGAAATAAAATTATAAACTCAACTTAAAGAAATAAACTAATTAATTTAGTAAAAAGCATTACTGACCATATAAAGACAACAATTTCACAGATTAATACATCATGATTAAGATAAAATATGCAAGAACAAACATTTGTGACGTCATAATCAATATGCAAATCATCCTTTCTGCATAGTTTACCAACTGTATGATTGCTCTATTACCTTTGATTTGGTGCAAATTTCATCTAAATCTGAGCGATAATGAAGAAGATAAGGGCCAAACACTGAAAAGAGCCCCTAAAAGTGGATGGGGCATATTTACTTTGTTACCATAGCAACGCCATTGTTGATTCAGAATTGTCAACTTAATATCTCCTGATTGCATTATCTATTACTTTCAGTTTGGTCTGAATTTCATCAAAATCTGAGCAATAATGGTGGAGATGGGGGCCAAACACAAAAAGAGCCCCTAAAAACGAGCGTGGCATATTTACTTGGTTACCATAGCAACGGCATCGCAGATTCAGAATTGCCCATAATATTTCTTGATCATACTTTATACGTGTAAAGAAATAGAATGTAAATCAATCTTAGTTTTCAGCTTTGACCTACTTTTATGGTGAATGTCAAAGGACAAGATACCAATTTGGAATCATCTTGAGCAATTTTACCTTATTTCAAGAAAATAATCACGAAAATAGCTATGGTAGTCATACCATAACAGGTATATCAGTCTGTCAATTTACATTCCCCATGCATTGTCTGATTCTTTAGTTTCCATTTGATGAAAATTTCATATACAACAGAGCTACCATCATGACAACTGATGGAATCAAGACTTTGGAAAAGACCTGAAAAGTGGGGATGGCATATTCACCTGAATACAATAGATAACATAGGCATAGCCAGGTGGTGTGATTGGGGCACCCCCCCCCCCCCATTAACTCATAAAGATCCAAGACGTCATTTCCATTGTTCTTTCGGCAGAAGAGCTTTAAAAATGCTTTTGACTTGAAACTTCTAGCTCAATTTTGAAGGAATGTTTGTAGAATTCAAGTCAAATTAAACTTTTTTTGAGTTGATTATGCGGATATCGCACCCCCCCTGATTGAAAGCTGTTTGTGCCCCTGATTGATAATTTCCATTATGACATCATAATATAACACAATTCAAATTAGATCATTTTCTATCGTTATTAGGTTATTTTGCCAGCCATCAAATTTTAGATGGAATACATGTCAGTCAACTAGTCAAAATGTAACATTTCCCAAAGAATTGTTTTCACAGCAGATAGTTTTGCAACATACTGTTACCATAGCAACAGCTTGAATTGGATATTTTCATTACATTTTTTCAATTTTTTATGACCAGACATGTATGAATGAAATCAACTAATATACTCAACAAAAGAAATAAACTAATTAACTACTTTAAAAGCATTACTGACCATTTTAAAGACAATAATTTCCCAGATTTATACATCATGATTAAAATAAAATATGCAAGTACAAACGGTTATGACGTCATAATTAATATGCAAATCACCTTATTTGCATATTTTATAAACTGTTTGATTGCTCTTTCCATGACCTTTCATTTGGTACAAATGTCACCTAAATCTGGGCAATATTGACGAAGATAGGGACCAAACACTGAAAAGAGCCTCTAAAAGTGGGTGTGGGATATTTACTTTGTTACCATAGCAACGCCATATCGAATTCAGAAATGCCAACTTAATATTTCCTGATTGCGCTATCCATTATCTTCCATTTGGTGTGAATTTCATCTAAATCTGAGCAATAATGACAGAGATAGGGGCCATACACTGAAAAGACCCCCTAAAAGTAGGCGTGGCATATTTACTTGGTTACCATAGCAACGCCGTCGCGGATTCAGAATTGCCAACATCATTTTTCTTGATCAGTATCACTTCTTGTTCATGAAAACATATGTCGCTTAGCTCGCCTCTAAAAAGGACACGGAACCTCTTATTTGGACTTTTGCTCCCACACTAATATTCAAAAACTAGAGGGTAACATTTTGAAAGTCACCCTCTATATAATAATTTTATGTGAATAACCATGAAAACAGGAAAGTATTCACATTGAGATGTATTCAGATTTTACTGTATATATATTAACATTATATTATTATCATCTATATAAACATGGGCTTTTAATTAGTTTGTGAATACATCATGACATTATATATTTTTTATTTTTCTACTGAATTTTACATTTTATATGAAACTTTGAGATTTGAAACTTGAAAGATACATTACAAAAATTCAGATTTGTATACCGATTTTATTCAAGAAACCAAAACAAACAAATCTATAAGTTAACTCTTCAACTTGGTAGGATTCTCCTTTAGTCCTTTAGAAATATTCATGTTTGCATTCTTATTACTCAATTATACATCAATGTTGTTGTCAAGCAAGTACTGTATCTTCCACTCATTATCTTCTTTGCTATCTTCTTTCTCATCACATTCCTTAATGAAGTGGATCAACACTCTAAAAGCAATATCAAAACCATCAATATTTGGAAAATTGATGAACATTCTAAAAGTGATATTAATCATCAATATTTTGTTAAGAAACTGTGAACACTAACAAGTTTCAAACATTTATATTTTGCAATTAATTGATCAACTCTTTAAAAAAACATTTTGCTAAGAAGTTGATCAACACTTGAAATGAAGTATTAATCATCAATATTTTGCAAAGAATTGATCAACACTTTAAAACTTTATTTTCTGATTTTAAAAATAACAATATACAATGCAATATTTCAAGCTTGTTTATTACAGATTTACACTCAACACACTATGAATTAAATACAATACTTCTATTCGCGATAAGAGTTCAGGTGGTAATTTACATGAATATCAGCTACAGATTTCTTCCGATTTGGGGATTATAGTTCAAAAAGCGTTGTCATATATCTTAATTACATACATACCTATCATTTGTGCAAATGAAACTCTACATAAATGTTTAATAGAGTCGTAGTGCGGCATTGAAAATAGCACCCCTGTGTAATCCAATGGGAAAGAAAGCGGATGTAGACAAAGTTGTACCATACATGAGAGCTCTTCAAACGGGAGGTAGCTAAACTGAACTAAATTAAACGTTATCGCGTATTGGTATATTGTATTCTGTATCAGCATTAAGACTACCAGCAATGGAAATATCCCCTATGAATATTGTATATATTTACATACCGATTTTCACTGACTATTTCCCCATCTACAAATAGAGTCTGGATACCAAATGCAGTGGCACTGCGTTTATCCACCTTGATGTTTTCAATATTAACCTCGACAAATGCACTAGGAATTGATGTCTTGAAACCCTCTGTGAGTTGTGCAATGGCTAAAGAGTAAAAGAAAAACATGAGAGAGCAATGTTTCAGTTGACCTTTCACTTTATTATTAAAGGCTGTTACATGCAGTAAAAATAGATATGATCAAAGAGAGTCATGAAGCAAACATTATTATTGGAACCTAAATATTAGAATTGAAAATTTTTGAAAGTCTGATTCTGATGCCTGAAAGCATTGTTTCAAATGAAAATTTTCATTCAGGTTTGAGCTCTCACCTTCTCTTCCAAATGCAGTTGGGACCCCTTGTAATGCTAAGATACCATCCTCAGCATAGGATGCCCCAACTGCTGAGCAGTCAGGATTCATGTTGGTTGCACATTCAGGTACTTTGAATGCATCACTGAAATCACTCAAAAATTCTTTGAGTTCCTCTTCAACTGAAATATAAGATACACATAATGTAGAGGCAATAAATGTATGATGATTGTGTATTTTGTATATTCCTTTATTTCCTAAGATATAAATTCTTTTTTTAGAATAGCTTCAGAAATAATGCCCATTTTTGATAATAGAATAGGCTTTTTCTATAATTCAATAAAAAATTAATAAAAAAACTTATGCCTGAAACATATAGCCTTGTTTGGCTGATATAAATGAATTTTGATGTGATTGTACATCCATTCCATTTTGAAACAAATAGAGTGATCCAAGTTCTTACCATCTTCTACATTGAGTTTGCTGCTTTCACTGCTCTCATCACTGCTTTCACTGCTCTCATCACTGCTCTCATCATGGCTGCAGATGCAGGCATCATTTAGAGCCAGCAACAATATCACTGTGAGCAGTTTCATCTTGTTTTCTGTTGATGGAAAAACAGTGACTCATGTTGTTATTTAATGTAACTGCATTCAGTTATATAACCAATAATGCATATTTTGTATTGTGGTCAAGGTGAGGAGATTGAAATCGATGCGTTGCTAATTTGACCCTTGCAAAAAGTTTCATTGAAAATATGTTCTTTTAGTGATTTTGTAGAAAATATTTTGCAGTGTGTGAAAAGAATTTAAGCCAAAGACTCAATGCCTTGTGGCTGCTTCATTCCACTCAGGTGTAGTTTCCTTAACTCTGCATTCCCACATAATTGTCTTCGGTTCTGTGGTGTACAGGTTAGCACTCTGGACTCCTGATGCCAAGGTCCTGAATTCAATCCCAGCTTGGGTGAGTTGATTACTAGAGTGAAACTAGCTGGATAAAATGCCTGTGCTGGCTTGAACTGTCTGTGGTCCTAGTCAGGATAAAGATACCAGTTCCTGTCAGATTAATACGGGGAGCTGTTTCTACCAAGTTACATTATCCACACGTATATACCCCTCTGGTATCTGTGTGAGATATGTAACTCAAATGAAATGCAAAGATTTGGAAACAACATCTTTAATGGAATGATTCAGCATTCATTGCACTTACTCCAGGGCTTAAATCCTTAAAAATTGTAAGCTTCAATTTCAATAAGGTTACATATTCAGTGGATTTCAATTTGTTATGGCATGTTCCATTTAACATTTGCAACATGAATGTTATAGAAATCATAATTTGGTAAATAACATCACATTTATTTGTCAGTATTCATCATCCATACGCGTTGAATTCATTTTTTATTTAAAAGTTTTTTCTGAGTTTTTCTGAGTTTATTATAAGTAAGATATATCAAACAGCATTCATGCTACTCAATCAATAGTTTGATATATCTAAGTAATTTAAAAAAATATTCAGAAAATGTTTGCAGGTTTATTTTGATACCATTTATCATTATGTATCAATGATTTCCCTTACCTTTTAAATACAGAATTTGATGTCCTTTTCTTTAGTTGATGATCACTGTTTTCTTTGGTGACATATAATATTTAACAGTCTCTTCAAGTGTGTGTTCATCTGAGAATTATAATTTTGCATACGTCAACAAGAATCAATACTTAAAATAACTTGTAATATTTTTTCTGTTGTCTGCCATTCATAAAAAGATCAATTTTGTACTGTATTAAAATTGGAAATAGAGTGAAAAGAACAGAATTAGCAAGGAATAAAGTGAACAAATATGTAGTTATTACTCGTATATATAAATGAATAACAAAAACCAGGCAGTTCATTCTCATTTCTGAGAGAGAGTTTGAAATATGCATGACCCCATCACAGATTCCTCATAGGTAATCCCTGACTTATTGATTGTAGAATCAGTTAATATGACCTGATGTTGCAATAATAATCAGTTTTTAAATATCCATGTTTATTTCAAAACCCGCAAACTTAACGTACATGAAACCATGGCCTGGCCATTGAATAAGGTGATGAAATTTTCTTGTTAATTATTATGGAATTAACTCTACAGATTTTTGTCTTATGACTATCACTCAGTCATTCAACCTGTCCAACTAATTTATGCCCCGGAAAAACAAAATGCCACCTGAAGGCAGGAAGCAACACGGATATCACTCCTTTGTTTTTTAGAATCTTTTTTAGTGTGTTGTCATATTCATCCAAAAGAATGAATACCCAAAATTGAGTTCTGCTGTAAAGGGCAAAGCTGCAAAGTCCAACACCACCGATACTTTATTTTGTTCACCACTATCAGACATGAGCAATACCTCTCATGTATCTGTATGAGTATATACATGAAACTAGGATTTCTGTTTTGACATTATTTGAGTCATTTCTGGAATGCTTTCATACATTTTATGCCATATCTACTCATGTTTCTGAAATGTTTTTGTCAAATATGATGAACTGACTTTCATATTAGGTACATTTTAAGAAAGACAGATTTCCTAACTTACATTTTTTGAATGATTTTGCCTCTGAGTATGTCTCCATTGAAAACATGATATCTCTAAATCTTTAAGCGCTTAATGCTGTATAAGTTCATGCAATATCACTCCATCTACACAAAAATTCATGAAGTTACCTTCATAATTAAGAAATTATGCAGACTGAGCCTGCAAAATCAGTCGTAAGAAAAATAGACCCTATGGCCTATTAATATACAAAAAACATGATTTAATGTGAAAAGAAATAATGTCTAACATCCCCCTTCCCCCTCCAATAAAGAGCCAATATCACAAACCTGGACCAGAAAACCATGGGACATTTCATTTATACCAAAGTCATTACAATACATGTTGAAGAAAATTTTTTAATGATTGATAACCAATACTTGTAACATCAGTTGTAGATACTCATCCTGGATTCAGTTTCAAATGATGTGGGATAGACGAAATCCAGTCTCCAAGTCCATAGGTAATTCAAAGGGTCAACATCAATTTGCAAAGCCGTTGCCAACATCATTCAGCATCTCCAGTGGTAAAACTTGAAACTTTATAATTAAAGACCTTTATTTTTCAGCAAAGCCCAGAAAGGATTTCTTAAGCTTTTTACAAGTACTGCCTCGCTATATCTAATTAGCTGGGATGCATAAACCCCTTATGCTGGGTTCAGTGGAATATTTAATACTATCCAAATGTCGAAAATTAGCAATGTCAAAATTAAAGTCATCTCTTTTGTCATATAACTTACACTATATACTATTGTCTAGTTTAGTGTAAATAAGAAGATCGAGATAGGGTGCATTCATATTAGGTCCATTAGTTTTTTTCAGTTCTAACTCAGCAGGATATATCTCACCTACAAAGTCTATAAATGTTGGGTTGTCTAAACCTAACAGGTCATCAATATATCTATCTATTTTCTTAAATAACTTGAACTTTATCTTTCATCCTTTATTAATCATATGAGAATAGAAACAGGCCTGCTTAGAGGGAGTACAATCTGTACCCATTGGTATAACTACACTCTGACGTAAAATGTGTCGTATTAAATATTGTAAAATTATATATTGCACCATGTGGTTCATCCAATTAAAAATAAATGAAGTTGAAGTTGCTGGAGGGGAGGATTGAATCTTTTTCAAATTTGGAGATGCTATTTCTTCTTGAAGCCTACTAGTGAGCTGCCTGATTTTGAATTATGTATGGTCTTACTATGTATGTTTCATGTCCAAATGAACTAAATTTTGCAACTTATAAAAGGTACAACAAAACAATGAATCATATTTGTAAACCAATTTTATTCTGGAAACCAAAAAAAAACAATTAAAAAAGTAAACCCTTCAACTTGTTAGGATTCTAGTCAATTTGGAAGGGTGTTGTCCAGCAAGTACTGTATCTTCCACTCATTATCTTCTTCACTATCTTCTTCCTCATCAGCTTCGTTAATTAAGTGGATCAACACTCTAAAAGAAATATCAACCATCAATATTTTGAAAATTGATGAACATTCTCAAAGCAATATAAATCATCAATACTTTGTAAAGAGACTGTGAACACTTACAAATATTATCATAGTAGCCCGGACAGAATTGTTCAATGGTCACTTTTTCTTTAATAACTTTTTTAATTTTCAGTATTATCAAAATCTGATTACATATTTGAAAACTAGAGTAAAATTCTGACATACAAAAAAAAAATTTAAGGAACATCTCTTAATTTATTGATATTATAGGCGTTCATAGTATGAGTGACGCAAATACATAATTCACCATTTTGTCTCATATTTGTTCAAAAACGGCGGCATGTTTTGTGGTTTGAATGTTCAGTTGAAATTTAAGTTAATATTTAAGAAATGTCATAGGCCTACGCAGAGGCCTATGAAATCATGTAGACTGCTGCCTTGGTATGAGGTAATGACTGCACTTATAACATTTTGTTTTAAATTGACTTGTATGTATACCAGCACTTAAAAAGGTTTGTACATTGTATGTACAGTATATTGGTAAGGTCACAGCACTTAAAGTTTTTTGGCCATTTCATTGTTACCCGTAGTGGATTAGCAACCCTAGTTCACTAAACCTGTGCAACTATAGGGTCATACTGCCACAGTTTGTAATATCTTTCCCAGTCACACGCCTCTTAACCCATCCTTGGCGTGCATGTGAATTGTTCTTCAGCTTTGGAATGGCCTCTAGGCTGTTTGGAGCTCTTGAAAAGATTAAGGACCTACTCTCATCACACCCCGCACATTGGGGCGCCACCTTTTCACATCCTATTGAACACAACCCTGAACATTTCAATAGAGTTGATCTCATATACCCTTGGAGGGATTTGACTTCTTGTGTATTTAATGACTGGTCAGTTGCTGCATTACGTCAGGATTGTAACGGTGGCAGCATGGCCCTATAGTCCTATGACAATCTTTAAATATTAACTTTCAACTGAACATTCAAATTCACAAAATATGCCGCCATTTTGAACAAATATGAGGCAAAATGATGAATTATGTATTTGCGTCAGTCATACTATGAACGCCTATAATATCAATAAATTAAGAGATGTTCCTTAGATATTTTTTTTGTATGTCAGAATTTTACTCTAGTTTTCAAATATGTGATCAGACGATAATACTGAAAATTAAAAAAGTTATTAAAGAAAAAGTGACCATTGAACAATTCTGTCCGGGCTACTATATATTTTGTAATTAAACACATTAACTGTCAATATTTTGTTAAAAAGTTGATAAACATTCGAAAAGTTGAAAGTAAATATCTAAGCACGTGTGCCAAAGGGAAAGGACCAAAAGTTGTAATGGAACTTAGCAAGAAAAAGCAAACTCTAAGTGCATACCAGTCAAGAAAAACAAACCCCATATATCCCAATACCATGATCTAACGTGAAAAGAAACAATGTCTAATACCCCCTTTCCACCACCATTCAAGAACTGATATCAAAATCCAAGACCAGAACACCACGGGACATTTCATTCATACTGAAGTCATTGCAATACATGTAGAAGAAAAAAGTAGAAATTGATAGCCAATACTCATAACCTCAAAATTAGTTGTAGATGATGTGGGATAGATAAAATCCAGTCTCCAAGTCCATAGGCGTTTCAAAGGGTCAACGTCCATTTACAAAAGCTGTAGCCATTATACCATAAAACATATAACATAACATAACATATTGTTCTAATATAAAATGAGGAATGTGTGGTCTCACAATACTCCCAGTCAAAGAAAGGGTGTCCAAAATTGTTCATGATACACTATGTGGTCCTTTACACTCAATACAGTATGAAATATATATTCTGAATCAGCATTAAGACTTGCAGCAAATATTCCCTATCAAGAATGTACAGGGTAGTAAAAAAAATGGAAACCCTATTACTATTTTCCTCATATCTTTGTCATTTTAAAAAATAACTCCCTGATATTTTACACTTCTGTACATTAGTCACAATGTTACAGTACTTTAAAGAACATGCCCAGTGGCCACTATTGCGTTGTGGGGAAACCTGTACTCATCGTCTAAAATGTCCCTACCTGTGGGGATATGGCAGAGATAGAGTATATGAGAATGACCTCAGGACAATTACCCAAATGCGAGTAGGTAGTTACCAGTTTCACCACCAGGTGGCTGATTCGGGTCAATTAACATGGCAGGTATACAAGAAAGTTCCCTTAAACTTGAATATTATCAACTTAAGTGGCTCAATTTTCATATAACCCTTATGCGTCTGATACTTATACTAATGAAAATATGTCCAGTAAAGCAATATATTATCTGTTCACTAAAAGAAAAGATATTTCATTTTTAGTGATTTTATAGCATGGGGTCTATGGGGAATCTCCCCGAGCTAGAAGTCACATTTTCAAAGAAAATTAATTTTTCAAAGTTGATTAACAGTTTTTAAAACCACATTTCTAGATGTAATTTTAGATGTAGATTTCAAATATGATATTACTTTGACTGAATTTTGAATTTTTAATGACGTAAATCAAGATTATTTCTACTCGCATCTGGGTTATTGCGAACCTCAAAAGTGAGATCATCTGTTTCATTCAGGCCATACCTGCTGAGGAATGCATTTGGCTCATTGACAACTGTGCTGTTGTGCCTACAGCGCGATAATGGTCAAATCTGAAGCATGTTATTCAAAGTGCTGTAAAATTGTGACTATCAGTCTGATGGTCATGAAATATGGTAGGGTGGTAGGAAATTGAATGATGTACAAATGCAGGGTTTCCATTTTTTTGACCACCCTGTATACATACCTAGTCTCAGAGAATATGTCCCCAACTACAAATGGAGTGGTAATACCAAATACAGTGGCGCTGTGTCTGTCCGCCTTGATGCTTTTAATAGTTATCTCGGGATATGCACTAGGATTTAATGCCTTGAATCCCTCCGTGAATTGCGTAATTTCTAATGAGTAAAATAAATACATGTAAATACATGGCTTAGTTTGTCAAAAGAAAATATGATGATCATCAACAGAGGGTCATGAAACAATCATGATAATTATTGTAACATAATCATTGGAATTGAAGATATTTGAAAGCTTAATGCAAATGCCTGGAAGCATTGTTTCAAAGGAAAATTGTTATTCAGGTCTGAGCTCCCACCTGCTCTTCCAAAAGCAGTTGGGGCCCCTGGAAATGCTAAGATACCATCCTTAGCAAAGGCTGCCCCAACTGCTGAGCAGTCAGGATTCACTTTGGTTGCACATTCAGGCACTTTAAATGCATCACTGAAATTACTCAAAAGAGCATTGACTTCCTCCTCAACTGAAAAATAAGATGCAATTAATGAAGAGGCAATAAATATGTTGGGTGTTGAGAATGTTGTATTTGTATTTGTCTATACATTGTACCTCTAATGCTAAAAATATAAGATATAAAATACTTTTTTTAAATTTGCCTTAGAATTTATACCCTTTCAATATTTTAATTCTTAAAGTTTCTGTATTTCATTTCTTAAAGGAAAGGCTAATATGCCTACAACGTGTAATTGACTTTTAATGTGATTCTACATCCATTTCATTTGGGAACAAAGAATGATTTAAGTTCTTACCATCATCAACATTGAGTTCGCTGCTTTCATTGCTCTCGTCATAGCTGCAGATGCAGGCATAATTTAGAACCAGCAACAATACCACTGTGAGCAGTTTCATCTTGTTTTCTGTTGATAGAAACTTAGTGCAGTTGAATGATTTACTTGATTCTCTGCTTATTAGATATTGATAAATCTTAAGAAATAGAACCAATTCTTTCTGATACATATTAAGAAAATATACAGCTGTACTTGTACGTATATGTCTAAAAAGCAGACTTTCCTCATTTATTAGTATGTATAGATAAGATGCATGCACCTCCTCTAAAATCATATATGTAGCATTGCCATCCTATTATGTTATATCATGGGCTTTCAACTAGTTGAAAGCCCATGATTAAATGTATATCATTTTGTTCCTCAGAATATTACATAAGATTGCAAAGTTTCAGAATCTTGGGGTATCCTTGAAAAAAGATACAATGTATCAAAGTATGTGGGTATGGAGTCATTTAGGGGAAATTTCTGGTCATTTTGAGGGTAATTTAAAGGAAAAATTTCTATATTGTACATTTCTAGCAGTTGTCATCATGACAGAGTTCAGTCCACATGTCTGATTCATACATTGGCTGATAGGGAGGCCAAGGACCATGGTACTGCCTGTATCACTAAAAATGGGTTATGGACAAAGTGAACAGACCACCGAATAGGGTCCAAAAATGCTTACAAAAATGCTTATTAATTACCCCGTATCTGGAACATGTTTTATTGAAGAGATTGAGTGAAATACAGTGAATTGAGTTCAGTATTACTTATCATTATTCTCAAATATTGTAAGCTTCACAATCAATTAAGGTTACAATTTCAGAGTTTCCATATTGGATTTCAATTTGTTATGGCATGCTCCTTTTAACATTTGCAACTTAAATGTTACACAAATCATAATTTGGTAATTAACAATATTTATTTATCAGTATTTATCCATACGCATTAAATTTATTTTTTGTGAAAAACTGAGTTTATTATAAGTAAGACATCAAACAACATTCATGCTTACTTTGATACCAGTTGTCATTATGTATTAATGATTTCCCTTACCTTTTAAATAAAGAATTTGGTGTCTCCTTACTTTAGTTAATGTTCACTTTTCTCTTTTGGGTCAGATAATGTCTAACAGTCTCATCACGTGTTTGCTCCTCCTAAAATTTTGATAATAACTTTGCATGCTTCAGCAAGAATCAATACTAAAATAACTTGTAATCTTCTTTCTGGTGTCTGCCATTCATGAAAAGATCAATTTGTACTGTGTAAAAATGGGAAATAGAGTGACAAGAAAAGAATCAGCAAGGAATAAAGTGATCAAATATGTAGTTATTACTTTAATGTATAATTGAATAACAAAAACCAGGCAGTTCATTCACATTTCAAAAAGAGAGAGTTTGAAAAAGTTATTACCCCATCACAAATTCCTCATGGGTAATCCCTGACTTATTGATTGTCGATTCAGTTAATATGACCTGATGTTGCAATAATGATCAGTTTTTAAATTTCCATGTTTATTTATTTCAAAACCACACAAACTAAATGTACATGAAGCCATGGACCTTTAACCACTGGACTGCCAATGTTACAATCTTGCAATGCAAAGTGTGTTATAGTCACGTGATAAGTGATATTTTAGAAGTCCATAATGAAACAGTCAAATAAAAAATATATCACAATTAGTCAAACCAGTAAATCCAGATGGGGACGTGCCTTTGCATTGAATAAGGTGATGAGTTATTGTTACTTTGTATGGAATTTAATTGGAAAGGAATTAAGTTTGTAGAGATTCTTGTCTTCTGTCTATCAGTCAGTCAACCTGTCCAACTATTCATCCATGACTCAGAAAAACCAAATAGCCACCCAAAGGCAGGAATGCACATTGATATCAAGTTGACTCCTTTATATTGCATTTATGATTTTCAGGTTTAGAGTAATCATGTTTTCAATCCAGGTATGTTCTCATGCAAGATCATCAAAAAATGTTTTAAAATGCACTTTTCAAAAATTAGGATTTCTGTCTTAGCGAATATTTGAGTCATTTCTGGATTGCTTTCATACATGTTATTATCAATAATATGTCATAATTTTGTCGAATATGAATAACAGATTTGCTTGTAATTTTAAGAAAGACATAATTTCCTATCTTAAATCTTTGAATTGTTTGGACTCAGAGCATGCCAAGCATGTCAAGGGAACCACATTGAAATAATCCTGTGTTTTTTGTTGTGCACCCAGACATACAATACACTAAACAAACCTTTTGGACTCCCCAGCTTAACACCTTAAATTCATCCCCTGCAGACTGAGCTTGCAAAAGCCTGCAGGTGTATACTACCATGTGGTTCACCAAATTAGAAATAAATAAAGTTGGAGTGGATAGAGGGAAGGACACTATGCTTCTTCTTGAAGCCCACTGGTGAGCAGGTATATATTTTCTTATTTCTTACGGATGTATGTTCGATGTTCAAATAAAGATGCTTACAGTAGATTCTCAGCAGAAGGGAAAAATGGGGCAGAAAAGTATTCACATTGAGATGTATTCAAACACAGAAACCTGAAAGGTACAACAATACAAAAATTCAGATTTGTAAACCATTTTTATTCTTGAAACCAAAACAAACAATTCTATAAGTAAATTCTTTAACTTGGTTATTAGTCCATTTGGAAGTTCTTTTTAGAAATATTCATATTTGCATTCTTTATACTCAATTATACACCAGCATTGTTGTTGAGCACATACTGTATCTTCCACCCACTATCTTCTTCATTATCTCCTTCCTCATCTTTCTTAATGAAGTGGAACATCACTCTACAATATCAATATCAATCATCAGTATTTTGAATATTGATCAACACTCTAAAAGCAATAGTAATCATCATTTTTAAAGAATTGATCATCACTTTGAATTTATCATTTCAAAAACAATATACAATCCATTGTCACGCCCGGTGATCGTACAAAAATGATGGAGGGGGGGATTTCTGCAGAGATTTTTTTTTTTTTTCACTCGCTACGCTCGTTCGGTCAATATCATATTTCCCTCGGTCAATATCATATTACCCTGGAATAAAATTCATATTGAAAATCAAGCATGAAATAACCTATATTTACATCATCCATTGTATTTAATTATTACAGTACATTTTTCCCTTTAAAAGTAAAATTTCTCTGAAAAATGAGTTCATTGATACATACACTATACCATTCATGGTACTCGATCAATAATTTGATTTCAAAAATGGATTTCTAAAAAATTCAAAAAGAAAAAGATGTAAGTGCTGTCATTTAGGTTCATTTTAATACCATATGTTATGATATATTATTAATTTCCCCTACCTATTAAATACAGATGTCCTCTTGTTTGGTTGATATTCACTGTTCTCTTCAATGTCAGATAATGTTTTAACTGTCTGAGTAGGTGCACATTTAAACAATGCATCTCAATCAATAGTATTATAGGATAACGTAATCTCTTATTTTTAATTCAGTTGATGTTCATCTCAAGATGTTTGAAGATATTGAAGGATTAAAACAGCAAGAATGAAAGAGGATTACAGTTAAAGATGAAATGTACATGTAGAGTGGAAAAAGTTACAAAAAGAACAGGTACAGAGTCAACATTCAGAATTTATCATATGCAAATACCCAATTTAGAAAATTAGGTAGATGATGTCTGGAGATAAAAGGATGAAGTAGATATAAACACCAAGGGATGATAAGGTGTTGAAAAATACACTTGAACAAAATACTGATATGTTCTTGTTTGTCAGTTCTCAATAAGGAATGCAGATCATCTTCAAAGAGGGGTATATGGGTCTGAATTCCAATCATATTTAGCAAAAATGTGAAAAATGTCAATGTGAATGATATGAGAGGGTCCTTCCTATTAGTAGACATTGGGATGGATGTAATTGATAGATGTACGATGAAACAGAAACTTTTAGAATGGTCCAATTTGGAACATTCAAGATGATACAAAGATGAGTATACCTGAACAAGATTATTCATTCTTGTTGAGCTTTTGAAATATTGACAAAATAAAGGAACATCATCAAAATGATTCCAGAATGGTTAATGGAGTGCCTCACGTTTGTGTAATTACATATGATTGAAATAAAATGTAATGCATTCATGTGAATGGAACTTATTTTTATATCATTGCATTATATTATTTGAAGCCTCTGAACTAAAGAACTCCGAGCTAAGTTGAGTTGAGCCAAGCATTTGGACCAGGCACATCTCAACAAAATGTTGTATTTTCCCTATCATCTTTCTTGTCAATTTTTATTTTCATTGTGAGTCATTGTGTTTTATGGATTATGACGATGGCTTTTGTGAATGGACTTGGAGACTGGATTTTATCTATCCCACATCATTTGAGACTGAATGCTCTATCTTGTATGAGTACTTGTATCTACAACTATTTTTGAGGTTATGAGTATTGGATATCAATTTCTAATTTTTTTCTTCAACATGTATTGTAATGATTTCAGTATGAATGAAATGTCCCTTGGTCTTCTGGTCTTGGATTGTGATAATGGTTCTTGAATGGTAGGGGAAAGGGGGAATTAGACATTGTTTCTTTTCACGTTAAATCATGATTTTGGGCTATATGGGGTTTGTTTTTCTTGACTGGTATGCACTTAGAGGTTGATTTTTCTTGCTCCATTACAACTTTTGGTCCTTTCCCTTTGGCACTAGTGCTTATATATTTATCAATCTTTCTTCTTATCTTTCAACCCTTGTTCACTTTTTTTGCATTTTAGAATGTCCATTAAATATTTAGCTCAGATTGAACTATGAAACAAAAACATAATCAAATCTAATCTGTAGATTTATTTTTATTATTCAGGGAAGTAAACGAAGGTACAGGTAATACAGTTAAAAGTAATTTAGATTTAAAGATATACATGTAGATGTCTGAGAAATCTAATGAAACATCCAATACATTTGGTATTGTAGCACACATAAATGATTTCTTCACATGAATAAATGAAAGCCTTGGATGGAACAAGGCTTATGTTGTTCTCTTATCTTCGCCTGAATGGACAATGTTTTCAACCCAGTACTGGATCTTGTACTTTTTCCTATCATCTACCTTAAGAAAATGGAGCAGGCAACTGAAAAAACAATATCATTCATCATCATTAACTTTATAAGAAGGTTGATCAAAACTTTAAATCTTAATCATTAATTTTGAAAGAATACCTTTACAATAGCTTTTTTCTCTTCACTTTAACTATATACTTGAGTTCCCAAAAGTCGTTCAGTTGAAATACATATACGTATTTAACAAAAATGTTTATACATTCATATTTACCGCATATCAGCAAGCTTTTTCAGTGCCCCTGTTTCATCCTTTGAATATACAGTCCCATGACCATATCCAGTGGCACTCTGTTTGTCCTCTTTGATATGCTCATCAAAAGTAACTCTGATGTGTAAATAAGGATTTTTGGACTTTACTAGTACCTCCAAAAGGTGCATGACTCCTGCAGAGATAATGTGATACACGTATATCCATTTTTCAACATCTATTATAACAATCTTAGCAATAATAAGTGTCAAAAAGGTATACCTTTACAGTGTGAAATATTTTTTAATTAAATACGTACCATAAGGTAGATCATATTAAGTGCATACTATTTGGGAGCAACTTCAATCAAAGCACTTACCATCTCTCCCAACTCCACTTCTCCAGCCTGGTACAGCTAGGATTGCATCCTCTGCCCAAAATGTCCTGGCATATGAACAGTCAGTATTTACAGGGGTGGCACATTTAGGCAACAGCAAAGCATCTGCATAATCATTCATGAACTTATTCAGCTCATCTTTGACTGAAATATAAGAATAGAAATTATAGTTGCAAAGAAGCAAAACACACAGGGTCACTCTTTTAAAGACCCCTTTTAGTTCTTCTTCATTGTACACTGATTTTATTGCCACAATTTTATATGTACATTAATGTATGTATATATTAAACTTACGTATAAAATAAATAAATAAAATATTAAACTTAAGTCTCGTATTGTATTGTATTGCATCTTTTATTCCTCCACAAGGGAGAGCAAACATATAAAATTACATCATTTATTTAATATACAAAAAAATTATAGCTACAAAGGAACATATTTACAAAAAAAACAGTGTTTGAGTTCATTGACAATATCATGATTAAATCGGCATGTGATTTCTCACAATGCAATTTTATGTAAATACAAGGATCCAAATGTTAGTTGATTTCTTAAAGAAAGAGTTATTGTTACCAAGAATAGAATTTGTATCTAACTTTAAATTATATTATTCTTTAAGTAACTTACTGCCACTAACTGGACTTGGTATTGCGCTCATACAGTGAAGCAATGTTCCAAATAACACAATTTTCATGAGCTGCAACATAGTTTCCAATTTGCTTTGTATGACCAAAGTTGTGTATCTTTTTCTACTTAATAAACTATTATGATATGTAACATTTATAATATGATTTCCGTCTGCTATTCTGACATCCTATTAGTTAGACACGTATCACGTGACTATGAAATATGTTTTGATAGGGGCATATTATCCAATCAAATGCTTCAGCATAAGCATACATAATGTACCTGATGGTGAAATTTCCCAATTCATTTTACTGGTTATACTTTTATATTTATCTTTAATATTACAATAACAGATGAATGTAATTGAAGTATTTTGTAATCTGTTGTTTCCTGTGATGGCAACCGATATGATGCTTACTATTAGAAATTGAAATTTTAGAAAACATGATACTAGACATGTAGCCATAAAGTTGAATTTCCTTACTTTTATATGAATTTGATCAATTGTGTTTATGACTCTATTAAAACATTCATAATCCACAGTAAAAGTGAACCATTCTGCTTGGTACTAAATGAGGATTGTTAACAATGGTACATGTAGTTATATACAATGTGAAAATATGAAGAACTGCATTTGACTGAATGAAATAGTTATACATAGTTATGTATAATGGCCATTTAAAGATATAAAAATGAACAAAAGATGTTTAAAATTTTAACTATTGATTTAGAAGTCTGAGCATTGGAATCATAAAAATTTCAAAACAACTTTAATTAAATTATATCAACCAATACATTCAGTCCTCAAAGCCCATCTTACCAAAGACAAAAGAGGAAACATTTTTTGTTTCTAAAAACGAAAATTCGACAATACATTACAAAATAAATCACTGATCATGTTACATTCAGTCTACTTTTGATTCAGTTTTCTAGTTACACATCTTTAACAAAAAGAAAATACATATTTTTAGAAGACCATAGTTGTCCATATCTTAACGAATATCCTAATTATTTGGAACACATGTGAAGAAAGAAGAGTTGACCACTAACTGACATCAAAGTTAGTTATTGTAGATATGGGTACATGTATTGTATAAAAGATGAAGTACCCAGTCTTCAATGAAGTTCGATAAAATCCAGTCTCAAAGTCAAAACATGTAAGAATGCAAAAGCAAATCTGCCTTCGTAGTTTGTAAATTCATAGAAGGCATCTTGATGAAACACTATTGAGTTGTATTGAATGTAACATAACTACACATGTACAAATGCTAAAAACTATCACACATGTATATCTACCATTATGATGATTTATAACATTATTTTTTTCATTAAAAACAAGAGTTCTGATGACTTTACTATTAAATCATAAACAATAACAACATTATCTTTATTATTAAAAATAAGAGTATTACAGTAATAGTAAATCAACTACAGCTAAGAATACCACATTTTAAGCATGTGTAGTCTTTGCTTTTTAATTTTAGCTAACCATATGTTGCATGGCAATAGACTGGAAGTCATAATTTAGGATTATATATTTAAAATTGTGTTTAAGTGATGTCATGGTTGCTATTGTTATTTGTCATAATGTTAAAGTTTATGAAATTGAAGTTTATTCCATTTGGAATAATGTTTTTAATGAATCTGAATGCCATATATTTATCACGTAATTGTTTGTCCATTTATCTTTTGGATAGTTTCCAGGTTTTCTAATCCTTTAGCGGGTAGTGTAATTGGCATCTTTTCAATTTATATGAATGCATGGTTGACCCCAGTTTCACCAGTGTACTTTATAAAGACATTCAGTCCACAACACGTGGAAATTTCAACAATGAGTTTTACAGCAGTTTTACTTCATTTTAATACAATGGCTGAGAGTAAATCGGACATTCTTGAAGCAGGCAGGAAGTGCAGTAAGTGTAGGGGCCTTATAAGACATCATATTGGCCCTCATGGAACTAAATGTGACTTTGAAATTCAAAAAGAATATCGAGATCAGGACGTTGAAGTCGATGTTACCAATGAGATTCTAGAATTAAAGAATCTCATGGAACGTATGATGATAAGTAATGAAACTTTCAAGCAGGATGTGAAGACTGAGATGGAATCCATGAAGCATGAGATATTGCAAATAAAATCTCGTTCCAATGATAACAATGATATACCATCAACATTTTCTGTACCGTCAATGTCACCCAAGAAAGTCGTACCATCAGCCCCTGCTAAATCGTCCATACCTGTTATGACGGAAACGAAAGTCTCTACCGAAGCAGATGAATCTGACACATCAATGATTCTAGATTATCCTGTACCTCAGAAAACAATAAAAGCAGTCAAATCTGGTAAGTTTGTGAACATGATAGATTTACTACCAGCTAATCTTGTGAATGATTACAATGAAAATCCAGATCCTATCATTTTAACACTTGATAACGGACATCTTCGTCAACAACACAAGCGTAAAGTTAAAACGATTACTAGCTTTAATCAGTGGTTATCTGCTTGGAGTATCTATGAATGTATACTGATTGAACAAAATCCGATCTTGTATTCGAGTCTTATCGCATATCGCACACTTATCCAGGAAGCGGACAAAAAGTTCCATTGGAATGCGATCAATCTGTATGACATTAAATTTAGAACAAAATTAGCTCAATCACCATCACCCAAATTTGACAAGATGGATATTACGTTTTATGTCACGACATTGGATGCGACATGCGTCAAGAACACAATCAGATGTCACCGATGTTCAGGGGACCATAAAGTTAGTAACTGCCCCTTTCAAACGAGCTCCACGATGGCGCAGACATCATCGTCGGATACAAAACAGAAGGCGGACAAAGACGAGGTCTGTAACAATTATCAATTCGGAAACTGCAAATATGGAACAAATTGCTACAGGATGCACAAATGTAATGGATGCGGCACCCTTAACGTCCCTCGATCAAAATGTACGAAATGCCCATCCCTTAGCACACATTAATCCTTATAGACCACTTTCTCCTGACGCCCTAGAATTAGGCCTTAGGAATCATCCTGATAAACAGTTCGTAGAGAAAATAATCTATCAAGCCAAAAACGGAGTTTCGTTAGGTTTTCAAGGAATTAGACAATCGCAAATACACAATAACTGGAAGTCTGCATTAGAAAATCCTGACGTGATCGAGAAAAATATTGCTAAGGAAGTCAAAATGGGTCGTAAAGTGGGATTCAGTTCTCCCCCAATTTCAACTTATGTCGCATCGCCGATGGGCGCATATCGTAAAAAGCGCTCGGACCCTCCAAAATATAGGGTTATCCATGATCTTTCATGGCCTCCTGGAAAGGCAATTAATGATTTCATCGACAAGGATATATGCACTCTTAAATACATTAGCATAGATACAGTGATACGTCTCGTGAAACAATATGGTAAAAATTGTTTAATGTCGAAAATCGATTTATCAGACGCGTTTAAATATATAGGAGTATGCAGAGATGACTGGGAATTACTGGGTACCACTTGGACAACAACAAAGAATGGATCCACTGAGACTACATACTACATCGATTTAGTGCTTCCGTTTGGAGCTAGATCATCGCCTTATTTATTTAACCAATTCGCAGATGCCTTAGAATTCATCATGCGTGAAAATGGCGCAACAGAAGCACAGCATTATTTAGATGATTACTTTACATGTGGTCCTCCCAATTCTATGATATGTCATGAAAATATTGACATCATGGTAAAGACGTGTCGTGAAATAGGTTTTGATATCAATCCTGCAAAAACGGTCATGCCTACTACATCTCTTGAGTACTTGGGTCTGGTAATTGATTCCAATAAATTTGAATTACAGATACCTAGTGATAAACTACATGATATGATTGATAATCTAAAACAGTGGTTAGTGCGCAAGAGAGCCTCAAAACGACAAATATTATCTTTACAAGGAAAACTAACATATCTTTGTAGAGTTGTGCGCTGTGGAAATACGTTCTTACGGAGAATAATTGACCTATCTACAAAATTGAAGCAACTTAATCATAAGATCAAGATCACAAAAACATTCCTTGCCGACATAAATTGGTGGCTCACTTATTTAACACAGTGGAACGGTGTGAGTCTATTCATCGACGAAGCATGGACTCCAAACACTATTTTACATCTCTATACAGATGCTTCCAAGGCTTACTATGGTGCATTCTTCAATGGTGAATATACCTTTGGTGAATTCAAAGAATGCTACATGAACTATGGAATAACATTCAAAGAACTTTATGCCATCGTTGTTGCCATAGCTACGTGGAAATGTTTGTCTCAGAAGCGCTTATTGTTTCATTGCGATAACGAGGCCGTAGTTACAGTGATAAATAAAGGATCATGCAGAAACAAAGATCTAATGGCTCTTGTCAGAGCCCTATATTATCAATGTGCAAAAAACAATTGTGAATGTCGTGCAATTCACATCGAAGGACAAAAGAACCAATTGCCGATTCTATAAGCAGGAAAAAATGGGACACTTTCAAAAAGCTAACGGAAAATCAAACCGTACGCTTTGTAAAGCCTATTGATTTTAATATATTTTATTAAGCTCGTTTAAATGTTTGAAACAATGTATTGTGCAAACTTTTCAGTACTATTCTATGTAACATGGAGATCATAAGTATAGAATTGTTTTTTGTTTTTTTTTAACAAGTTTTCATTCTAAAGATTGAAGTCATATTTTGTATTTACACATGTATTTATCTTATGTAATTCTAGATAGTAAAGCCGAACGTCTGGCATATCTCCAACACAAGTCAGATTCCTTAGTAAAACAAGGTCTACAATTATCAACTCAGAAGACTTATGCTGTTGGTCAAAAACAGTTTATTAAATTTTGTAATAGTCTCGATCTTACATATTGTCCAACAAGTGAGAAAACTATTTTAAACTTTATTGCAGATTGCAATGACCGTAATCTGAGACATGGCACTATTTTGAGTTATCTGTATGGTGTTCGATCATTACATTTGGAAAATGGATTGCAAGATCCACTAAAAGATAGTTTCAAAATAAAAAGAGCTTTAAAAGCAATTCAAAAATCTCAAGACAATACATCTAACCAAAAATTAGCCATAAGTCATGAAATAATGAAATCACTAATTCATCTCCACACAGATAGTCATGACAACATAGTACTATGGTCAGCCATAACAATGGCCTTCTTCGGTTTATTCAGATGTGGAGAGATAACTTTAGGAGATCATCAAATTTTTGATCCTGATGTACATATGACACGCGATTGTGTTACAATGGTTCATGAGAAAAACATAGAATATATGAAGGTATTTTTAAAGTGTTCTAAGACAGACACTATTGGAACTGGTATAGAGGTAGTTATTGGATGTAGTCAGCACAACGTATGTGCCGTTCATGCAATGAAAAAGAATTTGTATATAGCAAAACACGCTCATCCAAAATCTCCATTGTTTGTTCTCCAGAATGGCAAAATACTCAACAGGTCCACATTTGTCAACCATACTAAACAATGCTTACTCAAACTTGGTATAAATCCTAGCAAATACAGTGGACACAGCTTCCGTATCGGAGGCTGTACATCTGGAGTTACTGCCAATCTGGAAGACTGGGAGTTAAAACTAATAGGTAGATGGTCAAGTGATTGTTTTCAACGTTACATCAGAACTCCAGTTGATTTATTGGCTACCTACGCTAAAAAGATTATCAATTAAATGTAAAAGCGAAAACTTCATGCTTGGGCGTTTTTGGGCCGTGTTCATTTACGCTAAATGCTCATATTTAATGTTTTGATAGTAAATGAATAAATAAAAGCCTACTTTTAGCCCAAACATCAGTTTTCTCTGTGTTATATTATAATGAAGTGTGTACATTAATGAAGTTTATTCCATTTGGAATAATGTTTTTAATGAATCTGAATGCCATATATTTATCACGTAATTGTTTGTCCATTTATCTTTTGGATAGTTTCCAGGTTTTCTAATCCTTTAGCGGGTAGTGTAATTGGCATCTTTTCAATTTATATGAATGCATGGTTGACCCCAGTTTCACCAGTGTACTTTATAAAGACATTCAGTCCACAACACGTGGAAATTTCAACACCCTCTTTAAAATCCCTCCCACCCAATGTTTTCATTAATTAATATAATTAATTATACATTAAAATAAGTGAAAACAAGAGATATTGTTTTTTATGTGTGTCTTTGTATGTGTTTTTATTTCATTCGTTCTAATGTATGATATGTTATTTAAGTTCAGTATGTATTATATGTTATTTTATAATCAGGCCGTGTTCATTTACGCTAAATGCTCATATTTAATGTTTTGATAGTAAATGAATAAATAAAAGCCTACTTTTAGCCCAAACATCAGTTTTCTCTGTGTTATATTATAATGAAGTGTGTACATTAAGTAATTTATAATGAAATAGAGTACATGTATGTATTAAGAGCATTACAATTTCATTGATAAAATTCAGCTCAGAACCCGATTGTAATTCTCCCTTTCGTTGTTGACAACCATCGGAAGTATTCTTCTTTATCATTGCTTAAATAGTCAGTATACCGAGTTTAATCAATAAAATATGGTACAATGATCGAACAACAAAATTCGGAAACGAATACTATAGATTTGCTTTCGGACCACTGAACAGATTGACCTAGATAATAGCGACGTGTCTTCTTTGTTGGTCTACTGCTCAGTTGTTTGTGGGTTTTCAACGTAACTCTATAATGTAATTTGAAGATGAATACTTTTATTCAGTTGTTGCATCAATGTTGCAGTTTGTAGTGCGGTAAGATTGGCATGAAAGTATTAAAAGTCGAATGGAATTGTTTTTTTCAAAAAAGGGCGACTAGTCAACTGATCATGTGACCTTTTCAATCATTGTTTTCACCACACTATTAATCAATTCAATGAAAAAAAGCTGTTATATTAAGATTAATAAGAGATCAATTGTTTCTAATAATTTTTTCTGTACTCTCATACGGGAATATGAACAAATATATCGTTTGAAAAATAGGTGTGAAAATCCCCATGTTAAACCTATGAGGGAAAACAAGGAAGTATAAAGTTGTTCCTCTGCGAACTGCATCATGGGAAATATTTTTGTGTCTCCTATTTTGAAGAGGGAACAACGATTTCGAGAATTGAACCTTGACAATGACCATCACTTGAATATAAAGCAGAATGGTGAAAATGATAATGAAATCAGTTGATTTACACAATGAGAGCACCTTTTCCTTAGGTCAGGAGGAGCCATGACATTTTCTTTATCCTCTGGTCTATCTATCTCTCTTCATCATTTTTCTTCTTAAGTATTGACTTCTTGACGTATTTATATTTTTGTCGCTCCTCCTGATATAACATTTTAGAATACCCATTTAATATTCCCACCATCTATTTGGACAATATATTCCTGTACAATATCATACGTAGAACCACACCTTATTGCAAATCCATTACCAGGCCATTTTTCAACTTTTTTGATCACAGGAAAAAATATTCACACAGGTTTCACATTGGATGGATATAGCTCTTGATGCTGCCACTGCGACTACATAATAAATCTCGAGGTGTTTCAAAATATGCAACCTACCTAACAATGCATTTCCTTTTAACAAATAGACTATGATAACTCTTGTTTGGCATAAAGTTGGTTCAATGTTCTTTAAGTTGATACCATTTCATCAGAGTAGCATGTGTATGGCCCATTTGCTGGCCATTGGTATGGCTCTTATCCTTGAAAATAATGTGTATGTCAACAATCCTAGAACAATTGCTCAAACTAGAGATAACATATAAGAAAAGGACATTTGCAAGTCTGTCAGCAGAGAGGTGGTAGCCATTTGAAGCACAATCTTTATATGGGCAGCAAATGGGTCATACAGACGCTACAGTGATGTAACTTGCTAAAATCAACTTTTCTTGAGTCAAAAAAGATTTTTCTTCACTGGTTAAAAAAAATATGCATTGTTAGGTATGTGGGTTGCATTTTTTCTGGAACACCCTGTACCTCAATATTTCAGTGTACTAGAGGTGTAACTCCCGAGTCCGTAACTCGAGTACAGCTCGTCAGAGCTGCCTATACATTGCCTCGAGTTGTCCTCTAGAAACTCGCAATCTATTTCAACTCGCGAGCTAGCTATAACTCAAGTTAACTCGCAAGTTTTGCATATCTTGCAAGCATGTAAAATGAATTCGGGTCCCAGAGATCGTGCAACATTACTTCATTAGGAGAATAAATATACCAATGATCGCCGTATTTAGCGCCCGTCACCTTAAAACACTCTCAAAGCTTCACAAAGTTCAACAAATATCGAGGAATGACAAGTTACACCAAAAAATCAGAAAAAGATTGACTATCGAAGGAACTCAAGCGGGCGATAATAGAGTAGTCACTGAAATTGAATAAAAAATGGTCCCCTTATTCTCACGTCGTTTACACGACTTTTACATAAAAAAGATGATCTATCATTAATTAAGATCATAAGTCATAACTTTAGATCGATATCCAGCAGTCTTTAGTAGAAATAATGAGGATAATCCGGGAAAACCATTCATTAATTTGAGAGGCCCTTCTGGGTTTTCTAAAATATTGTTTGGTTAGATTCTTGGTTCATTTTAGCAATCTCTAACCGTATGCGCCGACGTATATACCAGATCATTTTTGATTGAAATATGAGATAACTGCAATGCATACCACACTTTCTTATGGCCCCAACGTGTTAAACAACTTTTAGATGTGACTAAACCAGAGAAACTTGCCGCTAGAAGTTACAGTAATTTTGTATACCTGGGTTTACAATATGTACTGGACGAAATAAATTAACTCGAGTTTTACTCGAGTTTCGGAAATACATGTATTTGGCAAGTTGAACTCGAGTTGGATTTTTCTGGCGAGTTACACCTCTACAGTGTACATGTACATATATATTTAGGACATTTTTAAAGCAATTACATGTTAAAGTATGGCATTAAACCCACTGAATGTTTAGCCATCTATTGAAAGTTATCTTTTAGTTAAATATCTACCACTTTGAAAATAATATGTCATTTAATATAATTCTCATCTATTTTTACATAACTACCACTTTAAATGAGTGCCAATATTTTTTGGTTTTTGGTCATATTGCCTTTTCGGGGCCCTTTTCCTAAATCAATTCTGGTTGATATGGGTTGCATCACTATGTATACATATATATACTGTCTATATAATATACAGTATATATAGAAAATGATTATAAAAAACAGAAAATAACAGAAGTAATTCAGTCACTACCAGTTTCACTTTTATTCTTCAGGTAACTGATTTTTTCATTTAAATCACACATTATATATATATATATAAACAATAACACAAGAAAATCTATTCAGTAGATTTATTTTTTATTCAAAGTATTAAAACACCAGTATTCAATTAAAAGAAACATAGAAATAGAAGTCTGAGAAATCTAATGAACCATCCAATGCACTTGGTATTGTAGCACACATAAATTATTCTTTTCTCTGGAATGGTTGAGTCTTTAATGCAACAAGGCTTTATGATAATTTTATCTAGTAAAACATCCAATACACTTGGTATTGTAGCACACATAAATTATTCTTTTCTCTCTTATGTTTGAGTTTTAAATGGAACAAGGCTTTATGATAATTTTATCTAGTCTTGGTATTGTAGCACTCATAAATGATTTCTTCTCTTGAGTAAATAAAAGCCTTGGATAAAATGGGGATTATGATATTCTCTTATCTTCCCCTGTATGGACAATGTTTTCAACCCAGTACTGGATCCTGTACTTTTTCTCATCCTTAACCTTAAGGAAATGGAGCAGGCAACTGAAAAACAATATCACTCATTAAATGTATAAGAAGGCTAAGAAGGGAAATCACATCATATTGAATAACACTTAATATTTATTAATTATTAGTGTTGAAGGCACACTTTTTGTCGCTTTAACGATATGCTTGAACTTCCCAGAGGCTGTTTAGGTGAACCCTTAGGGGGTATACATACATACAGGTATGTGTTGAAAATATCTAAAATATGTATTATATATATTTACCGCATGTCAACAAGCTTCTTAAGTTCTCCTGTTTCGTCCTTTGAATACACAGTCCCATGTCCATATCCAGTTGCACTCCGTTTGTCCTGCTTGATGTGCTCATTAAAAGTAACTCTGATGTGTAAGTAAGGATCACTGGATTTTACTTCCTCTAGAACGTTCATGACACCTGAAGACAGGATATTTTACTTGAAAATGTGCAACTTCGTAGTACAATTATAAATTATTACGGTTTTAACAACTTTACATGTCCAAAAGATACATTTACAGAAGAATGTATATCTTTACCATACCAACCATGCTTAGGACAGGCATAAGGGTAACATCGGCACTTATTTCCATATGAAATTCATGTTCATCAAGTCCTAGCCCTAGTCCCTCCATATACCATTGTTAAAAAACATATTCTTATTAAAGTGTGAATGTTATTTTTGGACCAAAATTGTCAAAAGAGAACCCTCTTCCTCTGGAATTTTTCAAAAAGTGAACTCCCCTGGCAAATCCCAGCTACGGGCATGGACAGGACCTAATAAGATCACCTACCATCTCTTCCAACTCCAGTATTCCATCCTGGTACAGCTAGGACTGCATCCTCTGCCCAAAATGTCCTAGTTACTGAACAGTTAGTATTCACAGGGGTGGCACATTCAGGCAACAGCTGAGAATCTGCATAATCATTCATGAACTTATTCAATTCATCTTTGACTGAAATATGAAGATTAAACATGACAGTTACATATAGACTAGCAAAACTGATAAAAGGTCACACTTTAAACATGACAGTTACATATAGACTAGCAAAACTGATACAAGGTCACATTTTAAACATGACAGTTACATATAGACTAGCAAAACTGATAAAAGGTCACACTTTAAACATGACAGTTACATATAGACTAGCAAAACTGATACAAGGTCACATTTTAAACATGACAGTTACATATAGACTAGCAAAACTGATAAAAGGTCACACTTTAAACATGACAGTTACATATAGACTAGCAAAACTGATAAAAGGTCACACTTTAAACATGACAGTTACATATAGACTAGCAAAACTGATAAAAGGTCACACTTTAAACATGACAGTTACATATAGACTAGCAAAACTGATAAAAGGTCACACTTTAAACATGACAGTTACATATAGACTAGCAAAACTGATAAAAGGTCACACTTAAAACATGACAGTTACATATAGACTAGCAAAACTGGTACAAGGTCACATTTTAAACATGACAGTTACATATAGACTAGCAAAACTGATAAAAGGTCACATTTTCAACATGACAGTTACATATAGACTAGCAAAACTGATAAAATGTCACATTTTCAACATGACAGTTACATATAGACTAGCAAAACTGATAAAAGGTCACACTTAAAACATGACAGTTACATATAGACTAGCAAAACTGATACAAGGTCACATTTCAAACATCACTGTTACATATAGACTAGCAAAACTGATAAAATGTCACATTTTAAACATGACAGTTATATATAGACTAGCAAAACTGATAAAAGGTCACACTTTAAACATGACAGTTACGTATAGACTAGCAAAACTGATACAAGGTCACATTTTAAACATGACAGTTACATATAGACTAGCAAAACTGATAAAAGGTCACATTTTCAACATGACAGTTACATATAGACTAGCAAAACTGATAAAAGGTCACACTTAAAACATGACAGTTACACATAGACTAGCAAAACTGATACAAGGTCACATTTCAAACATCACTGTTACATATAGTCTAGCAAAACTGATAAAATGTCACATTTTAAACATGACAGTTACATATAGACTAGCAAAACTGATAAAAGGTCACACTTTAAACATGACAGTTACATATAGACTAGCAAAACTGATAAAAGGTCACATTTTAAACATGACAGTTACATATAGACTAGCAAAACTGATAAAAGGTCACACTTTAAACATGACAGTTACATATATAGACTAGCAAAACTGATAAAAGGTCACACTTTTAAAGGCCTGATATAATAAAGGATTTACTCCTGTACTCAATGCATTATGGGCTGATCTTTTCCATGAAGGCGTTGTTTTCCAGATCTTTGCATGAATGCGTAGTTTGTTTCTTTAAGAAAGAGAAATAACTGTAAGAAGGAATGGCATTCATATCCAACTATTATGCTAAAGTTACTTACTGACACTTTGTCTTCTTCCTGCATTCACACACTGCAATAATGTTGCAAATAAAACTATTTTCACAAGATGCAACATTATGTAACTTTTATAAAATTTATCTCTGCGATTCTGGCTTTCTATTGATCAGTCTCATATCATGTGACTACAAATATCTTTTGATAGTGGTATTCTTACCAAACAGATGATTCAACCTCACTGTTCCACAACTAGTTACTTTGACGGAATCTCAATGTAACAAAATGGATGAATTTTTGGTTACGAGTTTTTTCTCGATTTATACATACTTAAAAGCCAAGTTGCAGATTATGATTTGGCACAAAGCTAGAAAATATAGTCTAGTTTTAATAAGTTTCTTTGATTCGGAATTTATTTTGTAAATGAAGTTGCAATTCATGTATTTAGCCCCTCACTTTTGTTACATTGACGAAAGTTCATTATATTACCAATGTACGATGTTACTTTGATGACTTACGTCAATGTAACAAAAGCGATGGTCTAAATGCATGAATTACAGCTTTATTTAAAAACATAATTCTCAACCGGGAGCTTTTTTAAAAGCTATACTATATTGTTTAACTTTGTGCCAAATGATAATCCGCAACAGGACTTACATGTATATGTAAGTTTAAATCGAGAAAACACAAAACTCGTATTCAGGAGGTTCATCCATTTTGTTACATTGACATTCCGTCAAAGTAACTAGTTGTGGAACAGTGAACTTGAGCATGCATGCATTTTTACTGTCTATGGTAAAGTGTATACTTTGACCTAATGTTATTAAATAAACAATATTTCTATATATTACGTGATGATTTTCAGGTAAACTGTCAGGTGAATGTATTTCATGATTTCTTATACATTTATCCTGTGAAAGGAACAGATGTACAGTGAAACCTGTATATCCAAACATCTCTTTAATCCGAACACCTCTCAATGTGAACACTTTTTCTTGGTTCCAAATGTGTTATCTCCCATTGACTCACATATTAAGAAATCTTAAAATGTAAACACCTGCTAATTTGAACACTTTTGGCTTGTCCCAGTGGTGTTTGGATTAGATGGGTTTTACTGTATTGTTTTCTGTTAGTAATGGAATCTTCAGACAAAAATGGTACTTTAGCAATCAAGATGAAAGATTTAAGATTTTTGCTTCTAGTCATTGAGCAGTTAGAAGGGTTACATCTGTTATTAATTAACCCCTTAATGTTCACACATTTAATAATATTCTATTGTCACTGCCTTCACTTCTTCAAAGAGTTCACTCTTTCAGTTTACAATAGATCTGAACTCACCAATCAGAGAACATCCTCAAATATGGAAACTTCCTATTTATGATCATTTCCCCTGACATCATGGCACATTTGATTTACACCCTTTTAACACATGTTTCTTCTAGGTTGATTGGTTAAGAAAAGTACTATTAACTTATCTAACTAATGAACATCTTTGGAACCCAAGTAAAATATACAAAAAAAAATATAAATATAGCAAAGTTTTATTCCATAAAGATATGAGAGAGCATCAGGACATTTACTAAAAAGGACAACAAAGGATGATTTTCAAAACATCAGTAGGGATGCCATTATTGGCCAAATGGTGTTTATTAAAGCTTGCTACTTAATATACTATTTCAGAGACAAAGGAGGAGAAAAAATGATTAACAGAGATCTTTTTGTATGATTTCAGTTATATGAAAAACTTGCAGAGTTCTTGACCAATATGGAGTGCCTCAGGACACAGTCTGAATATGACGATAGCCTCACTTTGAAGTTGTATATGCTGCAATTCGTCAACTACTACTCATCGATATTCTACATTGCTTTCTTTAAAGGAAGGTAAGCTCAGCAATTTATTTGATTTGATTTGAAAACTATATTTAGAGGTTATGTCACTATTACATGCATGCTAATGATAAGAAAACACCATCTCTTGGTATAACATTAGATTTTTCAAAAGCATTCGATACTATTGACCATAACATACTCCTTGATAAACTCTCACACTAGGATATTCGCGGCAAAGCTATCTCCTGGTTTACCAGCTACCTGAGTAATCGTAAACAAATTGTCTCCTTTGAAAAAACCAAGTCTAAGATCTCAGATACAACTCATGGAGTCCCCCAAGGCACTGTCCTTGGTCCCATATTATTTATTTTATGTATTAATGGCATGTACAAATCTAGTAACATTTTTGAATTCATATCTTTTGCGATGTCTCAAACTTATTTATCTCACATAGTGATATTAAGGGTTTATTTAAAAACGCAAACACTAAATTGACTTTTTAACAAAGAAATCGCTTCTTACAATCTACTATTCCCTTATCCACTCTCATATAAACTATTGTAACATGGTATGGGGAAATAACTATAAGTCAAATTTGAATAATATTTATCTAATTCAGAAACGCTTCACTCGACTAATACTAGATAAACACTACCTAGAACACCCTGACCCTCTTTTTAAAGAATTAAAGATTCTAAACTTTTTTGATATCAACAAACTCAATACAACCTTTCTATTTACCAATGTTCAAACAATAACAAAGTTATAACATCACTTCAAAGTAAACCTTTGGAAAAGAATAAATATCTACATAGCCATAATACACGCCAAAGGGAAAACTTTCAAATTGATACTTCTGACAAATTCTAAATAAGATATAATGGACCTTCCATTTGGTCCACACTTGATGACACAATTAAACAAGCAAATAACTTATCCCATTTCAAGAAATCTTATAAATCCAACCTTCTTTCAAAATATGAATGATAGCAGTTGAAATCAATCTCATTTAATTGTATTTTATTGTATCCCTGTAAATTGCATGTATATAGTGTCGGCCATTAGGGCTAGTTACCTTTTGTATTGTATACTTTTTTAAGCTCTTGATTAATACCAATATATGCCCTTTGGTGTCTCGGTATTTGTCATGATGCACTTTTGTACATACTTTTTATAGGATTAACAAATAAATAAATAAATACGTAATATGCCTGAGTACAGTACTGTCAACCCCTAAAGATTTTCTCGCGGGACAGATTTTTTAGACCCAGTGCCCAAAATTCGCGGGATTTTGCGGGACATCTACTAAATTCGCGGGATTTTGCGGGACATTTAAGGGATTTGGGTGATTGCGCTAATAGGAGATTTTTTTTATCAAATTCACGGGATTTCGCGGGACCATTCGAGGGACAAACACCCTAATTGCGGGACAGTTAACAGGTGTACCACCAAAAACTTCATAGAGGGACAGATTTTTTAGACAAAGTGCCCTAAATTTGCGGGATTTCGCGGGACATCCACCTAAATTTGCAGGATGTCCCGGGACATTCAAGGGATTTGCGTGATTGGGACTAATGTAAAAGCGTGTAGAAGTACTTAAATCAAACTTTCAGATACTGATTAATCAAATATAATGCACCGTTACATTGTAACTTAAATAAACGTCAACACAATTTCACAAAATACGCATAGGAATATTATTAAACTTTATTGTAATTTATCAAAAACAAAAACCATGCTTCAGGTGTGATTACCGTAATCTAACACGAAATTCAAAAATTCGGAACAATACTTTGCACTTCTGGCGTCGTGACCAACTATGAAACGCTTACCCCCATAATGTTATATATTAAAATGTACCTATTCATATACTGTAGGCATGGGCTTTCAATTGAAAGCCCATGATATAGGGGTTCGATTAATCTACATCAAATTATAGGGAATGAGGTTAATTTTCTAGATAGGGTTTGTATAAAAAACCGGGTACCGGGTAGTAAATCCTCCATGCTGGGTTCAAACTTGGTACCCGGTCGAAAAAAACAAAAAAACGAAATATACGAATACACAACATAATTAGATCATTAGAAAACGTGTAAGATTTGTTTTGAATTTACAAAAATGTATGTAACTTCCTTCAAAATTGAGCTAGAAGCTTCAAATAAAAAGCATTTTAAGGCTCTTTTCTTCCTCTATGATCTTGGTCATATTTCCATTGGTAATGAAGGGGGGGAGGGGGTGCGATCGCACCCCCTCCTGGCTACGCCAATGACATTGTAAGACGATTTGAAAAACAAGACAAATCAATCTTACTCTATTTTCAATAGTTCGTATGTTGGTACGTGAATTGTTTTGATTATGATTTAAATCTGTAAATAGCTATCGTTGCTTTAGCAGAGAGGTGACGTGTGTTAATTTACATGATGCAACGTGTAAGATTTTGATTATTAACCATAATTTAAGTTATCCCAATTTATGACAAAATGTCCACTGAATTGTAAATTGTTATGTCTTACAATGTCATAGGCGTAGCCAGGAGAGGGTGCGATGGTGCGATCGCACCCCCCCCATAACCAATGAAAATATGGCCATAACGATAGAGGAAGAAAAGTGCCTTAAAATATGCTTTTTATTTGAAGCTTCTAGCTCAATTTTGAATCATGTTACATACATTTTTGCAAATTCAAAACAAATCTTACACCGTTTTCTCATAATCTAATTATGTTATATATTCGTATTTTTCGTTTTTTGGGTACCCATTTTTTTTTGACCGGGTACCGGGTACCAAGTTTGAACCCAGCATGGAGGATTTACTACCCGGTACCCGGTTTTTTATACAAACCCTTTCTAGATATCGGCGTCCATTTATTGTAACTCGCGTTTGCTAACATTTGCTCAGTTCTGAGATGAAGGCCACACGGGTAGTAAAAAGGCCAACGTTGGAACTATTTGTGACCTACATCCCTATTTTCGTAATTAAAATGAAAGTTGAACCCTTCCCCTTTATTTTGATACCAAACAACAGCATGCTAGGTACTTAAAATTAGGTAAACTTTACTCCTCAAAAGTGCAAAAACTTAGCTTCTTATATAAGATAAGATAATCAAAATATAGGGGATTGCAACAATTTCGGAAATTCGCGGAGGTCAAAGCCACATTTGCAGGACTTCGCGGGACAATGCGGGACACGCGAATTAGCCTAATTTTGATCAAATTCGCGGGATAATCCCGCCATTCGCGGGACACTTGACAGCTCTGTGAGTATTCCGACCTTGGGAGGCTCTATGTTTCACGTATATGTTTCACGTCATAGTGGACAATTTTTTTATATGAGACATCTCTTCCAGGAGAATGTGGGAAACACACTGTGCGTTTATTGGAGCAATTTTGGTAAATACATAGTGTCGAGGGTATCTGACTCACATGTGGGTTTCAGTTAAAGTGAGTGTCATGTAAATATGACTAACTTTGAGTACAATTTCAAAAATGGATATTGGTATTTTGAGATACCAGAATCCATTTATTTAAACTCACTTTTGGTACCATTTGCTCTGTTCTGAAATGACATAAGCACGTGTAGTTAACATACCTGCATTGAAATCAGAGTTTCTTTATGTAACAAAATCACATTTTAAAACACTATAAAGGGATCATTAATCTTCTTTACATTCTAAGCTGTTTATGTTGATCATAAGTTTTACCGTCTGAAAATTGTATTTAAACCAGACATATAACCTTGACGTTGTCCTTTAGATATGTTTTGAATTTAAGTAGACTTACCTCCATGTTAACAAAAACATAGAACAGAACAACCTGATTCATTATTCCACCTAACATATACAGGGTGTCAAATGGTGTTGTGCCCCCTATCCCCAGCATAAACTAGAAGAGGTACACATGCATACTATATACCATTGGAAAGAGCATTTAATTGTTCTTAAAGTGTGAAAAGATGAAGATGGATGATAGAAAATAATACATAATTTGAACCAACTTTTAAAAGAGAGTTTGACCATCCCCCGCTGCTTTAAACGGATGCCAGTCAGGCTGGATATCGAGTTAAAAGGGCATTGAAAAGAGCAATGTCTTGAGCAGAGATCTCAATACTTTTTGAGGTTCTCCTGGAGGGTATCTATGGAATATCTGTTCTCTACAGCTTGAGCTTCCATAAGTAGCTCTGTTTTATCCATTAATATAGGCTCAATTTGAACTGAAGCATTTAAGTCAGAGTTGTTGCTCGGGTATTCCCCAATACCAAAAGGTCTATGCAGGAATTTTTAAAAATCAATAAAAATAGCACTATACCGGTGCATTTCAAATGCTTATGAAACTTTGTAGCAGTATCTGACCCTGGTCATCTAGGATTCATTTTATCCAGAATTGAATGCTCTTTCTAATGATATATATAATGTATGTGTACTTCTCCTAGTTAATGCTGTGGAAGGGGGGCACAACAACAATCCATTTGTTTGTTTGACTGTTCATCCGTTTGTTTATCCGGATGATTACTCAAATACTGCTTGATAGATTTGGTTCAAATTTTAAAAGCTAATGATTGTAGCACCTTAGCACTTTTTCAATATGGCCACTCAATTCAAAACAACCACCATTTTATGTAAAAATGTAATCTTTGATAACTAAAATACCAGTATATGAAAAGAAAATTGTGATCATTTTAGCAAAGGGAAACCAAAATTATTAAAAATATGTTTAAGAAAATTCACCCTCCGGATCTTGAGAAAAAATATCTTTGAATATTCAGGGACGTCAGAAGGATTTGTCGAGGGGCGATTTTTGGGAATGGATGGGTCATGCGTGAAGCGCGCCGCTTCGCAGATCGGGGAGCATGCCCCAATAAGATTTTCAAATTTAGACCCTCTCTGGTGCATTCTGAGCATATCTCAGCACAACATTCCCAATAATAAAAAAAGAAAAAATTGTGTTTTACTAAAATATACATTTTGCACTAATTTTTCATACTAGTATTTACATACTGAACTGGTTCCTGAGAAACTATACATGGTATAGAATTAAATATAATATTTATGTCACGTTGCTGTCATGTGATACTATGACGTTACCCAAGAGAAATGAGATCTATGGTTGATGTAGACTAGATACTGACATAGTATCATTTCTGACATTACACTTTGGGAAAAAAGGAGGGGGCCTTCCGAAGCCAATGATATTATGAGTCAGTGGGAAAATATTATTATTCCAATATAATGACTCATATTGCCAAAAAATGTCTTGATAGTCAACATTAGTATGTCATAAAAAGATAAAAACAATGCATTGTGCATTTTGAGAATGTATTGTGGGTGGTTAAAAATGAAAAAGATCTCTGCAGGGTTTCAAATCCACTCTCTCGGGGTTTAAAAATTTCTATTGGCCTAAAACCAAGCGCTTTAACTGATTGCGCCATGCAGCATTAATAAACATTTGCCTGTGAAACTTTGTCATACCTCGCTTGCATATAAAAAGAGAATGACCTTACATGTACATGACCCTTAGCTCAAGAAAAAAGCAGTTTTAAAAAATGAATGTAGTCCCAACACAATTGTGATCATGACAAGTCAGTAAGCTGGTATGTAGGTACATTTGTCATCTTTTTGCAATGATAACATGCCATTTCTTCTGAAAATGAGTTTAATTATCCCATCGAACAAAGTTCGGAGGGATATAGGGAACACCTCCGTCCGTCCGTCCATCCGCCCGTCCGTCCGTCCGGGCAATAACTCAAATACCGTTGACCCGATTTTGTTCATATTTTGTACACATATACCCCATGAGGGTAGAAATTCTGCTCAAAAGCCAATTTTCAAAATGGCCGCTCATTTAAAAATGGCGGCCATTTTAGTGACGATTTTCCAGTAATTTAGGTGCAATATGTAAAACTGTAATAGCAATAAGTTTTAAATGTAAAAAAATTATACAGGACATTAATAAAGCTAGAAATGTGGATATTAAAGAAGCACATGGCAGCCATCTTGAAAAATGGCGGCTTTACTCGTTATTTTATGATTTTTGCTGTGACTCGAAAAGTTGTGGAGCGATTTTGTTCATATTTGGTATGTGAATACTATAAGCATGGCAGACTGTCTGATGACACTTTTGGTAGGAGGTGGCCATTTTGAAAAATGGCCGCCATTTTAACGTATTTTACTATAACTCGAAAAGTAGTGGAGCGATTTTGTTCATGTTTGGTATGTGAATGCTATAAGCATGGCACACTGTCTTATGACACTTTTGGTAGAATATGGCCATTTTGATAAACGGCCGCCATTTTACCAAATTTTACTATAACTCGAAAAGTAGTTTAGCGATTTTATTCATATTTGGTATGTGAATATTATAAGCATGGCTCACTGTCTAATGACACTTTTGGTAGAAGGTGGCCATTTTGAAAAATGGCTGCCATTTTTGCTTTATACTTTGTTTGTAAATATGGCTGTTCGATGGGATTTACTACGCTTTGGCGTTGCTGTTGTCTAGTTGGGTTATGTGAAGGAACATTTCGATTCAACTGGCGTTTTAATTTTGGCTTCATTTTTTTAATTTCAATTTCTGGCGGCAGAGAGAGAGGGGGGGGGGGGGTAGTGTTGCAATTGACCAATTATTTCAAAAAGTAGATGTTTGATCCTTATTGAGTTTAGTGTCAAAATGTAGCTTAGACATTGCTTTTGAACCTCAGAGAGGCAAGAGGGGCCACATAAATCCATAACTTGAGATAAAAAATCAGGCGTTTGGCCTTTTGCCCATTGATGAGTATGGTGAAGTGAATTAGGGTTGTTTTGCCTATTACATGTTCCAATAGAAATATTCAAAGGGTGAAAAACCAACTCATGTAATAACCAACTTCAATATTTCTTGAACTTTGCTTATTAGGGGGTGGGCGCTAAATATGGCGCTTACAGTAGTTACATTCCAATGTTTTTTTGCCAGTTGTTTACATATTATGAATAGCTACTATTTTGGCCCTACCAACACACATGATGCCATCTATTTATTCATGTATATAGCAAACTCCATTACCACATACATGTAAGGTATTGACTTTAGCTCAACCTTTTCATGCCTGTATCTCACGTGTTCTCTTACACTCAGCATTTGGTTATTCCTTGGAGTTGCCCATGGGTTGTTACAATACATTATCTGGCTCTAAATAAGGAATATGACCTTGGTCCATGTTTCAAGCTTATTAACAGACCTGGCGATTGTAATACTTTTTTTGAGCCAGACAGAAGGAATGTCCTGTATAATTTAATATTTCAGATTTGTTGGCAGACCTGGGGACTATAATACATTGTTCGGGGCCAGGCAGGAAGAATGTGGCCAGGGAGGGTGTCTAATTGAATTGTGCATTCAGCTTGCAATTATCATGGTTGGTAAACAACTCATCCAGAACAACATCATGGAAATTATCATACCGTAAGTTCTTACTATGAATATTAGAAATTAAAGACCCCATGTAGAGTTCTAATATAAATATTTTTGTTCTGTATATTGTCATATTCTCCACATTTAATGTAATAGTCTATGTTTGTTACTTATAAAGTCATGAAAGTCAAAATATCAAGGGTCCAAAGGTCCAAGGGCATGCGTCTAATGGGAGAGCTGGTGTCTAATTAATTCATCAATAGACAGGAGATGGTAATGTTATCATCGATATTCTTTAAGAAAAGACCCTTTGTACATTGAATTTCACTCTGGTCCTAGGGACCCCTTCCTACTTAACTACATGTATATTCAAATGTGTTTTCTCAAGTGTTTGATATATCAGACCTTTCTAGCTCATTCTTCCTATCAAGCCAACAGCAGTTTTGAAAACTCTTGATTTACTTTTGTATATATTTACAGAATGATGACAAGACTAGCATGCCGGATAATGAGAAAAGAGACCCCTGAGAAGAAAAAAGGAAGGACTCCTTGGGTGAAAGACTATCTCCTTGCACAAATGGACCATCGAGGATTGTTCTTTGAATATTTGGAAATGTGTAAGTAAACTACACTGTATTCAACTTTAAATCCAATAGTAATAATATTTGTTCTATACCACCAATTATTTACTTGATATTGTATTTTAAACCTTAATAAATATGATATTAGAATACTTATGGGTGTATGATCAATTAATGGTCCAAATAAAGAAACAATTACCATGAAAGTTCAAAATTTTACTTGGAATTTTCATGAAATTTGAAACAGATAGATGTCTATAGCTCTAAGTCTTGGTATAAATAAAACTGAGTGTAACTGTAATCTTCATATACAGATATATAAAAGAGGGAAAATTTAATTTAATTAATTTAATCGAAGAATGTGTTGTAATGATTAAACACTTATTCTTTAAATTTTCATGCATGTACCATGTTTCAACTCAACCTTCTGAGATACAAATTGGTTAGACCAGATTCTACAAACATTCTTTTTGCTCTTTAGCTTCTGGTTTGATTGTTGTCAAGTACTTCATCTCCATACTTATGTTTTAAAACATCTTTTCAGTGCTTCAATTTGGCTTCATCACAATATTTGTTGCGGCTTTTCCGCTAGCACCATTATTCGCCTTACTTAACAACATTATGGAGATCCGATGTGATGCGAGCAAATTTGTCACTGCTCTTCGGCGTCCTATGGCACAAAGGGCTCAGGATATAGGTAGGCTGTCCAGAAATGTTTCATTCAGATCTCAAAGCATTTGCACAATTAAACCAAGTTTTAAATTACCCAGTTATACCAGCTACAACACCTTTATCTGTTTGGCAGTAGTGATATTTATTATGTTATATCGTATTTGTAAGAATTATTTGAAATTGTACATATTGTATATCAATTTAAAGGAATGTAATACAATTTAGCATTTGAAAGAGTCCATATTGTATGTCAATGTCGTACAATGTATAAAGAATGCAAGAATGTGGTACAATTCATTACTTGAAAGAGAATATATTATATGTGTATTTGAATGAATGTGGTACAATGTATTTTGTGAAGATTGCATATTATGTATTAATATTTAAGAATGTGATACAATCATTTACAGCACTAACAGTACATGTTATATCTATCTGATGTAGGAATGTGGTACAATCTACTTTTTGAAACAGTACATATTTTTGTCTATTTCTAGGAATGTGGTACAACTTATTGTTTGGCATTTCAAGATTATCTATCCTCACAAATGTAAGTCACCTTGTATAAAATAGAATACAAGTACTGTATGTCACCTATTGCTTATTTTACAAGATCATAATATAGCTTGTTTCTATCAAGAGAATAAAAATATTAACCAACTATAAGCAAAATTCAAACCAGCTACAAATAAATATAGAGACACAACTGAGGAAAACCCCAATGTATTAAAAAATGCAGAAAACAATACCAAAAAGCACAACAGTTGCAAGAAAGCATAGCCCAACATCCTAACCATGATCAAACTGAATAAACTCTCAAATGACCCCACTCCTTAATGTTTTCCTTCCAGCCACTGATCATTGCCTTTACATCAGAATTCATCCCTCGCATGGTGTACCAACTGGAATATAGTAAAGATGGTTCTCTTCATGGTTACATCAATGGGAGTCTCGCCCATTTTGCCGTCAAGGATTACCCACAAGATAAAATGCCTGATGTCGTTAGAAGTGAAAATATGAGTATTGAAGCAATGGAATGCAGGTATACCATTTTGAAAAAAAATCCTCACTTTCTTTCACTACCATTATTGAAGTGCTACATGTACAGCTCTACTACAAAAACTTTTACGTTAAAGCTCAAGCATAATCGACCATCACAATACAATTTTTAAGGGGTCCTTATTTTAATGTGTCAGAGTTTGAGTATTTTTATTATATCCTGCCTGATTTCATTTGAATCTTTATTATACAATTTCCTAATTTATCAGCTTGGGAGGTTATTTGGGGTGGGTGCCAAATAAGGTCGTAGTTAAAACACCAGGAATGCTTCAACTCTTCAATGTCCAAGATTATAACCATTGCAAAAGTTTTGTATAATTATCCCACCGAACGAAGTTCGAGGGGGATATAGAGAAGCCGTCCGTCCGTCCGTTTGTCCGTCCGTCCGTGTGTCCGGGCGATAACTCCAATACCGTTTGACGGATTTGGTTCAAAGTCTATAGGCTTATGCCTTATGAGTGTAGTACCTCTGCTCGAGAAGGAATTTTCAATATGGCCACTCAATTCAAAATGGCCACCATTTTTCTTAAAAAATGCAATCGTTGATAACTCAAATACAAGTTGATGGATTTGAATCAAATTTTATATGCTGATGCCTAGGGACAAAGGAGTTTTGCACAAAAAGAGATTTTCAAGATGGCCGCTTAATTTCAAAATGGCGGGCATTTTTCGTAAAAATATTTAATCTTTGATAACTCAAATACCAGTAAACGGATTTGGTTCAAATTTTGTATGATGATGCTTAGGGACACAGAAGCTATGTTGGACAAAAATTTTTCAAGATGGCCGCTTAATTTCAAAATGGCGGCAATTTTTCGTAAAAAACGTAATCTTTGATAACTCAAATACCAGTGAACAGATTTGGTTGAAATTTTATATGATTATGCCTAGGGACACTGTAGCTCTGTTCAAGAAATAATTTTCAAGATGGCGGCTGAATTTCAAGATGGCGGCCAATTTTCATAAAAAACGTAATCTTTGATAACTCATATACCAGTGAACCGATTTGGTTCAAATTTTATATGATGCCTAGGGACACAGTTGCTATTTTCGACAAAGAATTTTCAAGATGGCCGCTTTATTTCAAAATGACGGCAATTTTTCGTTAAAAAAAACATAATCTTTGATAACTCAAATACCAGTGAACGGATTTGGTTCAAATTTTATATGATGATGGCTAGGGACACAGTTGCTTTGTTCAAAAATGAATTTTCAAGATGGCCACTGATTTTCAAAATGGTGGCCATTTTTTGTAAAAAAAAAATTTTTGATAACTCTAATACCAGCGAACACAGTAGGGACACAGTAGCTCTGTTCGAGGAAGAATTTTCAAAATGACTGCAGAATTGGCCGCCATTTTTAGTAAAAAAGACTATAATCTTTGATAACTCAAATTTTAATTTATGGATATGGTTTACATTTTATATGTTGATGCTTAGGGACAAACAAGCTCTGCTCAAAAAGGAATTTTCAAGATGGCCACTAATAATCGAAATATGTTTTGTTCGGTGGGATTTGCTACTCCGTGGAGTTGCTGTTTTTCTAGTTTTTTTACTAAATATATTGATTATTTGATATGTGGTTTATTTAGGTACAAAGACTACAGGCATCCACCATGGTCATCAGAGAAGTATGAGTACACATCTCAGCACTGGCATGTCATGGCATACTAAATGTATTGATTATTTGATATGTGGTTTATATAGGTACAAAGACTACAGGCATCCACCATGGTCATCAGAGAAGTATGAGTACACATCTCAGCACTGGCATGTCATGGCTGCAAGATTGCTCTTTATTGCATTCTTTGAGGTATGATTCTGTATTTTACAACAACTTTATTTTTGTATTCAGTAGTTAGTTCAGTCTTAGTTTAATTTTGTATATTGGAGTTTTAGTGACTAATATGTCATTGTAATGACATCAGAGAGTCAATAAAAGATATATATATATATTCTCACATTGAAATATAAGTAAAAGTCATGTTCAAGAAATTTTGTTATTTTGAAATGTTAAAGTACTGTATATTGTTCAAAGTATGATGACTGGTCAAAATACAACTTTGTTTGATTTGACCTTTGGTTGTGAGACTGCTTTCTATTGCATTACATATTTATTCCTACTCCTAGTTGTGGATTCAGATTTTTAATTATTTCCTTTTCAGAATCTTATTGTCGTGACCACAAGCATTATAGCCTGGTTAATCCCGGATGTTCCCCGCAAGCTCCAGGAGCAAGTCAAGCGCGAAAGTTACGTCACCAATGAAATCATCATACAAACTGAGCTAGAACGTGCCCATGGTCGGATTTTGGGCCTTTCAAGTTTGGCCTCTAGTCGTAGATCTATGAATTCTAAAAATGAAGAATACACTGAGCGTACAGATCTGACAACTGATAATGATAACGGGGAAGGGATTGAGTCAGATGGAGCCAACCCAAATACTGTATTGATACATAGATTCCCTGGCCAAAATGGCAGAGTCAGCCCTGAGAATGAAGACACTGCAGTGTAATTAAGACACTAGTGTAATAAAAACTATTGTATTTAGTGTAGCATCAATGGTGTTATAGAGCTGTAGGGTCACAAAGACTCTGGTGCAATATAGACTGTAAAAAAGACACATATTTAGAAAATATGTAACAAGTATATAATATGTGAAATGGACTTGTTAGCATTATTAAGACCATGGAGTTACTAGAATACTGCAGTGCAATACAAACACGCAAGTGATAAAGACACCATAGTTTAACAAATTGGTAAAAATCATAATGTAAGTGATTAATACACCTCAGCATATGATTATGATACATCATAGTGTAAGTTAGAAAGTGATTAAGACCATAATGTAATTAATAACACAGTAGTTCAGACACTATACTGTAACAAAGTGATTTAAACACTATAGTGTAAGTTAAAAAGTGATTTAGACACTTTATTGTCGTAACAAAGGTGTGTACCTAAGGTAATTTCAATGATAGTGTTAGATAGTCCTTAAAGATATTAAATTGAATCCAAAGAGTCACATGGATAGCTGTCACTAGAAAACAGAACAGTAACATAATGGTTACCAAGAATTATTATCACATAAATATCAATGACATCATTGTCACAATAGTTACCATTACCAAGGTAACTATCATGGTCACAAACAAAGAAGATTACCGAAAATCATTATGGTCTCAAAAATGAACATTACCAAATAATAATGATAGTCTAAAGCATTCAAGTTGACTAGTGATTGTGTCCATTATCATTATGATAATACTCAAAGATTATAATCGTTATTAATCATCATCAATTATCCTTAGCCAGCAAAAATCAGGTTAATATAACCAATGTTTTCAGTAGGCTTAGTCTTATAAATATGTAATATTTGTTGCATGTAATGTATTGTTGTGTGTTGTTATGCTATTTACTTACTTTTTAAGTTTTTTACAATGAGATGCATGCCATAATTATTAGTATAAACGTAAAGCAAAGATCAGTAATGTACATGATATATGTGGTTGTGTTTACTTATATGATCAGGAATATGTGGTTGTGTTTTGTTAATCAAAATATGTATAAGGTTGTGTTATGTTTATTTATGTTTGTGCAATTGTTAGGTTTATGCTTGCTTTTATCATCAAGGACATGTTAGTGTCAGATGGGAGTTATCGATTTTGAATTATGATTTGTGAAAAGTTGTATTTTACGATATAGTCATACATGTATTTTCAATGTACAAGAAATTGAGGAATCACAAAACAGTGTATTCTAAACTAGAAACAAGTGCAATGAAAAAATGTGCAAGTGTTTTTGTCAGAATTGTATATATCTGAGTAAGTATTTACTGTAAATGACAATCATTTGTATGCTATATTTTATTTAATGAAAATATTCACAATTCATTTAAATTGTTTGACTATGAATTAAGTATGTTTGAATCAACCTCCCTTTATACAGATACACACTAATTCCAGGGTTTAGAAATCATTGTACTAATTCGATATACTGAATATACAGTGTGGTACCATATGGTACCATAGAAGATAGTACCAAACAGTACCATGAGGTACTAGTTGAACCTATGTTACTGTACAGTACCATATTTTAGTGTACTACAGTATCATTTTACATTGTTGTTTTAGTATCAAACAGTTCAGTTTAAAGATTTTATGATGCCAAATTAAGTTTTGTGCATTTTTGTGCCAGAAATGCCACATGTTGTACCCATAAAAATAACTCATTGCTAATTTGGCATCTATTTTAATTTGATGATTCATCAAAGTAATCGAAAGTCCCTAATTATGTCTCAACTAAACTCTGCTTATTTTGCCCCAGCTGTAAGTTATCAGTTTATATTACCGCAGCTTACTTATACTTTATGTGGAGTATCAACTTATGAGCAGTTACACTGTATGTGCCAAATCAAAACATTATGTATTTTTTATTTATTCATATTTATATCCAACTGTATCCCATACGTGAGGCTCTATGTAAATAATGTGTACAATCTGTGATGCTATCTCCAGGGACCATATATTATAACCTCTCCTCCATTTATTATAAATTCTGACCGCTTTTTGTGAACCAAGAAAACAATGGTACTTTGGCTAGATTTATGAGCAGCAATGTTTGTAAAGACATTTTTGAAAATTAGCTAAAAATAATTCCCATTTCTGCCTCTAGACTGTAAGGATGACATCATAATTAACATGTCTGATTTACTGGAATGGTATTTTTACATTCATATTCACTATACTTTTTAAAATGCCAGAAGTCCAATTGAAAGTGACACTTCCTTGGTATGGGATGCCTCTGTTATGTATTTTAGATACAGGTTCCTATTTAGCTTCACATATTTCCCAGGGGATAACCTCTGTATCTAAAACCTTCCAGTATATAACCCTTATGTATTGAATTACATTGATTTGATTATTGCAGTAAAACTTGTATTTGAACATCTTTCAGTTTCATCACACCCACTCTTGTGTTCTTAGAACCTTTAAATATGAACAGCCCACAAAGTGAAATAATGTACTTATACTGTTTACATATGTTTTAGGATAATTGTACATAGGATATTTAGTCTATTCCAAATGTATACTTGTGAAAAATGTATTTTAATGAAATGTAATACTCCTGCACCATTCACATAAATGTATCATATAGATGTAATCATATATTATAGGATTGGATAGCTTGTCTATTCCATGACAAACAGCATTGATATTAACATTAATTGTATTAATATTTTCACAAATTGGTTTTTCCATGCACATCCATATTTACTCATATTTTCTATCAGTTTTGAAATACAGGGTGACACAAAAAATTAAACCTTCTAATTTTGGAATAATTTTCTTGATAAGTTTCTTATGCCACCCTGTACAAAATATATGATTTTCCATTGGTGATGTTTATCTACTTATTGTTGACAATGAGATCAGTCTCTTAAAAATATGATGTGGCATTCTGTGATCAGTACCTTTTGTCAACTGAATTTCATTTAATCAAGATTGAATGCATTAAAAATTTCTGAAAAGTTTCCTCATGTCTGCATGTTATCCTCATTGCATAAAGATTGATGAAGACAAATTATGTCCCGACCCGGGAGAATGATTCTGACTTGTACGATGCATATGTCTTTTTTATGGCAAAGTTACTTCAAAATGGAAAAGGAACAACTCTACTTATGTAACACTGCTAAACAAAAGTTATTTATTGTAAACAAATTTTAAATTGATGTTAATGCCTGACAATTTCAAAGGTGGGAACAAAAGGGGTCGTGTTCTCTGTTAAATTTTCGTAAAAAATTGAAATTTGGACCTGGCCCCTTAGAGTGTCTGTTTATTTGCATGAAAACATCTAACACTAGATATAATCTAGTATATCAGTGTATATATTCCATAATTGAATTCCATTTCTTTTGATATGAATATTATAATTGCCATTCACTAGACTGTTCTCATTATCCTTCTTATTCATGTTATGTTAACAAAGGAATGAATGTTTTACAAACCAATGTGGAGCTTATCATATATTATAAAGTTGAATAGCTATTTGTATTTTAAGAAATAAAGATCTGAAAATAAAAATATGTTGCATTGTTTGTTCATAGATTAATTGTAAAAAATGTCTCTTCTTATTTTAAAACTTGATGAATAAAAATCTACATTTTGATTTATCCATAAAACAGTATTTATAAAACAGTATTTAAAGTGAAGACTAAATCTGGTTTCTAAATCCTCCCAGTACATAATATCAATATTCACGAGTAGAACATTTTTACTCAGATTTAGACATTGTTTCATTAAGATACATTCAACTTTCTAATGTAAATGTATCTTACAGTATTTGCTGTGTTGCTATGTGTATCTATAATGCATATATAATATTCCAACTATGGCATGCCGATCCAGCAATTATCTCCTTGCTCAAAATGTGTGGACAGACAGATCAACAATAAATTTTATGATTCATAATTCAATTTTATTCCATGGACAAACAGAGGGATGGATGGCCTGACAAACATGACAAACAAACAAAATAACCGACAAGAAGTCAGTTATACCAAGGGCTTTGTAAGACCTGGGGCTTAGTATGTGTACCAAATGAAATGACATCTGGGGCTTAGGATGGCCCTAATTATACAAGTGGATATTCTATTGGTTGATATACAAGTATAACTATACAGTGAAAAGCCGAACGCCAAATATACATTGAAATTACGAATGAGGCACATCCCAGGTATTATGTTTGTCCTTGTTATAGTGAGTTTTACAATGAGCGAATGTTCTTGTATACGCTGCAATACTTTCTAGCCCTATTGAAACATTACCAGATTACTGCCATATTTATCCATCTCAATAACAACTGATCTATTGAGAGAAAATACAAGATATATGTCATTTTGCACACAAATCTTTATGGCATAAAAAAGTGACAGTAAAGTATTTCAAGAGTAACTTGTATAGCAAATCATTGTAAATACCATTATGTGGCACCTAATACTCCCTCTTGGGGTCATAGCCACTACAACCTGTAAATATGTTACATTTATTTCAATTAAAAAAAAAAAATTAAAATTTTATTGCACTACTTCACATGTTTTATACTCACTTAAACACAGTCACTTCAGAAAACATCCAATTGGTCAATGCTGAGAATTGCAGTGTACATACACTAAGGCCAAGTCTTCTTGAGGCTAATTTCTAACTATGTACATATTATGGGTGAAAGACAATTACACAATTCCCCAAAGACAAACTTTTCAAATAATAAAAATGTTGCTTATATAAAACATGATTATTAGAATTTAGACAAAGAATATCAGCTTATTTTGAGTAATATTATTTTTATTGACAAGTTGATAACACTTTGCTCATTCGTGTTGGTGTACAAAGCGATAAAATGATATCACGAGAAATGATCTGATATTCTGTTTATCCCATGAATAAGATGAAAAAGAAATTCGAATTCGTTTATCAGCGACATATGGGACCCATAAACTATTTTCTGAAAACATCATAAAGATCTCCACAATATCAGTAATATCACTGGCTGTTAGTGTACAGATAAGACAATAATTGTGGAGAGATATCGTAAAAAATGCTATTAAAATTGTAAATTTTTTACATGCACGTATACTATAAGTTATTCAATGATTCGAGTGAAATACAGAAAATGTTTTGCCCGAGAAAGTTTGTATTTGTTATTTCAAGGCAAAATATTTTCTGTATTTCACGAGATATCACTGAATAACGTTTTAATTCCATGATCAAGGAAAAACTCAAAGATTACCCGATAGCTGGCACAAACGTCATGAACTGAGGTCTTATTGTGTGGCTCTGATATTGGAATAAAACACAGTACATGTATTAGATTTCACTTTCAGTTCAATCGGTGGACACATTCAGTTTAACTTCTAATAATTACAAATATGTCACTGACGATGAAAAAAAATTCAAGCATTCATCCATGCACAAAATTTAACATACATCTTTGCATAAATATTTAGACATTATTATATCATTTTCGTGCAAGTCAGTTCAGGAGCACAACCTGGTACAAGGCAAGAGACAGCTGCCTCACTAAAACTTTACAAAAAATCTAGGCATTGGTATCCTTCTCCATGGGCTTTGTTGCAGAAAAGAGGAGTTATATACACATGAACCTTTAGACTAACGATGGTAAGAAAAGCTTTACATACTGAGGTAAATGCCAATCCATTATTTTTTGCTCAGAAGAACTTGGATTTACATTCAATTAGCATTGCATTTGGAAGTATTTATTTATTTGTTCAATACAACTTGAATTTCTTTTGCAAAAAATGAGCTCAATCTCTGATATTATTATTTATTTAAAGTTTAAAAACGGAGTAAGAAATATGCTTTTAGCTGGCACCAAAATAAAATAGGGGTCATTTGATGCTCTTCATGTCTATATTCCAAAGAGTAAATGTGGCTCATGATAATATTACAAAGACTATTGCAAATGAATCAGATGACTCGATGAGCCCTAGCCTCTATAGACATCGTAGTTTGCGCACCTTTAGACTAAGTACCTTTTGCACTTTTATGTAAAACCTAATGCACATGCAGATTGTGAATAAACCAGATGTCTATGAGCCCTAACTTCTTTTAAAAGTCATAGTTTGTGCACCTTTATTTAAACACACTACTGCGGATCGTGGATGAACTGCATGTCAATGAGCCTTTACTGCTTTAAAAGTCATAGTTTGTGCACCTTTATTTAACATGTTTAAACACACTATTGCGGATCGTGGATGAACTGCATGTCTATGAGCCTTTACTGCTTTAAAAGTCATAGTTTATACACCTTTATTCAAACATACTATTGCAGATCGTGGATGAACTGCACATCTATGAGCCTTTACTGCTTTAAAAGTCACAGTTTATACACCTTTATTCAAACACAATATTGTGGATGAATAGAATGTCAACTATTGCGGATGAACCAAATGTCTATGAGCCCTAACTTCCATTGACGTCATAGCTTGTGCATCTTCATTTAAACGTCTTATAGGTGGGGGTACATTAGGTTTGCGCTGAAGTTGAATCAGTTTTTTCACTTTTGCTCGTGGGTGATCCTTTTCTGATTCATTATACTCTTTCAGTTTCTTTTCAAATTCGCTTAAGCCAGAGGGGAATTTTCTGTTCATTGGTGGGTTCTTTAGTGTAGATGGAATGAGGTCATCAATGTCAGGCACAACCTGGAGTGGTCCACTTCTATTATACATAGCTCTCCTGAAAAATACAGGTTATGTGTACATTTCTAGAATCTTGGGTCCCTACAGGATAATTTTCTGTTCAGCAGGTATCATTTTTGACATCATTATTGGAAAAAGGCAGAGTGGCCAGGCTTTTTTATTTTTCCCTATAATTGCAAATTGTGAGTCTTGAATTCCCTTAACTAACAGAAAACAGGTTGAATGGGTAAGTTATCAGATGATCTAAAAGGCAATGCTTAACAGCTAATCAATTTGTAAGAGCCTTAAATAAATAAACAGGTTACATGTTATCAATTTGTGTCACTGACCATTTTACCATGATTGAGCAAATAGCTTTTCAATATTTGTTGAATGTCAGAATCCTACAATGTTATTATGATGCCATAAAGGGTATCTACCTTGTTACTATGATGTCATAAAGGGTGTTATGGCATCATAATGGGTACCTACCATGTTATTATGATGTCATAAAGGATACCTACCATGTTATGGTGTCACAATGGGTACCTACCATGTTGTTATGATTCCATGAAGGGCCTCTAGAACTTGGCTGGCAGTGAGCCTTTCTTTGGGGTCCAATACCAAGAGCTGTTTAATGAGGCCACTGGTACTGTCCTGTACCCCCCTAGAAATAGTTCACAATATGGTAGGACATGTTAATAATAAAAACTTATATTTGCAATGACTTAACTGACTTTTTCTATACTAATCTCAAAAATTCAATGGTAATTAGAGGAATCTTAAATTTCTGAAATCAATAAAGCTAGCACTATTTCATAGTTTTTTAAAAATATTACAGCATTTCATATTTTTCAACTAGATTTAAGTAACCCAATGTTTACTTACAAGGGTGGTATTGTAAAGTCTGCTGTCTTGATCTTCTTAAATAGTTTGATGGGATCACTGTCATAGAAGGGAAACTGGCCATACAGCATGGTGAACAGAACAACTCCCAGGGCCCACATATCACTGGGCTTGCCTAAGTAAGGTTTACCTGAATATAGAAGTTATATTATATTGAACAGTGTGGCGGGGTAACTGTCATAGAAAGGATAAAGTTTTGCACATCTACAAGTAAGTAAGTGTAAATAAGCACAATGGGCAACATTATGTACTGAAACAGCCCTTATGGACCATTTAAGGTTGTACCTACCACTCAGTACATCTGGACTGATGTATGCTGGACTCCCACGTTGATCTTTCAAAGGATCATCTTCACAGACGAGATGTTTGCCAAGGCAGAAGTTGGTAATTGTCACACGTAGGCTGCGTTTATTCAGCATCATATTACCAAGCTTCAGATCTCGGTGGACAATATTTTTCTGAAAATAATGAAATATATTTTGTACTAGGCCTAGTCTTAAACTCTTTCTATTTTGGACTCATGTGACAACCAATTGGTGAAAAAGACAATGAAATTGGAATCTGTTCTAAAATACACTGTATATGATATCTTGCTTACAATAATACATGTTTTCTCCTACATGAATCAAAATTACTAGATTAAAGTATAATATATTACAAAGCAATACTTTTATGTCCAAACCAGTTTTTTATCTCTTCTCAGAACAAGTATCAAATCAGGCAAGTAAATAACAGAGAAGGTGTCCAAATAATGTAATGAAATTGTGCAAAAAGGAACCTGTTTTGTTTAAGGATTTAAGCCCTGGACTCAATGCATTGTTTGCTGAATCATACCATGAAGGTGTTGTTTCCAAATCTTTGCATGACCCCGCAGCGGGAATGCAAACAACGTGCCTGAGTGGAATGAAGCAGCTACAATGCATTGAGTCTTGGTCTTAAATTCTTTTCACACATTGCAAAATATTTTCTACAAAATCATCTAAAAGAAACAAAATCACAAAAGAACACATTTTCAATAAAATTTTGGCAAGTTATCAAATCCAATGTGAAAAGTCCTTTCATCACCATGAAAAGTGTGACCTTGAGTGTGTTATTGATAATTTTATGCACTGCTGTCATGTGAAATACTGTGTTCGGATTGGCTGGAATCAAACCCCCCTTGCTTAGCTCTACATGAATTCAGATTTAATCCACAGCCCATCTACCATCAAAATCAATTTCATTTTTCTACAAAATAAATATCAATTTGGACGCCATTAGATGCCCCTTAAACAGAACTGACTAATATTATGTTTGTACCTTGTGCAGATTCTCTACAACTCTGACGATGTCGTAGAATATTATTACAGCCTCTCTTTCAGTTAACTTTTTCTCTTTTATGACGTAATGTTGTAAATTCACCAAGTCCTTGTTTTTATCGCTGAACTCATGAGGTACTAAGCAGTCAAGGACCAATACAATTCTCTTTTTAAAATGTTGATGTGTGGCTCCTATGGAAGGTGAAAGGTTGGATGGTGGTGTGTGACTAGATGAATGACTAGATGATGGTATCGATTGGCTTGAAGAGTGTATTGATTGATTTGGTGATTGCATTGATTGGCTTGAAGGGTGTATTGATTGATTTGGTGATTGCATTGATTGGCTTGAAGAGTGTATTGATTGATTTGACGAGTGTATTGATTGGGTGGGTGATTGTATTGCTTGACTTGGTAACTTCATCGTTTGATTTGATGACAATAATTGTTCATTTTGGCTTTTGCTCATGTTTGATACAGTCACACTTCTAGAGAGTGCCGACCTTGTTGTTTTTGGTTCACATGAATCATCCCTTGACCTTAAATAAGATGTCCTGGCTATTGAGACTTTCCCACCAGTTGTTGAACAATTGCTAATTGTATCTGATGATGTAACTGAATCAACAGAAGTCGTAGATTCAGAGGAAGCCGTACGGCTCACAACAGCTCTCTTGACGAGCCTGCCACTTGATGATGTCACACTGCGACTTTCAGATGATGCAGTCCGTGTTCTAGAGCTTAATTTAGATGCTGATTTTGTTGTTTTTGAAGATTTATGTGAAGTTTTTATGACAACTCTGTCTTCTGCAGCTAAATCCTGAAAACATTTTTTAACATGTTCAATTTTAAAGCAATATATGAATAAATAGTGGGTCATTTTGCAAGAAAAAAGGCAATAAAAAAGTTAAAAAATATCTCAACGATTTTTGGGTTTCAGAGAATACATAGGTTAGAATAACTGTAATCTAATAGATAAGAAAAGGCAAATGTGTTATGAACTACAGTAGAACCTGTAATTCTGAACACCTGGCTAATCCGAACACCTTCCAATTTGAACACTTTTTTTCGGTCCCATTTTTTCCTTCCATTGACTCTCAGGTTAAAAAAACTTGAAATCTGAACACCTCCTAATCTGAACAGTGAACAACCAGGTTTGAAAAACTGACCTGTCTAATCTGAACATTTTTATCAGAAATCAAATGTCTGGACATTTCAACAATAGCCACATACTGAGTCAATGTTCTAGTTGTTATTTATCTTTACATATACAATGTAATCAAAGCACCAATATTGTCCTAATTAAATTATTTAGTCTCAGACACATCCCTAATTTGTGGAAAACAACAGGATGTTTTGGAAAGGTGTGAATACAGGCGTTAATTGGTTTATCCTATTACAAAAGAACTGAATGTTTTATGTTTGGATTAAGAAGATACTTGATTTATCATTATTACAAATTACCTGGATGTTTTTGATTTGGATTAAGAGAAAGGTGAGAATCAAGGAGATAATTGGGTTATCCTTATTGTAAATGAACTGGATGTTTTTGATTTGGATTATGAACAGGTTCTTACTGTTTTATATCCCACGGGTCTGTTATGATAGCTAAGATTCAATCAGTAAATGTTTTATAATCACAAAGATAACACAGACACATTTGCAGACAAGATTGTATCACGAGAAAGAGAAAAAATTCAACCATAATATAAGTCATTTGATTAGCATAAGATTTCGTATGAGACTATCATATACTTCTACAGTGTATTACAAAGTTTTTGCCAAAATATAGAGTTATTTTTCCTAAAATAATGAAGTTGTTCAAAATGTAAATAAAACATAGCATATAGGCTATAGGCATATTGTAGAATGAACACATCAACAACATGTATTGTTTTCTGACTAGGTATTAAGTGTTCAATATAGTGTACTGAACAATGAAAATCCCCCCCCCCCCCCCCCCCGACCAACAAAATGAACGCTTTTGGCTGGTCCCATGGGTGTTCGGATTAGACAGGTTTTACTGTACATAAATGTACTAAATCACTTTGAATTATCAAACTACGTGCAGTGAGTTCTTGTTATCAAGGGCCTAAAACTTGTTTACTTCAAAATACTTGCCCTTACTACATGTTTGTTTGAATGTTAAATACATTACAGATAAAGTAATTCTTAACTTTCATTTTGGAGCAGATATTAACAAGAGATCATCCAGACAGGAAAAGGTAAATTTTGCTATTACAGAACAATATTTGATAACATAGTTGACTGATGTACGAGGGGTGATCCAAAAGTCTTGGACGCCACGCTCTAACTTTGCTACTTTCTAATATAATTACATGAAACTTTCAGATAATAAAGATCAACATCTTAACAACTTTGTGTATAAGTTTCAACAGAAAATAATATATTTTAGCTACTTTTCTAAATAGTTTTTAATACCGGGTCGCAGCCACCCGGAACGGTATTTGAATATAGTAAATCATGTCACAACTGTTATAATATGGCAAATACTTTAGGTGCAGGTGCATAACCTAACACCATTCATGATATGAGAGAATTTCCGATTTTCAATCTGAGTGTCATCTACCATCATCATTTTCACGTATTAAGACCTACTTTTCAACATATTTTCCACGAATTTGAACACATTTTTCATACCACTTTACCAATGAATGAAAGACATTTATGAAACCGCCATTGCTTATGTGATACAAATGCTGCTGGAGTGCCAGTCTAAACCTCATCCAATGAGTAAAAAACATTTTCTTCCAACCCTTCTTTCAACTTCAGAAATGGAAGAAAATCGCACAGAGCCATATCTAGACTATATCGTGCATATGGTAGCTGCTCAAGGTCAATAAAAGTGAGAATATCTTGTAGTATACTTTGTTCCACTTTGATTTCTTTCATGTTCTCCATTTCAGCAGCCATCTTTGAGCAAAAATAATACCAGAATGAGGGTTGCTTGTCTGATGTCATTTTCTTAGAATTTGACATATACAGCCATTGTCATATATGCCATGATATTCAAAACACAATTAATTGATTGCCTAATAACAAAGGAAGTAAACTAACATGGTTTAACATTCAAAATTCAAAGAAAGATAGTGGTCAAGACTTGTGAAACAAGTGAAATGGCGGGAACATTTAAGGCTGAAAGTTGTCATGTGCGTATACCGTTCCGGGTGGCAGGGTCCCTACATTAAAAACTATCTAGAAAACTACATCAAATATATAATTTCTCCATGAAATTAACACACAAAGTAGTTTGGTTGTTGGTCTTTATTATTGGAAAGTTTAAAGTAATTTTATCAAAAACCAACAAAATTAGAGCAGGGCGTTCAAGACTTTTGGATCACCCCTCGTAAATGAAATTTAGGATAATCATCCAGGGATATTTCCAATAATTCATTAATTTGGTGTTTGGTCTTCAACCATCCAAATACTGTCCTCCTAGAATTGCCATCTTTGATTGGTATATTTTGCTTTTACATACATTAGTGCACAACATGTAGCGTGATCATGAAAGGGCAATAGCCAACATCATAAAACTGATGTCCCTCAAACATACATTTATCAATATGGACATATGCAACAAATAACATAAAAAACAGAATTCTGATCCTTACTTGCTCTTATCAAGGAATACTTATTATTAATTGAAAAATTTCAGGAAATTATGGAGTACATAGAAGTAGCCGATTCTGTCATTCAACCAATCAAGGAACCAGTAAAGAAAAGCTATATCCATGTGGCCACATCAAACCAACCAATCACAGCCAACACGATGTATGACTACATGAGAGAACTTAAGGATTCTGAACAGGAAGCTTTTGTATTTATGAATGATGATGCGAATCGTCATGGGAGCATCACATTCAAAAGATGGGTGGCTCTATCAGAAAACCTGGCTGTATCGTTAGTAGAAATGGGTGTGAAGCCTCAAGATAAAGTTGGTGTGATCATTCCAAATTGTGAGGAGATCGTAATCACTATCGGTGGATTACTACACTGTGCAGCGTTACCAGTTCTTCTGACATATGATCTAAAGAGCGGGAAGGACATACTAACGAAAATCAAAGATACCGCCATAAATGTCATTGTTGTCTATGTGGCTGGAAGAGATCAACAGGCACTGGTGGAGAAACTGTTCAAGAAAATTCTCGCTGGTAATATCGATCAAGACATTCCAAGCTTAAATCAAGTAATTATGATCGCTGATGATGTACCCAAAGGTGCAATCGATTTCAACAACCTGCTGAATGAGAAATCTGATGATGAAAAGAAGAACATGCTGTTGTGTAACGAGAATATTTCAATGGATGATCCATGCTGGATTAATCTTACATCAGGAAGCACTGGTAAACCAAAGTATTGTCCTCTTACCCATAAGATGATTATCAATGGAGTTAAAAGCATAGCACAAAGATGCAATAGTCAAGCAGGGGATATTTTGTTTAATGATCGTCCTATGTCTTGGAATGTGGGAACCCTTGCATTTGGACAAGCTCTAGCAACTCAACTTACAGTTGTTACAATTGATGCCAAGCAGACCGTAAAGAAACCAGGACCTGAGAAAATCCTACGGTGTATTGCGAAAGAGAGGATAACTGATGCGCTCCTCGTGCCTTATATCCTGTATGACATCATGAATATGGAGTCGAAACAACGGGAGGAATATGACATATCCTCCCTGGTGAATATTATGACATTAGGCCAAAAGGTTGATCCAACATTTATTGAGAATGTCAAATCTACACTTGGAACAGGCGTCACTATCATGTATGGTTCAACAGAGGCTGGGCTGATTTCAATGATTTTTCCAAGAGGTGACTTCAGGAAACAACATCTTACTATTGGCTATGGGGGGCCTCATGTTGAAATCAGCATCCGAGATGAGAAAAATCAACTAGTTCCAGTCAATGTAGAGGGTGAAATATGCGCCAGAGGCCCAAATATTTTTCTGGGTTATCTGAATAACGAAGAGAAAACCAAAGAAGTTATCGATGAAAAGGGTTGGTTTCATACTGGAGATATTGGAACTCTAACACCATATGGTTACGTCACAATTGTTGGTCGAATCAAAGAATTCATCAAACGAGGCACAGTAATTGTACACCCTAGTGCAATAGAGCATATACTAATGGAAAACCCAAGCATTCATGAGGTATATGTGGTTGGCGTCCCAGATCCTCGGCTATATGAGGAACTTTGTGCATGTATTAAGCTCAAAGATGGACATTCACTGAGCGAGATTAAGATGAAAGAATGGTGCGATGAAATCTTTGGTGATTTCACAGCAGATGGGTTGAAAAATGCACCTAAATATTTCCTCATGCTTGATGTGATCCCAACACTGGCAAATGGCAAAACGGATCGTCTTTCTTTGAAGAAAATGGCAGCAAACAGATATGGACAATAAAAAATATATGATACAGATTTAACTAAATTTCATGAATCTTCAAAATTCATGATTTGACTTAAACTATACAAATGACATCCCACAAGAAATGACTGTAACTTGTAAATCTGCTTCAAATATTATTTCAAAATTGATAAGGGATAATTAGAAATTAAAATGAGTAATTTTGGTTTCTAATTCCACATGTACATGTAACAATGCTAAAACCAATACCTTAAACAAGCCGTGGTGATGGACCACACCTCCCTGATTATGCAGTAGAGACAGGAGAGAGTACTCAGTGTGCAGCAGCATCTTTCCCTGTTTATCATCCTGCGACTCTCGATCTGAATTCTCCATGGTGAGGATCTATAACACATGGACAAAATAATGAAACTGTGAGTAATAAATAAGGTAAATGTCTGTCTTCATTTTGTAAATTTTGAATATTTGCCAATTTAAACAGTCGTCAAAGCTGCTGATTTATAACTTATCAAAATACCCTCTCATTTTCTCATTTCTCATACCTTCTCAGTTTTATTTGATTGATTATATGCTATAATCTGTTTGCTGTCTTTGTTGTATATACAACAAAGACATTTAGCTACAAAAATAGACTATATTGTTTTAAGGTGTTTTAATTCAACTGAAGATAAATTGTCAAGGAAATTATTATTTTTAAATAAGTCATTTTGAATGATCATATTTGTTGGTAGGTTTTCTTCATCTACTCATAGATACTTAAGGTAGGTGAAATAAAATGGGTAATCCAATATAATATCAAAACATAACCACAGCAGGACATTACCTTTAACATATAGAAATCATCTGTGCCTATCTTTCTCCCCAAACACTGTACAATACTGCTTACTGGTGACTGGCTGATCCGGGGGCCTAAAACATAAGTACCATATATAAGTTATAGAATCAATGGGAAGAAGGTCAAAGGAGATAAGGTACATGCAAAAGTCTCCAAAAGTTTGTATCAGATTTTGTATCTTTTCTCTAAATGGTGTCATTGTCCATTGATACATTGTATAAGGCATGTGAAATGAGAAGGTAAAACAGTCGAAAAATAAGGGATAAGCTATATGAATACACTTTCTAGACCCCATAAACTGCTTGTGCAAACAATGTATATGTACATTAATGATAATTTGAATTAATCAGAGTTTCATGAATAAGAGACTCAGAATTGGAAAATTAGTATTTGTGTATATAAGTAATTGAAATAAATTAATCAATATATCTTGAAATTTCATCACTGTTAATTTATGTTGTTTGAAATCAATGAAAATATATTTTGTGGTTAACAGCCATATCTAACAAACACTAACCTATCAAATAAGGTCCTGCCATCTTTACTCCAGCTACATTGTCAATCCTTTCGCGTTTATAACTCACTGAAGTAAGACTTTCCCCAGATGGTGTCCGCCTCTTCATTTTTCTTGTTTAGTGATTCGGAAATTCTATAAAATATGTACAGAGCCATTAAATATAAGTGTCTTTGGTACATCATGTACAATTGTTAATTGTTCCATAGTTTTCTAGGTTCAAAGTTCAAAAGTTTTTTTCAGTTTGATTCAAATTAGATCCTCTATCAATATCAAACTGAATGGAGAATGTGGATAAAATGACCAAAAAGACCAATATAAGTTTTCATCTTTGCAACTCTTATAGGCAAGCTGGGAATAATTCACTTGAAATATATTACAAAGCCATCTTCTGTTAGTTATCTAACATCAGCCTGTGCCAAAGTCTATTGTAATGTGAGATAACTTCAACAGCTTCCCTAACTTTTATGGGGGTAACTAATATACCCCCACCTTGTCATCAAAGATATACATAGTAATATCACTGTCATGGTTATCAGTCAACATTTAAACATGGAAAACAGCAACTCTACTACTGCTACTCTGGAAGAATTATAGATGGGACTCCCCTAGCTGTGATGAGTTGGACCAACAGAGTTTTGACTGACATGTACTGGGTCCATCCTATGTCACTCAGATAAAGAGCCTACATGTGTGTCTATGCAGCTAGGATTAGTATTACTGCTCACTTTGGGTAATATGCATCCACAATGATGTTAGAGACTGGACAAGAATGACAACTTTATCCGATTCTAGAACTTGTATTGTCCTGCAACCAGATATGCATTGGCACCTTTAAAATTTCACAGTTGTGTTCCTTGCCTAAGCCTAGGCTGCCTAGCCTTAATTTCAAAGGCTGCCTGACTGGTCTCATAGAACAGCCTCTGCTCGTATTCAATGGACCACTAGAGAATCGTGACGGCTGAAACTAAAATACTGAGTTCAGCTGCTTACTTTATATCTCCAAATGTCCCTACATCTCCATCCTCTGTTTGCGAATGTCTGTAAGTTATATCAGCTGCATCTGTGTCAATCAGGACTTGTCTTTATCCGTGAGCGGACATTTTCTAGTGAAAAATCAAAATGGTGGTTTTGACAGAAATTCACGAAGAAGCGTTCACTTTGATTAAACACAAGAGAGTGCTATGCTACGATGTTCCTGCTTGCCTTTCAACTCACTCGGTCAGTTTGTCATGTTGGTACCAACCTTTACATTCTTCGATGGTTTGAACACCACTATAGCCAGAGCGGTCGACCTTTAAGCGCTACCTGCTGTACGCACTACTCTGCCCTTGTTGGTAAAGGGATGGTGAACAAACCCTCGATGAATGTATTAGCAATTGTCAAATAAGTCGTTGGTTAATGTTGTCTCCCCTTTGCCCATTTGTCATTTCTCCTCAGCCAGAGCCAGCGGGAGGCTTCCTCTGCTGCAGATCCAACTGCTCTGTTCGCTCTCTTGAGCCATGAGGGTGGGAGTCCTACATTTTTGAACATTCGGTTGAGAGATGTTGATGGAAATCCTCTACAACCTACTTCAACGGGATAGTAATGAACTTTCCACCCTTTGGCCTCTATCTCCTCAACCAGATCTTGGTACTTAGCGCTTTTGAGTTGGTGTGCTACCTCAATTCGATCTTCCCAAGGTACTGTCAGTTCTATCATGACAGCAATTCTTTTATCCTCTGAGAATAAAAGCATATCTGGTCTTTGGTTTGTTGTCGTGATACTGCTGGGAAATGTGAGTCTTTGGTGTAGATCTACTCTCAGCTCCCAGTCCTGTGCTTGTTGTAAGATGCCATATCTTCCTCGAGAGGTGTGCCTGCTACCGCTAGGCAAAACCTTCCCTTTAGGATTTGCGTTGGCACCCACAAAATGTTTCTCTAAGGGTTGCAACATATCTGCCCTTGGTCCTGGTGTTACAGTTGCATTCGTTTTGTTCATGATCCGTGATTGGTCCACCCAGTGAGAAATCTTTTGAAGAACTTTGTCATGCCTCCATGTGTACCTTCCTTCTGCAAGTGCAGCCTTGCACGAACTCAGGATGTGTTGGATGTTACTTCTCAGAGCTCCACAGTGGATACATGATGCATCTTCATTAAGACCCCAGGTAGTGAGATTGGCAGGAGATGGTAAAAGATCAGATATTGCTCTTAATAAGAAGCTTATCTTGCCCTGCTCCATATCCCATATGTCTTTCCATGAGAGCTGTCGATCGAGTGTAGACTCCCAGTGGGTCCATGCACCTTGTTTGACTAATTGTGCTAACCTCACCTGTCTACCCTCTTCCTCTGATTGCCTTATCTGCTGTACTACAAGCTTCCTTCTTGTCTCTGTGTTGGCATCTTTCCACCTGGATGTGCCATAGTTTCCAAGGCCCATCCTACCTTTGCAAACGACACCTACTATGTCCTTATGACGGAGTTGGCTTTCAGCAATACCGATTGCCTGTTGAGGATTCCATCCCCTCCCGCTCGATATTGTTTCTCCCGAGCTAGTAACTTTATTGTCCTTTGAAGAGCGTAGAGTGGTTACTGCTCTTACTTTGGCTGCTTTGTACTCTTCAAGTACTGAAGTTACCGGGAGGCTGAGCTTGGGAGATTTACTGAATAGAATACCTCTGCTGAATGAAGGTGGTACACCTAGCCATTTCCTAAGGAACCTTGATGACATTCTCTCCATTTGCTCAACCTTGCCCATAGGGAAGTCATAAAGCAGAAACGGCCATTGTAGTCTTGAGATAATTCCATGCTGGAACGCCCATGCCTTGAACTTGCCCTGGAGCTGGCATTTGTCAATCGCTCCGAGCCATCTCTTGAGCTCACACACAACATTGTTCGTATTGTTGATGTCGTTCAAGGAATCATCATAGTGTTTACCGAGGCATTTAATGGGCTGTTCACTGACAGTAGGAATTCTCTCTCCCTGGATAGTGAATGTGTTCGATTCTACTTTCCCCTTGATGATAACGAGGCTTCTGGATTTAGCTGGTTTGAACTTCATCCTAGCCCAGGTGGCCATTTTATCAAGCCCCTGTAACACCCATCTTGTTCCAGTCATAGTTGGTGTCATGACAGTTATGTCATCCATGAATGCTCGACAAGGAGGATGGCGTTCTCCTGAGTCTGCAACTGGGCCTCTACATTCTTTCTCTGCCGCAGTGAGGATGACATTCATGGCTGCCACAAATAGCACCACTGAGACTGTGCACCCAGCCATTATGCCCTTCTCTAGCCTTTGCCATTTGGTGGTATAGTCTTCTACTGTAAACCGCATCTTAAGAGTGTCAAAATGATGCATGAGGAGACTGATGACTTCATCTGGGACATGATAGTGGGTCAGTGCTGTCTTTATAAGCTGGTGTGGGACACTCGGATAGGCCTTGGCTAGGTCAAGCCAAACGACTGCTAGGGTTTTCCTCCGTTGTTTTGCTTCTTTAATCAGTTGTGTGATGGCTGCAGTGTGTTCTAAACAGCCAGAGTAACCAGGTATTCCTCCCTTCTGGACACTTGGGTTAAGATATTTATTCTCCAGTAAGAAAGATGTCAGTCTTCTGGCGATGACTGTCCAAAATATCTTACCCTCTACATCCAGCAGTGAGATTTCCCTGAACTGGTCTAGTTTCACTGAGTTTTCCTCTTTCGGTACAAAACAGCCTTCTGCTAATGCCCATGCTTTTGGAATGGTTTTGTTTCTCCAAATAGACTTAATGAGCTTGCTGAGTCTTTGTAGTAGCTTTGGACAGTTCTTGTACACTTTGTATGTGTTCCCTGATGGTCCTGGGGCTGCCGATGATCGGGCATGTTGCACTATCTGTCGTATCTCCTCCATCTTGATGTCACCTAGGTCAAATGCAATCTTCGGAGGTGGCTCAGGAATAGGTAAAGGACATTCCTCTAATGGAGTTGCTCTCTCAGGATCACTGTGAGCAGCTCGAACACTTTCCTCGACATCCTCCTTTGGGCATTGTAATTTCCCACCTTTAGGTTTCCCAAGTAAGTTGGATGTATACTGGAATGGATTCTTGAGAAAAGATTTTCGAGCTCTCTTCTTTTCTCTCTGCTTTTTCCTGAGGTTCTCTGCTCTTCTAAGAACTGAAAGCTGCTTCCTGAGGCTGTCTCTTAGATCTTCCAGTGCCGGTTTTTCAAAGTCAGGGGCATGCTTCCATCTCCATGTGAGCCTTCTCATATCTCTTCTTAGTGCAGCTATTCTCTTCTGTCTCCTGCTAGGTCCAGCTTTACCCTCTTTCTTGCTGTTTGCTCTCTTCTCCTGGAATCGTTCTGCACACATGGCGTACACTTGTCTTGTCATTGATTCCATCTTCTTACCAGCTGTCCCTTTCAAGGAGTTCTCAAGTACATCATCCATCTCGTCATCAAGTTCTTTCCAAACTTTGTCTGTTGTTGCAGGCAAGCGCAGTCTTGGCTTCCTTTCGAGAACTGGGCCATCATTCTCTTCTCTACCAACTTGAGGTGGGTCAGGTTCAGGAGAAACTTGGAGGTCTTGAACACTGTGGTTTAAGTCCTGGTTCAAATCCTCCTGTGTTTTACGGACAGGAGACTCCTTCCTACACTGTTTCTGCTTCTCATGACACTTCATCTTTCCCTTGTGTATTGCTACTCCTCGGATGTTCTTGAAAAGTCCACCACAACTGTCACATCTTGCCCTTGGCTCTACTTGTGTTGTAATCGTCTTCCTTCTCGTTGTCCGGGTCACATTGCTTTGGTCAGTTTCCGTTAAATCTGTCCGATTTGGTGGATCATCCTCCCCCGAGTCTCCTCCCACCTGGGGGTGTTTTCCTTTAGTTCTAGTCGTAGCAATTCTGTTTTAGGTGTGTCGGGGAGCTGGCCCTAACACCTGGTTTGCTGTCTCTCCAGCTGTCACTGCTCTTTCGCAGACGTCATAGGGACTTTCCCCTCGGTCACTGGCACTGCCAGAGTTAACTTTGATTAAACACAAGAGAGTGCTATGCTACGATGTTCCTGCTTGCCTTTCAACTCACTCGGTCAGTTTGTCATGTTGGTACCAACCTTTACATTCTTCGATGGTTTGAACACCACTATAGCCAGAGCGGTCGACCTTTAAGCGCTACCTGCTGTACGCACTACTCTGCCCTTGTTGGTAAAGGGATGGTGAACAAACCCTCGATGAATGTATTAGCAATTGTCAAATAAGTCGTTGGTTAATGTTGTCTCCCCTTTGCCCATTTGTCATTTCTCCTCAGCCAGAGCCAGCGGGAGGCTTCCTCTGCTGCAGATCCAACTGCTCTGTTCGCTCTCTTGAGCCATGAGGGTGGGAGTCCTACATTTTTGAACATTCGGTTGAGAGATGTTGATGGAAATCCTCTACAACCTACTTCAACGGGATAGTAATGAACTTTCCACCCTTTGGCCTCTATCTCCTCAACCAGATCTTGGTACTTAGCGCTTTTGAGTTGGTGTGCTACCTCAATTCGATCTTCCCAAGGTACTGTCAGTTCTATCATGACAGCAATTCTTTTATCCTCTGAGAATAAAAGCATATCTGGTCTTTGGTTTGTTGTCGTGATACTGCTGGGAAATGTGAGTCTTTGGTGTAGATCTACTCTCAGCTCCCAGTCCTGTGCTTGTTGTAAGATGCCATATCTTCCTCGAGAGGTGTGCCTGCTACCGCTAGGCAAAACCTTCCCTTTAGGATTTGCGTTGGCACCCACAAAATGTTTCTCTAAGGGTTGCAACATATCTGCCCTTGGTCCTGGTGTTACAGTTGCATTCGTTTTGTTCATGATCCGTGATTGGTCCACCCAGTGAGAAATCTTTTGAAGAACTTTGTCATGCCTCCATGTGTACCTTCCTTCTGCAAGTGCAGCCTTGCACGAACTCAGGATGTGTTGGATGTTACTTCTCAGAGCTCCACAGTGGATACATGATGCATCTTCATTAAGACCCCAGGTAGTGAGATTGGCAGGAGATGGTAAAAGATCAGATATTGCTCTTAATAAGAAGCTTATCTTGCCCTGCTCCATATCCCATATGTCTTTCCATGAGAGCTGTCGATCGAGTGTAGACTCCCAGTGGGTCCATGCACCTTGTTTGACTAATTGTGCTAACCTCACCTGTCTACCCTCTTCCTCTGATTGCCTTATCTGCTGTACTACAAGCTTCCTTCTTGTCTCTGTGTTGGCATCTTTCCACCTGGATGTGCCATAGTTTCCAAGGCCCATCCTACCTTTGCAAACGACACCTACTATGTCCTTATGACGGAGTTGGCTTTCAGCAATACCGATTGCCTGTTGAGGATTCCATCCCCTCCCGCTCGATATTGTTTCTCCCGAGCTAGTAACTTTATTGTCCTTTGAAGACAAAATCTCTGTAGATTTCCAAATGTTTAAAAATGGCTGAACTTCCGGTAGCTCTCATGCAGAAACCACTGGAGACATAGGCCCAGAAACATGTATAAAAAGATCGAGTTGGATACATGAAGTAGACTTTTTTGAAGTAGGCTAGATCTTTTTTATACATGTTCCCGGGCCTATGACCGGAGATTTCAAACGCTACTTCAGTTTCAGTCATCATGATTCTCTAGGTGCCTCAATTGAGTACAAAAGCTGTTCTATCAGATTAGCAAGGCTTTGAAAGAAGTAAGCTTAGCCTAGGCCTACATCCTACAAGAACAAGTGTCTAGCCTACAATAACAATTTTGGTTTTTTGACACAAACTAGATCTAGATTACTTCCTGCGAAAGCTATTGGATTTTGATATAATAGCTTTCCCATGGAGCATTTGGACAGCTCAATGATCGTGACATTTTCGTAAATCTCCGGAGGTTGTCCGAACCTAACTAATTCTCAGAATTCATTTCGTTCGTTGCGTATCTCGCTCCTAGCAAACCACCATATTGGAAATAGGTCTAAAAAATGTTCACTCGATGAACAATTTACAAGTCTTGATCGAAAAAGAAGTACTCCAGCGCTCCAATACTTACACGGATTGATGATACTGATGTAAGACACAGTTAGAGACCAAAAGTAAGCCGCGGATCGACTTAATTCGATTTCAAAGGTCACTATTGATGAGCTGTTCACTTCTCCGTTTGAGAGCCATAAGTTTCAAAATCTAACATGGCTCTCGAAGTGAGTAAGATCTAGACTAATGCCACCCCCCCCCCTATTGACAGAATAGATTGGACCACTTAGTCCACTTACTTTTAACCCCAGCAGTGATAGCAAACTTTTACTTAAAAATGAAATCAATCATTTCAACTTAGGTAAGACTTCATAAAATACACGAAACAATAATAAATGAAAATGTTTTGATATTTTTCTTACCGGAAGGAAACAGAAATGACGCATGCGCACAACATTTGTGAAAAATGTCCCTGAAAACTTTTTCAAAGTTGGCTGCATTTAGACGTTTTCCAGGTAATTTTGAACAGTTATAAATATATGAGAATGAATGAATGAATGAATTTATTACACGTACTTTATATACGTTTACTATAATAAAGTTTGTAAGCGATGCAGTTTTGCGCACTCCCAAATATCTTGACTTGAAGGCTATTTTGGGCGATAATTGATTTTTTCCAATGTTCCATGTTCGAATTCGAACGATTTGGAAAGTGACAGCATCTTTTCTATTCAATCGAGGTTGGGTCATGTAGCCGAAGGTAAGCCATATAGCCGAAGGTAAGCCATACAGGCGAAGATAAGCCATACAACTGAAATTTGCAGATTCAATCTGACGGAGAATGCCGAGCCTCTCTTTTTGACCAATTAGAGACGTCCTCTTCACATTCGTGGTACACTCGGCCAATTTAGTTTGCAAAGAAAATCTTCGGCTTTTCTTGAGGTATCTTCGGTTGCAAGCCAAAAGTCGACACCCGATGTCAACTCAAAATTACCTTGGGTTGTGATCGGTCGATGCAAAAATTGATACTATTTGATTGGCGAATGAACTTGCCCTTGATTGGATAATTGAGTTGCAGTATACGAAAAATTGAGTTGATGGGTAAGAAAAAATGAAAATGACAGTTCTCAACATTCAGAAATGTCAATTTAAAATTACCAACAGTTGCGATCAGTCGATCCAAAAATTGATGTGATTTGATTAGTGAATGAACTGGCCCTCGATTGGATAATTGAGTTGACGTGTACTAAAAATTTGGTTGGTAGGTAATGAAAGTGACAGTGCTCTAAAATGAGATGACTGGTTACAGAGAATGAGAAATGGAACAAGCTACCTGGTGATATTTTAGACTGACAGTCTTAAGTAGTTTTAAATCATCATATCATCAAATCATCAATAACTGCAATTAAAAAGGTGTGTTTTAAATATACATGTCTAATTTATAATAATAATTTCATAATCTAATTTACCCACATCGCTCAACTCATTATTTTAATGCAAAGGGCCCCCAGTGCACAGCTACAACCCTGCACTACTGGTAAACAGTGGCAATGTCAATGCAGTAGCCTGGCGGTCACTGTTAAATTATATATTTGCTGTATATGGGCTTATTAGCCTTTTTTAGCCTTTTGCAGATTATTGACATAGACATAGACACCACCAGTGTATCTTATTCATCCAATTTTTAAATGTGTTTAAACCAAACCATAGATCTATTTTTAAATGCTAAGGTTTTTAAATTCTATTCAAATTCTATCACTGTTAAATTATATATCTGCTTCAAATGGGCTTATTAGCCTTTTGTGGATTATTGATACAGACATAGATTACAGGTACGAAAAACAGAGTTGATTGGTGATAGAAAATGAACACATGGGTGCATTCTTTTAGTAGAAAGTCCATGGGTTGCATGGCATGGGATAAATATCATTTTTTTCCCTTATGCTATCAAGTAGACTTCAAATGATGACAAACATTTCAGAATTAAATTTTGCATCATTTATATATTTAAGGAATAAATAATGACACTCTTTGAGACAGAATGTCAGTACAAATGCACTCACCTTCCGTTTGTGCAGTTTGTACGACATTATGTCCAACTCGTGCTGAATTTCACCATATTGAATGGCCTATCATTATTTATTCTGATTCGAACATAAAAATGAAAACATTGTTTAGAGAATTGGAGATTGGGGTCCATAAAATAACCAAACTTGCTGTTATTTTCGCCATTCATAGGTGTGACGTCACAATATATGAATAATAGTGATATCTGGATGATTGAATAGAGCACAGTCGTGCATGTATGGAGAAATAGAGAACTTAATTATTGGCTATGCTGCATTCTGATTGGTTGAGAAATTCCCTTTCCAGCATGTACAACATCAATACCCTGCAGATTCTCAAACACTCTCAGCAAAGAAATAGTGGAAAAACACAGGAAAAGTGGACTGAACAGAGACCAAGAAGAGATAGAAGAGTATAAAGGACCCATAGATGCAACAAGAGAATACAAGTAAGTATGATGCATAAAATAACTCAAAGAATGATTGATGCATTAACAATAGAGATCAGCTAGGTTATTAATTACATTTGTGTTAATCTGAATGCAAAATAAAATCTAGATATAAGAAATCTAAAACTGATATCAATGTTTTGCTAAAAAATAATAGAAGCCCTGTCATAATCAGATTAATTGTATATAGCCGCTGGAGCTGAGGTTTCATATCATTCTTTAGACTAAGGAATTCTTTTCCAGGTGCCACTAATGTCTAATGTAAGGAATATTTATATTAATTGCATTTATTCCTGTTTTTTTTATTGCACCCTTGGTTGCTATAAAAATGATCATGATTTCATTTATTCCAGGCATGTCATGCCAGAGTTTCTTCCCTCTTCAACATGGTATTTCCGGGATCGCCTAAAAGACAAGTTAGAGAGATATGACATGGTGAAGAGACGAAGTCAGATTGATATACCAGAGTTCTATGTTGGTAAGAAATATGCCTTATGTGGCTTACAGAAGCTATTGCCATAGTAATTAGGTTAGAGATCATTCTTTTAATGATTTGCGTAACTTTGTCAAAAACACTCATCTTTGCAAGGGATATTTTTATCCCACCCCAATGGTTTTATCCCACCCCCTCTGTCTGTCGCTGTGCTCCCTCAGTCAATATCATATTACCCTTCGGTCAATATCATATTGTCCCTTGGACTAAAACCCATATTCAATCTGTATAACCTGTATGTATTGTTCACATTTATATCTTATTTTAGTCCAATATTATAATACTGAGTTAATTTCACATTGTTCTCCATTGTCACGGAAGCGCTCTAAGTGCAGGGACAAATTAACTGAAAACCTGTTCAATTAGGTGATATCCCTTTATAGTAGACGATACCTTCCTACCTATTTCCTTGCTTCCATAATCACATCTGATTTCAGGGAGTATTATGTCGGTGACTGTGTCAGATCCACATGCTCCAGGTAAACAGAACAGATTTGTTGGACTGTGTATACAAAGAGAGGAAACAGGTCTCCGAGCTCGATTCACCCTAAGAAATGTCATAGATGGACAAGGTATGCCATTGATTTCTTCGAAATATAAGGTGGCATCAGTTTACCTTTTACACTAAATTGTTATGGAATCTCGCCAAAGTCTCATTATGATGGGGTTTTTGTTTTGCAAAGTTAACTCTCTAAAATATTTCTTTGAAATGATAAAATATTTCTACCAGAAAAACTGTACAGTATTTTAATGTTTCCGGTTTCCCTATTTTTCCTAATAATCACAGGCTATATGCCCATTGAAACAAAGTAAAAAATAAGTTGAAAAATTCTTTAAAAACAACTTTTTGTTACATGGCTGTAGGAACATACTCAAATATTTAAAAAGATTTGTTATATTCACAGGTATAGAGATACAATATGACATGTACAACCCTACCCTACAGAAAATAGAAGTGTTAAAACTTGAGAAGCGTGTAGATGATGACCTACTCTATCTGAGAGATTGTCCCCAAGAGTATAGTACTGTACCATTTGATATGGAGCCTGTCCCTCTTGCCAAGGGGGCCCCTGTACCTGTATACACAAAAATGGTAAGTTTACATTTCAAGGACTAGTTTTATTGAAGGATCCTGTTTTCCTTACACTGTAGCTATTTTACAACTCATAAGAATTTCAACAAGGCATCCACTTGCAAAATGTCAAAACCTGCCATTTGTTACAGATGCTCACTGCCAAACAAAAAAAAGTTTGAGACTATAACAATATGTTACCACTTGTGGTGGTGACAAAAAATGGTTTTATGATTATAAGAACTTTCATTTGACATGTCACTAATGTTTCTTGCAGATGACTGATTTTGACAAATGGGGTTATTCTTCCTTACTATTTCAACTGGGGGACTATTTCAACATTGGTTTATTATTTCAATTTTGGCGATCTGCCATGTTTTTTGTTTTGATTTTAAAATAACTTGATATCAGCAATTGTTGAGATCAAAATGGCCAACTCTTAAAAACTGAATAACAAGCCAGGGTCAAAATAACCCTGTTCTTAAAGTACCCCCCTTTGATGAATTAATTTGATGATTATGTCAATGTTTGATAGAAGATCTCTATTCAAGAGTACACTGTAAAACTATAAACCATAAACCATTTGGTTATTTCATCGACTCTCCAGGCTTTGTTTATTTCTTTAATGCTGTTTTATAATTTCACTGGTCAGGGGTTTCATTAGCAGCAGGCAATTTTCACCAGTTGTTTTCACAAAATCGCCTGTTGTTTTTAGGGACTTTTCAACAACTTTCCATGTTTTTATGATTTCTATTAATTTTGCCTGTTGTTTTCATTTATTTAGCCTGTTGTGAGAAATTCCAATCAAACCCCTGCTGGTGTTGTTTAATTTTCCAATATGTGTCGGAAATATCTTATATACCGAAAATCCAAAAAACTAAAATCTGTTATCTGTTTCAGATTCCTTTGAACCCATTACCATGGGAACGGCGATGGAACATCAAACAATACAAAGGGGTTACAATTCCTGAATTGAGCAAACGTAGAGAAAAACGTGCCGCCAAATACCTCAAAACATTAGAACCTAGAAAACATGATATCATGGAGGATTATAGAAAAAGTATACCTGAAGAGATGGAGGAAGAAGTTTATAGAACTGTACATGAAGCCAGTAAAAAATACCCCAAGGCTACTCCTAGTAAATTAACTGGAAAAGGAAAATAAGTGCCGGATAGAGTAAATTTGGCAAATTCAGTTAATTGGTAGATCTTTGAAAAATGGCAGTTTAATGTAGTGTGGATTTGAAAGTGTTGAAATAAAGGAATGGACAGATTATTGGCAAATATCTGTCATTTAGGATTTCATGAAGCGAGACTGAATGATATTTTCTGGCTTGAATGAAATGTGTTTTAAAAGAAAACTTCAAAGTGATAATAACAAATGAAATTACAAAGAGGCTAGATAGGAAGATTCCATTGGTGCTACGATGACCAATTCATGCACAAACACAAGATTCTCTGTTTAATAGAAAGAATATATTGTGTGTGACATACCAAACATGATAATATGTTCATTACTTTGGAGTGAATAAATGTAGAAATACATAATTGATATTCATATTACATTCATATTTTACTATGGTAATACTTGGTTATTGGTTCAGTCACTTTGATTGTAATCCATAATATCATCTAACTTGATAGTGCAAACTCCAATGCTTAGCATATTCATTCAAACATTTTGTGATGTCTAGCTCAGTCAAGGCTGCCAACTTGGCTGCCTTTGTGTAAATTGTCAAAATGCAATGTGTCCTGCTTCTAGGTATTTAAAATCAGATACTGGATTTCTCGTCCATCCTTCATAGGTGAATCAATTTTCCATTTTCTTTGAACCCAGTGATTTAATAAAAGTCACATGCTAGAATTCTGGTACTTCTTATTCCATCTTTATTCATAGAATATAATGTTTTGTTGATCACTGATTGATGCTCTCTCCTGGGGTGCTCCACTAGGCTGTATCCTTCTGAAAGTCTTTCCTGGCTTGTTCCAGTACTCCAGGGGTGAGAAACACATCTAGAGCTGTCATTGCTAGAGCTTTACCTTGGTCTAGCGTGTAAGGCTGTGCCTTGGCATCCCCTGCAATATAGCATAAAATAAGTAAAACTCCGAGAATCATTTCAAAAAGGAAAATAGATCAATTTTGAGACCAAAATAAACAAAACATTCTCCTGCAGTAATATTGTGCAGAAAGTCAATTTCTCCCTCAACTATATCTAATCTATGAATGGCTGTGCCTTGCCATCTCCAGCTAATGCTTTCTAAAGTAAGAAATGTCAATTACTGTATGACACAACCAGGGATGTAAATATGTATACGATTCTTATATCCTCTCCTCTGGTCCCCGACTCCCCCACTACATCATGTTCATTATATTGAATGAGTGTATCTTGTGGTTCAGGGTTGAGATTACAAAAGGATCTGATACAAGATACAAGTCTTATCTTGCACATTTTTCCAAATCAATGATTTGTCAATAAAATTTTTAGTTATCATACTTACTATTTTAAACTTTTGATATATGTTGAACTGTAAGCAAATGGCCAATTATCATTTTTATTAACCCTCTGAGGGACAGTCTGACATTTTCCGAGGGCAGCAAGACCAGAGGTTTTACAAAGATTTTTTCAATCTCAAAAATATTCCCCAGTGTTATTCACAAGATAGTAGTATCATTGGATAACTAGCTTTCCCTCAGGATAAACCATTTGTCCAAAACCTCCATGAAAACCCCATATATACCTGCAGCAGCTGTAAAACCAATTGAATGGTTTGGTGCATCAGTTCCTATATAAAAGACCGGGTGAATACTTGGTACAACATACGAGACATTCCCCATGTCTGTAGACCCCCCAGCTGTTGCCTTCTCAGCATCAGCTTCAAATTCAACCCCTATAGACTTGGCATTCTCCTCAAATGTTGTTGCAAGTGTATCATTTGTAATCAGGTTGGAGTATGGCTTCCCAGGGTAAGTGATGTCAACCTGAAACCAGAATTTTACCATTCACAAGAACCAAGTCTCTAAAACATGACCAAGTCTCTTAAAACATGACCAAGTCTCTTAAAACATGTATGCTGCACATGTATACAAGTACATCACAAGTTTTAATATTTTGGTAATGTCAAATACTTCTAAACATAACAGACATTATAGACAAGAGTGAAAGTTTTGGAAAACCTACTGTACATCCTGTCATTTTTGCAGCTGACTCAAATATATCTATTGTTTTAGCTTTGATTTCTGCCACCTCCTTGTCTGTGGGAGCCCTCAGATAATAGAGCAGTTCAGTCTCATCTGGGATAATATTGGGCTTCACCCCACCTTTGGTAATGATCCCTACAAATTCCAATAATTGTGAAAAAATCAAAAACTGTGTCAAATAATTTTTAAGCTGAAATTATAGTTTTGTAACGAGCCTTGATAACAAGTTGCTACTACGGCCCAGCTTTAGTGGCTTAAGCCTTTATAGCTCAGTCAGTAGAGCATCAGTCTTTGGATCCAAGGGTCCTAGGTTCGACTCCCACACAGGATATTGGAATTTAGCACACTTTCTTTCAATTTCTTTATCTGGCTTGTTACACTATGCTCGTTAGTTAGTCATTCCCCTGGGGCACCCTCGGGTCATTACAGTTTTTATGACAATTTAAATTTCAAATTATTTCAATGCTTCATACCAGACTTACCATGTACCCTCCATGAGGGTTTGAATTGTTGCCTCAAACAAGACTTACCATGTACCCTCCATGAGGGTTTGAATTGTTGCCTCATACAAGATATACTCTGGTATGCCATGACTGCCGCATCCAAAGCATTCTTGCCCTCCCAGGGAAAACCTGCTGCATGACTCGCTTTGCCATGGAAATTGGCTTGAATACTGGAAAACATTAAAATATGGGTTCAAAATCAGAATGTTTGGTACAAAACTCTGATCTTTCACTTTACACATAAATCAAATACTTGCTTGAATGCTCACAATTTTGCGCATATGAATTGTGTAATGTATATACATGTCCTTTAAATTATCTCTAGTAGGTTTGGTTCTTAATGATGAGTTATATGCACCCAAGGAATGAGGTTTTCCCAAGAGACAATTGCTGGCAGAAGAATGCAATTAATGATATACATGTAATGGGTAGTTGAAAATGAAATAAAGTGAATATTAGTCAATTACAGCTTCCAGATATTAGGCATTGACAGGATGCTATAATACAGCAAGCTATTTTTGCAAGAAACAATACAATCACCCCTGTGTTAATGCCAAGTTAGTGAGTTAGTTTTAGCTTTACGTTATGATGGTCAATGGCGTGACCTTACCTCCATAAGGAAAAAAGCAGATATTAAAAAACATAATCACCATGACACAAGAAAATGAGAGCTTACAAGGTTACAGCTAAGAGGCCAGGCAGAGTCTTGTATGTGAATGGACATGGGTGACACATCATTGCAATGTCAAAGTCTTTGAAGACCTCAGCCTTGATGAGGTCAACTTTGCCTCCACCACCTTCCTCTGCTGGTGTGCCTAACACAGTTAACTGAGAATATACAACACAGGGTTATCTGTCAAACGAAGCATACATATAGCTACTTGCTGGTTAAATATCTGATTGGATATTATTGCCTAGAGTGCAGATGCAAGCTTTAGTAGGTAAGTAGGAGCAAATATAAGCAAAATTAGGTAACAAATAACTAAGCCCTAAAGCACCAGCGGGGGAGATCTGTCCACCAGGGTGACTGGGTCAATTCTCTGTGAAGGTATACAGTAGGGAAATCAATTTGAATGTGGTCAAAAGAAGGAAGAGACAATGGATGTTGACATATGGCCTCTGACCAAACAACCAATAATAAACAGATTCTAAGTCAGCAATAGGTGGATATGTAGTTGGAGGAGGGAAATTCAAATCCAGTGAATGAATTGCCAGGAAGGAGATTGCAAGGGAAACAGTAGTATGATTTTCGAAAAGATTGCGTTTAACATTTTACACTCTATCCCTTCTAATGAATTGAATTGTTGTATCATAACCAAACCAAAATGCCAAAATGCTAATTACACTTACTCCAACATAGAAATATACTTCCTATGGGTCATTGTAAGCCTAGAAGGGTGACACATCATTGCCACATCAACATTCAAGAAAACTCCATACTCTATCAAGAAAACTTTCCCTCCATCAGCCTCCTCTGCTGGGGTTCCAAGTACAGTTAACTAGAACACACAAGCAAAGGTCAAAAGAGAAAATGATGTCTTACTATGGCAACCATAAATAAAAATAATTTTTTTGCAGAGCCCATCAGATGAACCTTCCAAAAACTTCCCTACTCTACGGAGTTCCAAGTGCAGTTAACTAGAACACACAAGCAAAGGTCAAAAGAGAAAATGATGTGTTACTATGGCAACCATAAATGAAAATGAAAGTTATTGTTGTGCAGAGCTCCAAGTACAGTCAACTAGAACACAACAAGAGGTCAAAAGATAAACTGATGTGTTACTATGGTAACTATTATTGTCATGCATAGCCCATATAGCAAGACCACAAAGCTCATGCAAAAATGGAACCTACGTGACAATGGAGAGATAATTCCCATGGGTCATTGTGACCCTTGAAGGGTGACACATCATTGCAACATCAACATTCAAGAAAACTCCATATTCTATCAAGAAAACTTTCCCTCCATCACCCTCCTCTGCTGGTGTCCCAAACACAGTCAGCTAGAACACATAAGGAGTGAATAAAAGAAGTCAAAATGGTAGGAAGGCTGCGGGCTATCATCATTTTTCAAGAGGTGTAAGGCCAAGCAAAGTTCATATACACTGAACTGTGAATTGTTTGTTTTGGTGAACAAATTTACTGGATATAAATTCTACATGAGGGGGATGAAAAGGTTGTTTAACTAAAAGATGCTTATTCTACAATCAACACAAATGAATTTTTTTAGATCAATTTGTGAACTGGTAAATAAAATACAGTGACACATTTTCTGCAAAATTAATTAACATTTGTCTTTGAGGGGTAAAGTTCATTATATTTGATGGTTTATTTTAAAAGCAAGTAACACTGAACTAGAGAGAAATCGCTGTATCCCTGGAAAAGAAAGCATTATTAAATTGATAATATACAAGGGTCCAAGCATACTTGTACTTGTAAGGGAAAGAAGAGAGGCCAATGTTATGGGAGTTGGGTGAGACAAATTGCAATATGGAAAAGAAAGCATTATTAAAATGATAATATGTAAGGGTCAAAGCACACTTGTACTTGTAAGGGAAAGAAGAGAGGCCAATGTTATGGGTGTTGGGTGAGACATAGTGCAATATGGAAAAGAAAGCATTATTAAAATGATAATATGCAAGGGTCCAAGTGTACTTGTACTTGTAAGGGAAAGAAGACAGGCCAATGTAATGGGTGTTTTGTAAGACATAGTGCAATATGGAAAAGAAAGCATTATGAAATTGATAAAATGTAAGGGTCAAAGCGCACTTGTACTTGTAAGGGAAAGAAGAGAGGCCAATGTTATGGGTGTTGGGTGAGACAAATTGCAATATGGAAAAGAAAGCATTATTAAAATGATAAAATGTAAGGGTCAAAGCGCACTTGTACTTGTAAGGGAAAGAAGAGAGGCCAATGTTATGGGTGTTGGGTGAGACAAATTGCAATATGGAAAAGAAAGCATTATTAAATTGATAAAATGTAAGGGTCAAAGCGCACTTGTACTTGTAAGGGAAGGAAGAGAGGCCAATGTTATGGGTGTTTTGTGAGACAAATTGCAATATGGAAAAGAAAGCATTATTTATATTAAATTGATAAAATGTAAGGGTCAAAGCACACTTGTACTTGTAAGGGAAAGAAGAGAGGCCAATGTTATGGGTGTTTTGTGAGACAAATTGCAATATGGAAAAGAAAGCATTATTAAAATGATAATATGCAAGGGTCCAAGTGTACTTGTACTTGTAAGGGAAAGAAGACAGGCCAATGTAATGGGTGTTTTGTGAGACATACTGTTATATGGAAAAGAAAGCATTATTAAATTAAGAAATATAGACCAAATAGCAGGGGTAATATCGTTGAATACACCCCACAGGGCTAGGCACAAACGTTTTCTGTAACCCGAATGACCGAAGGGAGTGAGGGGTTCGAAAGCTTTCGTGCCTAGCCCTAAAGGGTGTATTCGATGATATTACCCCTGCTCTGAGGTCTATATTACAATTCGAACATGAAACTCACCAAAATGTTTCGAATATTCATTATGGACAGCCATTACAACGGCCCTCCGTTATGACGTCACACATTACTCGTACCACCAGGGGTATTGTTCGCCGTGAATATACCCCCGGTGAAATGTTGACTTTGTTCACAGTTTATAAAAGGTGTGAATGAGTGTATACAGTCATTTTCGAATTGATAATACAGTATGTAAGGGTTCAAGCATACTTGTACTTGTAAGGGAAAGAAGAGAGGCCAATATCATGGGTTTTGGGTGGGACATAGTGCAATATTGATGTGCACCAAGCCTCCTTTTCAACACCACCTTACTCAGCTGGGGTACCCAGCAATATAAGCTGTACATGTGTATTATACAATTATTTTTATTGATTGATTAAAGGTGCAACAAAGACTTCAGATAGGTTGAGAATAATTACTTGTATTTAAAAATTTCGCAATTTTACAATATTTTTTTTGCTCACAATATTCCATGACAAATCTATTTTATTAAGTCAAATAGTTCTGATTTTATTTTATGATTATACTTTCATTCTAAGTTTATTTGACAATATATATGACAATGTCAGGCATATAACTGCTCTGGCTTCAAATACAATCAATCATCTATTCAAGAATACAACAACAAAAAATTAGTTCCATATTGAATTTACCTTTCCAATATTTTTCCCTGAGGCCTCCATTGCAGCTTTAATTCCAATTCCTGCAGCAATTCCAACTTCTGCAATCAGATTATGTCCACAGGCATGGCCTATCACTGGGAGGGCATCATATTCACACAACACTGCAACATGGGGTCCTTCTCCATCAGACCCATGGATAGCTCTATAACAGAATCACATTGTCATTTAAAGGGCCGCTGTCTATAACAACAGGTTATGTCCACAGGCATGGCCAATCTCTGGGAGGGCATCATATTCACACAACACTGCAACATGGGGTCCTTCTCCATCAGACCCATGGATAGCTCTATAACAGAATCACATTGTCATTTAAAGGGCCACTGTCTATAACAACAGGTTATTTCCACAGGCATGGCCTATCTCTGGGAGGGCATCATATGCAAACAACACTGCAACATGGGTCCTTCTCCATCAGACCCATGGATAGCTCTATAATAGAATCACATTGTAATTTAAAGGGGCACTGTCTATAACAACAGGTTATGTCCACAGGCATGGCCTATCTCTGGGAGGGCATCATATTCACACAACACTGCAACATGGGGTCCTTCTCCACCAGATCAATGGATAGCTCTATAATAGAATCACATTGTCATTTAAAGGCCCACTGTCTATAACAACAGGTTATGTCCACAGGCATGGCCTATCTCTGGGAGGGCATCATATTCACACAACACTGCAACATGGGGTCCTTCTCCATCAGATCAATGGATAGCTCTATAACAGAATCACATTGTCATTTAAAGGGGCACTGTCTATAACAATAGGTTATTCCCACAGGCATGGCCTATCTCTGGGAGGGCATCATATGCAAACAACACTGCAACATGGGTCCTTCTCCATCAGACCCATGGATAGCTCTATAATAGAATCACATTGTCATTTAAAGGGCCAGTGTCTATAACAATAGGTTATGTCCACAGGCATGGCCTATCTCTGGGAGGGCATCATATTCACACAACACTGCAACATGGGGTCCTTCTCCATCAGACCCATGGATAGCTCTATAACAGAATCACATTGTCATTTAAAGGGCCGCTGTCTATAACAACAGGTTATGTCCACAGGCATGGCCAATCTCTGGGAGAGCATCATATTCACACAACACTGCAACATGGGGTCCTTCTCCATCAGACCCATGGATAGCTCTATAATAGAATCAAATTGTCACTAAAAGGGCCACTGTCTCTAATTATAGGTTATTTCCACAGGCATGGCCTATCTCTGGGAGGGCATCATATTCACACAACACTGCAACATGGGGTCCTTCTCCACCAGACCCATGGATAGCTCTATAATAGAATCACATTGTAATTTAAAGGGCCACTGTCTATAACAACAGGTTATGTCCACAGGCATGGCCTATCTCTGGGAGGGCATCATATTCACACAACACTGCAACATGGGGTCCTTCTCCACCAGATCAATGGATAGCTCTATAATAGAATCACATTGTCATTTAAAGGGGCACTGTCTATAACAATAGGTTATTCCCACAGGCATGGCCTATCTCTGGGAGGGCATCATATTCACACAACACTGCAACATGGGGTCCTTCTCCACCAGACCCATGGATAGCTCTATAATAGAATCACATTGTCATTTAAAGGGGCACTGTCTATAACAACAGGTTATGTCCACAGGCATGGCCTATCTCTGGGAGGGCATCATATTCACACAACACTGCAACATGGGGTCCTTCTCCACCAGATCAATGGATAGCTCTATAACAGAATCTTATTGTCATTTAAAGGGCCACTGTCTATAACAATAGGTTATGTCCACAGGCATGGCCAATCTCTGGGAGAGCATCATATTCACACAACACTGCAACATGGGGTCCTTCTCCATCAGACCCATGGATAGCTCTATAATAGAATCACATTGTCATTTAAAGGGCCACTGTCTATAACAACAGGTTATGTCCACAGGCATGGCCTATCTCTGGGAGGGCATCATATTCACACAACACTGCAACACGGGGTCCTTCTCCACCAGATCAATGGATAGCTCTATAATAGAATCACATTGTCATTTAAAGGGGCACTGTCTATAACAATAGGTTATTCCCACAGGCATGGCCTATCTCTGGGAGGGCATCATATTCACACAACACTGCAACATGGGGTCCTTCTCCATCAGATCAATGGATAGCTCTATAATAGAATCACATTGTCATTTAAAGGGGCACTGTCTATAACAATAGGTTATGTCCACAGGCATGGCCTATCTCTTGGAGGGCATCATATTCACACAACACTGCAACATGGGGTCCTTCTCCATCAGACCAATGGATAACTCTATAATAGAATCACATTATTATTTAAAGGGGCACTGCCAATAACAGTAGGTTTATGTCCATAGGCATGGCCTATCTCTGGGAGGGCATCATATTCACACAACACTGCAACATGGGGTCCTTCACCATCAGACCCATGGATAGCTCTATAACAGAATCACATTGTTATTTAAAGGGGCACTGTCAATAACAATAGGTTATTTCCACAGGCATGGCCTATCTCTGGGAGAGCATCATATTCACACAACACTGCAACATGGGGTTCTTCTCCATCAGACCAATGGATAGTTCTATAACATAATCACATTGTCATTTAAAGGGCCGCTGTCTATAACAACAGGTTATGTCCACAGGCATGGCTTATCTCTGGGAGGGCATCATATTCACACAACACTGCAACATGGTGTCCTTCTACATCAGACCAATGGGTGGCTCTATAATGGAATCACATTGTCATTTAAAGGGGCACTGTCTATAACAATAGGTTATTCCCACAGGCATGGCTTATCTCTGGGAGGGCATCATATTCAAACAACACTGCAACATGGGGTTCTTCTCCATCAGACCAATGGATAGTTCTATAAAAGAATCACATTGTTACTTAAAGGGGCACTACCTGTAACAATAAGTTTTCTTCAACATGTAAAAACTATCAATATGAGTGTAATAATGTGTGATGTGAATTTACTCAACAAAATGTTAATTTTTTCTTCTAAGGACAAAATATCATTTTTTCAAACAAAATTAAAAGATTCATTCTACCATTTAAACTCAAAAGATTGAATATGTGAAATCATTTTTCTTAAAATGTTGATGAAGTTTTTTCTGCAACGTCATTCTTTTGATTTGAACATTCCAGATATACCTAAAAGCAGTATCAAGCTTATATTTAGGTTCAACATTAAACCCTGTCTTTGTCAGATACTCTGTCAGGACCTTGTGTGCGTGGTGCTCTTCAAAGTTCAGCTCCGGATTTTTCCATATTTCTTGACTTAGTGTATTAAGCTCCTTCGCAGCCTTGTCTATTGCCTCACATGCAATTTTCTTTAAATCTTCCAAAGACATTGTGTTGTAATAGAAACTCCTTTTCTGAAATACACACGATCACTTTTCAATTTTGGCCACAATCAGTGTCAGTTATGTTTTGGGGCAAGCCCGAATCATATCTGCATAGACTGTGATTTTGGAAATGAACTTGAAATATGAGTTGTGAATTGGACGATGAATGAAATGCCAATATGTTAATTGTGGCAAATATATTTTCAATAATTATAGGTGAGAGCCAGGATATAAAGATAGGCATTTAATTAGGAGAGGCAGAAGGTGAGGCAACTTTGAGGCAACATAAAACTATGTAATGATCTTCACAGTTCAAACTCAAAAAATGTTTGCACTTCTATATTTCTGCAGAATTTTTGGCGAGGCATTGACATTACCTTTAATTACCTTATGCAGTCTTAAATCATGACACTACATCTTCTGCCTCTGCATAGCTAACATTTTATTTGGGATCTTATCAAGATTGCAAAATTACCCACTGGCGGATCTGGGGGGGGGGCCTTGGGTGGGCCCAGAAAAAAAAATTGGGCCCTCACGAGCGGCCATTTTTTTCTCAGACCAGAAATTTGGGCCCCTCTTGTTGGTTCCCAGATCCTCCACTGTTACCTGTAGGGGTAAGAGGGTTGTATTGCTAGCCAATTGGGACTCAGGTTACTCTGTCAGCAGCTGAAATTATGTTCAACAGTACATCGTTAATACACTCCCACATATTGTATTTGAGCTATGTCTATAACATCATCTGTTGTTAAAAGTGTCGAAACACTTATTGCCTGTAAAATATTTTGAAATACAGTACCTGGTACTAACTGATTGTCTGTAGACTTTGCAAGTTAAAATGGTGCATCCTAATTCATCATTAAATTCCTTAACATCTTTGAAATATCCCTTCTCAGTGTGCCACTCCGTTAAAACAGTACATAAAGCATCCTAGCTATAAGGTCATATTGACTTTGTTCAAAATAACTAAACTGGAAAATAATAGTGCAAAACAGCTGGATGTATTGATACTTACTTCATATGTTGGTAAACAGTGAATGAACAAGTAGGCCAACTCAAGAAATCACGAGATCCAGGGGTGTTATCAATCAATACACATTTACAGTATGTAAACACAAACATATCTGGCTGACAATAAGGTGTTTAACCCCAATACATGTATATTGATAACTGGTTATAAGAGGTGATACTGATAATAAACTTCTTGAATAAATGCCACCTATTAACACAAAACAACAACGCAAAATGTCACTACCTGCCATTTGTTACAGACATCGAACTTTAAACCTGAACACTAAAATCTGTATGCCAACTACCAAACACCATCAACAAAAATGTTGGAGACTATAACAATATATATTTTTGCAGTTTTAAAAAGTAGGTTACTCAATTTTCTCATTTTTATACATTTTATAAAAGAAATATTCTCCACACTCTTCAAGGTACATTAGCAATTAGTGCACTCATTGTGCAAAACTGAAAGATGTTGACTATGTGGGGAAGGATGAGTTCATATTTGAAAAGTAACATGTGATTCCATGAAGATTGCATCAAATGGCTGAAAGTACACGTACACACTCACTTTAAAAATCCCTACATGTATTCCTTTTTTATTAACTGATAGACCACTACAGCACATACTGGTTCCATGAGTTCAAAACTTAAAGGGGCAACAAAGTCAAGGAATGGATTGAATTTTTCTGAAAAAGTGTCGCAATTTTACATTTGCACTCATCATTCCATCTCGTTGCTTATTTTCTACAATGTTCTGACTTTAATTTCAGAGCACTATTCTTTGATTGTTAAGCATATCAGGCAAGTAATGAAAAATACTTGAAGATTGCTTCAGCATTTTACACTTTCTAGTCTTTGCTGCCACTTTAATACATTAGTTTTTGAAAACTTTAATGATAACCATATACACTACTAATTAGCTACTACATTAAATATTTAACCAGGGGGGTAGTCATTCATTAATTCATATATATTTTTTGTACCATTTTCCCTGATTTTCAATAAAAGGCATACATTATTAGGGTTCAATTATTGAGCATTTTTGATCAAGCCCTCTTCCTTGTTAATTTCAAGACCTTCCCCTGCCACAATCAATGTGGTACAAATGACTACGTTTGATGCACAAAAATGTGCCAAAAGAACTATTAAAATATTCTCTAATTCCAGTATATTATTTAAAGATTTAAGCCTTAAACTCAGTGCATTGTTTGCTGAATCATACCATGAAGGTGTTGTTTCCAAAGTTGCAAAGTTTAGGAAACAACGCCTGAGTGGAATGAAGAAGCTACAATGCTTTGAGTCTTGGGCTTAAATTCTTTTCACACATTGCAAAATATTTTCTATAAAATCACCTAAAAGATACAAAATCACTAAAAGAACATATTTTCAATGAAACTTTTTCCAAAGGGCAAGTATTGGCAAAACATCTCCTCACCTTGGTAACTATGCACAATAAATGCGTTATTGATTATTTCATGCACTGCTGTCACTCAGAAATACTTTGTTCGGGTTGGCTGGAATTGGACACACCTTGCCTAGCCATGTGTGAGTACTTTATATATTCTATAAAATTTTTATAATAAACTGTCAATGACAGTAGTTTGTTTTGAATAGGAAACCCCAAATGCTGAAATAACAATCACATGCTGACTCTATATAGCACTAATTTCAGAATAAAACATGACTTCGTCTTAATTCATAGAAGATGTTTTTTTTGTTTTTTCCTTTTTATTTAAAATACAGCTTTAGTTCGATTTATGAAGCACAGATACAGTAGTTATAGACAATCAATATATAGTTTTATCATATTCCATTTGCTTTTAAAAATGCAATGTTTTGTTGATCAATTGATTGATGCTCTCTCCTGGAGTGCTCTGGCACTAGGCTGTATCCTTCTGAAAGTCTTTCCTGGCTTGTTCCAGTACTCCAGGGGTGAGGAACACATCTAGAGCTGTCATTGCTAGAGCTTTACCTTGGTCTAGAGTGTAAGGCTGTGCCTTGGCATCTCCTGCAATATAGCATAAAATATAAAAATTAAACTATGATCCAAAGATATCAAGTCATTATAGGTCTAATCTTGCAAGAAATATCTGCCCCTTATTTCTTATACAATACATTCCAAGATCATTAAAATTTGGCTACGCAGTACATCCCAATCCCAAATTACTCTATGAAATACCCAAAGTTAATTTTTGATAAATACCAAGTGGACCTTTATATAACTGGGCCTTTATGAAAAGTTCATAAATTGACATAAGTTTCATTTAAATGCCTAGATCCTTATTAGATAGAATCTGGTAGTTTTATAAAAATGTTTATCCCATACTTGGACATGTTACGGGTACATAAAGCCGGTTTGTAAAAACTTATATTTTCATCAGCGGGCAGATATAGCTTTACGTCCCGCTCTGAGCGGGCAGATATAGTATATCTGCCCGCTACGTCATAATCGCTGTTCCCGTATTGGGTCTTTTTTGTAACGTTTGCATACTGTAAACGACAATGGAGAAAAATGCAGACAATCGCGATCTGTTTGATGCTTTAACCTTTGAAGGGAAGGAGCCGTATGCCCCGTTAATAATCAAAGATTTGAACAGGAAAATCCGGCTATGGACAAGAATACAAAACTGGACATGAACATTTTAAAATAATTCCACAGTTGGTTGCAAAGTTTCTGAACTTTGGCCAATTGAACAATGTGATTGGTATGGGATAAACAGATCCTCCTAGTGTCGGTTCAGGATATTTGGATTATCCCTTGGCCAATATAATATATCGGGACCTACGGCCCTCGGGCAGATATATTATATTGGCCTCGGGATAATCCCAATATCCTGAACCTCATATAGGATAATCTCTATATACTGTATTCAAATATACCTGCAGCAACTGTGAATTCCTTTGAATGGATAGGTGCATTTGTTCCTATATAAAAGACCGGGTGAATACTTGGCACAACATACGAGACATTTCCCATGTCTGTAGACCCCCCAGCTGTTGCCTTCTCAGGATCAGCTTCAAATTCAACCCCTATAGACTTGGCATTCTTCTCAAATGTTGTTGCAAGTGTATCATTTGTGATCAGGTTTGAGTATGGCTTCCCAGGATAAGTGATGTCAACCTAAAATCAGATTTTGACATATGGCAATGAGGGGTCGTGGGTTCGATCCCCACTGGGGTGGACTGACTTTTTCACATCAGCCCTATAGCACAGGATTTCATTCTGTGTTTTCATTAACTAACAGGTATTCCCAAAACATAGAATGGAAAAAATTTGAAGAAGGTGTATAGAATATGTAGCATGTTTGACTAGGATTCTAGCAATGGTATAAATGCATGTATTTACAAAACCTTTTCATTTCACTAAAACATTTCATTAGGGTTGTTCAATTTTAGCCATATCATGGACCAGAGTGAAAGTTAATTAGGAAAACCTACTGTACATCCTGTCATTTTTGCAGCTGACTCAAATATATCTATTGTTTTAGCTTTGATTTCTGCCACCTCGTTGTCTGTGGGAGCCCTCAGATAATAAAGTAGTTCAGTCTCATCTGGGATAATATTGGGCTTCACCCCACCTTTGGTAATGATCCCTACAAATTCCAATGATAATTGTGAAAAATCAAAAACTGTGTCAATACTTTTTAAGCTGAAATTATTGCTTTTATGACAGTTCAAATTGGATGATCATATATTTCCATATTTGGAGCCAGAAGTCTCTTTTGGCATATGTGCTGTAAAATGTGCATGTATGGCCATTCTAACCAATTCATGATGTTATATTTCGGGCTTTTTGTTATTTAGAAACAAAAATAAATAGGTTCAAACATAAACAGGCTGGTTACCAACAGGCTCCAGTGGGGACTTGCAATTGCCATAGAAACTATGACTTTTTTAATTATTGCCTCATACAAGACTTACCATGTACCCTCCAGATGGGTTTGAAATATTTTAATGCCTCATACGAGACTTACCATGTACCCTCCATAAGGGTTTGAACTGTTGCCTCATACAGGACTTACCATGCACCCTCCATGTGGGTTTGAATTGTTGCCTCATACAAGATATACTCTGGTATGCCATAACTGCAGCATCCAAAGCATTCTTGCCCTCCCAGGGAAAACCTGCTGCATGACTTGCTTTGCCATGGAAATTGGCTTGAATACTGAAAATAATGGTTAGATTCAAATTCAAAATATTTAGTGCATACAACTATACTGCAATGTTCTTACTTTACTTGAAGAAAGATAGTTTTTACTTTAAGAAAGATACTCTTTTGAATGTTAATGAGAATAACTTCAACTTGGCTGGTAAAAATCTACAGATTCTTACTATTAATAACAATATAATTTTAAAGTTCCTTAAAGTACAATTGCAGGTGCTTGTGTGGATCTAGGTTCTCATGGAGTAAAGCAGATGACAGAGTTCAGTGCATTAATTGAGGTACTATCACTAAATTGAGAACAAATTGTGACCAAATCAGTCACAGTTGAATTAATTTCTTCAAAGTATTGCATTTACAACCAAGCATACAGTCATGCACATGTTGATTGTGAACTCTCATAGTTTATAAAACCTATGCCTTGTTGATTTCACTTACTTCTTTCAAAGGCTGACTGCTGGCTTACTTACTATTCTAACAGATCTGTCAGTCTTTGATATAGGGTAAGATTTCACCATTTTCCTCTCAATTTTGAATTTTCAAAACATGACCCCCATGACATACGAGTGATGTGCTTACAAGGTTACAGCTAAAAGGCCAGGCAGAGTCTTGTATGTCAATGAACATGGGTGACACATCATTGCAATGTCAAAGTCTTTGAAGACCTCTGCCTCAATGAGGTCAACTTTGCCTCCGCCACCTTCCTCTGCTGGTGTGCCTAACACAGTTAGCTGGAGAGTATGAAAAGGGTAGTGTGGTCTTACTTCAAAATATTTTCAATTCATAATGCCTTTAAATTGCTCTATCAATGACCTTTGGTCAAACTCTCTCTTCTGAATATATCTAAGCTTGAAAAGATTGCCCACCGAACAAGCAATGTGAAAATATTAACTATTCTCACATTTTCAGGCAAATTACTAGTATAGCGATTTTTGAAGTTGTGATAATCATTAAAACACAAGGTTTAGTACGTTTGTTGATGTTGAAAGTCACATATCATTATGAATTAAAAGTATTTTGGGGTCATATCAGATCAGAACAAAACAGATACTGTATACATGGTAATTTTACCTAATCATTTAATTTGCCTATTGCCAAATTTTTGCCAGGTGTGGAAAATTAAATATCTGAAATATTATCTTCATAATGTTATCCAAATGAAGTTAATTAGGAAAATTAAAATTAGGAAACTGAAATTTGACCATTTGACAAATTAACCACTCAGATTAAATACCACTTATACAGTATATTTGCTCTTTGGGGAACCCTTGATCCTCATTTACATCCAAGTTATTTCAGTCCTTTAAGACAGAGAACATAATCCTTGGCTTTCAGCACCTAAGCTAAAAATATTTACTTCAAGCCTGGGATATTTTTCTGTAGAAAGCAATATTTCCCAAAGTGGTATTGAAATAAAACTACATAAAGTATTTGTAGCTGACATAAAGTCCCTGGCGTTTCAAGCAAGGGAGAAAATATAAAGCATGGTCAGGAACAGAAAATGTCAAGTGTTTTACAACTTAAATAATTTCCATAATGGAGAGAGGGAGGTGCAGAACCAATCCACTAAACATTGACAATATTAACTCAAATTGATATCATCACGGCCCATTAGTAAGCATTGATAATTGATATCCAAAATACAGCAAAACCAACACAAAAAGCAAAAACATGTCTGAAATTCAACAAGGCACAAAGTGAAAAATTTTGAATCTAAAAATAAAATATGATTGCCTAGAATCAATTCTACTTTTTCATACCAAGGAAAAATCATGATACTTTGAATCAATCCATCAAACTGTTTTTCTGGAAATGTGCAGACAAGTCAGAACAAGAACTACAAAACTAATTGAACCAATATGATTTCAAAATGAAAATCACACCTACTCAATAAAAGAGAGATATTTCCTATGGGTCATTGTAAGCTTAGAAGGGTGACATCATTGCCACATCAACATCTGAGAAACCTTCATAGTCTATCAAGCAAACCTTCCCACCACCATCCTCCTCCGCTGGGGTTCCGAGAACAGTTAACTAGAACACACAACCAAAGGTCAAAAGATAAAACAATGGCAACGCCAAAGCGACGTAGCAAATCCCATCGAACAGAAATGGCTGGTATTTTTACAAACGAATAGCACTATATCATGAAACAACACACCAGAAAGGTCACCATTTTCAAAATGGTTGCTCACTAGCCAAGTTGTCATCAGAAGAAATAATATGGTTTTAAGTAGCCACCTCTAAAATTTTTGAAAAATCGCACACGTACTTGTAAAATAACACACATAAAAATGGTGGCCATTTTTCAAAATGGCCGACTACTCCCCAAAGTTTTATTAGACAATGTGCCATGCTTAAAGTATTCACATATCAAATATGAACAAAATCGCTCCACTACTTTTCGAGTTATAGTAAAATACGTTAAAATGGCGGCCATTTTTCAAAATTTTTTTCAAAATGGCCACCTTCTACCAAAAGTGTCATAGGACAGCGTGCCATACTTATAGTATTCACATACCAAATATGAACAAAATCGCTCCACTACTTTTCGAGTTATAGTAAAATACGTTTAAATGGCGGCCATTTTTCAAAATGGCCACTGTCTACCAAAAGTGTCATTAGAAATAGACAGTGTGCCATGCTTATAGTATTCACATACCAAATATGAACAAAATCACTCCACTACTTTTCGAGTTATAGTAAAATACATTAAAATGGCGGCCATTTTTCAAAATTTTTTTCAAAATGGCCGCCTTGTACCAAAAGTGTCATAGGACAGCGTGCCATACTTATAGTATTCACATACCAAATATGAACAAAATCGCTCCACTACTTTTCGTGTTATAGTAAAATACGTTAAAATGGCGGCCATTTTTCAAAATGGCCACTGTCTACCAAAAGTGTCATTAGAAATAGACAGTGTGCCATGCTTATAGTATTCACATACCAAATATGAACAAAATCACTCCACTACTTTTCGAGTTATAGTAAAATACATTAAAATGGCGGCCATTTTTCAAAATTTTTTTCAAAATGGCCGCCTTCTACCAAAAGTGTCATAGGACAGCGTGCCATACTTATAGTATTCACATACCAAATATGAACAAAATCGCTCCACTACTTTTCGAGTTATAGTAAAATACGTTAAAATGGCGGCCATTTTTCAAAATGGCCGCCTTCTACCAAAAGTGTCTTTAGACAGTGTGCAATGCTTATAGTATTCACATACCAAATATGAACAAAATCGCTCCACTATTTTTTGAGTTATAGCAAAAATCGTAAAATAACGAGTAAAGGCCGCCATTTTTCAAGATGGCTGCCATGTGCTTCTTTAATATCTACATTTGTAGCATTATTAATGTCCTTTATAATTTTTTTACATTTAAAACATATTGCTATTACAGTTTTACATATTACACCTAAATTACTGTAAAATCGGCACTAAAATGGCCACCATTTTGAAATGAGCGGCCATTTTGAAAATCGGCTTTCGAGCAGAACTTCTACCCCCATAGGGTATATGTGTACAAAATATGAACAAAATCGGGCCAACGGTATTTGAGTTATTGCCCGGACGGACGGACGGACAGACGGACGGACGGACGGACGGACGGACGGAGGCGTTCCCTATATCCCTCCGAACTTCGTTCGATGGGATAATGATGAGTTACTATAGCAACCATAAACATTTATTGTCATACATAGCCCATTATTCCATTATAAGGCTTCCCACCACCATCCCCCTCCACCTCTGTCTAACTAGAAGACACAATTAGGTGTCAGAAGATATAACAATGAGTTACTATGGCAATCATAAAATGTTCATTAGTCAGAATTATAAAAATCAATATTTTGAGAGACCTTGAGGAAAACATTGTCATTCACTGAAAATTGGATGCTGAAATTTTATGCTTTTATAAAAAGTGTCACCTTATTTATGGATAACCCTTTTCAAAGGCAAAGCAATGCAAACCACTCTAAACATGAATTATTTTAACCAATATGAAACATCAACTATTTCTTTATGAAAAAAATTCCTTAATCAACTAAACAACTCAATGTGACAGGGTTAGTTATCTCAATAAAAACATGTGTAAAAATAAAGTCACTGACTAGAGATAAGAGAATATCTATAGAGGAAGGAGGACAATGTGTGTTAGATAGTTTCTACCCAAAAAGTTTAAGGTTCAGACCAATATTGGAGAACATGTTAAAGCCTTTTAATGTTTGGTTTATTTCTGAATAACATTTAGATTAGAATATATAACTTGGATGAATTTTTCAAAATCGCCCAACAGAAAATGGCTTCAATATGTGGTCTAATTAATTTTGAGGGTTAGGGTTGTCAAACTTTTGGAGGGGAGTGTAGGTCCCAAGGATCAAATTGTGTGCCTATTAGTTAGCTCGATATTGTTTTTTACTAAAATTACTGTACTTATGTCTTGCAATGAAAGGCAAGGAGGTCAATGTCAGGGGCGCTGGGTGGCACATCAAGGCAATATCCACATCTTTAAATACACCCTCATCCAAAAGGTCCAATTTTCCACCACCACCCTCCTCAGCAGGGGTTCCCAAAACTGTAAGCTGTACATTTTAAGGTAGCATTTTATTTACAGTTTGTTAAATTATTTCATAATATACAAAATGTATGTAATACCAAATGATGTTGTGTGATTTCATTATTTCTCACAATAACTTGAATCAGCATGTCATTGAATGAACATAAAATCTACCTTCCCAATATGTTTCCCCGAGGCCTCCATTGCAGCTTTAATTCCAATTCCTGCAGCAATTCCAACTTCTGCAATCAGATTATGTCCACAGGCATGGCCTATCTCTGGGAGGGCATCATATTCACACAAGACTGCAACATTGGGTCCTTCTCCATCAGACCCATGGATAGCTCTATAACATAATAATCACACTGTTATTTAAAGGGGCACTGTCAATAACAATAGGTTATGTCCACAGGCATGGCCTATCTCAGGGAGGGCATCATATTCACACAACACTGCAACATGGGGTCCTTCTCCATCAGAACCATGGATAGCTCTATAACCGAATCACAATATTATTTAAAGGGGTGCTGTCTCTTACAATAGGTTAATTCCACATGCATGGCCTATCTCAGGGAGGGCATCATATTCACACAACACTGCAACATGGGGTCCTTCTCCATCAGACCAATGGGTGGCTCTATAACGGACAGTATCACATTATTACTTAAAGGGGCACCATCCATATTTTTATAAAAAAGCGAAAAAATCAAGATTCCTATATTAATTGACAGTATGAGTGTAATATGAATTTACCCAACAAAACGTTGATGTGGGCCAAAAATTTGTTTCAATCAAAACTAAATTAGTTTCATTCTCTTACAACTGTCAATATATTGTGACTTAAAACCAATACCCAGACATACCTAAAAGCAGTATCAAGCTTATATTTAGGTTCAACATTAAACCCTGCCTTTGTCAGATACTCTGTCAGAACCTTGTGTGCTCGGTGCTCTTCAAAATTCAACTCTGGATTTTTCCATATTTCTTGACTTAATGTGTTAAGCTCTCCTGCAGCCTTGTCTATTGCATCACATGCTATTTTCTTTAAATCTTCAAGAGACATGGTCTACAGTAGTCCCAGATGCTTCTTTCTGTAATATAATGGAACACCGATTATAGTGGAACAGTTTCCCAGATTCCCAAAATCAACTAACATAATGTAAAATGAACTTTTATAAGTGGAACACCTCCAAAGTGCAACACTTTTCGAGGAACCAAAGATGTTCCACTTCGACAGATTTTACTGTATTTAAATCACTAATAACAATATTTCAAAATATATGAGCAACATCATAACTGAATACTCACCTTTAATAGCCAATAGTCCAAGGCTTATGTTGTTAGCAGGGTATTTATGGGGAGTTATTCAGCATCTGAAAAGTCTCAAAAGATGTTGAAAACACAAAAGATGTAAAAAACACAAAAAGGGCTTTGTATAAAAAACCTCCTACCCACGTACCCTCGTACCCACGTACGTGGGTCCTGACCCAGTCTTTAAAGAGTTAAATCTTTAACATTTTTTAAACATTATTCTATCTCAATGTATGCTTAATTATGGATGAATTTATGTACCCATATGCCTTTATTTCTAGATCGGACATCTGTCTCGTCATAAAATAAAGCCGGCATTGCATAATGTTCATTTGAGCTATTTGAGTGTTGTTTTTGATATATCGAAGTGATTTTTTGTTGATCGGGCAGTCTTACAGTGTACAACCAATCTATTGCTTGGCGCAAATTGGCCACATGGGGCATGTGTTGTAAAGTGCTGTAGTTTTTGACTCCATGAGCAGAATATGGTCAAACTTTCACAACAAAATTCACATTGAATGACCTGAATGATTCTGGATTGACGAAGTTATTCAACTTTTCATCGGTCCTGTTTTTTAACACCCTGTAGTTTCGATTTTTATCACATATACTTTTTATTCTTTCAAACGATATTACAAGTATTCATTGTTTGCACGACAGATTTGAACTATACGTGTAATTTGTCTTATGTCTTTTATTTAATTTAACATCAGAATTGAAGATACAAAGTGATAGAGTGATCAATTCACACGATCTCAAGGAATAATAAAGGCTGCATTTCTGTTTAACCGTGGCGCAATTGAATAACGAAATATTTGAAAAGTAGAAGGATTCGCTATATTCGTTTTTAATCGCTTTTTGGCACAATTTAAGGATAATTGTGCGCACTAGTTCAGTGAATCATTTAGATGGAATTAAAAGTTAGAGTTGCCAAACTTATGCAGGGGAGTGTAAGTTTGGTTTTGTAAACTTCGACATTATTCATGGCCGTTTGATCCATAATTAGGTAATATGAAGAGTAGAGTTTTATTTTGACAATGATTTGATGTAAAACTGGTTCGAATGATAAAAGTTCAGCTTTGTAGTTTCTAGCTTTTTGCGCGTAAAACGTGAATACAATGGACAACAACGACACCAAATCTTTGACTAACATACGTTAATAACGTATAATATTCGTAAGAATGAATTCTAATAACATTTGAAATAAACATCTAATAAAATGTGGTGAATTTAATTGGTTGGAAACTCTAAGAAATATATTTTTAAAAAGATGTCAACTTTTGGACAAGGGTAAACTTCCCGGGACATTTACAATCTGCATGAGGTAACAGGAGGCACGGATTGCACTGAACGAAGGCTAGGAGATTGCTAATCAGCACTGATGTGTTATACAGGTAAGACTGCCCGATCAACAAAAAACATTTCGACATATCAAAAACATAAATCAAATAGCTCAAAAATAATGAACATTTATGCAATTCCGGCTTTATTTTATTTTACTAGAGAGATGTCAGACCTATAAATAAAGGCATATGGATGCATAAATTCATCTATAATTCAGGATAAACTGAGATTGAATAATGTTTTAAACATTTAAAAATTTAACTCTTTAAAGACTGAGGGTACGTGGGTAGGAGGTTTTTTATACAAAGCCCACAAAAAGCTCTTCAAAAAATGGATTTTTGGTTTTAAATGAATGCTCGCTGTGCATTTAAACATTCACAGTTGCAGCTTTGGATGCAATTTCAAAATAATAGTCTTATCTGTATATATAATGTCCTCATATACAATACAAAATGTATTGAGATGTTACTTGACCTGAAAAAACCTACAGTTACACATTTTCCTTTGATTCTTATTTATCATATCTTATGTGTTTTCTACACAACTCATAGGTATAAATGTATCATACAATGTCCAAAGGCATGTTGATATCTCCTAAAATTAGCTTAACTACAAAATGTGCCACGTATAAGAGCAAAATAGTTGTATTCATACTTACTGGTATGCTAAGAAAAGATTATACTGGTATGTGCTATTGCATTACAGTCATATCACAAGATCAGGTCAAGATGTATTTCATGAATACACATAAACAGTACAAACAGTTTACAGTAAAACCCCTCCAAGGTAAACACTTTGGATTGAGAAAAAGTGCCGCAAGGGGGGGGGGGGTGTTAAGTGGACTTAACATGTGAGCTAATGGGACAAACAAAATTTGGGACAAAAAATAGTATTCAGGTTATCGAGGTCCCTGTGTCATCTTGGGGGGGTTATTCAAGTCTGGAGGTTTTACTGTCTCTGCAAATACACACATCTGATAGACACATCTCATGTTTAACACCAATACATTGATAAGCAATGTACTATCAGGCTCTACATATGATAAGCAATGTACTATCAGGCTCTATATTATAAACTTCTTCATTTACTTATAACAGAGATCATAATAACCTTGTGTCAGCATACCCTGGTGGATGTTCAAAGCTACAGGCCATATCATAACTTACCACTTCCAAAGGCTGACTGTACTGATCTGTTGGCCAATAAGTAAGCATGTAGCCAGCCTTTAAAAGAAGTAAATCATAACATGTGTGATAATACAGAAAAAATATTATCACATGTTAGTTTACTTTTCAGAAAACCTTTTATACTCTGGTTTTGACCATTTACATGACTCACATGCAGGCCCACCAATAACAATTTTGAAACAAGGAAATAACATGCAAAATTTCACCACCTGCCATTTGTTATAGACACCAAATGCGATGCCAAGAAAAATGGAGACCATATCATTTATGTTATCACTTTTGGTGCTGACATAAAAATTGCAAAATCAAAAAAGGCTGAACCTTTTTTTGAAGTGATTTTATTTTTATTTTCTGCCACATTATCACACACTTTTCATTTGTTTGACTTTGTTTCTTAAAACGAGACCTATCTCTATCTTGCACTCACATACCAAATCTCATTCTCAACAAATAGATTCACAAGCTCCTACACCACTGTCAGTGTTCTCAACATTCTTGACTATTGATATTTTATATGTTAATGTTGTTTATACAACATAAGTAGGCCCTTTGTGTGATCTGCCAGTACCACCTCACTGGTACTGCACTCTTCAAACTAGTTATGAATATGGTAACAAAATGTCAGAACCTCAAAGGTTCAATATTTCTTTTACCTTATTTCCTGAGTTGCATGCAGAATCTTGACGACACTTTTATCACAACAGTGAAGAGAAAATCTACACATTTGCAAACAATAAAGTTCAGGAATGACAAAATCATCGATATAATATCTCATTGTTATTACGTAAAAGGAACCAGGTTAAAAGTGCAAATCTTAACCATTTTTGAAGTTCCATTTACGTAAACAAAGTGAGGTATTATGTCAGTGATTCTATCATCCTCTGAACTATTTTTTTCGCAAACGTTTAGATTTTCATATGATAACATGTTTGTGATAAAAAAGCCATGAAAATTCTGCCTACAATTCCTGAAATAAAGATAAAGAAAAAACGTTACTTGAGGTTCTTAGTTTGAAGAGTGCAGAACCAGAGCACTTTGTCAGTATTAAAGGGAAGTTAACGTATATGCTATAATATGTTATTGACGTATACCTCCACTTCCAAATGTTATGTTCACCATTAGACACCATCTGGTTAGTTATCGCAAATGGTTACATTAGGCAGCAACATGCAAAATGTCACCACCTGCCATTCCTTAAAAAACTGAACGTGAGAGTCAAAAAAGTTGGAGGCCATGACAAATATATGTCACGACTTTTGGTGGTAACATAGAAACTATAACAGATTGTTCCAGACACTAAAGTTTGTTTTCAATTGCTGGTCACAAGAGGCACATTCAAGGGACTCAAGAGGTCGATTCTTTACATTTTGTGGCAAATAGCCCATTTTTCCAAAAAGGCAAAAGTTTAGAATGTAATTCACCAGTATGAACCCCAATCCCGAAATTGTTTGCAGATGGAATGTTAAGGTTTTAAATTATATTCTATTCAAATTCAATCACTGTTAAATTACATATCTACTTTATGTGGGCTTATTAGCCCTTTGCAGATTATTGACATAGACATAGACATGGAAGAATGGTTGGACAAATCAGGTGATTTCAGTCTCACATGGCTGTTACAAAATGTCACTACTTCTTGATAGTGGCATAAAAATGGTAACACAATCAACTGTAGAAATATTACATTACAATCTTTCAATATCTTATAAAATTTATTGCATGATTCAAATGACATTAAGGTGACTAAAAAATCATACTACATGTTAATTTTTATATTCAATCATTCAAGAACATTATGATTTTTAGATTAAATGAAAAATCTGGAAATGTATGACAGAACATTTCAAAAATTTGAGCTATTTCATCTGAATTTAAAATGTCAGAATATTTCTGAAAATGCTCTTACATGTGAGAATGTAAGAATTATACTATGATTTAAAATATCAACTAAAACATTCGAGGTCAATCTTTTATAGTCTTACATCAAATATATGCCAATCCCCATATTTTCTCCATCTAATTTTTAGGTTTTGATGACCAATATACAGACAAGGGGATTAGGTCACTCAATGACCAATGCAAAACTTCTCTACGTGTAAAAGTTTTTAAAATTTTGCTTGTCATTGGATAAGAAAACACTACTGTGAATAGTTACTTTTTCATGATTATGAAAATCCATTGTTTATTCCCATTTACAGTGCAAAGGAATGTAGTTTTATTGAAATAATTAAAACCGAAACACTTGTGTGACACATCTACAACATTGAAAAAGCAAATGGATAATACCCTTTTTTAACAAGACCTTTTCTATTTTCAACACAGGTACTAGTTTAACTTCTAGCTTCTAGTCTATACAGGATGGCTAAACAGTATTTTGAACGTATATCAATGATGGACTACAGTTCTGAATGCATGTATTTTTGTAAATAGTACTATCACTGTCTGTTAAATATATCCATTTGGTAAAATCATGTCAATATGGTCTTCCACGTTGCATACGATCCATTCCCGATCTCATCCTGTCCATAGGGGGTCCTCGCCCCCCTTGGGGTGGGGTGATAGAAATGTCAACATAATCGCCAATCTGGAAATTACACTTGGCTAAAGTTGTGTTATCATCGGCGCCACGTTTCCCTGCACATGTGGTGCCAATGTCACGCATCCTGTACAGACCACGTATAGATTCTGGATAAACTAACGCAAAGTCAAAAAATGTTCCTTTCATCTGGGCATCATGGTTAACCTCTTTTACGAGACTTGTTAACTCCTTGAGTGACGCATCCATCCTGGAAATAAAATGACAATGGTTGATTCTATTATTCTAAAAAATTGAAATTGGCAGTAGATATTACATGAACATGGTATATAGAGTAAGGAAATATATCAATATAACAAAATTTATCAAGAGTTCATCAACAAGGTGTTTGCTGCATTTTTTGTGGGTATATGACTATAATTTGAGGTACAGAGGATAGCTTGAAACTCAAAATCCTAGCATGTATTGCACGCTATAACAAGGCATTCACACCCAAAATGTCACCACCAGCCATTTGTTACAAATGTTGAAAACAAACACAATCCACAAAGAGACTATAGCAATATGTCACAATATTATGATGGTGAGATAAAAATGGGTATGTGCATTTATTCCATGATGGTGAAATTCCCTGCAACCTGATTGGTCCATGTGACTTAAATATATTCTGTATTTACACACTCTGCACTTAGTGTGGGATACAGAGTGAAAATGACATCACCAATGCCCCAGATTTCGATCCAGAATATGCCTGACACTGAAAAGATCAATAGCGCTTAGTTTACACCGATATGTGCTAATCTTTGCATATTACTACAGATCGGGGTATAAATAACTGATTTAAATGTCAGGAAATGATATCGTGATCAAGGCAGGCAATTAATAATTTAAAAAAAACTCTCATTCGTGAATTTTAGAGAGCAATTCGAAACATACAGATTGTTTTCATGAAGCCAATATGGCAAATGAAGAGTTGAAAAAAATGATTCCCTCCATTTCAACTGATGAAATTGAAAATTCATAGAAAGTAACCTATCAAGGGTCACTAGCAAGTGGTACAAATATGACAGAGATCTGTTACATATCATGTGAGTATTGGCATTTGACAAATTCAAAGATGCATCAAAAGTCCAATATCAGACCTACATAGTGAGACCTTCATGAAGTTTGTGCCAGCTATCAGGGTAATTTTTTAGTTTTTCCTTGATCATGAAATGAAAACCTAATTCAATGATTTCTCGTGAAATACAGAAAACATTTTGCATTGAAAGTCAGTCATTTTCAGGCAAAATATTTTCTGTATTTCACTTGAATCATTGAATAACTTAAAGTATTGTATGCTATAAAAAGTAACTAAAGACAAACCATGTGTAGATCTGTAATTCATTAGATGGTGTATTGCCGCGCCCATATTCTCCAATCATATTATGCCTTCCCATGTTGCAGAACACACGCAGTAATAATGGACATGCCTGAAAGACAAAACATTAAATAATGATGCATAGATGCATATTGAATTCATGCAAATACAATTTATCAATTACCCACTATGGCGAAAAACAAAATTGCCTCCTTTATCGAAAGAATCCTTTCCAGCATTTTTTTTCATGTGAATGAATGAACGTTTTTGATGATATCACATGTTCTCCACAATTTGTTTTCGTTTTGAAATCCGACTTTTGAGAATATATGTGAAGTTCTGTTAAAGGCTCTCAGAAATACTTCGATTTTCTTTGCTTTGTTCAATGCAACAGAACAATGATATCAAATTATAAGGAAGTGTCGTTTATTGCAAAAAGTAGCCTCTGTAACAGCATGGTGTTATGAACATGGTAAATACAAGTCACATTAAGTACTAAACGTATACATATGGTTCACGGTTACAGATCTCTGTGCGCGAGTGGAGAAATGAGTTCGGGAACAAGGAAATGGTGGTACGTGGTTAAAGATTTTGTGTTCGCGATGTGAGAATCGTGGTTCGAGTGCAAGGAACGTAGTTCGCGATGTCAGAACTGACGTTTGCGTTGATGGAAGTCTACGAGGCCTGATATTGGCATGTTCGATAACCAATTTTATAAACAAGCCTCATTTGCCACTTAAATAGAACTCTCAATGTTCACTTGTGCTGAACTGATGTTATTAATCTGAAATAAACGCGATTTCAAATTTTACTTTGCGCATGCACGGCACTGAGAAAGCAAGTGCTCATGATTGTTCACGTGATCACATCCTGCAATTTGAATGGAGATCGTATAATGGGGAATCCCTGAATATGATAGAATATGAAAGAATTTTGGGAGCTACTCACTGTGGTTGGTAGTCCAACAACATTAGACCTAGCCTGGGCCTCGTTTCTTATCTGACATGTCTTATGGCCCCGGCAAGGTCTAACCTCCATGACCATTTTGCCCTTGATGAGTTAATTTAATCGTTCCGCAGGTTCCAACAAGCGGAACTAATTAAACTCCAAAAACATGGTAATATTACATAAAGAATGTGATTCAAGCATGCATACATACCTTATAAATACATACACACCATCCCGTATCCCCCTTAGACCATATTGATGCATAATTACGAAAATATTGGAGACAGGTTTTGAATTTTACGAAAATATAGGTCAGCTCCGGTAACATCGAAATTGCAAATCGTATCAGGAATTAACCGTCATTGCGACACTGCATCAACGAACAGTAGGTTTGCAATTAATAACTATTTTGTGTGTATACAAGTGCTATATAAATCAATCAAAGATACCTGCTATCCTCAAAAATGGTTATTTTATCCCGAGTAATCGCGTGATAATTATCAATCTATTTGACAACAATTTCGTTTCAATAGTTTAAATTTTAACCCGGGACGAACAGACACAACGACGGACATGCGGAAATTTCATTTTAGAGATTGGTAAGTTTAACCTAATTTTACTCGTATAAATGACCATTAAATACAATAATATTGTGTTGAATCGCTTGATGTTATGTGTTTTTATATCGAAGTGTCTGGAGTACCTTAAAATTTAAGGCTCTTTAGCCAAAATGCTAAAGAGCCTTAAAATTTAAGGCTATTTAGCTGTGAACATAGTGTTTTGGCTAGAGAGCCTTAGTGCTTATAATCCGTGTTTATATTGTTTTTTATTGAAGTTTTCGTCATCTAAACAATAAAACAACACTCTCGAAAGTTTTTCAACCCAGAATGCCACTTAGAAATTTCACACATGTATATCACTATAGAGTTTCAAAAAAGTTACTCTAATCATGGAAAACCACTCTGGTATAGTGGTTAGGGTGCTCGCTATCCACTTCTGCGGTGTGGGTTCGATTCCCGGACCGAGCACTTTTTATTTTTAATAACAAGCCGGAAGTTCGTTCTCTGAGGTCCGGAAATTATGTACACAATTTTTTCAAGAATTCTTGGGCTTGCTCAATCGCTCAATCATCAATGTTTAATGATATTAATCACTTGTATTGGCTTTGCTATAGTCACGAGAATACAGGGAATCCCATTTTATGATGGCAAAAAGTATGATGAAGACCTGGGGATGAAAAGGGATCTTGTTTCTTCTAGATCAGCACATCTTGACGCAGTTTATAGTGAATGCAGGGACATCAGGCCAGGGACATCACAGAATTCACTTCCAAATCTATTGCCCATTAGATTTCAATGCTGATTTTAGAATTTTTCACGTGACGAGATACATGTATTTTTGCATAATATTTTCCTCACAAGTGAGAATTTAAGCACATCGATGAGAGAGAACAAAGAAAATTTTCAGTACAAGAGGTGAACTGTCGAAGAAACACCTGGAGAAAACAGCATTTTTATCCTAGCCTCCAATCCATCAATAAATGTCTATACATCAAAATCTTTACTAAACGGACGTTGCGATTTATAGTGGATAAAATGGTAAAAATAACATTTTTCTGGCTATATACGTGATTGTCTGGTCTTACACCTTCTCTGGTGAACCTATTTTCAATATATGCATAAAGGTCCATTCAAAGTCAACGTTTGAACCTTTAAAAAGCCAAATTTAGACTGAGGATTCTTCTTCTTCTTAGTCCTTTTCAGTGTTCCTTATAAGGTGTTCCGGGATCACTTTGGCATTATTATGCTGCCTTTGATCACTTGTTGCTGTTTTTAAAACTCATGTACTAAAAATATCACTTGTACTTTTCACTTGTGCTGAGGATTGAAAAGGTTTTAGAACGTTTATTTTTTCCGGTAGACCGGAAGTAAATTGATGAGTCGAGTAAAAAGTGATAATGTTCTGTTTATGAAATGGGGAAGTCAAAACAGTACTAATAGAAGTCATAGTAAGCATTCAAAGATTATTTAAAACCATTTAAAATTAAATCGACGGCAAAATTGAATTGACTGAAATCTTTATATGTTTTCTTCTTCATCTTCTTTGCGGACCTCAGAGAAGACACTTCCGGTTTAATAATCAGTGATTTTATCGATCAAAAAATATTTCTTTTTGAATTTGTCCGATATCTGCTAGTATGGTATGTATATTTGTGCTGATTTGTTAAATTACAAAATAGGTTGGGTATAGAATATGTCAAAGTCGTTTGATCTTGTCCCAGAAGCCATATTTCGTCATTTCTGTCGCCTGGAATTCCTTTAAGGCTCTCTAGCAGAATTGGCTATCAAAATGCTAAAGAGCCTTAAAATTTAAGGCTCTTTAGCCCAAATGCTAAAGAACCTTAAAATTTAAGGCTCTTTAGCATTTTGGCTAGAGAGCCTTAAATTTTAAGGCTCTCCAGGCGCGGCCTTTTTATATTGTAGTCAAGTATCAGTTGCATGTTATCGCGGAAAATGGTTTCGGTGGATCCAAAACTTGCATCAATGGAAAGAATGGTAAAGAGGTTAAACTCAATAACGGCCCCAAGAAAATTCTTAATAATAAATAACGCTGTTATTGAGTTTAACGACGTTGAACTATGTGGTTGGTAGATCAAAATCAGAAAACATAGGAACCATGCCAGATCTGTCAGATTTGAGCCATTTATATGATTGTATAACTTTATATTTATACATATAAATGACTCAGATCTGACAGATCTGGCATCTTATATCATAGTGCTACAAGTTTCTGAGTCAGAAAACAACAAATTCAGAAACAAATAAAAATCAAAAATTATCTAAATAATATTTTGTACGTCCAATTATTTATCATTTTACTCGTTTCTTAACTTCAAAACTTTGCATCTATGATCTTGGTACATGCAACTTTGTAATTTCGATATGAAGGTTACCTTTTCTCGATCAATAGCCTTTTCCTGAGCAACTTTCTCTTGATCAACAACTTCGACCGTGGAAGCCATGCTGAAACTTAATGACACGCCTAATAATAATTTCAGAACTAATCATTTAATACATCATAGATCAATTATAACAGTAGTCAGAATATTGAAATAATTTTATTTGATATTCAAATATCCATATTTTATAATTATGATGTATGAAGTAAAGGGATATGCTGCAATCAATTGATTTGTGGGGTTGACCTAGTTCTATTTTGGGTGTGTCAATTAATCAATACGGAGTGACTAAAGCTTCATTGGCAACAGATTTTTCAATTTTTTCCAAAAGTGTGAAGAAATGACAGTGTCTAAGTACGTTACTGATTAAATACCAATATGTATATCACCATTAAGTATGGAGGTATGTAATGCTTTAATTTGTTTGTGCTCACAAATCATTGACCATATACTAGCTAACAAATGTCCTAAATATCAAAAAACTCAAAATAACCCCACTTTTATGGGGGTAGCTGCTTCAAAGCAACCATTGAACCAAAAATGATAAATCTAAAGACTATTGTATATTATTATATAGGAAAATATATTCATATTGCATGTGAATGACATAAAGTCTGTAACTTCTTATATTTTGATGCTTCTTTGCCATGTTAATTCTGAAAACATACATGTAACATGGCGGATAGACCTGAAATTACAAAAGGGCACAGCTTTATTGCACTAAAGACTAAATATCATTTCATTGCCATTTATTTCCACTTTAAGGATTGAAATATTCAAAGATTCCATTATTAAAAGTCCCTGATAATGATTTAGTACTTCACTATAGTATAATATAAGCTAAATGTGTTCTCAGATAATCAGCACCATCTACATGTACCTGAAATGAATATTACATAGTAATGATATATAGTTGTTAACTACAGTACATGTATATACTTCATTCATTGAATTGTTGAGATGCGGTAGTTTGTTTTATTGGATTGCAATCTTGAGACTATTCCATTCAGTCCTGATGATTTAAAGTATATTTGAGACATTCTTTACAGATAACATACAGAAAGTGGTCAATCCTAACTGTGGTGCTAAATCCCTGCTGGAGTTCATAAGAAAACAATGTAGTTGCAATGAAACTGGTAAGTTATGAATTTACTTGAGACTGAAAATATGCATAGAATGTATGTGCCTTTCCAACTGACTCAAAGTAGAAATAATTGAATAAAATCTTCCAAAAACTAAATGTGTTGGATAGAACTTTAATTAGTTTATTGATAGATATCGTTATCATTTTTCCATACAATTGTGATGAGACTCGAGGGCATTATTTCAAAATATCATGAATATAATTTTTGAAATGCAATTATTTTTTTAATGTTACTACTATTGTAAAAATGTAAAGCATGATCAAATTTACCCTTAATTTGGACTACCCCTGGCCTACATATTTCATTGACAAATCCCATTATTTGTGTGAATTGTTATAAACTTATTTTGATAATTTTTCTTAACATTTAATGTTTTAGGGATGATAGTTTAAAAATGTTCCTATATTTCCAAGATATTGAATTGAGATATGTAATAAAAAGTAAGGATAAGGGAAACACCCAATTTTCAAGAAAGTCTTATAACTTTGAACCCTCCTGAGGCCTCAAATACAATTATCAATTAGGCTATCCCAAATACACAAGACATCTTAATACATGTTAAACATAAATGTTTTTATTGCTTAATATTATAGATATATTAGATTTGGTGGATGAGACTGGTGTTCTGAAGAAGCTTAATGAACAACCAGATACAGACAATGTGAAGACAATCCTACAGAGCAAAGCTATATACATCCCTGTTTTAGTCCTCAGTAAGTTAGCAAATTATAAAATTGTCCAACAACTCAGACCCTAACAGAGAAAATCAACTCATGTGTAATCATATATATGTATATATCAGTATGACCTATAGACCTATATCTGTCTGTGAACTGTTCCTCATACACTGTATATAGGTGTTTTTTACAGAGAGGGGTTGTTTAAATGTTAGTCTGTGAGACTGACTGATATAATTCTGATAGACAAAGAGTTGGTAGAATGAGACAGAGCAAAAGGCAATATTATGTTTATTGATATTTTTGTTACACCATGCAATACACTTCAGAGATGCATGTTCCTCTCAGAAATACTGTGTTTTTGTAAAAAACTGCTTTCCTAACTCTTCCACCACTACATGTATTTTCTTTGCAGAGGGTGAAAGTGAAGAAAATAAAGAATTTGTACCTCTGCTGAAAGAAATTGAGGAACTTTACCCCGGTCTTCTTGGTAAGTTTCTGGAAGAATATATGTGTGACAGAGGCGTCACCTTGAGACAATTGGTGTTTATTTGGATCAGTCCATATTAGATTGAGACAGACAGAGTTTAGTTAAAATAAGTCCTCAGAGACTTAACATGTTCTATAAGCTTGGGGTGTCTAAAATCTAGGACAGATGTCACAGGCAGCCCCCAGAGGCTGAGGTACCCCCAAAATAGTCTCCAGAGTAATAAGTTTGGAAATTTGATAAGACAGATTTAAAACTAGATGCATTGTTACTAATTTGAACTAATATTGTCAAAGAAATATGGAATATGAGGGACATAATATAGATTATTGTGAAAATAAGAAATTAAATGATATGTTGGTCTGAAAAAAAAGATATACCATATACGAGGGGTAACCTTTACGAGGGATAACAAATGTACCCCATTCTGAGAGATAACCCCTATTTTGACATCAGAATGTTTATCTACTTGCAGAAAAGCTGCAAAGTTTCAAGAAGAAATCTGGAGGAAGAAAGAGTCGTTTAGAACCCAGTCATACTCCCCACAAGAAGAGTAATGTTAATGTCAATACAGCTGGCAAGGGCACTAAAGGAGGTCGGAAGAAATAGTGTCTTCAAGATATTTCTGAATATTAACAGAAAGCTTTGACAATAACAGAAAATAATAATCTTGTATGAGACATTTTTTCTTCCCCTTACTCTGTATTTAAATTCCCCACTTGAAGCTAAATTGGCGTTTATTTAGTAATAGCACGTTGTTTACTTTTTTGAAATACAGAAAGGGGAGGTTTTAACACATGGGCTTAAGGCACTAGTTATACAAATCTTAACAAACTGAAACATTTTAAATTATCACCTTTTACATAAATTGCAATGAAGATGGCCTGATGCTTTTTTAAAATTGTGCAAAACCTATTAGTGTCATGAATTATTTTGGTTGAAAAGATTCATATACTAAGGGGTAATAATACATTAAGTGTAATATTTATGTTATCTACGCATTTGTATTCTTTGTGTAAAAATGTATGTTTTATTGTAAAATATTCATGTAGATCCAAAAATCTTTGGAGCATAGTATTCTAGATCACTAGAAAGTACATCTTGTAAGTGAAACAATAGCCTAATTGAAGTCTTCAAAGATATTTGTGCATAAGTCATATCTTCATTTTGCTTGCCAAAACATATTGAGATTATTATTTGATTTGTGATAGTTATCATATCACCATTCATCATTTGTTTGAATTATCTAAACTGAGCCAATAATTATACCATCTGTAAAACTAGAAACTTTTATTTGCACGATTTTTGCATGTACTTTGTAAGTATCCATCAAAATAAAGAGCCTTAGAATGTGACAATCTGACAATCAAGGCATTAAATTTTGAAAAAATTTCAAGGTTTATTGTATATCAGTGTTCATTTTATTTTATCAGTTAAAAATTGATTTCCATATACAGTATTGTTATATAAATATTTTTGAGTTTATTTTTGTGTACATATTTAGGGTTTTGGGTTTATATTCCAGGCCCGTAGCCAGGATTTGCCAAGGGGGGTTCGTTATTTGAAAAATTCCAGGGGTGTTCACTTTTGACAATTTTGGTCCAAAAATGGCCAAAATCACTTAAAAAGTGCTCAGAATGATGAAAAACTGCATGATTTTGAAAGGATTTTTGGCCAGGGGGGTTCGCTCAAACCCATTGAACCCCCCTGGCTACGGGCCTGTATTCTGCAGTTCTTTAATGGACTGGTGCTTATTTTATTTTCACACAACACATGTATTCCAAAAGAAAAATAATCTTCCAAAATGAACCGTCCATAATTGTAAAAAAAACATCACATGAAAAAAATGTCTAAAATGATAACAAAAAGCTTATATAGGCTATTTGTATTTTAAGGTGAAGATCAAAACAACCTAAAAGCAAAACCATTTTGAATTATAAAAAACTGCTGCTTAAATCCATTTGCCTTTTCTGATTTAGAATATAGGCGTGTCTTGTGTTTGTTTCTTGTACATGTGATGTATATAAATGTTGTGAAATGTTTTATTTACAATAATCTATTATATTTTATTGATATCAGTGTAATAAATATACAGTTTTGATTATACACTCTAAATAATCATTCTTTGTTGTTTGGGAGGACGTGAGAAAAGATATTTAACACAAAAGATTGAGTATTGTCACAAAGACCGCCCAATATGCTTTGACAAAACCTTTCCGTAGCAAATATAAGAGTGAACTTACTCTTGGTTTTAATTATTTTTGTTTTGAAGACATGGATTGCCATTTGTGCTTTCTTAACGAGGAGATTAATTACTTCCACAAATTACATTTTAATGTTCAAAATGACCTTTAATTATCCCCTTGACTTCCATACAGTATCTTAAAGAAACACTTAAATAGCAAATGTGTGAAATACCATACAATTCACATTTAAAGTATATCCCATGTGACCTATACCTAAAAATGATCATGACCTACATAGTATCCATTCACCTTCAACACCAGTAATTACAGAATTAACATGTGACCTTGATGCAACCTTTGAACCCCTTACATCAAGCCTGGGTTCAGTAGTCTTGGATGAGATAGCCACCATAAGCCAGGCAGCCAAAGATAACCATTCTTTATACATATCAAGATTACTTCTACTAATTTCAGATCAACAAAAAAGTAATTTTAGATAAAGTATACTGATTATATTTATTTCATATTATATATATTATTTATATTACATTCATATGATTTGTAATATAATACTGATATGTAAGCTTTTATGATTTAGATTCATATTAAAGCTTTATTATGCACAACTCAAATTATGCAAATAAATGTTTCAGATCATTTCTGAATTAAATATAAATTATGATACAACCTGTGGTAAACAATACATTAAGGTTCTCTGTGGAAAACAATACATTAAGGTTCTCTGTGGAAAACAATACATTAAGGTTCTCTGTGGAAAACAATACATAAAGGTTCTCTGTGGAAAACAATACATAAAGGTTCTCTGTGGAAAACAATACATTAAGGTTCTCTGTGGAAAACAATACATAAAGGTTCTCTGTGGAAAACAATACATAAAGGTTCTCTTTGGTGAACATAACATAAAGGTTCTCTTTGGTAAACATTACATAAATGTTTTCTGTGGTGAAAAATACATAAAGGTTCTCTGTTTTAAGTTTAAAGCATAAAGATGTAATATTTGATGATAAATTCGGCAGACACTGGAAGATGCCGTACTTTCATTATATTTATAAAACACAAGATGTATACTGAGTAAATATTGATAAAGCTTAGAAAATAGTTCCAAAATATATAAACAATGGAGGTATAATGATAATAATATGTAGGTCAGTATAAGTTATACACATCATGTAAAATAACATAAATGGACGGATAATAAAATAACGTAATAAAATAACTTTTAATTCAATAAGTACATGTTTCAATATACAGTGTACAAATAACTTGACAGTCAATGACAGAAAGTTGTTATATTGAATATAATCTCAATCTTTGGCAATTCTTACATGACAAATATTATGACAAGAGCATGAGTATTTATTTCATATTATAAACCAGGTTCTCAAAAGGATTAAAAAATTCCTCTTTAAAAACATTAAAAAATTTTCAAAACAAAATATTACCACCCACAGGTACAAAGTAATTTAATAAATATTACTCTGAGATTGTGTCTATAGATTTCTATTTAATATCAGGTAATGATAATACTTCACAAACGTTTTGCTCCTATATATATACTATATGTTTATGATAAAACATAACAATTTGAATTTAAATATGTTTAAAGTTTTCATCAGTTTTCAGTCGTAAACCATATGATGTCCAAAGCTACAATATATTGTATACACTACAGTGTATAACAATATGTCACCACTTGTGGTGGTGACATAACCAAAAGCACAACAGCCACACTTAGGACCATTAAGATTGCATCAGCATCAACATTATAATGTCATCTATGAGAGTCAAATGGTTATGTGGATTGCAAGAGAATATTCAAGTTTTTTGTTTTTAAAGATTACAATTGTACGGTACTGTACTGCACTGCACTGCACTGATAAGTAATTTTAAAACAATCATCAACCATTTTCATGCTGAGATCCTTGATTGTCATCTTTGTTTTGTTGATCATCATCATCATTGTTTTCATCTTCATCATTTTCATCAGGGGGATCATACTTAGGGTGTTGAGACAGAAAGTATGGAACATAAGCCAGACACTCAACTTTACTGATAATCTCTGACCCTGACTGAAAAACAAAAACATGAATATTTTAACTATTAAACACAATAAGTAAAAATAATACATGTACAAACGTGTTTGGTGTTATTTATCAATAACACCAAATGCTGACACAAACACTGTATGTTGACTACCAAACACCAGTCAAATGAAAAATGTCTGCACCTTTTGGTTTTGGTGATGAGATAATATCACAGTACACCTATGTAAAATAGATTTCATTAATGTCTCATGAGATTTTATTATGTAGAGTTCATTCAAATATTTTGCAGACCTTTACTGTACATACCTGCCAACCTACCGTATTTTTACGGGAATCTACCGTAAATTTTTCGTTTTTCCGTAAAAAAATGACAAACTACCGTAAAAAAATACCATCTTTTTCCCGTAAAAACGCCCGTAAAAAAATCTACCGTATTTTTTTCGAAATTTACCGTAAATTTTTTTTTTTAAACTCGTTTATTCCATGAGAACGGCCGTAAAATCTACCGTAAACTTTTGAAAATCTACCGTAAATTTTCGAAAATCTACCGTATTTCTGCTAAAATCAACAGTATTTTTGTTCAAACTAGCGTAAAATTTCCCATTATTGTTGGGAAATGCTGAAAAATGGAAGTCTTCCTGTACTGTCCCTGTAATATTTCTTCACCAACCCGAATATAAATAGGTATTGGCAGGTCTGTGGTTATCAGGTTATTGCGCATTTATCTAAGTAAGCTTGCGTGTAAGCTTGCGTCCAAACACCAACTACCACTAGCTAGAAAGAATTCGTTCTGCCATGATTTTTGTAGTTAACCAAACCCTTTTGTACACAGATATGAGCGTAGCGCCTATTACGCAAAATACGTACAGGCGTACCAAATGAATTTGATAAAAAATAAAAATTTGTTAAAATGCATTAATTTATTTGCGAATTTATTGATGCTTCCTACCGTGTCTGTATTTTTACGATTGTCAACATTTAAAGTTGATAAAAACGCTTTGATTCCATCAAAAAACCTACTTGAAAAAATATTTCCCGGGGAAGCAAATCGGCCACGCAATCAGGCATCCCCGTGTGTGCGTACCGACTCAAAATATTGTTTTAGCGTATGAAATATGCGTAGTTTGATTTGCTAAATCAATTTGTTTACAGTACGATAAAATGTTGTATTTTTCATCAGAACACATTATATCAGTAACAAATACATAATTAAAAAATAAAGCATTGAGTTTGGGTTTATCATAAAAGTATTGTGATATCCGAATCTGAACGATGTCTCAGGGGAAAGGTTTCAGCAAATGCTCATAACATATTATTTTTGAAAGACAATTGATCTGTACTTATTTTCTATTTGTGCCAGACAAACACATTGATATCATTAGAGACTTGCGAGTGAACAAATCAATATTTAATACCATATGATTCCAATGTTATATGAACATTATGTCTGTCATTTCAATTCGTTAAAGTGATAGATCATCTAAGATGGTGAGTAAAAACGTGTAAAATCCATATTTTGTATTTCAGTAAATGTTTCATTGGTATTTCCAAACATCCTGATATCTAAAAAAACTGGTTAGAAGGTGAATAAAAGTGGAGATATGAATATTGTGTTCGTATTTTGAATCAATCTAGATTTATTGTAAAAGAGTTGTAAAAGAGTTGTATTCATATACATGTACATTTTGCTGAAACATTAAAATCCAAAGTTGCTGTCAGTCCATTGTAAGCATGGTAAATGAAGAATAAAAAGTGTTTAGTCTCTATTTATTCTTGAAAATAGTATATCTATTTTTTCTTGAAAATAATAGTTTCGTATAATTCTCAGGTGGTAGTTCTGCTTTACAAACTGTAATTATCAAAAGCACTCTTGCAGTAAAATATGTATTCACAATAACAAAAACAATATGACCACGTAAACATTGTATTAATATAGAAAACCGCATTGTATAAAGGTTTAACTACCGCATTTTTCAAAATCTACCAAAAAATACCGCATTTTGGCAAATCTTTGGCAAGAGTACCAGTTTTTCAAAAAATTACCGTAAAAACTACTGCAAGTTTCAAAATCTACCGTAAAACTACCGCATTTTTTCAAAATCTTCCGCAAAAGTACAGTTTTTTTCCAAAAATTACCGTAAAAACTACCGCAATTTTCGAAATCTACCGTAAAACTACCGCATTTTTTCAAAATCTTCCGCAAAACTACCGTTTTTTAAAAAAAACTACCGCATTTTTTCAAAATCTACCGTAAAACTACCCCATTTTTTCAGAATCTTTCGCAAAACTACCGGTTTTTCAAAAAAATTACCGTAAAAATTACCGCATTTTTTAAATCTACCGTAAAACTACCGCATTTATTCTAAATCTTCCGCAAAACTACCGCTTTTTCAAATTCCTACCGCAAACCTCTGAAACTACAGTATTTTTTAAAAATCTACCGCAAAAACTACCGTATTTTTTTAAATCTACCGCAAAAACTACCGTTTTTTTCTAAAATCTACCGCAAAAACTACCGCAATTTTGTTGAAAATACCGCAAAAACTACCGTATTTTGAAAAAATCTACCGCAAAAATACAGCAATTTTAAAAAAATCTACCGCAAAATTTTGGTCTTAGGTTGGCAGGTATGCTGTAGGTGACTACAACAGTGCAGTCTAATAATATATTAAAGGCAAAATCAGATCTATAGGGGTGAAAAAATTACAAGCAACATGTACAACTGACCTATTAATCTATTCCTTACAACCTCAAATACAAGATCTCACAAAAGATTTAAGATATGTTATAAATTGGTGAAGTTATTATGGATTCAAAGTTCAAAAATGGGCGAAAAATGTTTAAATTACTCCCAAATAATAAGAATGGTGAGAACAATTTTCTGTTGGCCTGCTTGCTAGATCTGATTCTCTCTTTAATGAAATGTTATTTGGTATTGAAATATTACATACTGGGTTTATTGCATCTAATACTTGATTGAGTCTGCCTTGGCCCGTCTCACTGTCAAAGTCTCGTCTGACTAGGTCACGAATTATCGTTTCCATCGCTTCAAAATCTATTCTACCTGTTTGACTCTTATCTGCCTTTTGGAAATACTCCTACAATTAATTTAAAATATATATTAAACATTTGATGCATGCATGCTTGCTTTTTCAAATATTCTAACAGATAATCTGAGGGGTCATTAATGTATTGAAAATCAGACCCTTTAACAAATATATTTCACACCACTTTATCTAAAAAAAGGTAATTGTAGTCTATATACAATATTTTAACTTTTGCTCAAGACTGAAGATAATTGATTTTCTTACAATTCTGTACAATTAAGACCGATGACTAGTACACTTTAAAATCTACCGTACATCTTACACTGTACAGCGCATTTTACAATATACATCGCATTTTACAATGTACAGTGCATTTTATATTGTACAGTACAGGGTGTCCCGAAAGTATGGGGCCCCCCCTAGGCAGACATACACCAATGTTCCCATAGTATGTGTCATATATCATTTAAAAGCTTATCCAAAGTTACATTGATTTGCCAAGTATCATTGCTCAACTTACAAATGAGAAAAAGTTACAGGCATTTCAAAACTTAGTGTTTGGCCAAAATTAAAGCTAAAATCAGTATCCTGGAAACACCGCTTACCTGAATGTGACCAAAAATATGGTTGATATCGTCAAAGAGAGGATGGATATTGAGTTGTAAAAATAGGTCGGTAAGGGCAGATACTCCAAGGAAACTCTTCTAAAATGCCTTAAAAAGGTTTTATGAGGATTATAAAATGCCATACCCCTATTCGAAGTGCATTTAAGGTCATATCTGGAAAGAAATGCTGCTGTTAACATGGCCAAGGGAGACACGCAGACTATTAATTTTGTGTAAATATACACTTTAATTTTGGTAAAACACTACATTTTGAAATGCGTGTAACTTTTCGCCGTTTGTGAGTTGAACCATGATACTTGGCAAATCAATGTAACTTTGGACAAGCTTTAAAATGATATATGACACATACTATGGGTACATTGGTGTATGTCTGCCTAGGGGGGCCCCATACTTTCGGGACACCCTGTACGTCTTACACTGTACAGTGCATTTTACACTGTACATTGCATTTTACACTGTACGGTGCATTTTACACTGAACAGTGCACTTTACATTGTACAGTACATTTAACAATGTACAGTACATTTTGCAATATACAGCGCATTTTACACTGTACAGTGTAATTTACTCTGGACACTGTATAACACTTTTTTAAGCAGTGCTTACTATGAATATCTTGATGTTGTCATCTAGCTCTGAGAAATCAAGAAGTTTGAAACACTCCCTGAGGTCATCTTCAAATGAGGAGATTCGTTCACATAATACTGATAGCGTGAGAAACTCATCCAGGCCAAAAAAAGTACTTGCACTGCTTATGTCATACACCTGAAAATAAACAAAGAATCATATATAACTGACATCGTGGTTAGCCACGCCCTCTCCATCTCTGTCTTTCAGGAGAGCGATGCAACAGAGAGAGATGCTATGAGTATCAGAATGTATAACTGAATAAGTTAAAATGTTTGAAAATTTTAGTTGAATATTTTTGTAAAATAACTAAAACAAGGTGAAGTATTATAATAACATATGATCAATAGAAGGAAATATATCCATCATGAAATTAGATCCCACGCTAAATGAAAATGCTATTTTGATTCAGCAGCCAACATACAGTGTATAATTTTCACATTTCAAAACTGTTCCTATGCTCTAATGTTCCTTTTACTCAAAGCGAAACAATTTTAACAGATATTTCAAATGAATGACGGAATAGAAACTGTATATACTGTAGTAGTAGTACTATATAAATCAGATTAAGCTGTGTGAATTGACAAACATTTAAAGATTACACCTTCTGACATTCTGACAATTACTGCACCATCTACCAGTGACCTGTCAAAGCTATTTGATAAACAACTTTTACTGAATGCAGTTTTCTATTAGCTGAGCTTGTTATAAGTCTTACAACAAACCCATAGCTGGGGGGGGGGTGATCACACATTTTTTCAAACTTCTGAGCACCTTTCAAGTGATTCTGGGCCAAAGTTTGAAATTTGAACCCCCTGGAATTTTTTGACAGAGAACTCCCTTGGCAAAAGCTGGCTACAGGCTTGTACAATATTCTGAATATTTCATTATGAATATCATACCTTTCTATTGCAATATGTTTTGCATGTAGAAATAAATACACCTGTTTAGAGTAAATACACTGTGTATCAATTCAGCCTTTAGAATTAAAATAGATACTACTTATAATGTATTGTCATAAAACATTAATGATCATGTCGTCAATTAATACTCCAACTATTAAAACAATTCTCTTTGTTATGTCATTTCCAGTTATTGACTTACAAATATGTAAAAATAAATATTTAAAACATGATGGGTTAGTATATGCAAATGCATGTATCCTTTATAAAAGTAACATTGTCCAGTGCTTTATGAAACGATAAAGCACCGTGCATGATGATGTATCCCTAGTTGACCATATACCTTGAACTAATGGACTGGAATACTCTAAGCTGATTGGTTGAGAAACACTTTCGCACACTGAAATTGCTTTAGTACTGCAAGTCAAAAATATCAGTTTACTGTTAAAGAAGGTTGTATATTCGAGTCTGTTATATTGGCTAGATAGCCAGAAAGTGTACACTCCCCTCCAAAAGTTAGGCAATTAACGTTGACTCTGCATTCAACTGTGTTTCAGCATGTTGATGTCTGAATTCTTTGACATGCTTGAGGGAGTGTAATTGGGATTTGATTCACCATTGTTTCACCTTCTATTCATGTGCTCATGGTAGATTGGTAAATATTTCTGTCGAGATGAGAAAGTATAAGGGCAATATTTGAAAAAACTTCTTCTACATTCATCCATAGCAGGAATACCAAAGGTTCTGTGAACAAATCTCATGTCGAAGATATTCAATTTTTGCAGAACCAACTATTTCATCAGCAAAACAATATACCCTGAATGTGTTTTTTTATTTTTTTATTTATTTTTTTAATATTAACAGATAAAATCATTTCTCAGACCCTTTAATACATTTAGCCAATTTATGCGAGGGGGCTACACTTTTCTTCATGTATTTCAGCCTTTACACCATCTTTATTTTTTACTATACGAACGTCTTGAGCCACTTCACAAGTTTTTTGGCAAACTCTAACACGTTTCTTAGAACCTCTTCCATTTTTCCTACAGGTGTTTGTAAAATCACTCCACTCTCCCCAGCCTTCCATTGGTTCAGCGCAGTCCCCTGGGCAATCGTTCCATATCAATCCTCTGCATTTGTAGGAAAGTCGTACTGTACAATTCATTCTTACTTGGACAGTTGTGCAACTTCTCCCTTCTCCACATGGTGAAAACACAGATACTGAAAGTTTTGTTACTAAATGTCAACTTTCTAATATTAAAACAGAGAAATAGTACTATACAGTGTATGCACAAGAACTACAGTATGTAGGTATGTTTGGGGTTGCACAATGACTAAACTGACTAGTCTGAAAGGATATTGAGTTGTTTAATATACTAGATGGGAATACATTGACTTGGTTACCTTCTTGTTGACATGGTTTGCATTTCCCATTTCCTTTGCCACATCTGCACACCAATTTACACCTTTTGCACTTTTTCAACATTCCACCGACACATGAGCAAGCATTACATTCACCATCAATGTCCAATGTTATGGGACCATCTTCTTTACAGTGCTTACTCGGAGAACATTTAACATTTTTCTTGCATTTGATATTATCTTGACTTACACACTTGCATACAGTGCAGTTGTCTATGTCAAGCCATTTGCCATCTTTTTGGGGATGAATGTAGCCATGTTTTGTACATGTTATTGGTGGGATGTACCTGCAGCACAATGTGTATCTACGATTTAGGGGATATGTACAATTGTATCCACCTGGACATCGAAAGCTTCCACCTCCTCTACATTTCCTAGGAATTCCTCTTTTATCCAGGATTCGATCAGTGCAATTAAGATCTCCAGAATGTTCCATATATTCAATATCAGTCTTCTTCATTTTATCCTGACAGCATGTATCCTCCTTCTTTGAACAAATGTATGTATTTGGACACCAAAACTTCATAGACCTACATGATATGTTATATTTTGGCTGTCCATTTGAACACTTCATTTCATTCATAGGTGGTATAGGCGGTGGTATGTATTTACAGCACATTGAATATTTTCTAAAAGAAACACACATGTATCCGTATGGACACTGAATCCTATTGTTTCCTTGGTAACCACAAGCAGCAATTATTCCCTCCCTAACAATTCGATCTGAGCAATCAACATCCATCTTTTCAAAGCGTTCATAATCCTCCTCATCCATGGTCATGTTCAACTGACAACATGTGAGATTATCCTCTCTTGAACAAATGTATGTATTAGGGCATGTATCTTTCCAAAACCCATATTTCTCTACAATAGTACAGGATTGGTTTAACTTTGGTTGTCCGTTTAGACAGTACATCTCAGCATTTGGTGCGTCCACAGTATCTGCATTTTTTCCATCTATGCCCACCATGGTGTAAACCAGAAGGTAAGGCAAGAAATAGAGAGATTTGATGATCATGTCGCTAACCTTTTCAGATGAATAAAACCCAATAATAATTTTACATCATAATGAAATATATAGCTTAGTAGCGTAAGTAATTAAGTCCTTGCAGATATTTTATATAAAGTCCAATTACATACATGTACTATGTAGCTGTGTAAAAATATAAGTAAAGTCTTAAAAGGTTTACTGTGAAGTCATTTTATAATACCTTATTCTACTTCAGGATGAGATTTCCTGAATTAAATATATTTTGTTAAGCTGTTTCTAGTTTTAAATACTTTCCTTCTTATGTATTAACCAATCTATTACAAAAATTCGCATTTTATTTTACTCAATTTCACTTGTTATAACCACCCAAGCTGAATGCTTGTGAGGTACCTGCCAAGGATACTCTACTTATAAAGTTTTCAGGGTTTATAAAAGTTTAACTATGTAATATTATAAGAAATCATGTTTAATTTTATTCAAACAATTCTACTTACTGCATGCCATCTTTTAACAGATACAGTGTCTTTATCAAAGATAAACACTTTAATCCTTAAAGTTGTTTTAACTTGATTGAACACTAAATTATATTTTAAGAACATAAGTGATGATGCTATTGCCCAGTGAACAAAAATCTAACACTTAACTAAACACACACTAACACTAAAAAGTAGTGGCAAAGCTATACCTCATTAACATTTCTATCAATTCAAAAATACTCCAAAATATCTGAGTATCAAATGAAACTCTGTCTCCATCTATTCTAATGCCTTGACTTATTTTAAATTTACATACCTGTTTTATAAATCGTTGTTGGGCGAATGTGAGATTTTTTGGCAACTGGGACTTCAACTGGGAAAACATCACATGTCTAAAATAAAAATGGATGCTTGTTTCAGATACAATTTCCCTCAAAGATTATAACATACAAGGCATTAACATGCAAAATGTCACCACCTAACATTTGTTTCTGATGCTGAACGCCGACCATTGAACACCATAAAAAAGTTGGAGGCCATAACAATATGTCAACACTTATGGTGGTGACATAAAATAATTACAAAATGTACAATGATTGTAAAGCATGAAAACTGTTATTCCTTTTGGCCTTTCTGTAGCCCTCTTTATTTCAGATTGTACCTCTATGTACTTGGATTTAGTAAATGACTTACCCATCCATGTCCGTGTCTAAGCGTTTGAATGTCTTCATCAACATGTCAGTGGCTTCCCTTGTGAGAGATCTGGTTAGATCTGCACCCTGAAGAACAAGTCACAAAACTAGAAAAACAGCGACTCAAGGAATGTTTTCTAAAATCATAGTTATATTTTGAAATCACACTTACAAGTCATGGTGCTGACCATTTCAGATATGAACTAAAATGATATCTTTCTCAAAGTAAGACTGCCATTTTGAATCAGGATGCCATTTTCAAAACTGAATGTGTTCAACATTAACCCAATAAAAGAACAGCCTTGATCTTTTTTCTTTGACCTCTTTTTAAAAATAAAGGATTGTGTTGCCTTAGTTGTTTACTTAAAAAAGTCCTGTGGTTTTATGGCCATTTAATTACTATAAAATGCAATGCAACTGCTTTCAAGTCTGATAGAAACCATTGTCAAAAAGATGAAATATTGAGAAATTTCAACAAATATACCGGTAGGTAAAATTAAAGCTTAATTTGGGAAAAACAAAGGGAGGTTACTGAACACACATGAATTTGAAAACATAACAATCACAACAATTAATCTAGACATATTATACCTTTAATGGGTTAGGTGTCTTTGGTGGGTGTCTGGAGACAGCACTGCGTGGAGGAGGGAGGGGTGAAGGCTCAGGGGTGGGGGAGGGTATATCCACCTCTTCCTCAGACAGTGCTTCGGGAGATGCTCTATGGGGGAAAAGCATTATGCAAATTAAAGCAAACAAGGTATCACTTTAAAGTAAAGCCCTGTGCTGTATTAAAAAGCAGGATTTCATGTAAAATACAAATTAACAGACTGTCCTGGAGTATACCCACAAATATGCTCTCTGGAGTCTCCTTACAAGTATACTCAACTAAAAACACACTTTTATAAAAATAGCAGACCTCGGTTCAAATATAGTGAATAATTCGGCTGCTAAGAGTTACAATGCATATTTTCAAACAAAATATTCATATTAGTCTTGCTTCAAGACCCTGGACCCCCCCCCCACTTATGTACTTTAACTACTGTTGTAAAGAAGATAGGGGTGGTTGTCCAGGGTTTTGAAGCAAGACTATATTCAGTTGTACAAAATGTAAGTTGAAGATGAAGTGAGGTTTGGAGGAGAGCTTAGATCTCATTGATAACAGTCAATTTGTCAATCAAGCAAGTTAAACTTTATTATACATACAGTATCCCTTTATAATGTATTCACATATTATCAATTTCAAATCAGAAAAACACATACAAAGCCATATAATACTAGGAGACAGAACTCAGTAAAAGATTACACAGGTGTACCATGTGATAGTTTGTACACTATTGATCAAAATATTGATTCGATCTTTTGTTTAAGACAAATAATGGAATGAATATGCACTTACTCTATTGGGGATGGTGTAGGCTCTGGGTCAGGTTGAGGGGGTGGGGTAGGTGGTGAGGGACTAGGTGGCACTGACTCGTCACTTGATGATTCCTCAATTGTTACCTTCCGCTGTGGCTTTTTTTGGTTGTCTAAAATTAAAGGTAGAATCTGCTTTATATTATCTGTTAACAAATGTGTCCAAACAACTAATATGTTTAAATAGAAAACATTTTGTTCCCTCTGAATAAAAATAGTTAGACATGTCAACTCAAACTACATTTATTGTTTTTTTAGAGAATAAAATTGCATTAAAGTTAAATAAAAACCCTGAATGATGAACATTTACAAATTAATTTATAAGATGCAAGATCTAAAATAAAGATCATTTAATCAAATTAAGAAGTTACTTAACAAATTCCAGAAATGAACAAATTCGATTTCCATAAAATAACACTTTTGGGCATACACATTTGACCATAATGATTCAAAAAAAAAATTCTTAAATTCTTAATCAAAAACGTTTTTCAAATTCACAATCAATCAATTTCAAGATGACAGAATCAGTCACTTTAACACTTTTTTGTTTACTGGTATTAAAATGGGGATTGGAGGATGACTTTTAGACCTGTATGTAAAAATAGTTACAGTAAATCCTGTAAAGTGGAACACCTCTGTTAGTGGAACTTACTTAAGAATGTAGGTTTCCTAATAATAAAAGGTATGGAAGACTTTCCATTGTCGCTTTGTTTTTTAATTTTTGTTGAAACAACTGGCTTCCTTTTGGCGCTGTTTTGCCTCACTCTGGTTGGTTGAGGGGCTGATGATGTCACAATTGTGCTGGTACGATCTATTGTCCTGAAATTGCATTGGTTAGTTTAGGCCATGCCATTATTCAAATCTTGTCAGCTAAAACTAGAACCCTTGGATTCCATCTCTATATAAGTTTTTTTTAATATTTAGGAGAAGCAAGAATGTGTCTCTTAGTACCATGCAAAAGCAATGCTAAAGTGATCAACAAAAAGCATTTGTTATTTATAGGGCATTCATAAAGCTTGCGCAAAAGTACTCTCAAATTTTGGTTTCTCAGTCAATCTGGCTGAAATTTTCACCCCTGACTCATATTACTATAGCAACCATAACTTCTTTTCTTCAAGGATCTATTCATTATAATTTAGGAATTCAATGTATGTATAGGGTATACTTTTACACAAACTTTATGAACATGTATGTCAAGGTTTTTTGTAATTATGGGATCTATGTTCAGCAGTGAAGCCTTTAAAAGCAACTTACGGTAAGAACTGCTTGCTGGTTACTAAGGGGTCCTTGACTGAAGATGGCAGCACCATCGTCTTGTACTTCTCTAATTCATTTGTAATATCAAGTCTGAAAACAGAGTATTCAAAAAGTAAAGTAAATAATTATAGAGGGTTTGGACAGATGTAAACCTTTTTTCAATCATAGTAATCTTAAAAAAAATTCAAAATTTTGTGACAGAATTTATGGATTTCAAAAAACAATACTATCTCAATTCTCCACAAACATTTGGGACGTAATAGCTACAAACTTCTAAAACTATCCGACAACAAGGCCAATATTCAGATACATGTACATGGAATATCTCTTGAAAGCTCATGGGACCGGCACTTGAATCAATGATACCAATGTGTCTTAGTAACAGTGTTACAAACTTTCAAAATGGGTTCAAAAATAAAATTATGTATGAAATTATTCACATTTTAAGTCACTCATTTTGAAAAACCACCTTAGGCTCATCCCAGTACCACCTTCCTGTGAGGATATATTCTTGTAACTTTCACAGGACAATGGTACTATACTCAACTATGTAAAGTAGAAAAATTAGTCAGAAATATAAAAATTCAAAAAGTTACTGCATTTACATCAGTACTTATTGAACATACACACAAACTACATAATTCTAAGATAAATACACCTAAGACAGTTTAGAAATCAAACTTGTTCATTGTACCTATCTCCAAGTGATGCCTTTGCGCCCCCTAGAAGTAGATCCTTTTGCTCTCTGTGCAGAGGGTTGATTCCAAACTTTCTTTTCATCCCCCGGATCTTTTCTTTCTGTTGTTGTTCATGGTACAGTCTATCCTGTTGGCCCATGCTGTAATTTAGGTTTATACAAGAAATATTTTAGCTTTTTTTATCAAAAACTTCAAAGAGAACATAGCTTTTTTTTATTATCAAAAACTTCATTTCAAAGAGAACATGATGCATTTTTTTAGTTTCCTTAACAATTTTTGATCCTTGTTTGATCTCTCTTTGTTACGTCTCATTGAACCTAAACTAGAAAGTGAAATTCCATCGAAACCATTATTTCATACTCGATGTAAGAATGAAGGGATGTTTTTACCAATTTTAAACTGCTTATCTAGTATCATTGCTAAAAGACATCATGCTAATTAGGGATTATTGCTCATTTAGGTACAGAATTTGCATCACTGCTAATTAAACAAAATTTTATCTCAGTATTGATTCAGCAATACTGATGAGTTAGAAATAAAATTTACTTACCCTTCTTTTAACCTATCTGGTATCTTATCCCACTGAAAAAGAAACATCAAAATCTATTAAAAGGCAATAAAAACTGTAATTAAAATGTTTTTAGTGAATGTGTAAAACTGTGCCTTCATACTTGGTATGTTTTTTAAAAAACTAAATTAATTTCAAATGTACTAATAATATATTATTCAAACTGTGATTGTGATGTTAATGTGCATTTTATATATCAAAATATATGTACGTTTAAGAAAAACTATTAATCGACAATGCTATACTTTAGTGTTGAAATTCAGTATTCAGAAGCTGGCCTCTCAAAATAATGTTTTATCACAACTGCTGAATTTAAATTGTCTTTCATGATTGAACTGAGTCGGGGTAGACAATGGTTACATCGTGGAAGTTGATAGTTGAATGTTGAATTAATATTTTCAAGAGATGAGCTTCTGGATCATGTTCTCCAAAGTTTCAATCACTATTTTTCACACAAGGTTTTCCAAATATTCACAGTGCAGCATAAAAATTTGCAATTTCTCTAAAAGTTTGCATGAACAAGCAAACTTTCAAAAATCAGCTATTTGGAAACAGGATTACCCTATGGCACTCCCTGCTCCCCTACATTAAAGTATATCTAATACAAGTGAATAGCCATCTAATCAATCATCTTAAGCATATAACCCTACTACTACTACTGTATGTACTGTACTGTATAAAAGGCAATAAAGTGCTTGAAGTCACATTCTAAAAACTATCACTATACTAAACCTAGTGAATGGAATATCATTGAGATAAAGAATGGGGAAAAATGTGGTAGTGTGGCAGACTAAAACCTGACAGACAGCCATGGTATCCAATAGTCCATTGGATAGTCCATTGGATAGTCCATTGGCCTTACCTGTCACACCATGCAGTAATAATAAGTTATAACTTTATTATTCTATTCTATAAGATGTGCAATTGAGAATACTGTGTTTCACATACACACACATTTGTGTTTTTGTGCAGAATGTATATGTGCACACTCAACTTCAGCATAAATTACTGACTAACATTTAATGAATCTCTTAATTCATTAAGTGTAATCTATCTATACAAATCGATCTTTGGTAAATTAAATTACTAAACAATTTACAAAAGTTTATAAATTATATTTTTCTCACCAACTTTGAATTATATTAGTAAATCAAACCATGAATTAAATGTTAATTAAATTAATCAATTGATTATTAATCAATCATTTTAATTACTTAATTAAAGAAACTAGTAATTCAAACCTTGCTTCTGACTTGGAAGTAATGCCATTAATTAATTAGCTGATTAATTAATGTCATTAGTCAATCAATTAATTAGTCATATCAATTAGTACAGAACATTGACCATCAATATATTAAATCCATAATAGATGATCTGATAATGTCAATAAGGCTTAATTATGCAATGTTGCTTGTAATGTCAATATGGCTTAATAATGTCAATGTAGCTTATAATGTCAATATGGCTTAACAATGTCATTGTAGCACAAGCTTTGTTCAGTTTATCATTAATTGAATCCATAGAACATCAAGATAAGTTAGGGAGCATGTCAGTATATTAATTTACCCACAAACACAATTAATAATACAGGGTGTCAATAAAGTCTCTTTATAATTACAATACAATGTCTGTTTGTAAATAGTAAGGTGTAAAGAGACTTTATGAACACCCTGTATATTCTGAGATATTGAATTTTGAATTTTAGCCTTGTTTCGGTGAGGGTTACTCAGAACCATGTTTGCAATTTTTACTTAAGCTGCATGATATATACCTAGAAATGTATGTCAATTACTTCAGAGAGAGAGATAGTATTTATTCATTTATTTTAGATAGAATACAAATTCAATCAAAATTCACATTTTTAAACTTTTTAAATGTACTTCATCTCTTGATGTTCCCTAATAAATATGTGTTTTGGTTGTTCATTTATACATTGATATGTTCGCTCCCTAAAATTATCTATCTGTAATGCTTCAATCGAGTCAAGCCCTGCACAGCTTTTCATTTATATAAGGATCATGCAATAATATCAATATTCGCAAGTAGACATTTCTTATAGATTTTTTGGAATCTCTTAAATCCTAGCACTTTCCATATGATCAAGTCAAGGTTATTTCAAATGTTGACATTTTCATTAGATTTATTTATAGCTTACAAATTCCCTTTGAATTAAAAATGATGAGAAAGAATCACTCTCCAGGCCCATCCACCTTTAAGTTGTTTAGATTGATATTATGACAAGTCCTTAATAAAGAAAACTAGCAGTATCAACACTTCTATAGCTCAAGTTTGCATCATTACTGTTGATGCTACTCACAATAGTTTTGGGCTGAAGATACAGTTGTATATATTTACAATTACAGCATGTATACAGGGTGTGCAAATGCCAAAACATTTTGCAACTTTTTTAAAAGGCTAGAAAAGTATCATAACATTAAGGTATTGACATAAAACATTATTTGCAGAAACTTGAGGAGAGGCATATTTTACCATTGAAATATTAAGGCTAATACTTCAGATCTTTTTGTCAGATCTTTGAATATCAATTGTGCATTTTTCATGTGTTTGAGATTTACCATTTGTCCTTGAAAATGTGACTTTAGGTGATTTTATGTGATCAACAATAACACATTCATTTGGTTCACTAAATCTGGTTTATTTTTTGTTGACTGTTTAACGGATGCCTGGTAGAGGTTTATATCAGTATCTAGTCACTATGATATTTTCTTATACTGTATCTATTAATTATTTAAACAAATGCTCTATACATCCGCCTTTCACCTTTACTATCGCACAGAGATGAGGGCGGAACTGGTCATTGGCGCAATCCAGCAATTCTTGTGGTAATTTTCTCCAATGATACAGAACTTCTTTTAGTTGATCATTAGTTTGTTAGGGATTACGATTAACTAAAATAAGCTGCTCTAGGTACCCCCATGTGTGATAGTCGCCTGGCACCTGGTGTATTAGGCGGCCATTCATCAGGATTAATGAATTGAGGGATATTCTCCTCCAGATATTCCAAAGTGACTTTTCCCCAGGGGTTTCACTCCAATATATCTTTTGATCCTATGTGCCGCGCCAAAGACCCCCTTTTTGGCATATTTTCCATGTCAATTTCCTCTCAAGAATGAAAATGTCCATGTTTGATCCCTCACTGAAGTTTGCTAGGACAAAATTTCTCGAAATATCATTAAAATTGACTAGAAAACCCACTTTTCCAGGGATTTGGCCAAGGCCTCGGCAACTGATTTCAACCAAGGTAATACCATTTTTTCTAGAAAACTGAATTCTGACCTAAAAAAGGTGCCTTTTTTGATAATTTTTTCCATGTTTTTTTCCTCTCAGATTGGCCAATTTCCATGGTTTATACCCAAAGCAAAAATTGGCCATGGTGCACATATCTACCCAAATTATTCAGAGTGAACCCCCGGTTTGCTCAATGGCTTGCAGCGAGAGTGAAGATGAAAAGTAGATGCAAAAAACGTTTGTTTAATAAATAATTCATAGATACAGTATAACATAATACCATGGTGGCTAGATACCGATATAAACCTGAACTAGATATTAGTTAAACAGTTATCAAAAAGCATTTGAATCTTTTTTGAAATTTTGGGCTCAGTTTTTTCTAAAAGATTTGGCTCAAAACGAAGAGAAATTAACATTTTGTTAGGGGCCCAAAATATGTTTTTCGGGCCCAATAATTTGACCCAAAGATCTGCCAGTGAACATATAATGATCCACCCCTTGGCCATGAACTATCAAATAAAAATCATGCATGCATTTTATATCAATTGATTATCAAATTCAATGAGAATGTTTATGAATATATCCTATAATCTTAATCCTAATCCACTCATATCTATTAAGGGACCATTAAGACATCCAATGAGATATTTGCTTATGATATTTAGATTACTACGGGGTGACTTTGTGTATTTAATACAATACAAATATAGATATTGAATTCATGTTATTTTTAACTTCCTAACTTGCTATTACAGAATTCTCTATTCACTTTCTTTAGCACATATTGATTTTGGATGTGGCAATCTCCCAAATGTAAGTTAACATAAATAAATGCTTTTCCATCGATAGGTTGCAACAATAGTAACTATGGTAACCGATGAAAGATTGCAAATAGAATAAGTACGACAATGCATATTCTTAGAAGGTAGCATATCAAATGACTTTCTCTATGAAATGTCTATATCAATATTCATAGTATCGGAATTACATATATATTATATTACATTAGCACTTGGAGTATAAAGGAATGCCAATTCACTACAAATATCAATCTGAATGCCTTTGTACTTTAATGTTGCTAAAAATACTAAAACATCTGATTCACTGTATAACCAACAAAACATCCTGATTTTAAAATACATACATGTATATACTGTATGTCAAAATTCCCATTTTACAATTGACAAGTTATTAAAAAGCATGAATTGTATTTTCAATACAAAATTACCAAGATCTAATACATTACAATAATAGAGTATGTTAATTGTGAAGGGCCTCTCCAGAAAGTATTATTGCTCCCAAGTAAGTCTAAATAACAAGAACAACTTATCCCTGGGGACCATATGCTCAATTGTTTACTTAATAGTGTGATGATCACAATTCAAAATAGAACTTCTGTGGACTTGGGGTGTCTTAACATTTCTTTATAAATTAGCATGAAAAGATAAATATTGAAATAAAATTGACAGAAAATCAGCTTTTATACCGTATGTGCATATCTCATTGGATTTATACATCGTATATAAAAGCAATTGCAAAGAGATTTCCGAATGTCAAATCAATAAGCATTTTATATAATAAAAAATCTATGTCCTTAATTACTTTCTACCCGATACATCATCCTAAAAGACATACATAGACAAATGATCATTGATTATATCCTGAGGCTTATTTGTTGTACCCTAGGTTTTCTTATACAACCATAGCGTTGATTGCAAACAGGATGTCTCTATCAAGTTTTCCTCCTAAACAAGCAATGGTAATGTAAGCTTTTCATGGAATACTGACATTAACTATGTATCGAGCCATGTTTTATTCATATCAAATTGTGTTTGATTCGAGTTTCTTGTTTCACGCTTGATGTATGTTTTTATTGACAACATAATGAAAACTTAGGTCATATATATAATTTTCCATGGTCTATTCCTAGTCAGTCTGACATATAGATCAAAATAAAAGTAAAGACTCCTTTACCACACGGCCATGTATAAACAAGGCATTAACATGCCATGAAAAAATGACAATGCAAATGATTACACAAGGCATTAACATGCAAAATGTCACCACCTACCATTTGTTACAGACACTGACCACCAAACTGCCAAAAATTCCAACTGCCAGATGCCAAACACTGTCCACAAAAAAGGTTGGAGACAATAATGTCACCACTTCAGGTGATGACATAAAAAGTATAACAATTTATCATACACCAACCACCAACCAAAGAAATCCAACTGCTGGTCTAAAAAATTGTGAACAAAACAATATGTCCCTAAATTGGTGGTTGCAAAATATATGGGGCAAGGTTATTTTATGATGCTACGAGTAAAGAATAAAAGATAAGGGACGAGTAACAAAAAATAGTAGGGATATAAGGGACCATCACCTTAAATGTTAAGCGAAATATCGACACAAAGATATTTAAAAATGGTCATGATTTCAAAAAACCGTACATTGGTCTACAGGTCTACATTTAAACACAATTTCCTTCATTTTGAATTCATGTCGAATTTAAAATCTAGAGTCTAATGAAGGAGAGGTGTGGGGCAGTGATATCATCAGAATGACAGACAACATATAAGATTCATGCATAAGGGGGATAGGATTCAGAGGAGGGTCTACCCATAATACCATATACTTCCACTAAAAGTCAGTTGGGATAGACAAACCTACTCTAAAATAAATGCCTCATATAGAAAAATTACATCTATATTACAAGAAAGCATCTTAATTGAAATATGGGTAGGTCCAGCTTTGCTCATTTGCATGCATTGCATTCTGGGTACCTGTGTCATTGTGTTTCCAGCAACCATCAGTTTTTCTATCTTCTGCCTTAATTTTCTTCTGTGTTTTAAAAATCTTTCCAACTGATATACCAATGAAATATAAACATTATAATAAGTATTTTAAGGATAAAAACTTTAGACAACTGAGAATTAAAATCAAAAGTTAAACATTGAAATAGAATTACTGTATATGCAATATACAAAATATTTTAAAAGATTACCTAACAGAAGCCATGAGATATTTTTCTCTTTGGGACAATTGGGATATACATACATGTACAGTAAAACCTGTCTAAGTGGAACACCATTTTGCCTCTAAAATGTGTTCTACTTGTGAGGTGTCACTTATAGAGGTTCATCTAACATTAATTCAATTCACAACTCTGAAAAAGTGTTCTTCGAACAGAGGTGTTCCACTTTACAAATTCCACTGTATACTGCTATATTAATAAATTTACTGCAAGACATGTAGCCTCACCAAAAACTAAAAACAATAAACATAAATATTAATGATAAACGTTTACAGTTCACACTATAAAATGGTAATCTTGCATCAGGTTGCCATGTGATAGCCTCCCCCGTATCCACTGCCTATTCATTATCTTCATTATAAAGAAATACATGTACAAATGAGTGAAATAGGGAAGAGGGGGGAGGCAAAGACCTGAAACAGGACTACATGTACTTTCCATATTAATTCAATTACAGCTGTTTAAATAGATTAAAACATTAACAAATACTCGTATGTATATAGTGTTCCTACCTGGTATCTTTCTGTGTGAAGTATAACATCTTTAGAACGAGGCAGAACATATTCAGACACGCCACTAAAGAGACTGTCATGGCGACGTGGAATCAATACACTTTTCTTCATTGTGCATGGTCTGAAAATTACCAAACATTAATTAGGTTTTACCTAAGTATTTTAGTTCATATTTGATTCTTTATTTCCTGTAAAACTTTTAGTCATGTAGAATGATAGTTCAACAAGTTAAACCCAATACCACAGCTTTCATTTATTAATCTGAATGTTCTTGTTGCCCTAATTGGGTTTAACTTCCGTGCTATGCTTTCATTTGTTGCAAATTCTCACTATCAGTTATTAATTAAACGCGCATGGAATACCATAGGCCACCATTAAATTTTTTGCATCAAGGGCCGAATAGGCACGGACGTTAAACCTAGGGTGGGCCACAAGATATGTCAGATAAGAAATAAGGCCCAGACTAGGTTTAACTTGTTGAACTAGTAGAATGATAGAAAATTCACTGGGATGTTTACTTGTACATGCACTTTCAAACTGATGTCATGCCACACAGCTAAAACAGCTGACTTTTTAGAGAAATTAAGATGTTACAAATTGTGGTGCGTCCATTGTTATATTCTGAATACTAATCAGGAATGAAATACACAACATACTGATATTCAATTTTTACTTACTGAAAATTCTGAGACTGAAATGGTAATGGTTTTGGATTGAATTTCTTTGGCCTGATATCATCATATTTTCCTTTTACTCCTAAAGTTTTTTGTTTGTGCATCTGGAAAGGAAAACAACATTATCTGACAACAAAATAGAAATATAGTTCACAACGCAAAGACCTACAAATCATATAAAAATCATACACAATCCTCATTGAAAATCTGAAAATGTTCATTCTAAAACAATAATACTGAAAATAAACAATTGCTACTCTGTGCAAACTAACAAAAGCAAAAATATAAATTAATGAGTTTCTTTATTATAAATAGAAACACCTCCAAAATGCAAAAATGAGGCATTAACATGCAAAATGTCATCACCTGCCATTTGTTACAGATGTCAACCACCAAAAACCAAATACCAACTGCCAAAAATAGTCCACAAAAACTTGGAGACTATAACAATATGTCATCACATGTGGTGGTGACATAATACTAGGGTATCTTACTTTCATTGGGAATCCAGGCCTCATCATATTACTAGACCCATGTTCATTGAAGCGTGGATTCACATCAACCAAGCTTGGTAACTCCAATCCATCTTTAATCATTTGTTGAATCTCCCTCGGTGATGCATGAATTGATAAGCCATGTGAAGATGAAGCATCTTTGCCTAATGAATCCTTGTCTTGAGAGAATGACAATGAAACATTGTATGATGTCTTTGTATTGTGTTCTGTTAATTCATTAGAATCCCTTCGCTGGGAGTTTGAGAGATCAATGCTTGCTACACTTTTCCCGCTACTTATTTGAGGCAGTCGTATATCTCCATTACTGGATCTGTGAGGAGTTTCATTGGACATGTTAGAAACAACACGTCGGGTGTTTTCACCAAAACTAGACCAACCTGAGGAATCTAGTGAAGCCCATTGAACAGGTTTAGTCATGTGGCTCATTGATAGTTTAATCCTGCAAGTCAAAATGATACTTCTATTAGAAGGTAAAAAGCCTAATGTCATGCAGGTCAAATTGACAAAATCCATGAACTTTATTTTTGGCAATTTTTTAATTTAAAAAAAATCATGAAATTCAAAGCCCAATATCTACTCGAAAATGAACCAAAAACTAATAAAAAGTAGACAAAAATTTGCATTGGTGTGTCATTAATATAAATAATGTATTACACTTGTTGAAAAGGAAAGACTACGAGAGATATTACCTTATTCTTGAGGCCTATTTCGAGTCATTTTTGAATCATTTGCCTGGCGACATGACAACAAAGTTTTAAAAGTATTTTCACTTTTCATTTGTTTTTAACGTTCATAATCAACGTTACGCAGTACTTAAAAGTACCATAGAATTCAAGAATATGCATTCATATATCCTTATAATGTCATAATATACTTGAAATCCAATAGTTTTACAGTAAAATTCGGATAAAACGATAAGATACACGAACTGTCTGTGCTCGGTTTTTAAAGTCAACCTTTACTGCGCATGCGTAATTTGTAAAGAAAAAATGTTGTAGTGAGACTCTAACTAGCTTTAGCGAAAGGAAATTAAAGAGGTACAAGCTGAGTTTTAGGAAATATGAATATTCCTATAAATTAGTAGAACAATCAGTCATAATCTTCATTAATGTTTTTAAAGATGTTGGAAGCTACTTTGAAGAATGGCATAGACGGCAAGCAGAGGGGGAGCTGGGGGAGCGGAAGCTCCCCCATGTCCAGAAATTCTTTCAAAATCATGCAGTTTTTCACCATTCTGAGAATTTTTCGCATGATTTTTAGCCAAAATTGTGAAAAAGCTCCCCCCTGGAAAAAAGCTCCCCCTCCTGGTAAAAGTTGGCTACGGGCAAGGATTGTGGTCACATTCACAAAGGAACACATGCACATACCCCTGTGGCGGATCCAGAAATTAACAAGGGGGAGGGCCCCTAAAACCCAAAATTGGGCTCAAATTTTGGAAAAGTAAGGGCCATTATTTGATAAATTGGCCAAAAAAGGCCAAATTATGACCAAAAAGGCCAATTTTTTTGATGCCCTACAAAATTTTGGGGCCTAAATCTAAAATTGTTTCTGGGCCTCCCACCCTGATCTGCCACTGCACCCAGTTTATTGATGTCTACTAATCACTTTTTGCACAGTCAGTATGCAGTTGATTTGGGGCAAACCCAAATCATTAGTTCACCTTTCTTTGCCCAAATCAAAATGCATACTGACTGTGATTTTATGAACTTTCTGGAGTGTCTACAGAAATGGCCTTGAACATCGATTTTACAAGTATGCATAATTAAAGCCCCTCCGCCATCTAAAATACCAAAATCAGTATAAACAGTAAGAAGTGACATGGGTCATATTCAGGTTATATTCAGGCCCATGGAGGAGGGGTTCACTTTTCAAAAATTCCAAGGGGGTCACACTTGACAACTTTGCCCCAAAATCAAGTGAAAAGTGCACAATTTTGAAAAAGGCCCCATTTTTCACAAGTCATTGTTCCTTTTACAGTAGACAATGACTGTTCCTATAGGAATTGTAAGTTACTATTATACCAAAAACAACCCCTGGGGGAATGGATAGTCTACCTCACCAAACTTTACAGAAAAAATCATTCATTCAGATTCCAATGATAGTACAATATCCTCTTGCATTCCCCTGAATAATTTCATTGTACAATGCTTAGATATCACCAACAAGATTTTTCATACACTGTACATATAAACAAACAATACTTTATTTTTATTTATAATATGTACAATTTTATTATTTTTTCATATATATACATAACATGCTATATACAACGTTTTCTATCTGGAATACTTGACATGTAGCCGCAGAAATATGTGAAAAATTTGAGGAAATCAGGCACATTCCCAGTGACATCTATTTGAGCTTATCTTATTATTTCAGAAACCCACTTTTTTATTCTTCTGTAGATTTCAATCTTAGTACCCCGGACAAGTTGTATGATGCAGTCGTTTTTTTACTCTATATTTGCAATAGAACAACCATTCTTATTGAAATTTTCATATTTTATTCTGGAGACAATTTCTAACATGGAAAAAAATATTTTAATGAAATTCCTAATTTTATGAATTTGATAGTCTATTCAAAAACACTCCACTGTCAATAAAATACAGGTCTTGCTTGAACAATTAAACTTTTAACGTCATTTCAGATTGTCTAGCTATTGATTTTCTGGCAGCATAAAGTCTTTCCAGATGTATTTGATGCCATATTAATTATGGCTGATTATTGTTATTCATTTTTGTCATATTCAATAGGCCTTATATTATTACAGTGCATTAGGCCAATGAAAACTTGTCACTCTAGGTCACGTTTTCTCTGAAATGCACCTTTTTCTCAACTGGGTTTTTCAACCACCGCCATTCAGCATGCAAGACCGCGGCGCGTAAATTGTACCATGCTTTTAAAATGTCAGGTCTCCCTGACAATTTCACGATAAAATTTGACAGTTATATTAACATCTCTGAAGGATCTAATGCCAAGAATAGTTCAAATTGGAGATTTGTAATGTTTTACTTCATTTTGGACAGTATTGAACAGTTCGATCGGGTTGAACTCATGTCCGTGGACAAGAAGATTAGCCTCCTCTATCTGGGCTCAATCTAGGGAACGCTTCACAAAACGAGACCCAGAGTAACAAGTTTTTATTGGCCTGATGCACTGTAATAATATTGAATATAACTCAAGTGAATAACAATAATCAGCCATAATTATTAATATGGCAACAGATATATCTGGAAAGACTTAAGGCGGCCGATAATTCAATAGCCAGACAATATTTGAAATGACGTTAAAAGTTCAATTGTTCAAGCAAAAACCTGTATTTTATTGACAGTGTAGTGTTTTTGAAAAAAGCCCGTCAAAATCATAAAATTGGAAATTTTGATAAAATATTTATTTTCCATGTTGGAAATTGTCTCTAGAATAAATCTTGAAAATTTCAATAAGAATGGTTGTCCTATTGCAAATATAGAGTAAAAAAACGACTGCATCATACAACCTGTCCGGGGTACTAAAATGAGTTGTAAACGATAGATCTATTTTTTAAATGTTAGGTTTATATTGTATTATATTCAAATTCCATCACTTTTTAACTATATATCTGCTTTAAATGGGCCTATTAGCCTTTTGTGGCAATGGGAATTCGACAATGACCTTTTTAATTCTACTTTTATGATTTTTTTTTCATTTTGAGGTAGTGCTAGTATATTGTAGCTTTGTAAATGATTTTAATTCCCTTTGAGTAAGTTGTCCTGATACTCATTCTCAAATGAGTTCACATTTCCAGGTGTTCACTCGAGGCCACGTTAGAGTAGTGTCCATATGCAATGAATCTAATTAATGAATGGCTTTGCGAATCAGTTCCTTTTGATCAGGAGAAAGTTGTGTAGGGAATTCAATGTCAAATGTAATGATCAGATCTCCTTTCGTCTCAGGATCATTTGAATATGGCATACCCTCTTTGGGAACAGATTTTGTGTACTTGGGACTGAAACAAACAAAAAACACAATTACATACATATAATTTTTGAGTGGAATTTTAGATTCATACATAATTTTCATATATTATGATGATGCAAATGGATGTGATTTAAGTAAAGAGGTGTATGATCTGATATCTAATAATGACTAATTACTATTCCACTCAATGCAATGCAATTATGAAAGTTTCTGAGATAAATCTGATATTGTATAACATCTATAATATGCAGTATATAATCTAATCTTTGAAATCAATATCACCACAATAAAAATGATATGACTCAAAATCATATGTCACATATAGGCACTTATGTTAATAGAAAGTCACTTACTTTACAATATCATTTATAGGGACATGCAGGACTCTATCATCTAATGTGTTCACTTCAATGACTGTATTAGTGAGTGCCTTCCCTAGTGGAATATTGGCTGTGTAGACCAGGTCCACCCCCTCCCTACGAAATCTATTGTGTGGTTTATCTTTTACAATGAAGACAATATCAGCTGAAATGAACAAAGAATATATTTTAATCATGCTGTAATATGCTTCCAATATAATTTTCACGTAAAATCAGCACCTTTAGCATGAGAGCAAGAATCTGACAGGTTGTATATACAAATGTTAATCAAAATGTATTACAATGAAGGTTCAAGTATCAAAGGGCACTAAAAGTGTCCCTTTTAACAAGCAGTGCCTTTTTATTATATTTTTGGATATTTACAAAAAATACCACAAAAGATTGTCTTTGTCTTGCTTACTACTTAATGAACTTATTTAGATATTGAATATTTAAACAGGTATTTTGCTCATAATTTTTATGAGCATAATGCCCCTTTAACTATTCATTCTTAGTGAGGAAATGTGATCTTGGTTACTAGTAGGTGCCTTTAAGTTGAAATGGATTTTAACATACCTGGTACATTGTTTGGTCCCTGATCTCCTTCTTGTGGGAATGTGATCTTGGTGCCTGGCTTCCAGCCTCTCTTCACTGTTATTGTTAGAATCTTGTCTCTGATACTGGATGTGTGGCCATCTTCATTCATAACCTACAAGTACAATTTATGAAAAATAAATATTTTCAAAGATCTATGCCCTTATAGTGGTTGAATTTAAAGTTTAAAAATAACTAAAATAATACGTATAATCAAAAAAACACATATTTTTTCTTCAAAATGTCTATCAATCCAGATACATAGAAGAACACAAGCTAGGTTTTAAACTGGTTAAAGCTTGGGCTACATTGAGGATCAAACCACCCCTATACTGTTTTATCCTTACCCTACGTGAAATTTTCATCTTTTTCACACAGCCATGGAATATTTCTTCTAGTGAAAGGTAAAGGTCTCTTTCTATAGCAGGATCTTGCTTCTTGCGTCCTCTCCCATGTAAACCACCGAATCCCATACTCAGGTCACCATCCACATTGTCAAAGAATTCTGTAAAAATTAGAAATAATTGTTTAATCAAAAATAATTTATTCCACTCAACATGATAAGCAATCTATAGTACAAAATTTAAATGTAGCAGATCAAATAATAAAAGTGAATGTTCATTTAGGTTCAATCACCTTCATTGGTGGTAAACAAATTACAAAATTCTAAATAATACAAGGCATTAACATGCGAAATGTCACTATCTGCCATTTGTTACAGATGCTGACCACCAAACACAAACTGCCAAACACCATCTACAAAAAATTGTCACAACTTGTACAAATTATTACTCTACCTTGGAATGGATTGTCTCCTCCAAAGAAATCTCTGAAGACTTTGTCAGCATTTCCGTGGAATGTGTAGCCACCAGTCCAGGCTCCTGATTCTCCACTGCCCTCTGGCACACCATTTTTCAACCCCTCTTCACCAAACTGATCGTATGTAGCACGCTTTCGAGCTAAAGACAAAATTATAGTAAAAGTTGTAAAACAAGTATTATACCTGTACTGGCTGGAAAATATCATAATGATAAAAATCATATGTAAATAACAAATGGATTAGACAATGTAGATTAGTCTTATTTACAAAGATACAAAGCAAACATAACATATATTTTTATGATATACATGTAGGCCTAGCATGCCCAGACTGGAAATTCAAAATATAAATAAAACACAATTTGCAAACAACAATTAAAAGAATCTAATTGGTGGATTTAGATAAAAAATAATGTTACCAATATCATAACAAGTAATAATATATCATGTTTTACTTACGATCTGAAAGAACATCGTAAGCTTCTGCAACCTGCCTAAATTTTTCATGTGCTATCTGATCACTTGGATTCTTTTCGGGATGGTGCTTGAGGGAAAGTTTTCGAAACCTGAAAGAGTTGAATGTATTGTTTTCACATAAATGGATACAAAACTAAGGTATAATGCCGATAAATCATAGTGCTCTTGATTGCTTGTAAATTTTTGTTTTTTCACTACATCCAGGCAATGGACTAGCATTTACAAGGGACACTCAATTCAGGGTCAATCCTTAGATGACATTATTTTCATCATGTGACACTTCACCTCCTTAGTCATTTATTTTAGCCGATTTAGTTTCAATAGACTTTTGGGGTTTTCAGCCTCTAATATCTTTATATAAGAGTGATACCAACAGACTAATTATTATGCCTATAAACTGTATGTAGTTTATATTCCCTTTATCAACATATTACTCTCTCAATTGATTCCTGTGAATCTGATAGTTCATACAAATAAGCATGATCATAAATCACTACTCCCATTGTAAAAATATCAAGAGGTACCGCCTCTTAGAACATTAACATGGTCTTTCTCTTAATATTAGTGGAAGGGCTGAGGTATGGAGGATTATCCCCGATCACTACAAAAAGTTACTCCTTTGAATGAACCTTGTTCTCTGTTTCAACTTCTGAAACAATCTGTACTGTAGTTCTATTTTATTTGCGGTGGATTTGCTGTTTTGAACATTTGGCGGCTACTTAATTTGGTGGACTTTGGAATATTGAAAAGCACCAGAGCATGGCAGATCCCACCAGGGAGGATTCTGGTGCAACTGAAAGTCAACAAATGAAAGCTGACAATGGAAAATCGATGATATTTAAATTGCATGACCTCTACTGACTTTAAATGACTGTCACCTTTATAAAATTAATTCTTTTTTAATTTAATTTCGAGGGAATTTGGCAGCAACTTAATTTGGCGGACTTAAACAATATGGTGAATCCGGCAAATTAAAATGGCTGCCAAATTAAGTAAAAATACAGTTATCTGAGAGAAAGCACTTCCCTCACGCGCACTCCCCTCACGCGCACTAGCCCTGCAGATAGCTCAGCTCTATACATGGTGACTACTGGAAACATCCTACTGTTACATTCATGACAGAGATAAAGTGGAGGCTAGAATACATATTATTTCAGCTTTGCATACATGTGATTGAAATAATAAATAGCCCATTGATTATTTTCCATTCTGCAAGTGCTGAGTCGAGTGCAATTGCAAAAATAGAAAATTGGAAAAAAGGTTTTTTAATTTCTTATGATATTTTAGGTAAATCAACACTTACGCCTTTTTTATATCAGCATCTTTAGCACTCCTTTTAAGATCAAGTATGTTGTAGTAGTCTTGTCCCATGATTTACTGTCAAATTTGACTAAAAACGTGAAAGTTCAATCAAAACAAAAAATTCAAGAAAGTTTATTTCCAATATGGCGGATCGCCTGGCAACCATTCGAAATATCAGTTTAGTATTTGAACATGATGGTCAAATTCGAGATAACTATGCCATATTTTTAAAATCGCTTGCTTGCATAAATTAAATTTATATATATGTATAATGAAAATATGTCGATTATATTCCAAAACTATGTAATAAATAAGTTTTAAATAGTACGAAAATAAAGAGTGAATTATCCACAGCAACAATTTTAAAACTTTCACTTGCAAAATATTACCTGCTTTTATATCAAAATATCGTATGTTCAGGCGTCCGATCAATTCCTCAAATATGCAGAAATAACGATCATACTTTCGAGTTCCACCCAGAATTGTAATAATGGAGGGAGATATCGGGGGCGTACGAATAGTGCCATCTGTAGTTGAGTTCTATGATACAGAAATTGATGCTGTTCACAGACTAAATGTTACTGTCAAAAATATCAGTAAAACAAGCAAAAGCATTCGATATTATGGACCAAATACTGAGGTAAGTATACATTTTTATTTTGCTCTAAAATTCTCGTTGGTATTACCTACCTACATGTAGCGGAGCATTTGAAAGTCAATTTATGATTTACGATCACCGGATGGATCCCTATCTTGTAGTGACATCATAATTACTAAATTAGGCCACTCTGTTGTAGCTGTTTGGTATTGAGAGATTATCTTCTGTATTTCGTACAATAATCATTTATTTTTCACTAGCCCATGACTAGATCGAGAATCATTCAAAGTCTATGTCAAGTCTAGGATCTTACTGACATGATTTAGATAGCGGTTAAGGGGCCTCTGATTTTGAAAAAATGAGGGGCGCTAATCAATGTTTTGTATGAATTTCGTCTGCCATTTCGTCTCTCCATCATGTCTAATATTATTTTAATATGATGAAATATATTACTATTATATCTACCGATATTGCCCGATTTCACTGATATTGCCCTTTAATTTCTTTAATAACCATGACGATATCATGACATCATGTTTCGTTTCCATCAAATTTTACTTACACACAGATGTGTTATGTCATTGATACAAAGTATACATGGGAATAAAAGAATGTAATACCAGGGTCCATGGTAATACATACATACATGTAGGTACATATGTAATACAATCATGATGTGATATTTGCCGTCATTCTTGCCCAAATTTAGAGCCTCCCAATTTGGCCTGTATTGGCAGAACTTAGGCATATTTCACGTAATAGTGACATAACCTCTAATTATTCATTTTTATTTGAGAGAATAGCTTCACTAAGTACTTTCTCCATATTACCGGTACCGGTAAAGTTCAACAATTTAGATGTTTTTGAATATGGCAAGCCTATTGATTGTAATCCCAGATGAAACAGTGTGATGTCTCTTGGGACATTTCTCAATTCTGATACAATAACTATCCTTACAAATATTTTTTAAATAATATTTAAAATGATTAATCACGACAATTAGAAGTCCACTACAAAAGTACATGCTGCCTCCATTGTAAAGTTATTGTGTTATACGATTAGAGACAGAGACAGCCAAGCTTATACTACCCAAAGCTCCATCCCAATCATCAGCTCACGAACAGTCCTATAGATGTAGCAAAGCACTTGATGTTTATACACAATGAACTTTATAAATTGACAATTGGCAGCCAAACTATTTTCAGAGTTATACAATGTGCACTGAACATGCACGACAATATACATGTCAATTTTTCTACAACAATATACTGTATTCATTTTGCAGCACTTTAAACTCAAAGTAAAGAATCCTGATAAGCCAGTAGCTGCTGGTTTAGAGGTACCAGCCATTGTAGAGTTCTGTACTTCCCAAGCTGAGGAATTCAAAGATAGACTAGTCATCACGGTTGATGATGACGTCATTGAAATACCTCTTCATGCGTAAGTGTTTTCAGAATGATAATAATTTGATTTGCTTGAATATTTTATTTGAGAATAAAATCCTCATATATACCAAAAAAAACATGGTGTTCAGGCCAAGGAGAGGGACATGATATGTCTTAATCTTTTTTAAAAAATATGTCTATATTCGTCTTCTTAGCTGGATGGGTAAATGTATCTTGTTTCAAAGGTGGTTTTTACCACACCATCTTGTTACTATGATAACATGTACCCGACACAATTAAATGAGATGCTGATGACTTTGTATGTGTGTGTGTAAATTACTTGTAATGAACATGTACAGTGTTTATGCTTTTGTTTTCAGCTATCCTTCACAACCAATCCTCGAACTAGATGGACCAGTTGACTTTGGAAATGTAGTTAAGAACAGTAAAGTAATTGCAAAAGAGGTTACATTATATAACCATGGATCTAAAGCTGGTGACTTCAAGATCAAGTACAGTGGGGACCAGCCAATTGCTATCATCCCTAGCAGTGGGACTGTACCTGCAAAAACTGCTCAAATCATTAAAGTCGAGTATGTTACTAAATTGCAAGGAAAGTTTGAGGATGAAGCCAAGTAAGTGAAAAATGTTCCTGAATTTACCATTGTCAAGTAACTACCATATATTGTATCAAGAGCAAAAATCTAATATAAAGGAAGAGTGTTTTCGTGCAGACTTTAAAGAATATTTCTATGATCAGGACAATGCCTTATCTGCTTGATCTCTGATCTTAAAATACAATTCTGCAGAAAATATCTTAAGATTTAAGTATTTCATAAGTCAGTGAACAAAGACAATTATGTTTTGTCAAAATTATAACTTTTTAGGGTCAAACTAGATGGTCAAGATAGTGAGAGTCTGAGGATTATGGGTAATGTCGTTGAGGGTAAGCTGGAGCTTTTATCACCACAAATGGAAGAATCAATAGACTGCGTGAAATTTGGCGCTACGTATTATGGCACAGATAAAACTGAGATGGCGTTCTTGAGCAACAATGGGCCAGAGCCGTGTAGCTATGTATGTGTACTAGAGGAGGATGCCATTGGCCAAGAAGTGGTGAGTTACTCAATGAGAAAGTCGTTTCCCCCGAAATATCTGAAATCTTGAACCTGACTTTAAGTGTCTGTAATATGATATTTTCAAAGTAACACCATTGAAATTTAGGATATACAGTATTACTAATGTATTTTTGAAAGTATGATCTGTTAGTCCACTTTAGTGTAAAAAATTATTGAACCTTTTTACAGATTGCTCTAATTTTTGAATGATTTTTTTCAGGGTGTTGATTTAACAAAAAGCACAGCTGCTACTATAGCAAAACTTGGTGACAACAAAAATATACAGGGTGACACTAACCCTATGACATCACTAGTGGCGGCTATTCCTAATCAGGGGGTTCTACAGCCCTATGAGAAAATACCAATATTTTTCAGGTTTAGCCCAAGGTAAACGTACTTGTATAACAATATCAAACAAAATCCTTGCTGTATAAAACCCATTATAATCAATTAATATATTGAATTCATAAATCTGCTGTCCCAAACGAAAACCAGTCTCTTTACTCAATTTTATCAGATTTTGTCTATACCAGTTTACTTTATGTTGTATTTTGCATTTAAAAATATGATTATCATTTTTTTAGATGGGAAGGTAGCAAGCAGGGGTTCAATGCCACTGTGGAACCACCACCCAGGAAAGACTTTGCTCTCTTTATGAAGATCCAGATGATTGGCAGCAATGAAGGGTTCTGTAACGATGGCTCAAAAACAAAGAGCATAGAAGGTACATGTGATTGTCAAAATGGTTACTAACCTGTTATTATTAAGTCCTTTGAATTACACCAGCTAAAACAGTTTTTTCATCATTTGGAGTCAACTACGAGTATATAGAATGTTTACTGAGTACTAAGCATTGGTTGAATGTGGAAGTGAAAAAATAAAATCTTTAAAGTGATATTGATTTTTTATGTTTTTAGATGCAGTTTCACATGTTGAGGTAGCACTAACTGGCACAGCCCTACCAGTACTTGTAAACCTAAGCCCACAATCAAAGTTTGACTTCCAAGAATGCCCTGTGGGAGAGCATGTAGACATGTTATGCTCCCTGAACAATGAATCTTCTGTTCTACCGTTGACATTCCAGTTTCGACGTATTGCTCATTTCACGGCACATCCAACCAGCGGGAAAATTAAGCCTGGTCAGAATCAGAGCATTGTTTTCTCATTCGCTCCAAATCAAGTTGGTATGTATGCTTTAAAAGGTTTTCACTCATTTTAATTCCTGACCAGCCATCTATGATTATCCAAGCAATTTCTTGATTACCATTCCAAACATAATTTCTGAATTAAGCTATTTTTATGGTAGTGAAGTGGGGAGATATGTATTCTGCTATAGTCTCCAACAAGAATTTAGACTAAAAATTACCAAATAAAACATCTTTTTGAAAACTATAGTTCTTCTATGGTGATTCTACCACTCTATCCACTTAATTGTCTATTTTCACACGTTGAAATCCAAGTGTGCTAGCATAAAACCTCTCTCTTTAGACTTGTTGAAAATGAGGGAAATAAGGCAATAGCATTCGATAGTTGGTTGGTCTGCAAATGAGTTTAGTGTGAATGTAATAAATTGCAGATTTGTTTTTAGGTATGAACTTCTCAACTACTGTATAGCTCTGTAGTTCAACAAGGACTTTTTGATCAAACAGAAAAAGTCTGACTAACAACATTTCCCATGGTAATTGAGAATATAGATAGTGCGCAGGGGCGGATCTGGGAACCAATAAAGGGGGGGGCAAATTTTAGGTCAGAGAAAAAAACCTCCGGAAAAAAGTTTCGGGCCCCTTAAACCCAAAGGTTGGCCCAAATTTTGAAATTTTGAGGCCTATTTTCTTCAAAATATGGCCTGAAATTAAAAAATAAGACCTAAAGGCCCACTTTTTGGGGCCTTAAGGCCTTTTAAGGGGCGGGGGGGGGGGGGGCGCCAAACTGATTGTCATTTTTTATGAAAAATCTATAAAAGTCAACTCTGCTTATATCATTTCTTATTTGCTTTATTTAAATCTAACATCATACAGGCTATTTGAAAGAATCGGGAAGTTTGTTGCTGCATTTTGTTGGCTACTATGGCTCCCACTATGGCTGGTAGCTATCATAAATTTGACCCAGCGTAGTCAGTCCTGTTCCACCTTCTTCCAGAAGTGAATTGATGGGAGGAATATATAAATTGGGGTTTGTGTTGCGTGTACTGTACCATGCATATCTGTAACAGTCCAGACATGAACAAGATCTAACAATGCCTAAGAAAATAATAACATGTCCTTATTTCCTGAAAAAGTATGACTTTTTTGCTTTATGCATCGATGATCATAAAAATCCTAAAAACTATAGGCTGTGTAACTGAACTAATGAACGTGACAAATCCATCCATTGAAAGTATGTAGTTTGGGTACATAACTAGTATTTATTTCTATGTAATCCCTAAAAATGATTAGCATTATATCGAGGCATTTATTGGCCATTTTGAAAAATATATCAACATTATTAGATGCCCTGTACATGCATGATTCTGATGTTTTTCTAATCTGTGGAAATTGAATGTCGAAAATATTATCTTTATAATGTTATCCAATGGGAAATTACTTAACATTAGGAAAATTATAAAATTTGACTATTTGGCAAATTAACCACTCGGATTAAATAGCACTTATATGCCAATATATATTTTAAAACACAGAATATTTAACTTCACATACATGAACACATTTTTTTTTTTAGATTATTAAAAAGTATTAAAAAAAATACCTGAACACATATGGTGCCTCCTCCAAAAGTGGCAAAACTCCATTCATATAAGCAGCCACAGTTGTGTAATCGCTACTAGGACAGGCAAACTCAGTCAACCAAATTGGTTTTGTATACTTTTCATACAGCTCAGCCAAATATGCCATGGTTTCATCTGGGTCGCAAGAAAAATGATGAGTTGCAATATGATCAATCCGACAATTGGAACAGATTTGGAAAAAAGCATCATACCATTCAATTGCTGTTGTAGTGATACATTTAGTGGGTCCACCCCCACAATAAGCTGCACTGGGACTCACGAGCCCAATAACATTTGCTTTTTTTGCTGCTTTCTCTAACCTAGCCCAATAATAAGCAGCTTCCTGGGGTTTCATATTAGCCTGGAAAATGAATCATTAGTACCCCACACACTAATTAGTCACAAACTTTAAAACTTGTTTTGAACACTTTCCCCTTATTGAATCATGATGAAATTTCACATGGACAAACTATAAACACTTTCCAACACTCAGATTTTTTTGATTTGCTTGAATTTTAATTTTCAAAGGATGATTCTCGGTTTGGAGAACGAAGTTCATCACTCTAATTGAGCGTTATCCCTGCTTCTGACCAATTTGATTTTTTTTACATAATATAGATTTGAATGTCTTCTTTTGAATAGTCTTAAATTAATTTGGGTAATATTTCTAGATTTTCCATCAAAAAATTACTAGTGAACCACCCAACGTCGCTTTTATGATTCGTACCACTTTTTTAACTTGATGTATTGCATATATCCGTGGGTCAATTTGAGAAAAAAGACAAACAAAGCGTACAGGGATATGTCATGAGCATATCATGAAAAAATCCTTTCAATATGTTTTTAAGAAACATTCGAAAATAATTCATTCTTAAATCGTGTCCCATTTTCGAGATATTCTCTGACATTTTATACACATTCATCCAATAGAGGGCCTCTCAAAAGAGCGACTTCAGATTTTTGGCATTTTACAAGTCATATATAAAATTGATTAATCATCTATTAATTAGATGTCACCACTTGCTATGAACTATGCTAGTGGTGAATATAAGCTAGTCAATTGCTGTGAGCTGGAGAGGGTGTATTTATATCACTTCTATCCTACCACGTGATTACGTGGTCGATGGGGATTTTCTGCTAATAATACACTGAAAACTGCCTGATGAATCTATACAATATATAGTAGAACACTTGGAATAAACATGTATGTAAAATCTAGTATGAGCTTACATTCAGAAATATGGAAATAAACAAACGTCCTTCCTTTACAGCTTCACTGTAGCCTGTACTCCTTTAAAGGGATACATCAATGAGTTAAAAATAAAAAATCGGTGTGGAGAATGGACGGGGAATCGAAACACAATTCAGTGCGTAGGAGGTGAGGAACTTGCCACAAGATTACGCCTCTTTCTACCTCTCTCTTCCTGATTTAAACCTTAAAATTCGCCCAAGCATCGATCAACGTGGTTATTATAGCTATAAATAACACGTTCATTGTTCAACCAATCTCCAATAAGCCGTTGATGAGAGATAGTCTAGAGAGATTAAACAACACTTAGAAACACCTTAGAAAAATGGCGCCCGTATATGATTTTTGTGTTCTTTTCTGTTTATCAATACAATTTATATTTTGACACGATTGCGATAAAACGTATACCTAGAAATGTATGGCTAATTACCATAAGCGACTGGTAAATGTAAAAGTTGTTTGGTTTATCATATAAAAATCTGTAATAAAACCTCGATTGCCAAAATGAAACCATCGATTATGTTCAGTATGTTGCTATATATAATAAAAGTTTCCAGTCTTTTTTCAGTTACCATTAAACAGAGTCATTAGTCATTTTGGATTTGCTAGATTGATGATGGCATGGGTTGTTCTTTTTCAATTTCAGCAATAAGTTAATCCTTTGTTATGGACATATTGCTACCTACAACCTTTGACATCATTTATCTAGCCAATAATCAGGTTCTTTGATGTACCAAATGATGGCAGGATTTATTGGAAAATAAACAACTTTTCATGTCCCTCATGCAGTATCGCTGAGCGTGAATTGATCACTCAAACTACGGATTTTATTTGCCCAAATAGCCTTGGATAACTGTGGTAACTAAAGTAACTGGAAAATGTAATAACGTTTTCGAACCTTTAGTGACATGAACAAAGGATTTTTAGCTTTTTCGATATAAGCTTAATTCACAATTTTCAGAAATTCACATCAGTTGATTATGCTTTGCACGCCGCTTAAAAGCGCCATCAAAGCGCCGTTGGTGTGAACTTAGCTTAACAAGTTACTTGGGGGAAGGGGAACAAGGGAGGGGAGTTTGGTAGACATTTCCACCAGAATGATGAAAGTATTCATCGATGTCATATCAAATATTTATGTCATATTGAACATTTATCTCCGCGCTAAAATGCCGACGATTGCAAAGGTAGTTTAATCCGGTAGCCGACAGGCGTTTCTTGCATTCGTGAATACAAGCTAGTCCATTTCACTGTTGAATTGCGTCAGTAAAACCTAAAAAATAAGAAATCACAATATCATCATGCAATAATATATGGAAAAATATGTTCCTATTGTACATGAATGACATTTGTATATCTTGGATTGCTTCTAGTTTGGCTTATAAAGTGTGTGGCCTCTTATATATGGATGCTTCTCTGCCATGTTATTTTCAATAAGATTAACATGGCTGAAATTCTTCAAATTACAAGAGGTCACAGTCTTATTGCACAAAAAACGAGAAAATCTGAAATATACAAATGTCATTCATGTACAATATGAATCTACTTTTCCATATATTATTGCACAATGGTCTCCCGATTTCTTATTTTTGGGGTTCTACTGACGCAATAAAACAGTGAAATGGACTCTAACCTTATATTCGCGAATGCAACTAACGCATCTCGGTTACCTGATTAACCCAGTATTCTATGACTAACTCATTTAAATGTGAATGGAATAGTGGCAGGTACTATTCGTATTTACATGGGTCTCCAGTGAAATAGAAGGTTAATCCGGTAGCCGAAAGGCGTTATTTGCATTCGCAAATATAAGCTAAGACTATGATTTGGGAATGAAAGATTTCATCTACCGGATTAACATACTTTTCTATGGGCAACTCATTTAAATATTAAAAGTACCTGCCAATATTCCATTCATATTTTAATGAATTGCCCATAAAATAGTAGGTTAATCCGGCAGCCGACAGGCGTTAGTGGCATTCGCGAATACAAGATCATTTATTTTATAATTTGGGAAATATATATTTTCACAATATTGAAATAGATGGTGGTTCAACGTGGAATACATATCATACAAAAGTGTCACAGATATGACTAGCTGGCATATACTTTTAGTATATTAGTCCATTTGTCACCCCTATACATCCAAAAGTGAACCTAGAATTTGTTAAAAGTACGATGTTTTATGGTCGATTTATGATAATAAGGGTTTTCTAAAGTGATTTAACTGGGTTGCCGAAAAAGTTTGTTTGGGGAAAAAATTATATAGGCTGATTAGGGAGGGGTGCAATCGCTTAACATGGCGTTGACTATTGACTTAGCGTTGGGATACCACCATATACCTGGTATGTTACTATGGTAATAGATACCAAAATTTTCCCCAAAGTTATTTTTTGGCAACCCAGCTAAATCACTCCAATAATTCCTAATGATAGTATTTACGCAGAAAAACATCATACTTTTAAATATTCATACGTTCAGAAAATGACAAATGGACTATATGGTCTTTCTTTGCATGACTTCGCAGAACATATCAAAACCCTGGGATCCACAGGGTAACAGTAACAGTAAGTACATTTCTAAGTTCATGCTTCAAAGTTGTCAAAGTTGTAAAAGGGTAATCCTTTTATGAGTACGAAAGCGTACTTTTTGTTGAATAGCCTTTCCCAGCTGCTAATCTTGTGAGTGCATCGTGCATTCAACGAATTGTATTCACTTATTAACCAATCAGTGCCAGGAACAAAATGCACGCTGACTTGTTTTATGAAGCATGCTACATACAAATGTTACGCTTTTGCTCATTTACTTTGCGAACTATTTATATAATATTCATTATATATGTTATATACTATTTATATAACATACATTACCAATTGACTGCAAGATTTGAGTGAACAAGTACCTCGTATTTTTCATTTTTCGATATTTTGTGATTTGTTGGCTGATGAGTAACTTGATATTTTATGTCTAAATGTATCAAAGTGGTTCATAGTAATAGTTTTATTGTACACCATAAACTGTTAACGTTTTAGAAATAGAACACAATATATGATTTGATAATAGGACAATACATGTAATAATATGTCTAAACTCGGTGGTTTGTTTGTAAGTTTGTTTTTCTAACACCTCAATAACTTACATTCAATGCGTATCTAATCCTCATAATTTACAAATAAATCAGTTATTAAATGCCCGATTTTCGACAGGTAAAGGTAATATATCAACCCTCGGTCCCCACTGTTCCTCTTGTAGATATATTATACATGTATAACCTTCTCAGATATATCCTGTATATTAAATACATTAAATAACATATATATGTTAGTCTCAGCCTAGACAGTATACATTAATTTTATTGGATAATGCGTAAAATTCGAATGAACTTGAAATGAAATTCAACATCCAAAATATGTTAATTTGATCATTCACCGTGTAACTCAAAGCATATGCATGGCCTATTTGCCTTAAAACACGATTGTGATTATGATTTCTGTTCTCCACAAGTAAAATCTAGAAACATAACAGAGTTAAGTTACACGAAATTCAGCTAACTTGAACACGAAGTCTTTCAATTAACTTAAAGGACAACTGAAATAGCTTTTCTCAACTTGCAGCTACAAAAATGCGGTTTTCTCCTTTGAAAGCCCAACGTAGAGTTCTTGCGATAGTCATTATAAAATAAATGTTAGATAACTGCTAACGGTCATAAATAACGAAATAAAACTAACTGATCAATCAAATTGGCCCCCACGTGATAAGTAACGTCATATACAAAATATAGCTTTGGTTTATTGGTTCCTTAGTAATCACAACGTCACGGCAACCATAGGATTGTAGTGTAAACCAAAACAAAACATTTTGGCATTATGACGTTATGGGCCATGTGGGGACCAGTGAGAGATCACGTGGGGGCCAATAACGTCACAACCAATTCGAATATTGCTTATTAAGCAGCTATAACGATCGTTAGAGTGAAATAGTTTTCGCACTACTGATGAGAAAATATGTCCAAATACATTTATCAAAAAATTATATTGATTCCTTTAGGTTAAAAAATACCATTTCATATCTGCTTTAAAGTGTCTGTTCGATGCTCATGGGGTCAAAATACAGTTTATACACGTTCTAAATACCACTAACATGTCGAACCAGTAACCGTTCTTGTAAACATTTTTATAAATGTGAAATTTAATGTTCAAAATCGGGAACACAATTTCAAATCTCTATCATGACATCACGAACAGGACGGGTTTAGAATATGTTGTTGGAGTTCATAATCTCCGAACGTGCTTATAAAGTGTTAGTGTAATTGATTGCAACTGCATTCATTGAAGTGAGGAATTGATTCAGAGATGACTACTTTGGAGTCACGTTTTTTCCTCCGATAAACCCAAAAAAATAATACCTAAATTAGAGCCTCGGACCCAGCGGTACGTTTTCACATAGCTAGTCATGCAGAATTACTTTCTGGCCAGTCAGAACACAATATAGAAAATAAACACGCTCAGTTGATAGTATTACCTAACATAAGGCGTCTAAAATTTTGTAACCAAAAGGCATTGAACAATGAGGTGATTTCGGTAAGTGTTACTCCTTTCTGGCCAATCAGAACACGGTATAACATGAACACTTTTGAATTTACATTCGAGTTGCATAACGCATTGCCGATAAAAATCCATAACCGGTTCTGTTCGTGACGTCATGTGTTTTCCCGGGAAATCTTATTTTGCCACTAATGAACAAATAGAATGAGTTAAGAGTCTGTTGGAATACTATTTTTACTTACCAATATCTGTTTAATCTACTGCAGTGAGAAAAAATAAACAGAAATTACCGAATTAAGCACTTTAATCGTTGATTCATTTCTATAGGTTTATTAGAATTATTACAACGATCGTTCATCAAACGAGTCCTATATTCAATATATATTCGTTGGACCTATTCTTTAAGTGTAACTATATTCTTTAAAAGTATCTGCTTAGTGCTACGTTAACATATATTCATTATTTTTATCCACAAAAGAGTATCAAACGTTAATGCACAACTAGCCGAGACATGGCCCCCCTCGTCCAGAGTGAAACACAAGGTCCTCATTCTTTAATAATTATATTTCAATTATTTAGTTAAATGCTTAAATGTTGGAAAATGAGTCGCTGTGACGTAATATCTGGCACAGCAATTTCAGAGTCACTGCAATGAATAGAAACATCACAAGGATCTTAAGACTAAATAAATAAGCTATTTAGGGATGAATATAACATTCGGTGAAATCCGTGATATCGTTATATCATTCGTTGATCGTCAAAGCTGCGCCCATTCGCTACCCTCATCTGTGAAACTATCGATATAGAATTGAGTCTCTATTTTCTATTTCAAAACATTGGGATTTACGCGCACAAGAGATGCTATGTAGTAGGCTATTACAAAAATCAAAAAATCGCCACCAAAATTCCTCGGAGCAGGCAGATGTAAGACCAGACTGGGCATACACAAAATGTATTGTATGTGCTCCTTAGGTTGCACTCGGGTGCTATCAAAATCGAACACACACAAGTATAAGATACACAGCATCATGATAAACCATGACATCTCATTTCTTCTCAGCCCTGAGATGTTTCAGGTGAAACAGAAAGATGCTATGAGTATCAGAATGGATACACAGAGATAATTAAGGGATGAGTGACAAAGGGGTGTTAAAAACAGGCGGCTATTGCAATTGATATTTTAATGTAACTTCCGAATGTAAGAATCTTTTCATCGATAAAAAGAACATCTTAGATATGTTCTATGTGAGTGTATTTGAAAATGTAGTACATAGCTAGTTCCATCTATAAAGATGTATGATGACAAAAAGCTCAATTTTCCTTGATGTCACGGTCAATGGAACTTTAACACGTGAACTAATGTTTTTTATTTTTTTGTTTTAAAGTCACTTATAGCAAACCTAATCTAACAATTATCTCACGATATGCTTATGACATATTCATGTATACGTCGTTTGTATTTTTTTTTAAATCGACCCACGAAAATATGCAATACATCAAGTTAAAAAAGTGGTACGAATCATAGAAGCGACGTTGGGTGGTTCACTAGTAATTTTTTATGGAAAATCTAGAAATATTACCCAAATTAATTTATGTCTATTCAAAAGAAGACATTCAAATCTATATTATGTAAAAAAAATCAAATTTGTCCGAAGCAGGGATAGCGCTCAATTAGAGTGATGAACTTCGTTCTCCAAACCGAGAATCATCCTTTTTACAGTCATTTAAGATGAAGCACCAATTTCGCATTTTTTCACATTTTATGCTATATTTATGTATATTTGGCTTAATTCTTTGAGATGTACAAATTGAAACACTTGGATAAACTTTAACATCAACAACTTTTTAAGTAGTTTTCTACTTACTGTCATACATTACATTACTGTCATGTGTATTTCAAATTTTTAATAACTGGTGGATAGCATTATGAAGACAGTGGTTCATGTCTTTGTGTAGATTCATATACGCTCTCCGGGCCACTGGAATACATGGTGGGCATCTTTGGCTCTGTTTCTCCTGTTTTTCACCCGTCTTGCCACTTTACTTCCTGCAACGCGTCTATTGAAATCTTTACCAGAAGCTCTCTTTTTGTAGAATTCCTTAAATGCATGAGGGTTGTTTCTCATTTCAAACAGCGCGTCATTGAGAGCAAGTAAACATTCCTCAAAGGATCAGGGGCCTACAATTGAGTGGCCATATTCATCACAGGGGTTGCCAGGGGGATGTCACCGTGATACTTTTTGTTGGATGCTATTGTTGAAGAGCTCACAAGGATTAAGAAGATAGCCCTTTGGAGGTAACATCACTAGGTTTACACCATTTTCTTCTAATTTTACCCTGACTTCAGGATTGTAATGCTGTTTGCATGGATTCAGGGCCCTCCCTGAGCGTCCTAATCTATCCCAAACTAGGGTTGACCCCCTAGGTAAAAGCCGGTGAAGTCCTGGACCACCAAGATATGGATTCCTTTGAGGAATGTTTACTTGCTCTCAATGACGCGCTGTTTGAAATGAGAAACAACCCTCATGCCTTTAAGGAATTCTACAAAAAGAGAGCTACTGGTAAAGATTTCAATAGACGCGTTGCAGGAAGTAAAGTGGCAAGATGGGTGAAAAACAGGAGAAACAGAGCCAAAGATGCCTGCCATGTATTCCAGTGGCCCGGAAAGCGTATATGAATCTACACAAAGACATGAACCACTGTCTTCATAATGCTATCCACCAGTTATTAAAAATTTGAAATACATATGACAGTAATGTAATGTATGACAGTAAGTAGAAAACTACTGAAAAAAGTTGTTGATGTTAAAGTTTATCCAAGTGTTTCAATTTGTACATCTCAAAGAATTAAGCCAAATATACATAAATATAGCATAAAATGTGAAAAAATGCGAAATTGGTGCTTCATCTTAAATGACTGTAAAAATTTGAAAATTAAAATTCAAGCAAATCAAAAAAATCTGAGTGTTGGAAAGTGTTTATAGTTTGTCCATGTGAAATTTCATCATGATTCAATAAGGGGAAAGTGTTCAAAACAAGTTTAAAAGTTTGTGACTAATTAGTGTGTGGGGTACTATGCATCCAATTTTAATGCCTCTTATTTCAATATTTCTATTAAAGATATGGGCATTGGACATTGTTTCTTTGTGCGTTAGGATATTATGATATTGTTTGGGATATTGGCTCTTAGACGTTTCCTTTTTTATGTCAGGTTTCAAATGTTCTTTGGTATTTCCCCTTTTGGGTCTTGTACCTACATATTTTACTCGAAGCTTTGTCTTGAGATGAACATGATTTGCGACATACTTGTGTTTTATGGTTAACTTCATTGAAGCCCAGCAGATATTTAGATCCTGAAGGTATTGTCATATAAGCCCATTGCATTGATTTCTTCATAGGTACCCTTTCAGATCCTGGTAAGGTGTTGGTACAATATATTTTTTCATGTACGGGTTTCATAGACCAGTCATAGCTATTTGAAAATGAAATAAACTCAATGTGCATGCATGTTTCATGTGGATAAATCTTAACACAGCAAATTTTAACCTTTTCAGTAAAAATAGATTTTATACGAAATATCTTATCTCAAAAATTCATGTAGCCATATCTTTTTTAAAACATAAAAATGAAAGACTTAAGAGCTCTCAATTTGGCAATGTTGAAGTAAGTGCTTTCTAGTGATACAGTGTTACTTACTACCATGCTAGGTTATTAAACTGCTCAGGGTCAGTGCATGTATAGCCTGCAGGAGACATACAGACACCCTTCTTTGTAGAGGGGACTCCTGCAACATTCAATCAGAATTTTTGATTTGACAGTAGGGAAGTTGATGGATGAGCCTGTTTTACATTTAATAATGCAAAAATATCAAGAGATATTCCAATTATGCTCCTATCAGACACTGCCTCTTTAAGGAATGTAAAATTGTACTTGCTAATGTGCCTTTTTGGTTTTCTTATTAATGTTAGGGTTCTAATAAAGCATCTCTCCACAATGTTTACTACATGTATATTGCATATTCAGTGTAAATATCATTTTGTCAAGTCTCAATCCAATTAATATAATTTTTCTCTAACATCATTGCATTTAAACTTGAAAACTAATTATTGGAAGTTGCAAGACCCTAGGGGGTATCCCAGGCTATATAAATTTAATTGAATATTTAAACTATATAAACTGAATATATCCTTGAATATATGAAAACCATGGTCTGCACTTTATGTTCAAAGTATGAATTTTTCTTTGGCTCCTTCAGTAGATCTTTAAGTCCTTTAATAATTTTCTGTTTAAATACCAATAGAGACACACAAAGTCTTACCTGTTACCAATGCCCCTCCTATTGATAGCAAAAGTAAAGCGATCTTCATCTTGTCAGAGATGTTGAAGTAACACTTTTTACAAGTTTACTCATATTTATAAGATTAAAATACTACAGGTGTTTTTCATTAACTGCCAATGAACATTATATGTATTGTGTTATTGTAACCGGAGACTCAATTCCTAGAATTTTGACATGTTATTTATTTTAATATCATAGATAGTGAGTGACAAATTGTTGTTTTTTATTACATTATCGTACAAGTATTGATCAAAATGTAACATGTTTTTGAAACAAGTAATTCTTCAGTTCCATAATTAAACTATGATCTCCAATATTGGATGTAGAACCCTTAAATTCTTTGGTAGCCCCCTCACACAACCCACATATACCTCATTCACACACATTCATATTAGGGGAATATCATGTGACATGTAGTATCCATAATGTCATAATATCATTACTACACTGATATATAGGACATTCTGTATTCTGAAATGTTGGTATATCAAATTGAGAACTCCCTCATTATATCCATGATACCATGTGATTGCACGTGATATGATATGATGTGGTGGGGGGGGGGCATGGATACTGTTGATGCAAAGTGAGAAGTGGTTGTTAAAGTTGATGCATTAGACACCACCAAAGCCTATTAAAATGAAATCATCAGGGACAGAGCTTCATTGATGCCAATAGGCATCTTTGAAATATTTGATTAAGATCAGTTACTATACTACTGAAATAACCCAGATGCGAGTAGAAATAATCTTGATTTACGTCATTAAAAATTCAAAATTCAGTCAAAGTAATATCATATTTGAAATCTACATGTAAAATTACATTTAGAAATGTGGTTTTAAAAAGTGTTTATCAACTTTATTTGTAAAGCTAGGAAATGGGTCAAAAGTGAATTTCGCGAGACAAAAATGGTGGCCATTTTGAAATCAGGCAAGCTTTTGAACCAGGAGTCATAGGGGAGTTTTCTGAATTGATGTTGAACAGAAATAACTTAAAACAGGAATCCTATCGACAGAGGTTTTAAAACGTGCCACTATTGTTGACGGACGGACAGACGGACGGACGGACAGACGGACGGACAGACAAACGGACAAGTGAGTTATTGCAAAAGCTCACCATGTGAGCTAAAAATAAGACCTAAAGGCCCACTTTTTGGGGCCTTAAGGCCTTTTAAGGCCTTTTTTCTTGGCCCACTCAAGGGGCGGGGGGGGGGGGTTGCGCCAAACTGATTGTCATTTTTTATGAAAAATCTATAAAAGTCAACTCTGCTTATATCATTTCTTATTTGCTTTATTTAAATCTAACATCATACAGGCTATTTGAAAGAATCGGGAAGTTTGTTGCTGCGTTTTGTTGGCTACTATGGCTCCCACTATGGCTGGTAGCTATCATAAATTTGACCCAGCGTAGTCAGTCCTGTTCCACCTGCTTCTAGCAGTGAATTGATAGGATGAATATATAAATTGTAGTTTGTGTTGCGTGTACTGTACCATGCATATCTGTAACAGTCCAGACATTAGCAAGATCTAACAATGCCTAAGAAACTAATAACATGTCCTTACTTCCCGAAAAAGTATGACTTTTTTTGTTTTGTGCATCGATGATCATAAAAAATCCTAACTTAAACTAATAAACATGAAAAAGCCATCCATTGAAAATATGTAGTTTGGGTACACGACTAGTGTTTATTTCTATGTAATCCCTAAAAATGATGAGAATTTTATCGCTCTAGGCATTTATTGGCAGTTTTGAAAAATATATCTACATTATTATATTAGATGTACATGCATGATTCTGATGTTTTTTCTAATCTGCTGAAAATTAAATGTCGAAAATATTATCTTTATAATGTTATCCAATGGGAAATTACTTAACATTAGGAAAATTATAAAATTTGACCATTCGGCAAATTAACCACTCGGATTAAATACCACTTATATGCCCATGTATATTTTAAAACATATAAAAGGGGACTCTGTGATATCAGAATTTTACTTCACATACCTGAACACATATGGTGCCTCCTTCAAACGTGGCAAAACTCCATTCATATAAGCAGCCACAGTTGTGTAATCGCTACTAGGACAGGCAAACTCTGTCAACCAAATTGGTTTTGAATACTTTTCATACAGCTCAGCCAAATATGCCATGGTTTCATCTGGGTCGCAAGAAAAATGATGAGTTGCAATATGATCAATCCGACAATTGGAACAGATTTGGAAAAAAGCATCATACCATTCAATTGCTGTTGTAGTGATACATTTAGTGGGTCCACCCCCACAATAAGCTGCACTGGGACTCACAAGCCCAATAACATTTGCATTACTTGCTGCTTCCTCTAGTGTAGGCCAATAATCAGCAGCTTGCTGGGGTGTCATATTAGCCTGGAAAATGAATCATTATGCATCCAATTTTAATGCCTCTTATTTCAATATTTTTACTTAAGATATGGGCATTGGACATTGTTTCTTTGTGCATTAGGATATTATGATATTGTTTGGGATATTGGCTCTTAGACGTTTCCTTTTTTATGTCAGGTTTCAAATGTTCTTTGGTCTCTCCCTTTTTGGGTCTTGGACATATTTTACTTGAAGCTTCGTCTTGAGATGAACATGATTTGCAACATACCTGTGTTTTATGGTTAACTTCATTGAAACCCAGCAGATATTTAGATCCTGAAGGTATTATCATATAAGCCCATTGCATTGATTTCTTCATAGGTACCCTTTCAGATCCTGGTAAGGTGTTGGTACAAGCTTTTTTCTCATGTACGGGTTTCATAGACCAGTCATAGCTATATATAATGTAAAATTTAAAAATGAAATAAACTCAAGGTGCGTGCATGTATCATGTGAATAAATCTTAGCACAGCTAATTCTAACCTTTTCAGTAAAAATAATTTTTTTCCGAAATGTCTAATCTGAAAAATGCATGGAGCCATATCTTTTGTAAAACATAAAAAATGGAAGACTTAAGTGCTCTCCATTTGGTAATGTTGAAGTAAGTGCTTTCTAGTAATACAGTGTTACTTACTACCATGCTAGGTTATTAAACTGCTCAGGGTCAGTGCATTTATAGCCTGCAGGAGACATGCAGACACCCTTCTTTGTAGAGGGGACTCCTGCAACATTCAATCAGAATTTTTGATTTGACAGTCGGGAAGTTGATGGATGAGCCTGTTTTACATTTAATAATTCAAATATATCAAGAGATATTCCAATTATTCTCCTATCAGACACTGCCTCTTTAAGGATGGTCTGCACTTTATGTTCAAAGTATGATTTTTTCTTTGGCTCCTTCAGTAGATCTTAAAGTCCTTTAATAATTTTCTGTTTAAATACCAATAGAGACACACAAAGTCTTACCTGTTACCAATGCCCCTCCTATTGATAGCAAAAGTAAAGCGATCTTCATCTTGTCAGAGATGTTGAAGTGAACACTTTTTACAAGTTTACTCATATTTATAAGATTAAAATACTACAGATGTTTTTTATGAAATGCCAATGAACATTATATGTATTTTATGTATGTATTGTGTTATTGTATCTGGGGACTCAATTCCTAGAATTTTGACATGTTATTTTAATATTATAGATAGTGAGTGACAAATTGTTATCATTACATTATTGTACAAGTATTGATCAAAATGTAACATGTTTTTGAAACAAGTAATTCTTCAGTTTAATAACTAAACTATGATCACCAATATTGGGTGTAGAATCCTTAAATTCTTTGGTAGCCCCCTCACACAACTCACACATTTGTCTCATTCACATACATTCATATTAGGGAAATGTTTGTCACATGTAGTATCCATAATGTCATAATATCATTACTACACTGATATATAGGACATTCTGTATTCTGAAATGCTGGTATATCAAATTGAGAAATCCCTCATTATATCCATGACACCATGTGATTGCACATGATATGATGTGTTCAATAGACTTGTTCTGTCATTACCTATACCCCCAATGCGCACTCTGAAATCAGTATGACACATTAAGATGATACTGTACACTACCATTCAAGTATGGTGACATACTGAATTCACGGTACTATACGGTACTGTTATAGTCAATGTAGTGTACTGTACAGTACCATACACAAAATGGTATCATAATGGTACTGTTCAAGATTGACTGTGTATAACTTCTTAAACACTTAATCCTCTATACATTGTTGGTTGTTTTTGGTGATTTAATTTTATAAAATTAATGTCTTTCTATTGTTTGCAGGAACCTTTAAGCCAACACAGTTGATTGACATAATAGGACAAGTAGCAGATAATCACAACCCATTTCTGATGCACATTGAGGTGATTCACACAATGCCCGTATACTTCATTGGAAGATGTGATCCCATCACACGTAAACGTCCTCCAAAGTTTAATCCAGGTTGGTATAACATATGGTTAAAAGTTCATTCTAGTCATGTTAACTTCAAGAGAAAGCTATCAATAAGCCATATTAATTTTTATCTAAATATGATACTATCAAGTTTATTAAAAAGTATGAAGCTTTGAACCTATAGTACAATGTATGTATCAGTTTGTGTGACGTGTAATTCAAAATACAAATTATCCTGTAAGTCTACAGATAATTTACCAAACTCAAGAAATAATATACTGTACCTTCTTTTAAAAAATACTATTACACGTTCAATCCTATGACTGCATCGAGATAACTGTGTCCCCTTTGTCTTGATCTTTCAAAAGACATTAAACTCTGCCCTTTAAATGGGTGGACCTATTCAGTAAACCAGAATCTGTCCCAAATGACAGATAAGATGGAATCTGGTAAACCAGAATACCATAACTGTAATTTTGACTTTTTACAACTACATGTATTGAATATTTGATTTATTTTTAAGGTATTACACCAGCTATAACGAATGAAGTTGGGCAGTTTGTGGATACTAAAGTGAAAGGTGTAGATAAGCATCCACGTAATGCAATCCTTAATGCACCTGGTACCAAGATTCACCAAACACTCACAATGAAGGACCTTGATAAAGATGATGATACAACTCTTGTAGCTTTCCCAAATGACAGACTTCAGAGTATTAGGCCCAGTGAGAGACACCAAGCTTACAAGTAAGTACAAAATATTTTTGTATTAAGCTTATTCTATCATACTGAAAAACATACTTGTGTAGTAGGTTATAGAAGCCAGTTAAACAACTGTAAACAACTGTCGGGATATATTATTCCTGTAGGAAGCTTAAAATGTAATATGACTTGTAATAAATGTGGATAAATCATTCCGTTTTTTTAATTTGCAAAGATTATATCTGTTCATTTTGTTTTAATATACCAGGCTGAAAGGGAAGAGGTATAGACACACTGTGCGCCAGTTGTTAACACTTATATGTCACCTTGTTTTACAATGATTAATTCAACTATCATCCATGTTTTAGCATTATATTATATCCAACTGAAATTAGCATTGTAAATGAACAATAGGAGAAATGAATCACTTTTGTACTATTTTCCTCACTCAATCAAATACAACTGTATCCTATTTAAAAATCTAGATGAAGTTAGGTTCTTGCAAAGTGTATTACCATGTGTACCTTATTCATGTTTCCAACCCATAGCTAGTACAAAACATCATGGTGGTGATAACTCATATTGTATAGAAACACTAGAAAATCAGATATATGTACTATTCACATTAACGAAGGGAAATGTGTTAAATCTGCATGAAAATCTAAGATAAAAATTCACCTCCTTCACTTACACCTGCAGTTCCTTTATCCTAAACCCAACTATCTTAGTGACCTTTAAATATAAATTAATGATTTTTTCTCAAACAAATCACTTTAAGCCTTTTCAAAATTGCCTTGTTTTTTCACATGTTGGTACTTTCAATCAAGAATTCAAGTCTTGACTGAGTGACTTAGTGACTTTGCTTACATGAATGTAATGTTTATTGCAGGACAATTTTCACTCATACAGAGCGTCATAACTATGTTGACCCTGACTATGCCTTCACTGATGCAGAGGAAAAAGCAAGACTTGAACACAAACAGAAATATGTTGACTTCATTGATGATCTCAGACAGAAGAGAATGGAAAATGGAAGGGCAAAGTGAGTAAATGTTAAGCAAATAATTCAGTGTTGTGGTGGCCTTTAAAGTGAAATACTAGGAATGATTAAATGAAAAAAATTAATGTCTCTTACCATGAAGTATTGATTTCTTGATTTGACTGGATTAAGTTGACCAACTTGTCAAGGATAACTTGAATTGAGTTGATTTGTTTTTGAGGTTACTGGTAATCGGTCAATATGAATGTATTCTAAAATTCAGGAATATATGATTCTTTAACTAAGCTTTGTTGGTGAATGATAAACGATTGTACATTTTTGTAGTGTGTTCATATTTTGTTTTTCAGGGAGTTCAAAGAATTCAACAATGAAAAAGACATTGGAATCAAAGTTGCATCAGGGATTAAACCTCGTAAACTTACACAAGAGGAAATAGTTCCTGACCCAAGACGTAAGATATTCTCAAATAATAAATCATGATTTTCACTTCTCTTTCTTGATGAAATTGAAGACAATCTTGATTTAGGAATCGCCAAAATGACAGTGAATACGCTAAATCTTATCTATCGATTGTCTTAGAATTTGATTTAAGTGCATTTTTTATTCTTTTTCTGTTGCATTTATCATTTATTCAGAATGTGCTTTAAAATCAAATTAAAATTGTAATTAATTAATGTATTTTGATTCCAGCTCCTACTCCACCTAATGCCCCATGGGCTGCTATGAGCAGTAAAGTATTACGAGAGAAAGAACTTTCATCAACCTCCAAGCCAGTAAGTCATTCAGCTTATAACAATAAATTTAATACTATAAATAGCCATTCATCTAAAATATTTTGAATATACCATGTGTAAAGATCAAAAATTCACGTACACTTCATTTACTTTTGGTAGGCTTTTAGGTGAATTTTAAAAATGACCAAAGAAAATAGTGCAATTTTGGATGGTGGAAACTTACAAGCTTCCAGTTTTGCCACTAGAAAATACATATGGATAGATTGATAACTGATAATTTATTTGATAGAGTTTTTGCATCATGTCTAGACTGTGTTTACAAACTCGCAACTCTCATGTGCGGAAATTGAAAATGATATTTCAGATAACCAACGAGTTATCTACATAATTGTTTTCAATTTCAAAACAAGAGAAAAATATTGAAAAACAGTTGTAATTTAAGCTTTGCCTGATTGTCTCCCTTGTTAGAAATGTGTCCATCCTATGTATTAGCTTGTGTTTCTTAACTTGTTTATCTATTTGTAGGTTGTTGAAGGTCTCAATGCATTGCCAACTACAGCCAGAGAGAAGAAAGATTGTTCAAAGATGCTTAGTCCTCAGGAGCTTCATCAGGTTATCATAGGTAGGACTTGTGTGGCATCATTGAGTGTTCTTTTTCTAGATAGATATATACGTAGATCTCGTATATATAGAGTTTTGATAGACGGTAGAAAATGCCATGGTGAATTATTATATCTACAATTATTATAACTCACAAAACATCCTTGAAATCATAATGTTACTCAAGTCAACTTATTTGATGCTATTTCTTCTAATTTTTTCTGAAGTTTCAGATGTGCTTCTTAACAATCTAGGAAGAAAAACAACACAAGTATTTACATTATTTTGGGAAAATCTACTCTTTTCTATCCCCCCTTTTGAGCATTTCAAAACATCTTCATTTTCTCATTGTACTTTTCAGGTCCCCCTGTGATAGACTATGGTGAGGTATGTCTGCGCTCAGTCAGCACTCAAGAGCTGAATATTACGAACAACCTGAACCAGTATGTGCATGTTGTAGTTGACGTTGATTGTCGGGAATTACGCCAGACGAGCCCCCTATCCCAAGTGGTGCCTCCTAATTCTAAGGCAGCACTTCCATTGATATTTGAGTCAAACACCAAAGGCAGATTCCAAAGGTGAGTTTCATAACTGGATGAATTATTTTTCTTCCTTTATTATGTCACATAAGGGGCTAAATGGACTAAACAACTGTTTAGAACCCGCCCTCCTTTTAACTTGCATATAGATATCTTATTCTTAAATAAATTAAATTTGAGTTCAATTCTAGAAAAAAAGCTGCATGATGTTTAGTTTTTGCATTGATATTTCAAATTTTTCAAATTTAGGTCCGTGAACTATCAAATAAATGGCTTCTACAAACGTCACGTAACAGTCCTAGCTGAGGTTGTCCCCGTTGACCTAGTCATGTCCACAGAGGAATTGACTCTATTGCCCTGCCCTGGGCTTCCTGTGGATGCTGGGTACAGAGGGGTAGTCACTCTCTCAAATAAGCTCAACTATGCAGCCATGTTTACATGGCAACCAATCCTTGGCAACAGGGGCACAGCATTCTCAATAAGACCAGCTACAGGTATGAACTTTCATATTCTTTTATTTGATTTTTCCAATTTCTCAAGAACTGAAATATTTATATTTATGAATATATATTTTTAGTTGATGCTCTCTTTGCATAAATGCAAGAGCACTGCACCCACTTAAGATTTTGAAAATAGGCTGCACTGACCTTCAAATAATTTTCACCCACTTGAGACTGGGAAAAACATAAAAAATAAGCATTTTTAACCAACTTCCAAATAAAAACTTTGTGAAAGTGGAGGAAATGATTTTAGGGAGAAGATCGCAATGTCTCATAGTAATGTGTTATTGCATATTTCACATATTTTGCTTGTACATTGCTGATATATGTATGTCCCCTTCTATGGAATAGGTATTTACACTTTCAATTCTCTTCTAAAGTAACAACATTTTCTATTTATAGTTCTATCTTTCTAAAATAGCTGTCACATTAGCGATATGGGCTTACCATTCACCACCATGTGGCTAATTTTGGGCATTGATTTTTAATATTTTGCCCACCATGTATCCATGCCGTGTTCCACAGTCTGACCCAAAGTATTCATACAGTGGGGAATGGTGAGCCCACACCATCTAAGTGCGTGACAGCTCCATAACGGAGTAGCTGTTCATATATATTGTAACTTTCAGGTATGGTCGATGCATTCAAGGATCTGGACTGTGAGGTAGTGTTCCATCCATCTTACATGGCCCCAGAGGAGGGACTCTTTGCTTTACAAATACATGATGGTGGAACTCAGAAACTCAAGTGCTTTGCTAATGTAAGATTGTGTCTCTCATATGTCTGAAAATGATTAGTATGGTTTAAGGTATCCTTTCAACTGGTCTGTACTACAATATTCACCAATACAAAACACATGATTTTTTACAGAAATTATATTCCCAGAACTGTTAAAATGATTGTACACTACTGTATGTATATACCACATGGCACTTGTATGTTTATTTTATGTTGATAAATGAACTAAATTGAAAGAAGTTGATTTTGCCACTGTTATGCTCTAAAATTCAATTGTAAATGCCTTTTTCAGATTGGTCCCACAAATGTACAGTTCATAGAGCGCCGTATCATGTTTGGACAAATCCCTCTGAATCTAACCACTACCAGAACTGCTATGTTACATAACACCAGCCAATCACATGCTTTCTTTGAGGTAACAACATTTTACCAGCTGCATAAAGATGGCCCAGAATTTCTATGCACTAGTATTGTAAAATCAATAATATTGATGCAACTAAGAGTTGAGATTTTCAGGGATCAAAAGACCAAAGTAAACTTCACATGAACTTCAAAAATGTTAACATGTTGTCAGTTTAGAAAAATATATAGTTTTTCTCATGTTTATACATATTTTGAGATATATGAAGTACATAATAAACACCATGTTAATTAATATTGTTTCTTTATATTTGTTAATATTTAGGTGATAGATCCCAACCCTCTGCCAGGACTATGCATTCTACCTGTACATGGGAGTGTTCCAACTGGTGGATACGCTGAACTGAAGGCCCATCTTCAACCTGATTCTGTCATCAAGTTTGACACAAGAGTTTCTGTCGCAATTAGGGGCTGGAAGACACTAGAGTTACGCATGGGAGGAACAGTGGAGCCCCCTTGTGTTGACATTGACGTTTCTACGTTTAATTTGGGTGGCGTTTATTGCGGTTCAAGTTTGTCTACTGAATTCCGCATTGTAAACAAGGTGTGTATGTGTTTTACATTGGAAGTAATTCATGAAATCTGATCAAAAATCATGCGTGCGATACACGACTACTTATTTTTGATGAGGAATCTCAAAATTGTTCAAATGCAGAAATGTTTTCTTTATGTTTTGCACTTACATCTACATCATAAATACATGTTATTCATAATCATGAAAATTCACTTCCTATATTTTGGATAATATTTATGTATTAAGAGTATGTATTGCCTTGATAATATTCTTAATATGTATATGTTGTATTGTAGACATCAACAAAGGCACGTATTGAGCTAGACCTGACACGCTACTCTGACTTCTGTCTTAGCTTCCAGGGCAGAGAAACTCCAGGTATTTATCCGATTTAATACATCTTATCTTTTTAAGATTTCATTAAAATCTTTGATAAATTTATTACTTATATCTGTAATATCTATCAATATCTAGTTAAATGTCTCGATGTATTTTTTGAAAACCCTATTATATTCATTGCACAAGTTCGTATTCTATTCTATTTTGCTACTGCATGTATACTGCATGTTTAAATTTTAAATATTCTTGTTTTAAACAATCTTGAAGAGGGTAAGGCATATTTTACTCATTATTTATAAACTGTAGGTAGAATTCAAGTTAAAGCTTCATTGAATTTAGAATAGGTGGCAGTGTAAAAACCAGTTTATCCACCAAAGGTGCATGGTGGAGATTGATAGAGGGATATTTGTCTGGAATTTATTGATTAAATCTAGATTCCCTTTAGGGATTAAATGAAAAATGAAAATGAAACCCATTTTGCCAAAAATGACCACTTGTTCTTCTTGTCTTGTCCATGATATTAGCAACTTACAGACAAATAGCCCCACCACATGCTCCAGGGTAAAATATATATAAAATAAGTAAATCCCATATACAATGCTTCAAAAATAAATAATGCATGTTGTTTATAGTGAGTAGAAATAGCTGTCGACCCAGTGAATAATAATAAAAGTACAACTGCATATGCTTTAGAAATCTTATTTTTATGCATACATGAAAATAAGATTTTATTTTAACTTACATTTCAGTTTAGAAATTGCTTTATGTTTTTAGAAGTATTTTATCCTCTCAGAATTTTTTAGCGCTTTATCTTTAACCAGCAGTACAAACTTCAAACTATCGACTTATCTGAAATTACGTCATATCAGCATCTTCAATTCCTTAATCTATTATAAGGTCTCAAACTTTTCAAACTCACTAAGTTGTTCAAAACTACAAAAAGATGGCATAGCATATATTTAGTAATAGGAGTGTTTGAGCTTCTAGTTTAAACCAGACATACTTTTATATACAGTCCCATAGTAGGCATCTCTTTATAGGGACATTGTGAACTATGGAAAATTATGGGGTTTGTCTGTTTATTTCAGAGGACAACACATTCCAGCTATTAAACCCAGGATCCTACACGCTGACTCTGGATGGTCATGAGGTCGTCCAGACAACCTTGACATTCACACCAACTGAGGTAATAAACAAATATTTCATTCTATTCAGGTGCCTTTTAATGTATCTGATCTTTTACAAGTAATATTCCCTGAAACACAAAGGCCTTTTCTAAGTGAATTCTTTACATTCACACCAACTGAGGTAATAAACAAATATTTCATTCTATTCAGGTGCCTTTTAATGTATCTGATCTTTTACAAGTAATATTCCCTGAAACACAAAGGCCTTTTCTAAGTGAATTCTTAACATTCACACCAACTGAGGTAAAACAAATATTTTATTCTATTCAGGTGCCTTTTAATGTATCTGATCTTTTACAAGTAATATTCCCTGAAACACAAAGGCCTTTTCTAAGTGAATTCTTTACATTCACACCAACTGAGGTAATAAACAAATATTTCATTCTATTCAGGTGCCTTTTAATGTATCTGATCTTTTACAAGTAATATTCCCTGAAACACAAAGGCCTTTTCTAAGTGAATTCTTTACATTCACACCAACTGAGGTAATAAACAAATATTTCATTCTATTCAGGTGCCTTTTAATGTATCTGATCTTTTACAAGTAATATTCCCTGAAACACAAAGGCCTTTTCTAAGTGAATTCTTAACATTCACACCAACTGAGGTAAAACAAATATTTCATTCTATTCAGGTGCCTTTTAATGTATCTGATCTTTTACAAGTAATATTCCCTGAAACACAAAGGCCTTTTCTAAGTGAATTCTTTACATTCACACCAACTGAGGTAATAAACAAATATTTCATTCTATTCAGGTGCCTTTTAATGTATCTGATCTTTTACAAGTAATATTCCCTGAAACACAAAGGCCTTTTCTAAGTGAATTCTTAACATTCACACCAACTGAGGTAATAAACAAATATTTCATTCTATTCAGGTGCCTTTTAATGTATCTGATCTTTTACAAGTAATATTCCCTGAAACACAAAGGCCTTTTCTAAGTGAATTCTTAACATTCACACCAACTGAGGTAAAACAAATATTTCATTCTATTGAGGGGAATTTCTATGTATCTGATCTTTTACAAGTAATATTCCCTGAAACACAAAGGCCTTTTCTAAGTGAATTCTTTACATTCACACCAACTGAGGTAATAAACAAATATTTCATTCTATTCAGGTGCCTTTTAATGTATCTGATCTTTTACAAGTAATATTCCCTGAAACACAAAGGCCTTTTCTAAGTGAATTCTTAACATTCACACCAACTGAGGTAATAAACAAATATTTCATTCTATTCAGGTGCCTTTTAATGTATCTGATCTTTTACAAGTAATATTCCCTGAAACACAAAGGCCTTTTCTAAGTGAATTCTTAACATTCACACCAACTGAGGTAAAACAAATATTTCATTCTATTGAGGGGAATTTCTATGTATCTGATCTTTTACAAGTAATATTCCCTGAAACACAAAGGCCTTTTCTAAGTGAATTCTTTACATTCACACCAACTGAGGTAAAACAAATATTTCATTCTATTCAGGTGCCTTTTAATGTATCTGATCTTTTACAAGTAATATTCCCTGAAACACAAAGGCCTTTTCTAAGTGAATTCTTTACATTCACACCAACTGAGGTAATAAACAAATATTTCATTCTATTCAGGTGCCTTTTAATGTATCTGATCTTTTACAAGTAATATTCCCTGAAACACAAAGGCCTTTTCTAAGTGAATTCTTAACATTCACACCAACTGAGGTAAAACAAATATTTCATTCTATTGAGGGGAATTTCTATGTATCTGATCTTTTACAAGTAATATTCCCTGAAACACAAAGGCCTTTTCTAAGTGAATTCTTTACATTCACACCAACTGAGGTAAAACAAATATTTCATTCTATTCAGGTGCCTTTTAATGTATCTGATCTTTTACAAGTAATATTCCCTGAAACACAAAGGCCTTTTCTAAGTGAATTCTTTACATTCACACCAACTGAGGTAATAAACAAATATTTCATTCTATTCAGGTGCCTTTTAATGTATCTGATCTTTTACAAGTAATATTCCCTGAAACACAAAGGCCTTTTCTAAGTGAATTCTTAACATTCACACCAACTGAGGTAATAAACAAATATTTCATTCTATTCAGGTGCCTTTTAATGTATCTGATCTTTTACAAGTAATATTCCCTGAAACACAAAGGCCTTTTCTAAGTGAATTCTTAACATTCACACCAAATGAGGTAAAACAAATATTTCATTCTATTGAGGGGAATTTCTATGTATCTGATCTTTTACAAGTAATATTCCCTGAAACACAAAGGCTTTTTCTAAGTGAATTCTTTACATTCACACCAACTGAGGTAAAACAAATATTTCATTCTATTCAGGTGCCTTTTAATGTATCTGATCTTTTACAAGTAATATTCCCTGAAACACAAAGGCCTTTTCTAAGTGAATTCTTTACATTCACACCAACTGAGGTAAAACAAATATTTCATTCTATTCAGGTGCCTTTTAATGTATCTGATCTTTTACAAGTAATATTCCCTGAAACACAAAGGCCTTTTCTAAGTGAATTCTTTACATTCACACCAACTGAGGTAATAAACAAATATTTCATTCTATTCAGGTGCCTTTTAATGTATCTGATCTTTTACAAGTAATATTCCCTGAAACACAAAGGCCTTTTCTAAGTGAATTCTTAACATTCACACCAACTGAGGTAAAACAAATATTTCATTCTATTGAGGGGAATTTCTATGTATCTGATCTTTTACAAGTAATATTCCCTGAAACACAAAGGCCTTTTCTAAGTGAATTCTTTACATTCACACCAACTGAGGTAAAACAAATATTTCATTCTATTCAGGTGCCTTTTAATGTATCTGATCTTTTACAAGTAATATTCCCTGAAACACAAAGGCCTTTTCTAAGTGAATTCTTAACATTCACACCAACTGAGGTAAAACAAATATTTCATTCTATTCAGGTGCCTTTTAATGTATCTGATCTTTTACAAGTAATATTCCCTGAAACACAAAGGCCTTTTCTAAGTGAATTCTTAACATTCACACCAACTGAGGTAAAACAAATATTTCATTCTATTGAGGGGAATTTCTATGTATCTGATCTTTTACAAGTAATATTCCCTGAAACACAAAGGCCTTTTCTAAGTGAATTCTTTACATTCACACCAACTGAGGTAATAAACAAATATTTCATTCTATTCAGGTGCCTTTTAATGTATCTGATCTTTTACAAGTAATATTCCCTGAAACACAAAGGCCTTTTCTAAGTGAATTCTTTACATTCACACCAACTGAGGTAATAAACAAATATTTCATTCTATTCAGGTGCCTTTTAATGTATCTGATCTTTTACAAGTAATATTCCCTGAAACACAAAGGCCTTTTCTAAGTGAATTCTTAACATTCACACCAACTGAGGTAAAACAAATATTTCATTCTATTGAGGGGAATTTCTATGTATCTGATCTTTTACAAGTAATATTCCCTGAAACACAAAGGCCTTTTCTAAGTGAATTCTTTACATTCACACCAACTGAGGTAAAACAAATATTTCATTCTATTCAGGTGCCTTTTAATGTATCTGATCTTTTACAAGTAATATTCCCTGAAACACAAAGGCCTTTTCTAAGTGAATTCTTTACATTCACACCAACTGAGGTAATAAACAAATATTTCATTCTATTCAGGTGCCTTTTAATGTATCTGATCTTTTACAAGTAATATTCCCTGAAACACAAAGGCCTTTTCTAAGTGAATTCTTTACATTCACACCAACTGAGGTAATAAACAAATATTTCATTCTATTGAGGGGAATTTCTATGTATCTGATCTTTTACAAGTAATATTCCCTGAAACACAAAGGCCTTTTCTAAGTGAATTCTTTACATTCACACCAACTGAGGTAAAACAAATATTTCATTCTATTCAGGTGCCTTTTAATGTATCTGATCTTTTACAAGTAATATTCCCTGAAACACAAAGGCCTTTTCTAAGTGAATTCTTTACATTCACACCAACTGAGGTAATAAACAAATATTTCATTCTATTCAGGTGCCTTTTAATGTATCTGATCTTTTACAAGTAATATTCCCTGAAACACAAAGGCCTTTTCTAAGTGAATTCTTAACATTCACACCAACTGAGGTAAAACAAATATTTCATTCTATTGAGGGGAATTTCTATGTATCTGATCTTTTACAAGTAATATTCCCTGAAACACAAAGGCCTTTTCTAAGTGAATTCTTTACATTCACACCAACTGAGGTAATAAACAAATATTTCATTCTATTCAGGTGCCTTTTAATGTATTTGATCTTTTACAAGTAATATTCCCTGAAACACAAAGGCCTTTTCTAAGTGAATTCTTAACATTCACACCAACTGAGGTAATAAACAAATATTTCATTCTATTCAGGTGCCTTTTAATGTATCTGATCTTTTACAAGTAATATTCCCTGAAACACAAAGGCCTTTTCTAAGTGAATTCTTTACATTCACACCAACTGAGGTAAAACAAATATTTCATTCTATTCAGGTGCCTTTTAATGTATCTGATCTTTTACAAGTAATATTCCCTGAAACACAAAGGCCTTTTCTAAGTGAATTCTTAACATTCACACCAACTGAGGTAAAACAAATATTTCATTCTATTCAGGTGCCTTTTAATGTATCTGATCTTTTACAAGTAATATTCCCTGAAACACAAAGGCCTTTTCTAAGTGAATTCTTAACATTCACACCAACTGAGGTAAAACAAATATTTCATTCTATTGAGGGGAATTTCTATGTATCTGATCTTTTACAAGTAATATTCCCTGAAACACAAAGGCCTTTTCTAAGTGAATTCTTTACATTCACACCAACTGAGGTAAAACAAATATTTCATTCTATTCAGGTGCCTTTTAATGTATCTGATCTTTTACAAGTAATATTCCCTGAAACACAAAGGCCTTTTCTAAGTGAATTCTTTACATTCACACCAACTGAGGTAAAACAAATATTTCATTCTATTCAGGTGCCTTTTAATGTATCTGATCTTTTACAAGTAATATTCCCTGAAACACAAAGGCCTTTTCTAAGTGAATTCTTAACATTCACACCAACTGAGGTAAAACAAATATTTCATTCTATTCAGGTGCCTTTTAATGTATCTGATCTTTTACAAGTAATATTCCCTGAAACACAAAGGCCTTTTCTAAGTGAATTCTTAACATTCACACCAACTGAGGTAATAAACAAATATTTCATTCTATTCAGGTGCCTTTTAATGTATCTGATCTTTTACAAGTTATATTCCCTGAAACACAAAGGCCTTTTCTAAGTGAATTCTTTACATTCACACCAACTGAGGTAATAAACAAATATTTCATTCTATTCAGGTGCCTTTTAATGTATCTGATCATTTACAAGTAATATTCCCTGAAACACAAAGGCCTTTTCTAAGTGAATTCTTAACATTCACACCAACTGAGGTAAAACAAATATTTCATTCTATTGAGGGGAATTTCTATGTATCTGATCTTTTACAAGTAATATTCCCTGAAACACAAAGGCCTTTTCTAAGTGAATTCTTTACATTCACACCAACTGAGGTAAAACAAATATTTCATTCTATTCAGGTGCCTTTTAATGTATCTGATCTTTTACAAGTAATATTCCCTGAAACACAAAGGCCTTTTCTAAGTGAATTCTTTACATTCACACCAACTGAGGTAATAAACAAATATTTCATTCTATTCAGGTGCCTTTTAATGTATCTGATCTTTTACAAGTAATATTCCCTGAAACACAAAGGCCTTTTCTAAGTGAATTCTTTACATTCACACCAACTGAGGTAATAAACAAATATTTCATTCTATTCAGGTGCCTTTTAATGTATCTGATCTTTTACAAGTAATATTCCCTGAAACACAAAGGCCTTTTCTAAGTGAATTCTTAACATTCACACCAACTGAGGTAAAACAAATATTTCATTCTATTCAGGTGCCTTTTAATGTATCTGATCTTTTACAAGTAATATTCCCTGAAACACAAAGGCCTTTTCTAAGTGAATTCTTTACATTCACACCAACTGAGGTAATAAACAAATATTTCATTCTATTCAGGTGCCTTTTAATGTATCTGATCTTTTACAAGTAATATTCCCTGAAACACAAAGGCCTTTTCTAAGTGAATTCTTAACATTCACACCAACTGAGGTAAAACAAATATTTCATTCTATTCAGGTGACTTTATATGTATCTGATCTTTTACAAGTAATATTCCCTGAAACACAAAGGCCTTTTCTAAGTGAATTCTTAACATTCACACCAACTGAGGTAAAACAAATATTTCATTCTATTGAGGGGAATTTCTATGTATCTGATCTTTTACAAGTAATATTCCCTAAAACACAAAGGCCTTTTCTAAGTGAATTCTTTACATTCACACCAACTGAGGTAAAACAAATATTTCATTCTATTCAGGTGACTTTATATGTATCTGATCTTTTACAAGTAATATTCCCTGAAACACAAAGGCCTTTTCTAAGTGAATTCTTTACATTCACACCAACTGAGGTAATAAACAAATATTTCATTCTATTCAGGTGCCTTTTAATGTATCTGATCTTTTACAAGTAATATTCCCTGAAACACAAAGGCCTTTTCTAAGTGAATTCTTAACATTCACACCAACTGAGGTAATAAACAAATATTTCATTCTATTGAGGGGAATTTCTATGTATCTGATCTTTTACAAGTAATATTCCCTGAAACACAAAGGCCTTTTCTAAGTGAATTCTTAACATTCACACCAACTGAGGTAAAACAAATATTTCATTCTATTCAGGTGCCTTTTAATGTATCTGATCTTTTACAAGTAATATTCCCTGAAACACAAAGGCCTTTTCTAAGTGAATTCTTTACATTCACACCAACTGAGGTAATAAACAAATATTTCATTCTATTCAGGTGCCTTTTAATGTATCTGATCTTTTACAAGTAATATTCCCTGAAACACAAAGGCCTTTTCTAAGTGAATTCTTTACATTCACACCAACTGAGGTAATAAACAAATATTTCATTCTATTCAGGTGCCTTTTAATGTATCTGATCTTTTACAAGTAATATTCCCTGAAACACAAAGGCCTTTTCTAAGTGAATTCTTAACATTCACACCAACTGAGGTAATAAACAAATATTTCATTCTATTGAGGGGAATTTCTATGTATCTGATCTTTTACAAGTAATATTCCCTGAAACACAAAGGCCTTTTCTAAGTGAATTCTTAACATTCACACCAACTGAGGTAAAACAAATATTTCATTCTATTCAGGTGCCTTTTAATGTATCTGATCTTTTACAAGTAATATTCCCTGAAACACAAAGGCCTTTTCTAAGTGAATTCTTTACATTCACACCAACTGAGGTAATAAACAAATATTTCATTCTATTCAGGTGCCTTTTAATGTATCTGATCTTTTACAAGTAATATTCCCTGAAACACAAAGGCCTTTTCTAAGTGAATTCTTTACATTCACACCAACTGAGGTAATAAACAAATATTTCATTCTATTCAGGTGCCTTTTAATGTATCTGATCTTTTACAAGTAATATTCCCTGAAACACAAAGGCCTTTTCTAAGTGAATTCTTAACATTCACACCAACTGAGGTAAAACAAATATTTCATTCTATTGAGGGGAATTTCTATGTATCTGATCTTTTACAAGTAATATTCCCTGAAACACAAAGGCCTTTTCTAAGTGAATTCTTTACATTCACACCAACTGAGGTAAAACAAATATTTCATTCTATTCAGGTGCCTTTTAATGTATCTGATCTTTTACAAGTAATATTCCCTGAAACACAAAGGCCTTTTCTAAGTGAATTCTTAACATTCACACCAACTGAGGTAATAAACAAATATTTCATTCTATTCAGGTGCCTTTTAATGTATCTGATCTTTTACAAGTAATATTCCCTGAAACACAAAGGCCTTTTCTAAGTGAATTCTTTACATTCACACCAACTGAGGTAATAAACAAATATTTCATTCTATTCAGGTGCCTTTTAATGTATCTGATCTTTTACAAGTAATATTCCCTGAAACACAAAGGCCTTTTCTAAGTGAATTCTTAACATTCACACCAACTGAGGTAATAAACAAATATTTCATTCTATTCAGGTGCCTTTTAATGTATCTGATCTTTTACAAGTAATATTCCCTGAAACACAAAGGCCTTTTCTAAGTGAATTCTTTACATTCACACCAACTGAGGTAAAACAAATATTTCATTCTATTCAGGTGCCTTTTAATGTATCTGATCTTTTACAAGTAATATTCCCTGAAACACAAAGGCCTTTTCTAAGTGAATTCTTTACATTCACACCAACTGAGGTAATAAACAAATATTTCATTCTATTCAGGTGCCTTTTAATGTATCTGATCTTTTACAAGTAATATTCCCTGAAACACAAAGGCCTTTTCTAAGTGAATTCTTTACATTCACACCAACTGAGGTAAAACAAATATTTCATTCTATTCAGGTGCCTTTTAATGTATCTGATCTTTTACAAGTAATATTCCCTGAAACACAAAGGCCTTTTCTAAGTGAATTCTTAACATTCACACCAACTGAGGTAAAACAAATATTTCATTCTATTCAGGTGCCTTTTAATGTATCTGATCTTTTACAAGTAATATTCCCTGAAACACAAAGGCCTTTTCTAAGTGAATTCTTAACATTCACACCAACTGAGGTAAAACAAATATTTAATTCTATTCAGGTGCCTTTTAATGTATCTGATCTTTTACAAGTAATATTCCCTGAAACACAAAGGCCTTTTCTAAGTGAATTCTTAACATTCACACCAACTGAGGTAAAACAAATATTTCATTCTATTGAGGGGAATTTCTATGTATCTGATCTTTTACAAGTAATATTCCCTGAAACACAAAGGCCTTTTCTAAGTGAATTCTTAACATTCACACCAACTGAGGTAAAACAAATATTTCATTCTATTGAGGGGAATTTCTATGCATCTGATCTTTTACAAGTAATATTCCCTGAAACACAAAGGCCTTTTCTAAGTGAATTCTTTACATTCACACCAACTGAGGTAATAAACAAATATTTCATTCTATTCAGGTGCCTTTTAATGTATCTGATCTTTTACAAGTAATATTCCCTGAAACACAAAGGCCTTTTCTAAGTGAATTCTTTACATTCACACCAACTGAGGTAAAACAAATATTTCATTCTATTCAGGTGCCTTTTAATGTATCTGATCTTTTACAAGTGAATTTGCTTTATTTGAAAGTGTTTTATGACTAAAATTATTTATGATTGCCAATATCTAAGTTCAATACTTATGGTAAATTTTCTTTTTTAGGTGGCATCTTATGATTTTGTGATCCCTGTCACAATTAATCAAATTGGAGCGCCATCTCCTGCTGGAACACCATTCCCTCCAACACCAGCGCCATCTAACAAGAACACTATAGCCCATATCATTAATCCTCGTCCAATACAGTTCACTGTAGCAACGCCAAGACGACGTGTGGTGGCAACAGCATTGAGGCAACCACTACAAATGTCTCATCTGAACTTAGATTTCTCTCTCTCACCATTGGCTCATGAAATGCAAGAAACATCCGGATCTGGTCTTACAAAGGTAAAAATTAATTTTTGATCTCATTTTAAAATACTCAAGAGATCTGTCAAATTGATCGCCACATACCTCCCCCCTCTTTCGCATGTTGTCAATCAAATTTATGAAACTGTTCCTATGGTTTCAATCAGTCTGACCATTTCCAAATGTTGACTTTGATAATGTGCACAAAGGAAGATTATTGGTTATAGGATCTATTCTGAAAATTTGAATTAAATTCATCAATGATTAATTAAAAAAGACAATTAAAACCCTTCATATAGTGAATAAGAATATTCAACACTATCACTCAATTTATTTCAGGGTACATTGCTTGTGAACAACAGTGATAAGACATTAAAGTGGTGTTTAGATCTCTCCAAAACAAATACAGTGGTAGAACAAGGCATATTCCAGTTCCTCCATAGCTCAGGGGTCCCCTTCCTCAGCCATGGGGAAGGAGGAGTAGACGGTGAACTTGAACCAGGCCAGACCCAATCCATCGGAGTTTTATTCCATCCCAAAGAACCTGGACATTATGAAGCAAAAATACCTGTTGTATTGAATGATGAGTTTCATAAGCCATACCAGTTTTTGAAACTTGTTGGCGAGTTAAAGGCCCCAAGGATCTGGTTTGACCCTCTGGCAATCGTCATGACCCCCGTGCCTCTTGATACTGAAGTTTCTGTCAAGTTTCATCTGATGGCAGCGAATTATGAAAAGTAAGTGAATATCATAATGAATTAGATGTCTAACAAAGTACAGTAAATGGTAACTATTTGTATTACATGTATTATATGTATTTGGTGATTATTCCCAGAGAGGCATTGCATATCATTTTTTCTCAAGAGATTTGCTGAGTAATGATACAACTTGTGTGTCATTTTCTTATCCCATTAGATCAAAAAGTTTTGGGGAAAAATTAATAGCATAGAACGTTTGCTTTTCTGTTTCATTTGGTATTAAATCTACCTTGAGATACTTTTTGGTAGATACATTGTACAGTTGGGTGATATGTAGAACAGACATTAATTATGATGTATTTTTCAGGGGTACAAAAGTAACTGCTGAATTACCTATTGTGGAATGTGAGGATGGGAGTACAATACCTCCTTTGACACTTAACTTCCCAGAGGGACAAGGTATGATTTTTGCATTATTCATTTGGAAACCAAAACTTTAAAACAGTAGCACTCAGAAACTGATAATGTTGAAGTTAGTAATATGAAATCACTATAATAATACATCATTGCAGAGATACTATAATTTGATATTGTTTCTGTTCTTTGGTCACCAATACTTTTGGTTGGCTGAATGATATGCTTAGTTTCTTGTATTACAGATATCAAGCCATGCAGCGCTGATTCAGGGCACGAGGAGCCAACACGCCTCTTATGTAACGTCACATTCAAATGCCCGCAGCCAGTCTCATTCACCCAGAGCATCAAGTTTACAGACTCTGATGGCAATAGTTTCCTGCTTCCTGTTTCTGCTACCAGTGATAACTGCTTATTGAGTTGTTACCCATTCCTTGCCCAACATAGAGCTGATCATCAAATCGTCTGTGAACAGGTAAGCCATGTGAACCACCACATGTAGTATGAGTCACCCAAAATCAACCGAATCAACTGAAATCTTTATAGTTCTCCTATAGCTAGGGCTGGCACAATTTCTGAATTTACACAGAGATGTAGCCCTTTCTATTCTATATTGGTGCTACTAAGTAAATGCATAATATGTTTGTAGATCAGGCTGTCCTGCATGTTTATTCACTTTTTTGAAACAATTTTGAATGTTTTTAGAAAACCTCTAGTGGGGAGGTAACATCCTCGAGATCGAAGCAGCAGGTCTGTCATAGTTAGAACCCTAGATAAAATATAGTAAAGTTCGCATATTTATACATGTAGTTCATTGTTCTTTGATAATCTCCATTTAATTTATTACCCAGACGGTGATTTTGATATAATCATTGTCACAAAGGATATGTACTGTTATTTGCTTCTGAGTACCAATATGAATAATAATGCTGATTTTACATAATATTATACTAATAGATAGAATGAATAGCTAATTGTATCATAATCGAAGATTACTGCCCAAATTATGCTTAGCTTTTCATGTGACTTAAAATCATGGCACATTTAGAGTTTATAATTGGATAGAAAATAATAATATAGAAACTTATTAGAAGACATAACATCAACTACATAAGGGTGTCTGAGAGACTGGGCCCCAGGGTCAGAATTTTTCAGAATCTAAATCAGGGAACTCTTGACTATAAGAGTTAGTAATCAGGGAAAAAATTAGGAATCAAGGATTCTTGCAAAATAACTGATATAATTTTTCATAGGCCTCTGTTGTAACCCCCGTCATAAAATAATCATAAAAATAATAAATTCTCTCAATAATGTAGTTAAAATATTATACATGTACTGATATTATTACATACATGAAAATAGGCATTTTAAAAATTATAATAGGCATTTTTGGCTTTATGCAATTTCTATAAAATCTGTAAAATTGGGTTCCCTCCTGAAGAGAACTGGCCTGCAGTATGCATATATTTTGTATTCTAGGGCACAACACTCAAGGGCCGCAAGACCATGTCTAAGGAAAGTGTCAATGTGGGAGAGGCAGTGTTTGTCCCATGTGTGTCCCCAGCACGCCCCTATAGTAGAAGAAGCACCACAGCTACCAGCTCGCAGTTTGAATGCTCAGAGTCAAGCTATGAGAGCACATCACATAGTGCTACAGGTATATTCATTGGAGCTCATATTTCTCAGGAATTTTATATAATTTTAAACAGGTTAAGAGAGAATAATGGGTTACATGAAAAAGGTTTTACTATATATGAAATCCCTCAGTGATGTCCCCACTGTGAATGTAAAGTATCATGTGAAGTTTAACTGATATATTTACAGTGTTTTGGATATTTTTACTCGGATTACTCAGAACTCTCCAGTTCAGAAAACTGCTGAAGCACATTCCTGTATTCCAACATTGTGTGAAACTAAATTTACTCATATGTCTAAATGATTTCAGATTGTTGCCATATAAGGAATTACTATAATTATTCCCAAAATTTTATTTCTGATTTAGAGTCTACATACCAACCCAGTACTCCACGAGATGGCGCTCATGGCAGAGTTGCACCCATCTCCGTTGCAGCTGTCAAGAATAGACAAGACATTGCATCAAGATCACTAGGCTCTGCCCTATTTCCCGATGAAGACACAGAAGAGGGGATATTCCATACAGAGGTTTTGCTAGCTGTACAGCGGTGGTTCTCGTCCCAGGGATGGCCTGGGGGCCCCCACCCAATATTTGTCCCACACTCTCTTAGAACGTAAGTGAAATGATATTCACAATCTTTATGAAAACCATTTAGAAATCTTTGTTGCAAGTAAAATTTTATATTAAAAAATACTTGTATAATTCATGTATAATATGTATATATTTGAAGGGAATATGATATTTAATGAATTGATAAGCTGCATTTTTATTATCATTATAGATATTATTGATCTAATTCTGCCTAACATATATCATACATTAATTTATCTGTTAATCAGTGGCATATGCAAGAAACCTCCTGAAGATGGAACCCCTAAAAAGAGAGTTGGCAACAGAGTACTAGAAGCTAACAATCTTAACAGAGAGTTCAAGACTGTCTATGACATGATAGCTCATCTCTGTGGCCGGCAAGTTCCAGGAATCCCTATTAATTCTCCCCTTCCATCTGACCCTGAGGAGAGAGCTAAATATGTTCATTGGATGCACTCAACTCTGCTGACTTTCTTAAAGTAAGTGTTGCTGCCAGTCGATGAACTGTTTAGATGTCTTCTTTTCATAAAATACACAATGTAAAAGTGTATTATTTGTACTGTATCAATTTTCAGTAAATTATTGATTTGCTTGTGTTAAAGTTAACGTGAGAACAAACTTTTGATCCTATCATTAGTTCATTTATGAAGCATGATATATTTAAACAGTTTGCATGGATTTTTGATATGTCCTTGTGTAAATATTATAGGAATAGTTGTACAGTTTTGAATGAGGATGTGTTCTTGATGATGTAAATAGGATTTCAAATGTACACTAAAGAAATGGAATAGATATGTATAAAACATACAACAATGTTTTTCATTTTTTATTCAGGAACCAGGGAGCCTGTGTTGCTGCAGTAAAGCCTGAATATCTCATGGAACCTGCCGATTACAAAAGGTGGATAAAGCTCCAACAGGACCTAGAGGCTGCTAAAGGTTAGTTTTTAAAGTTGGCCTTTTGGGATATGTGTGGGAACCAGTTGCACATGGTGTCTGTATACAAGTTCATTTGTTTAAATGGCTCGGTTAATGAGATAGTTGACTCATTCTACCTTTCTACTTTAAGTGTTACAATGATAGGAAGTGACATATTATGCTATGAGTAACGCTTTTTTAGGTCAATTCTAGAATTTGAAAATTATAAAAATTAAAGGGTATAGCATATTACCTTCCTAAATGTAAAAAATACAATGTTTACCATAGGAAAAGATGGCGTTAGTGAGTACAAAGTTATAACAGAGGAGGACCAGGCAATAGAAGATGAATTATTTGAAGCTGTGTCTAAACGAGCTTGGGTCGACATTCTGCTGCAGATACTCAAGGTAAATGAATTAAAGTGCTCTACATTTCTTTTTGTAATTATTACTTATCGTTAAGAATTAAGAAAGTTTACAATTGAATTTGATAATAAACATGTAAGTTGAAAATTCATAGAACAAATATAGACTCGAAATAGCCAAAAAATTAATTTTAGAACAAAAATATCTCATGTAATTCAACCTGTATTGGAAATATTATAGATAAATAATAAATGTTGCAGATGTTTAAACATATACATTGATATTTTTTCAGATTCTGGTCATGGGTAGAATCACACCCCGTCAGTTGAAAAACATGCCAAACCCAAACAAAAACATTGAGATGCCTACAGTGAATCCTGACCCCCTTTGTAGCAACATCTACTCTGTGGGGGAGAGAATAATCCTGGCATGGCTGAACCACCATTATGAACAGCAGAGATATAATATATGGCAGAATTGCTCAAAAGGTGGAGTGCCACCATCTCGCTGGATCGTGAACTTTGATTTTGATTTACTGGATGGGTTGGTGTTGGCCGCAGCTTTGGGAGCTCATCTTCCCTTTTTGGTAAGAATAAGTTCTGGTGATATTTAACAAAATATTTTGTTTTATTTATTCTTTTATTTATCTTATAAACAAAATAAAAAATTACATTCTTGATTAAATAGCTAATAGATTTAATAATGTGCTGAAATTCAGTTTAGGATGTTTTAAAGCTAGATGAACTTCTGATTCTTAAATCAGTCAATGTTACCCAAAACAGATATATTTCAAGGCCCTATTATAATATATCACCAAGCACATATGGCAACATTTAAAGACCAGAAATGCACCATAAACCATATGAACTGATAGCACCAAAAACTTAAATGACTTGAATCATTTTCCAGGTGAAGACCCACTTGCAAGACATGTACACTCAGCCCAACACAGCAGAACAGTGTCTCCACAATGCCCTGAAGCTTGTGAATGCTTTGAGATACATCGGGATAGACTATGATATACAGGTAAAATATACAATATAAAGTGAAATCCATTTCATGTTTTTACTATGTTCACTTTCTCTTTTCAAGCTCCACGGCATAAAATCCACGTTGTATTGCCATTAATCTACAGCACCAATTTTTCTTATATCAAATTACTTACTGATCAATATCAAAAGTTATCTAATTTGACCCCATGTTTTGGTGCATGTCATATGTAAATCATATTGCGATTGTGATTTTCTGAAGTCTTTAAATCTGTTGTTTATCACGTTTTCATCATTATTGATTAAAGCTCACTTAGTGTAATGTGTGCAGTAAAGAATAACCTTTACATAGCGAACAATTTAAAAATGTTCACATTACATTGACTGCTAATAAGCATTAATAAAATTCAGTACATTACATAATTTCTTGTGTATGATTTCAGGCCATAGATATCACAGACCCTAACCCAATATCTCTGATGTTACTAGTGGTCTACTTGTACCAGAAGTTGCCTCAATACTTACCTAAGAGTAATTTGGAATTTGTCAGTAGTCTGCATTCTACTGTTATGAGACAGGTAAGGGAAAGGTTCCCTGAATACTTCTCTAATAATCATGGGTTAGAATTTGTGATTTTGCTACATGAATGATAATGGAAATTCAGAAATTGTGATTTATGAATTTTTGAGGATTGGCTCACTGGAGAAAAAGTTAAAGGAATGATTGAAAAATTCCATGTTGAATCATGGCCAACATTTAAACATTTGGGCCAACATTTGTTTTTTTTACTTAAAATTTTTTGTTAAAACCTTTTTAAAGTTATGTCATTATAGTTTACATTTTCTTTTTTTATTTCTTTTTCTCATTATTTTTGTGGATGGTGCTTGGTGTTCGGCGGCCAGCGCCTCACAAATGGCAGGTTGTAACATTTTGCATGTTAGTGCTTTGTTGATATTGTGAGCAAATAACCTCCTTGTGTAAAATCATATTTATTTGATTATTTCCAGGTGAAACTGAGCAACCCTAGTGGCAAACCACTCACCTACCATGTCTTAATAGCTGGCCATGATGCACAAGATTTCTCCACTCCTAAGGGAGATACAGTTATCATTGCACCAAAACAGACAATTATGTTGACAGTCGAGTTCACAAGTAGATTCTTACGTCCTGCTGAAGCTGTGCTCGTCCTGGTTGGTCGTAGGGCAGGCTCGGCTGTTGGATCAACACTTGTGTTCAATCTACGAACTACGATTGATAATATATCGCCAAAGGTAAGGAGTGGTTCAACCCCAAATGACATGATAAAGTGAACAGATATTTCAAGAAATTAACTAAAAGAAGTTTTGAACCTTAAAACATTATGTACTTTTAGCCATTTATTTTGTTTTGGAAATTATTTTTATTTTTATTTAAAAAATTATAATTTGCCTATGCTTATTATTTCTTAAATGAATGTAGCTTTACACGGTCTTCCTTTTTCAGACTACAATCAAATGCGAATCTCCAGCATATGAGTTAACAAATGTACCAATAGATGTCGAAAACCCATTCAATGAGGCTGGCGACTTCAGAATTGTTCTCGTTGAAGCCAAGAGCATTCTTGGAGATACAAAAAGTCCAATTTTCAAATCTCCAGAAAAGAAAACTAAAAAAGTGCGCTCTAAGATTGATAATGGGAAAAAACGTGCTGAGACACCAGAAGAGAGGATTTCTACCAAATCTAAAAGTTTATTAGATGTCCAGACTGAGGCCAATCAAGGTGAGATACAAGCTCTCAAATAATTAGATGAAATAGTAACATGTTGTGAAGTACACATATTATTTCTTTACTTGTACATAATTAATTCATGGAGTATCTCTGAACTTATTGTACCCATCTCATTAGAACTCTTCACTTCTTACCATTTTTAAATCTGATGGGTTTTCTGTCTCATGGATAGAGTTCACCTTGAGGTCAACTGTACCTCCACTTCTTACCATTGTTAAATGGTCTCTCGGTATATTACAGAAGATGCGTCTAACCTGATGAGTGCCTGTTTCTGTCCCATGGATACAGTTCACCTGGAGGCAAATGGTACCTCAACAATCGAACTCCACTTTTTACCATTCCACACTGGCAAGAGACAGTGCTCAATAATATTCATCAATGAGAAAGTAGGAGAGTTTTTGTACTCGATTGAGGCGAATGCAACATTGCCGTTATCATCACCTCTGCCACATAGGCCATCACAGAGTAATGTCAGGATAACTAGTGCTTATGCTGCAGGTAAAACTTTCACTTAATAGTTCACACTTAAATTACATAATCAAACGGTGCAGAAATTAAGGCATTTTGATTTTGTGAATAAGATGTATTGCAATATGATGCAGTTTCATCATAGAAAGATTCACAATTTGTGCAGGTCAACAAACAAAAGATACTTTTGGAGAATAATATATGTTCAATTTATATTTTGCAAGTTTGTTTCTGTAATTATCAAATGATTGGTAAATAGAATCCCTGTATTGTCAATTTTATTTTAACCTAATTAGCTGATTGTTATATCAGAAGCTCACAATCTCTGTCCCAAGCATGGCCTTCAATATCAAATCTCTTTTTGTAGGTCATGGACGTGGCATGTTTGGTGGTAATGACAGTGTGATATACTGGAAATGTGAGTGTGGTCAGTCATTGAAGGAATCATTAAGTATTCCTGTAACAAATGCAGCCAGGGAGAATGCACTGGTGGTGGCAGCCCAACAGGTAAAACGGATAAGATATTAGTTTCCCATGTTGGTTATTGTTGTAAGCCATTTATTGTTAAGCGAGGAAATATAGCCCCAACATCCCATCTGAAGATCAACATAATGACATTGTCAAAAGACTGCCTCTTTCTATTTATAATAAATAAATCTCAAATTTAATATATCATGAAATTTGAATATAACACAGTACAGTAAAACCTGAGTTAGTGAACACATCTCTCTAGTGAACACCTATTAACAGTGAACGTTTTTATTTGGCAAAACCTTTTTCTCTCACTGACTCCCATGTTAAAGTGCAATCCTATAGTGAACACCTACCAACTATGAACAGTGAACACTAAACCCTGGCAAAATCAATTGAATTATCCTGTCTCTAGTGAACATTGAATCAGATATAAGATTTCTCGTGGATTTTCTGCAACTGCCTTATCAGAGTTAAGCAGTTTATGTTTATATTACCTGCCAAAAATAATTAAAAGGTCAATTTGAGATCTTGATCTCTTCTATTGAAACAGGTGTGACTAATTATAATTCTTAATAAGCTTTGTTTTTGTTACAAAGGATATGCGTCTGGGATTGATTGCTTGGAGATAATCTGGTTAACTATTATTACCTCTATCTGCTAAGTCCCAACTTAATATTTTTTCTCATCCCGTCAATTTAAAAAAATGATTGGATCAAAATTATAATTCATGATCATTTCACTATTAACTGCATCTATCATGTCCTTTAACTAATTCAATAAAGTCCTTTAACTGACTCAAATGTCTCAAAAATTCCACTATTTAAAGGACCATCTTGATGAGATAAAAAGAATTATATAGAGATAAAAATTTGACAATAAAAGGATGAACATTCAGATGACAGTCAGTCTAAAATAAGTCCGTTTGTATATAGCATTACAACAAATTAAATACTTAACGCTTGAGTGGCATGGGTTAATATGGGTAGAAAATACAATTTAAATGTATTATTCAAATATGAATATGTTTTAATTCTTTTTAAGACTCATTTTAGTTTAATAAAATGTGCTGTTTTAACCAACATGGAATTGTGGATATTTTTCGATTACATGCACCTTAATGTAAGAGTGCCACTGTTAAAAAAGTGTATATCTAAATAAATAAATAATTAAATAAATATTCCCTCCTCTCTTTTAATAGCTGGTCTCTTTATATAATACGGCAAAATGCCGCGAAATCAAATCATTGCTGTAGTGAACACCTACCAACAGTGTTCACTATACGCAGGTTTTACTGTACTTGATTGTTGATGTACACGGGCCGATATGATTTTTACTTATTTCAATCAATAGTCCTTATGGAATTCCTGGCAATCTTCTTCATGCTGTTATTCTAGATATCTATTAATTATTTCAGCACATGAGTGAACTTGAAATCAAACGTCGTCGTGCTACAGGCACTCTAGCAAGTGCCACTGTTACGGCCAAGACTGTGTCTCTACTTTCCACCAACCCAACAAATGTAGTGAGACAACCTATGGTAAGGAAGCAGTAATTCACATTGTGTATTCTTGTATTTCCCTTAGTGAGCCTATGTTCCCGCAATTTTGGGTCTTACTCTTTTAAAACAAAAATGTACAAAAACCAATGATGGACTGCCCATTTAGGCATTTCAGTGATCGTCATTAACACAACTGTCGACAATATTTCGAAAATTTCAATATAATGAACTGCAAGTTGTAGATGCTTTAACCCAATATCAATGCATCATCCTCATTAATGACTTTTGTATCTTCCAGATCAACCCTGATGGCACAGTGTTCCGTGTTGAGGTGGACTCAGAGTTTTATAAAGCTCCCAAAAAGCTGTATGTCCCTAACCCAGTCAATGTAAAGTCATCCATAAATGGGAAATCTGCACGTTCTACAGCCCTGCAAGGAAATACAGGTAAGTTTTCTCAATTATTTTTCATCTGTGTCAATAATTTGTTCTCCAAATATGTTTTAGAATACAAATGGAATGATATGAATTGAAACATTAAAAGATGTACTCTTCATCACCAATTATCTTGTTTACTCAGTTAATTACTTGGGTTAATACTAAAATTTGTCATGTATCTCAAGTAGTTTATCTCAAAAAATGATTTTATTCCTCATAATATCCAAGGTGTAATATTGGATGATGGAACGGTGGATCTTCCAATGAGCTTCAAGGCCAAGAACCCTGGTCACTATCCATGCAGGGTTATATTACGAGCCCCTGATGACATACGTGTCTACCAGATTGAGTGCACTGTGAACCCAGAAGGACATGAAGCACATCTAGAGTTCACATCACCCGTACATCAGAGTGTCACGCAGGATATCCCAATTGTGAGCAACATCCATTTTTACAATTACTGATTTTATCTCATGTTTCTCCTTGGATTTTGTTAAATTCTCTATTTTTGGACATACTGTTTATTTGAGTGAATAACTAAGTATGTGAACTAATACATGTTAGTTTTATCTAGACTGAGTAAATTTTCAAAACCAGTCAAATTATTTAAATTTTTTCATGGATTTTCAGACTGTCAATTACCCTAGCAGCACTACCTATAAGTTGCTTAAATGTTAAGGTAATCAATCATAACTTGAACTTGCTCGTATAATACTGTAATATATAATAAGGAAGTGCTCATTATTTAGATAAACGAAACAAACCATGACTGGCCATTGAAAGCTGAATTAACAGGAGAGGGTTTCTATGGACCACCCACCCTGATTGCCAAGGCTTTCCAGACCTCCTACTACCCACTCATGTTTAGACCCATGTATGAAGGAGATATTCAGGTGAGACATGTTTATAATCAAGCTCCCTAGTGTATTTGCTGGTAGGGGATAACAAATCGGGAAATTGAAGACCATTGTAGCTTTGTCATCTATAAAGAAAAGGATTGTAAAGAACCTTGAAATTGTAGATCAACTCAAAAATGTATATCACAAAAACTGTAAATTTCAAAATATGTTTACGATCTTTGTAGAATTGGACCCCAGTAAATTGCAAGGTAACAAATTGAACAAACTTTTTGCATGGTGAATGATTATTTTTTATTTGCTGCTGATATGCATGATTATTTAATATAAGTGCTTATAATATGAATGGCTGCTATGTAGTTGTGGTATCCACAGCATCCACTATCCTCTTGAAGAAAGCACAATTAGTTTAAGATAAAGAAGAAATTTTGTAAATTAGAATTCTGCTCTGAAGATATTCTTTGGAATTATTATGCTGATTTATAGATGATTTGCATTTGCATGTGAGAGTGATGTAAAACTCAATTGTTTCTACATAATGTATGAGTTTATATTCAAAATGCTATTTTGATTTGAAGATCTTCAATTGAAAACATGACATGCAATTAGTCAAAAGGGTCAACGAAAGTGCATAGGACCACTTTCCTCAAACTATGTTCAGAAAATGTCTTCCCAAAAAGTATATCCAGAAAAATGCTGCCGTGTCTTGAACTTTTGGTCAAATTTGATAATTGAATAAATTGCTGAGAAAAACTGATTTTAAAATGTAAACACCCCATGCAAAAGCTATAGCCTCTTGAATCATTAGAACCCAACAGATAAAAGATTTGCTGGTTGCTAGGCTTGTATGTTGTTGTATTGCAATGATTTTACTACATGTATCTTTCATCTTCTTCATTTTACAAAACAATCATTTCACTCGATGTGCAATGTTATTCCTTAAAGGACGATTCTCGGTTTGGAGAACGAAGTTCATCAATCTAAATGAGCATTATCCCTGCTTCGGACAAATTTGATTTTTTTACATAATATAGATTTGAATGTCTTCTTTTGAATAGTCATAATTTAATTTGGGTAATATTTCTAGATTTTTCGCCAAAAAAATATTAGCGCAGTACACTGATGAACTTTTTCCCCCAAATAGAGACTTGTATTTTATCGAATCGGTCTAATTGAACGTTATCCCTGCTTCAGACCAATTTGTTACTTTTACATCTTATAGATTTAAATGTCCTCTTTTGAATATTCATAGTTTAATTTGGGTAATATTTCTATATTTTTCATAAAAAATTATTAGCCCAGGAGACTTTTCTCCAAACCGAGAATCGTCCTTTCTAATTATTTTTTTCTCTGCAAGGTCAACAAAAGTTAAACCAACGGTTCAAAATGTTTAACTCAGTCTCACATTAATTGTTTCATTTAAAGCCTACATGTGATCACAGTACACTTCAAGCCTTTTCAGCTATGCTATAGTCCATGCACATACACTTTAGTATAAATTATGTTTGCTTTGAATTCTAGGGCAAAGTTTTACTGAAAAACACAGCAGATAATACAGAACATGTGTTCCATCTCAGTGGCCAGGCTACTAAACCTCTGGCATTAGAGCACATTGTCATCAACTGTGAAGCAAAAAAGAGGTAAATAAATCCACACTAGTTTCAAACAGTACTTGCCAATGTAAGTTTTGCATCACATCTCTGGACCCCACTCTCTTTATCTACTTCACATTGTGGGGATGAGTTGTGTAACAGTGGTGGTGGGGGGACATCTCAAGGGCTTGAAACAAGGTCAAAATTGGTTTTATGTCATTTTGGTTCTTTCAAATATTGCCCCTTGTGTTTTTCATTTTATCTACAGTAAGCCTCACTAAAGAAATAATGTAAATGATTGAGAGGTCTTTGGATCATGTTGATGCATTAAACTGGGACCTTTAATAATTAATATGACCTCTAAATAGATGTGTCTGTTTTAGGGGCTGTTCAAACACACACATTTTACTTTTCTTTATCACTTATTAACACCATGAAGCATTTTGTCCAAATGAGGGAAATATCAAACACTAAATTGGGTATATGAAATATTACATTGTTATTTTAGTTAAATTGCTTTGCTATTTTGATTTATTGCTTTGCTGTTTCAGTGTTGGGAAGCAGCTGGTCATTCCTAATGTCACGAAGAAGAAGCTGGCCTACAGGGTGAGTTATTGAAGTTTGCCTCTTAGGGCTGGACATGTTACTATTTTCTAAGGCATGAATTAAATGCTTACCACAAGATAGTGAAGAAATTACCAATAATATAGGTTCACACAGTTGACTATTTGCATAGAAATGCTTTTTCAAGGATGAGTCTGATCTTCCTTTTTGACTATAACTTCACTGTTGTGCATACAGTAAAACCTGTAAAGTGGAACACCTCTAGAAGTGGAACACCTCTGTTAGTGGAACACATCAGAGTACAGAGACCAACTGACTAAATGTTAAATGAATCTCTGTAAGTGGAACACCTCCCAAGTGGAGCACTTTTTATTAGAAGTACCAAAGGTGTTCCACTTAAACAGGCTTTACTGTATAATGTATTATTTTCAATATTCATGTATATATCATATATTTTTCAAGGTTGAGTCAGACATTCCATTTTTGAGTGGTGTACCAGTTGTCACAGTTCTATCTGGGCAGACAGCACACTATGACTTCACAGTGGCACCTCTAAGACATGGTCGCACCAAAGGTGTTATTGCATTCATTGCAGGGACAAACCCAATTGTGTAAGTACATAATCTACATTTACACCAGCGTGCAAATAGTTATCTAAAACACCAGAGATTTTATTCTTGCTATATCAATGACAATGTCATATCTAGTTAATTTGAACTTTTCTGTTTGATGACATGACTCATTATTAAATAAAAATGGCAGACCAAAGATGAATACAAATCCAGACCATAGATGAATCAAATACTGTATAAGTGGTATTTAATCCGAGTGGTTAATTTTCCCAATGGTCAAATTTCATCATTTTCCTAATTTTAGTTTTCCTAATGACAAGAAACCTCCCATTGGATAACATAATAAAGACAATATTTCCGACATTTAATTTTCCGAACCTGGCAAAAATTAGGAAATAGGCAAATTAAATGATTAGGCAAAATTACCACTTATACAGTATGTACCTTTTTTGTTGACAAAATAATCATGTCGTATACTTTAAATGACATATCAGTCACTAGTCAATACAGTGTACAAAAAACATAAACGACATACCTACCCTTTTACTCCCCTTGTGATGAGTGATAATAAAATGGTCTCATTGGTTTTGGCTATTTAAAAAAATCCCTCTTAAAATATTAATGAATTGAATGGTTTTCTTGCATTTTTAAACAATTTAAACCCATACATGCCAATATATTTCAGCACTCAAAGTGGGAGAATTCTTCCTCCAAATATAGTGTAAGGCTATAGATAAGATGTTCACTTATTAATGATTTATTTATAAGTTCTACATTCAAAATTGGTTTTATTTGGATTGTCAATATGTTAAGTCTTTTTCCAACCAAGTTGGTTTGTATGATTAATAGGGGGTTTCTTTTTGTTGTTTTCAATTGTTGCCCTTTGTGTTTCCTCATTTGAAGTGATGAGGAAGATATATTCTCATTTGGAATGTCTATGTTGTTTCAGTGAGGTTGACAGTGATGGGGAAGAGATACCTGGATCTGATGATGAATCTGAGGAATACCATGGTTACCGCATCTGGTATTCCGTAGAAGTGATCTGCACACCCCCTCCCCCAGAGAAAACCCTGCAGATTAGATGTGCATGTCAGGTATGAACTGAATCCCTTTGCCCTGCTCAAACATGTTAACATATTTCATTCAGAAATTATGAAAAAACGATTTATATACCATATAAACTGATGCCCTGATGACAAAAAATTAACTTACTGGAAAATACAAATGACTTTACTTTACTCAATCACAAATATCATCATTGCCTCAAATATAAACTAATAAGGAAACGTGTCATATCTTAAATTATCTGATGTAAATTCACTTTTACAGAAACAAGCTATACTTGAGGTGGGTGTGACAAACCCTGTAAATGAACCAATCACATTAGAGGTCATGGTTGAAGGTCAGGGTATATCAGGTCCAGCAGAAATAACTCTACCAGCATTTGGGCGATCTGTATATGAACTGAAGTATTTCCCAGGGGCAATTGGGAAGTCAGAAGGAAGGTATGTTAGTTTTAATGATGCTATACCATAGATTTCAGTGAGAAATATTATAAGAATCCCAACAAGTTGTGGTCTGCGGAAAGTCTTTTATTTCAACCATTGTACAATTTAACTATTTCTGCAAACCAATATGAATTTGAAATTTCAGATGTTTTGCAATATCACTGTAAATTATTCGTAATTTTCATGTAACCACCACAAGTGGTGACATATATTTTTTTTGCATGTTATAATGCCTTGTATTGTACATGTATTGTTACTTTTCAGTTTGACATTCTTCCATAAGTTGATTGGTGAATTCTGGTACAAATTGGACCTCATAGCAGAGCAACCAGCACCTACCACCTTGCCCCACATGGAGTGTGAGCTTGGCAGGTAATAATCCTTCATTCTGGTCATGGCCATACTCACCATTTCTCTCTTAGATTTGGATCCTGGAATTTCCATAGAATTAAGAGAGTTGGCTACATTTTTTCTCTTGGCTTATTTCTTGAAAATTCCATTCTGTTCCTTCGATTTATCATTTAAAAAACAAAATCTTTTGTTCATTTGCAATGTCATTGTATTAATGTTATCAATGTTCAACTATTATTGTGTCATTAATAATTTCTCAAATGTGAACATAAATATTTATTGAATTCTGTAAAAAAAAGTCAAATGCAAGTTCTATAATAAATCTTAATGATATATTTCAGTGGATACATATACGCCAAAACATATGAGTAAATATGTAGATATTTTTAAAGTTAACTGTTATTTTAGGTTAGCCAGTGATATGAAGTAAGGTTGCATGTTAAATTTTGTTATGTTGTTTGCCTCATGCATCAAATCATTCATTGCCCCTCCCCCCCAGGGAGGAATAGATTCACTCCCCTCCAAAAGTTTGAAAACTGGAAGTCCACTTTTAGAGCACATGTCAAAGACATGTTTATGACAAATTGATCATTTGTCATAGATTTCAACCAATACCGGAACATTTTTAGATATAGCCATGCTTTAACATGCTTTTCAATGGGGACTTACTGTTGCCAAACTTATGGAAGGAGTGGATATTAATTAGATACTTAAATTCAGTATTCGGGTTTCATAATTCACATGCGCTTAATAATTATATCACTTAGGTGCCATCTCATATGTTTTACCCTAAATTCTACCTCAAATAAATTTTATTCAGCAAATTGCTTGGGTTATTTCATAAGCTAAGAAGTTAAAAGATCAATTTAAGCCTACAATGTTTTATTTTTATACAATCTGCATTATCAAAAACCTGTAGCAATAACAGGGGTGGGTCAATCATCTGCAGTTAATGAGGTGGATTGTGTGTTGAACTTTTGAGATGGCTCCTTATTGGGCAGATGCAAGGCATGTTATATATTTGTTCTAACTTGAAGTTCAAGGTTTTGCAGGCTTTCTAACATTTGTTGTAGCCTTTAGTATAATTGGCTCTGTTTAATTCAGTGATTCAAGATTTGAGATAATATTGTGTTTCAATCCAAACAAAAGTCACACTCACAAATTGATTATGATTTAGTTTTGCATCTACATACAGTATAAACCTACTAAAAATGACCTAAGTCTAATAATAGTTTAATTTTTTTAAATAGGGGCTGATGTTAATTGAAAATTTGTTGATGTGCAAATTCAATGTACATTTCAGGACAGAATTAGTTACGGAAATGATTTCTAGATAATTTGGTGTAGTCTTTAGATATTAAGGGGAACAGAGTGATACAATTTGGCATCTATTTGCACATGATGTCAATAGCCAAGCCGCTAAAGAGTTAGATAATCTCTCTACGTTCATACCTGGCAGACTTGAACTCTTTATTTAGACTGTCATCGAGTATACTTGTCAATTATACAATTATACTCAAGACATGTTATTCAAAAATAACCAACCACAGGTTCAAATCCAGGGAAATGATCAAGATTAGTTAGAATTTAAAAGCATATGCAAATTCAAGAAAATTATGAAAACTGTAATATACATTGACAACTTCATTGCTATAATTTGATGTTATAGGTGGTCTCGACAGTTTATCACTCTGAACAATCCAACAGATGATCCTTTGGAGTTGTTCCCGACAATCTCAAATACAAACAACTTCAAACTAGAGCGAGACAGTGAGCGCCCTCTATTAATACGTCCACACACTTCAATCCAGGTTCCATTGAATTTCATGCCATCTACCCTCGGCCAAGGAGACCATGCTGCAGAAATAACATTCTACTCCGAGAAGGTACATTTTAGTTATATTATAACTCGTAGCATATCAAATAATTTGACCGAGATAGTTTTTGATTATAATTAGATGCAATAATATAGTTTAGTTTAGTTGACAGTTAAATGTAGTTTAATAGAGGATATTCTATAGCTTTTGAGGGATATGTTCATCCACACTACAAGTGAATACGTGTATATCTACCAGGAAGGAGATATAGGCCTTCATCACATTCTTATGTGGATATTAACCATATCCTGAGAAAGTTCTTTTTTATTATTTATTTGACCTAATCCAATGTATAACAACCACTTATATCTTGATTTTTTATTATTTTTTAGCTGAAAGAGGTATATTTTGATTTTTAATAAGGCATATTTGCACTGGGTTTTAAAAGGTTTGAAATGCTGGCTTTTTAACACACACTTGGCTTTTTATGGTTTGGGTCTGCGTGCCTACACTGATTTGCTTTGGCATTCAATGTGCAGATATACAAATATATGTATATAACAAATTGAGAAAAGCAAAGTGAAATACAGGAGTTGTTTAGCACCATGAATTTTTCCTCACCTTAAGATAATAGGTACATGTATATTGTATATCTTCTACTTATTTACATGTAGAGGGAAATGAGGATGAATAAGCATTTTTAATTAAATAACTGAGCACTATTATTGTGAGATTTTCATGCACACTTTAAATGGGGTTATGTAATATCATTGTTGGCTTCATGCCTCACCTATTTGTGTTTGCCTCACCTGTTTTGGGATCCTGGCTATGCCTGTGATTTGTGTGTTTTCCATCAAGTGGCTGATCAACAGGTCAAGGTCATGTGGAAGAGTCAAGGTCACCAAACAGTCATGAGTCAAATGTAGGCTGGTATAAGTTACTTTGTAGATGTCATATTTTAAAGGTCAAAAAACATGAATGGCAAAAATACATTCCTACTTGACTATATCACTCATTTATTGATCAAATACATAAATGCAATTTAACAGAGTGTAATTTATAACAGATCTCCTTTCTAACAAGAAATCATCGCTACAACTGGCCGTAACCAGATACATTTTCCATGTCATTGTCTGACTATTTAACATTCACATATATACATAATAGATGATCCCTGGCAAATGTGAGATCTGGGGACGCTCACAAATAAAACCTGCTAGGGCTGAGCAATGAATATACACCCCATTTATAATCCTTATTGTGCCATAATGCAATGCAGTGGTCATCATCATTTGGAACTGGTTCATGATCACCCCACGCAAAACATGTTGCACTTATCCAAGATCCAGTCCAGATGTAGTCATTTGCCACAGCTCTGTCATTGAGGCCAACATAATAGTATAGATCTAAAAAATATGAAATCATATATGAGCACAGCTTGGTCATTGAGACAATAGGGCATCATATGAACAAAATAAAATTGTTAACAGAATTTGGACATTGAGGCCACGATGTCACAATTAAGGTCTTTAATCGAATGCGTATTACTCCAAGTTGATTTAAGACCTTTGATCTGCTTATCTTATCAATTGTAACAAAGGCCTTAATTTCATGAAATTGGGAAACTTTTTATATGCTGTATACTTTATATCTTACCTTGGCCAAAACTCAATACATGGTTCACCAATGCTGTTTGTTCACCTTCTGTCTCTATGGTAACAAGATGTGCCCCATACTCAAGGCATTCATACTCTGCCGATGTCCAATTTATATACCTTGTGTTGAAGCAATAAGCTGAGCCGCTGTAGAGTGTTGTATTAAAACCTCCTTCACATTCTTAAAAACAAAATTCAAAGATTATGAGGCCTCAATTTGAGGAGCTTGAATAGTAAGTAGTTAGGGTTATTTTTGAAGACAAATGTCAAAACAGACATGCTCAAGAAATTTAGTGAAGGTAATGCTTAGTTTGAAATGAATTTTGATTCTGCAATTGAATTTCTGGAAAACTTGAACTCTAAACGCCTACTTTTGTTCTCTAACTATGTTATACATCATTATCATCCTTCTGTGCAAGTACTGGAGCGCTGAATTACTTCCTTTTCGATCAAGACTTGTAATTGTTAGTCGAGTGAATGTTTTTACTGCCGAATTCCAATATGGCATTTTCTGCTCGGACATTTTCGTGAATCTCCGGAGGTTGTCCGAACCTAACTAATTCTCAAAATTCATTTTGTTCGTTGCGTATCTCGCTCCTAGCAAACCGCCATATTGGAAATAGGTCTAAAAAACATTCACTCGATGAACAATTTACAAGTCTTGATCGAAAAAGAAGTATTTCAGCGCTCTAATACTTACACGGATTGATGATACTGATGTAAGACACAGTTAGAGACCAAAAGTAAGCCGCTGATCGACTTAATTCGATTTCAAAGGTCACAATCATTCAGCTGTCCAAATGCTCCGTAGGAAAGCTATTATATCAAAATCCAAATAGCTCTCGCAGGAAGTAAGATGAGAACACATCCGATCAATGTGTACTGTGTAAGAAATTAATATATCCTCATTTCATTGTCTTGAATATGTATTTCTCACCTCTTAACTTCATGGTGTAATGGTGATGGTCTGGCCTGCTTGTTTTCGTACCTGTACCTAATCCAAACAAATCACATTTCCATGTTGTCTTTGTCACTTTTTCAACACTTGTCTGGACACAATTGGTTGTTTTTACACATTCTTCATTGCACTCCAACTGGGAATGTGTTACTGTGCTTCTTAAATGCCCAATCTCGGGTATCATGTTGTCGGCTATAAATTGCTCATTTTTTGTTTTGTAAAATAAGTCTGTAATACCAGTGGAATTCGAACTATCTGCTATAGAAATGTTTGTTGTCATGGAAATGAGGATGATGATTAAACAAAGTATTATTTTCCTCATATTTGAATCATTTAATTCCATATCATGATTCTGTTCTTTATAGACATGTATGTTATTCAGCTAATGAATTTTATTTTATGAACAATTCTTTCATTTTGAAATTATATGCGTTGTCTACAATTCTACCATTTAGACAAAGTATTTCCATTTGATATCTACATGACCTAGACTGTCAGCTCTCAAATCAATTGTACTACTCAGTAAATGCAATTAAATCTGTTTACACATCTCTCGTTTCGTCATATGAAGTGCAAAAAGGAAAGTGAAATCGCACCAGGCATCAACTACAACAATATGAAAGTCATTATCACACTTAACTTAACTATGTTCTAATAAGTATATATTGAAACAATTTGATTATCAGTACATTTTATAGATTTTCTTCATTTTTTCTATTTGACAAACCTTGTAAAAGCTTGGACATGGAAGTGCTTTGTCCCATATAATGGGTCTTGAAATAAGGCATTCAAATCAACCCATCAGTGTCAGGATATTGGGATGAAAAATATTGGGATTTTAAAAGTACTTTTTTGTTACAATTAAAGGAATATTTGAAGAAAATCAATTAGGCAGAAATCTTGAAACATGGTCAGAGATAAACATTTTGAAAAGGTGCTCAATGATATTATAATGCCTTTCAAAATGCTTATCTCACCATGTTTCAACAATATTTGTGGCATTTATTTTCATCGAATTGCCAATATTTTTTTCCCTATATCATGACATGTATAAATCTTTGAGAAAAAATATGATTTTTGTTTCTCTTCGACATTTACTGCTTGGTATTATCACATTTTTTGGTAGCGAGAATTAAAATTTTTTTGAGCCTAAAATATATTTTATCCTGAATAATTGTGGATTTGAAAGAATGATATATTGTGTCTTATCCACTGATTTTGTCTGCTGAGAAATTCTCTTCTTTTGTGACACATGGTTGATTGATCATAAAACCACAATCAAATGTGCTAAATGATTAAGAAAAAACTGCTTAACAGCTTAACATTAGACATGTATTTACAGCATAAGAGGTATTATCCAATTTTTTAATTTCATATTTTTTTAGAAAAGAAAGGCTGAAGAACTATTGTTTCGACATAGTTTTTAAACACTAATAATCAATTCTATTGTTTTAGATGTTTTACTATTTCTAAAAAAAATATTGATTATGATATTGCAATGATTAATGCAGAAGGTTTATATTTTATTTGAAACTTGCATTAAGAGACCTGAGATCAAATTTTTCACTTGAGATTGATTTTCCCATTTTTTGTACAAACATTATCCAAACAAGTGAATAGTAGAAATACTCATTATTATTAGTTGTTGTAGTCAGCAAAATCAATGTCATTGAGAGGTTTCTCTTTTTTCATAAATGTTTGATTTTTCCATAAAGTCTGATTCTCATCACAATCAAAAGCTAAGACAGTGGATGAAGTTGAGGTAAACTTACATCTTAATAAATTATGACATATTACACATGCTAGATATATGTCGATATAAAGTCTCATATAAGAAATACTGTATCATACCTTAGTATAGTTTTTATTTGGGACTATTAGCTTTTCCATTAATAGCTATCTAAATAATGCTCACAAATAAAACCTCTTTTAAGAGAGCATGAAATATCAACCCATTTATAATCCTTATTGTGCCATAATGCAATGCAGTGGTCATCATCATTTGGAACTGGTTCATGATCACCCCACGCAAAATATGTTGCGCTTATCCAGGATCCAGTCCATATGTAGTCATTTGTCACAGCTCTGTCATTGAGGCCAATGTGGTAGGCTCCACCTAAACATATATATGAAATCATGAACTCAGCTCTGTCATTGAGGCCGATGTGGTAAGCTCCACCTAAACATATATATGAAATCATGAACTCAGCTCTGTCATTGAGGCCAATGTGGTAGGATCCACCTAAACATATATATGGAATCATGAACTCAGCTCTGTCATTGAGGCCAATGTGGTAGGATCCACCTAAAGATATATATGAAATCATGAACTCAGCTCTGTCATTGAGGCCAATGCAGTAGGCTCCACCTAAACATTTATATGAAATCATGAACTCAGCCCTGTCATTGAGGCCGATGTGGTAGGCTCCACCTAAACATATATATGGAATCATGAACACAGCCCTGTCATTGAGGCCGAGTTGGTAGGCTCCTCCTAAACATATATATGGAATCATGAACACAGCCCTGTCATTGAGGCCGATGTGGTAGGCTCCATCTAAACATATAAATAAAATCATGAAAACAGCCTGGTCATTGAGGCCAATGCGGTAGGCTCCACCTAAACATGTATATGGAATTATGAACTCAGCTCTGTCATTGAGGCCAATGTGGTAGGCTCCACCTTAACATATATATGGAATCATGAACACAGCCCTGTCATCGAGGCCAATGTGGTAGGCTCCACCTAAACATATATATGGAATCATGAACTCAGCTTTGTCATTGAGACCAATTGAATTTGGTAGTATAGATCTGAAGAAATGCATCAAAATCATTGAACATGGTGAGGCAATTGTATTCTCTGTGGCTTAATTTTTGCTTTGACTATTTAATCCTGGGTTCCCCATATTGGATCAAAGATTCTAATGTTAACTTTGTATCATTCATTGCAAAAGTTCTAAAATGATTCATGTCTCACCTTGGCCATAAGCCATTGCATAGTTTACCAAAGCTGTTTGTTCACTTTCGGTTTCTATGGTAACCAGATGGGCACCATATTCAAGGCATTTGCTTTGGGCATCTGTCCAGTTCAGGGATCCTTGGTTGAAACAATAAGCAGAGCCACTGTAGAGTGTGGTATTAAAACCTCCTTCGCATTCTGAAAAAACAAATAGAAATTAAGTCAAAATAAATAATGTAAAGGTGGTGAGAGAGATTAGGGAGTTTAAGCTCGAATATAAAATCGAAACGCCAACCTAAACGTATGACCAAATCGCCCATACAAATGCATCACTTAAATAACTTTTGTTTACGTTTAGGTTGTGAAAAACAGTGCAAGCTTAAACTCCCTTATGATTAAATATACAGTTAAATGTTTATGTATACTTTCTTTGACAAAACTCACCATTAAACATCATGCTGTAATGATGATTGCCTTGGCTGCTAGCTTTTATACCTGTGCCCAATCCAAACATATCACAATTCCATGACATGTCTGTTAGTTTTGCAACGTTTGTCTGGGCACATTTGCTTGTTCTTAAGCATTGTATGATGCACTCTAAAGGGGAAAATGTTACAGTGGTTTTTAAATGTCCTTCTTCGGGTACCATGTTGTCCGGTATGAATCGCACATCTTTTGCTTTGTAAAATAATTTGTCAATTTGACTAAAAGAATTCAGACTCTTCGTTTCAAGAATGTATGTTATTATGCAAATTGTGATGATTAAACAAAGTATTATTTTCCTCATATTTGAATCATTTAAATTATAATTCTGTTCTGTGCTAGCATACACTATACTTCGTGGACACCATGCACTAATAAACTCATAATTTGAATGATTCTTTCATTTCAAAACTATGCTCTTCGAATGTCCCATTTAGACTGAGTTAGACTCTCTCACTATCAGAAGCAAAATAAAAACAAACAGTAAATCCTCTATTGGTAATTTGGTAGAGATTTGAGTCAGTTGATTTGAAGTTATTTCAAAGTTATGCAATCAAATCTGTTTACACATCTTTTTATATCATAAAAGGTCCTAAAAGGAAAGCAGGTTACACAATCATCATATTTCAGAATCACCGTGGTAGCTAATAGGCCTATACATAAATAATATATAATTCATTATCACTAATGGGTATATATTTTAAAGTAAGATTCTCTCATAACCAATCTCGCAATTATTGATGCTCTATTAGCTTTTTCCAATTTTTTAAACAATAAGCAGTAATATCTTTGAATAAAAAAGGTTATACAATGGCCAGGATTGTACATGAACTTCATCGTTCCCAATTTTTTCTTTTTATCCCACCACCACAAGTGGTATTGCTATAGTCTCCTACTATCAATTTACATGTGTATTTAGACACAATTTGATTTATTTATGACTGAAATAACTGAAAGTGTAATGATTATGAAATAAGATGTTCTTCTACTCAAACATGAATTTCATGTTTAAAGACTTTTGTTTATTTTTTGCAGCTTGGAGAGTGGAAATTCTATGCCTCTGGGACAGGATTGCTTCCTCGTGTACAGGACCCTGTTAGTATAAACTCCCCTGCTGGGTCTAATGCAACTTTGATCATACCATTCCGTAACCCTCTGGACCATTCTGTGCTCGTTGATGTTATATTAACAGGTATAGATTACGAACATATTTAATGTTGTGATGATTTCAATATTTTTTCATTATTTTTGTTATATTTTCTGTGAATATTATAATAAATAGTAAAAATTCATGTCATTAGGACCTCCCTTCCCTATCTACTTTACCAGTGTTGTGTTGTGTTGGTGAAGTACAAAGGGGGGGGGGGGAGGGTTGTACACAATCTTGAAGCAAAACTATCAAGTCATGTTCTATCTGTGACATACATTTCCATTTATATTTCGTTTACTGCATGCAATTTTCAACAAATATTCACTGTTTTTTTCTAGACAAACAACAGCAGTGGGAGAAAGTTTTCAAGAATGGATTACCACACGACTCACCATTCTGTCTGCTACTCAAGCACAGTAATGGCATCCGCCTAGGCCCCAAATCCACCTTAGATATCCCTGTATCATTTGCCCCTGAGGAGATGAGTATGTTTGAAGCACTCTGTGTTGTTGCTGTGAGGAAGGAAGATGGAGGCAGTTGGCATTATACACCAGTGGATGATAGGGGGTATGTTGAAATTAATAGTCATATATAAAAGTGAGAAGGGCATAGTGTAGGATAATTTGAATCTAATGTTTATACAGTAACATTACTGAGGGTCATGACACAGTGTAGGGTATATTGAAATTAATGTTCATATATCGGTAAAGAAGTTTGGCTTTGCTTGTTAGTAAGGGGGTGGCATGAATTAAATGTTCCTTTTTTATGTCAACACCACAAGTGTTGACATATTGTGACAGTCTCCAACTAACCTATTTGTGGTGGCGGTTGGTGGTTGGTGTTTTGCATTTGGCAATTGGTGTTTTGCATCTGTAACAAATAGCAAGTGGTGACATTTTGCAGGTTATTGCCTAGTTTCAAATGTGGTTACATTGTATATTTCAGAAATCGTCTGCCAAGGAGTCGTAGCGGAGGTTTACATGAGATCCGCTGGTTGTACCCAATAAATGGTATTCCAGAGGTTGAGGCTGTTAAAGACAATCAGGGTGCCATCATAGAATGCCAGGCCAGAGAACGTGTTGAGGAAAGACTAGAGGTAGTTCACTTTGAGTTTATATGATATAAAGTGTTTGAAACTCATAATTGTTACATTTCTATGGCATTTGGAATTGAAAACATTGGTTAATTATTATTCTGTCATAATTTTTCAGGTGACACTCTCAGGGGTTGCACCAAGTTCTTCAGGCCCTCAAAAAGCTATCAGGGCAAGGGCTGTAACTCCCAAGGACACCCGCCCTAGCGTACCAGAAGGCGTTATAGTAGGAGAGGGCAATATGATTGCAGAGGAGTTCACTTACAGGTAAGCTGCCATCTTAAATTCCACAATTTATTTTCCATGATCTACCTCAAACTACCTCAGAATTAAACTCATGAAACTCATATATCTGTATGCGAGACCTGCATGAAGCTTAGGATTCTTTTTGCTTACTCAAAAGTATCACTTAAATGTTAGATAAGGATATATATCTGTTGTGCCAGGCATAAGAATTGAATCTTTTTTGCCCATACTGCTGTCCAAGAAAAAATCTGAGATCAAATGTCGAGGTGTTCTCTACATTTTTTGAACTTGTATGAAAAAGCTTTTCTATGTAAGACCACACCTGAATCGCAAAGTTTTTCGTAGATACATAATAATATTTCTGTTAAATATAAAATGCACCTTCTCAAAATTAATTTACAATTGTAAATAACATTTCTTTGTTGCAGATTCATATTTGAAGGAGATAACACCAAAGAAGACCTAGAAAATGCCTGTGTACTAAATCTTGTGCGGTCTCATCGTGAGAAAATATCTGGACTCGTTGATCTTGTATTCAACGTGATTTTCTCTCCATACAAACAAATGACACATGATGTCCAGCTCCTTGTTCAAGCTGCTACAGGAGGTATTTAAGTGATTTTATTTTATGGAAAACTGTATCATGCATTGAAGATATTACCAGATTGTTACATGCAAAATTGTGAGAAAATAGGTTCTGTATATGATAATAAGGTTTGTTTTTCAATTCTCACTATTTGATTGTATTGATGTTCAGTTATCTTTAGGTTTTTATGCCACCAGAAGAAGTGGTGACATATTGTTATAGTCTCCAAGTTTTTTGTGGATGTTGTTTGGCATTCAGCGTCTGTAACTGCATTCAGTTCGGCAGTCAGTGTCTGTAACAAATGGCAGGTGGTGACATTTTGTATGTTAATGCCTTGTATAAGACAATACTTTAGCTTTATTGAATATTTTTCAACAGGTGTGTGGAAGTTCCCCGTCAGGTTCATAGCTACAGAGCCAGTGCCTGATGACACCATTGTAATTGATGCTGTTGGTCTCAATAAGCAATCATCTGTAGGGTTCCGCCTCAACAGCCAAAGCAGGTATGGTTTTATTACATTTACAATTGCAATTGGAAGTCCCCATTAGAAAAGGTGTTAGATGTTAAACCCTGTTTATGTTTGAATCTTAATTTTGTTTCCCAGTTACAAAGGGTCGAAAACATGAATTTGTTTAATTCATATGAATGAACGCATAACCCAAAAGGGACATTCTGATCGGTGCTGTGAAGAAACAATAAGGTGTTTAAGCTTGCAATGTTTTTCACAACCTAAACGTGAACGGAAAATATTTAAGCGCTGCATTTGTATGGGTGATTGGTCATACATATATGTTGGCGTTTCGATTTTATATGCAAGCTTAAACTCCCTAATAATAGCAATTTTTGTATTGCCTAGATCAATATCTTCAAATTCACTGCTCATTTCTAATTTCAAAGTTATGTTTTTCAGACATCCAGTTCTTTATAACGCATTCTTCGTTTGTGGGAGTGATCCAGAATTCTCCGTCAGCCCACAAAATGGTGAACTGCTACCAGATGGCACCAGTGGTACATTAATTACAATATCCTTCATGCCGACAATCTATGGGAAAACCTACAAAGCTAAACTTGTCATTCAGGTAAAATGTGTTTTAGTCAATGAATTTTAATTGATAAATTGTAGTACATTTTTCAGCGATAATCTGAAATTATAGGATTCTTGCAAAATGGACATAATTACTCAAATCAATATATATGGACGTGTAACCTCCTATGAATCAATTTATCCTCGGTTTGAAAGATTTGAATAAAAAGTGAAGCAGTAAACATCATTTTTTGTTGTATATGGGGAGATTGCAAGTTTTTATTAGCCACCAGGGGGCCATTAACAGAAACTTTGTAAAGTTAAGAATTGGTAAAATCCATTGTTCTCTAACTGTGACTTCATCCATGGTTACAACAATTGATTTACAGATTCATGACTTTACTAAGTTTCTGTTAATGACCCCCTGGTTACTAGAATATAGTATCTTAATTAATTAACTATTTTCAATAATTCCAGAGCCCTGATATGCAGTGGACATATGCTGTCAAGGGGGTGCTACCAACATATACCCCACCCAGGGGGCAATCATCTCGACCAATGGCAGGGCCCCATAGTGATCCAAGGAAACGTGGCGAGAAACCAAACTACATTCGTGACAACTTGAAATTATCAACCACTGCTGTTTCTTCTCCTATTAAAGGAGCACCAATATTAAAACGACAGTAGACATTAAAGGACTAACTCTCCCGAAACAAAAAAGACATTATATGAGTCGGAATGTTTAGATTGAAACAACATTACACGTCTGATATGTTCATACAAGTAAAATGTATTTTATGTATATACAGGAATCCATCCAATAATTTTGAAGTATTATACATATTCATTGAATATATTGTTTCCAGTTTTATTCTAACTGTTGAATTTGTGTATTTACATGCACAAAAAAACTTCCGTCCAAGTTTTTAAAATAATATGATTGTACATTTGAAACTGTGATATACATCATTTTTGGCAAACTCATGATTATTGGCATATATACAAATACATGTATGTATATTTTATGCCAGAACAATCTGGCCAAGTTTCATGATTAAAGTTTTTATTGAAACTTTCAAATACTGCTTTATTATCACTGAGATTATTGAATTTCTTCATATTAAATAGAATGAAATATTAATGATTTCTATTTCTAAGTCTGATAACCATTTATTTGTACAAAGTATTTAAAATATATGTAACTATGTATTAAAATAATATAAATATATTTTTTGTTGAGTTATATAGTGATGATCCATTCATCAAGTGGCAATAAAATCTTAGGAATCATGGGAAGTGACATGCTGCCAAATTCAGAAATTGTTGGTGAAAGTTAGTTATAATTAAAATACTAAAGCAACACATTGTGTTTGAGAAATAAGGCCTTTTTACAAGCAGTTGGATAATTGGTTTAACATTTTTAGTCTTCAATATATGGTCTAGCACAGAAGAAGTGAGTAGCTTCCATAATCATTTCATATTCTTTTCTAATTCGTGAACATAATTTTTTATTTAAATCACGCCCATGCACAAAGTGAAATTTGAAATCCTGGAAATGGCGTTTATTTCAGTTTAACATCAGTTCATCGTCATCATTTCAAACTATGGTAATACTATTTCAGTTACTTGATCCAAAAATGTAGAGAATACGCATAAAACAACAGCAAACATTCTGAAATCAATTTCAATGGCAAATGAGGCCTGTTTATAAAATTGGTTATCGAACATGACAATACCAATGCTCATCTTTGGAAAATCTTCCCCTTTGGTCTAGCACATGTATTTCAATCAATTTCTTGTATTTGGTAATCGAATAATTTTGCAGTGCTCTTTCCGCTGGAATTATGTTTTTTGAAGTTCAATCTATTAAAGATTTTTCTTTGTTTTTAAATGTGTGCAATTGATACTAATGTGCATTTCTACTTTCATACAAATCTCTGTATAATAGCTATTTATTTGTAAAAACACTATAATTTGCATAATTTGTACATACTGAGACTTTCATGATTTTATTATCAAATTTTTCTAATCTATTGATGTTTGACAAGTTTTTTTCAAAACCCAGCCCCATTTTAGTGCAAGATTTTCTGGCTTCTTCCCAAATTCCTATGATCATGATACATCAAGTAAATATTAGTAAAATATATATATTCACAATTTTGATAATAAAAAAGATGGCTATAGACTATACTACCTACAGACTGCCTATAGACTATACTAACAGTAATATAGCTTTTTACCAAAAATGATGAAAAGTTTTGCTTTTTAATAGCTCTTTCTGGTGGTATTGCGTCACATGTCTTGCATCAAGCAAAAATAATTTAAACTTGCATGTGGATTTTTGCATCCTATATTTATATTTGTTGAAATGATCTCTTCTTCAATGTCAATGCTATATACTGATATATTCCTCTTATACTGACAATGTCATGGGATAAAACAGATAATATACAGATGTAATACATGTTCTGTTATCAGTTATCATGTCAGGGATGCTTTCAAGAATATCAGCTGATATGCATGCTTCAAGTAATAACATGTTACAATAGATTGGATACAAGTTAACCTTTGCATAAAAACCACTTAGGGCATTCTAGTTCATGTTTTTATATCACCAGAAACTGAATATTTTTTTTTCATTTTTATACAATTTAATTCAGCTTCAAACGTGTTTATTTTGTTTAGTGCTTGTTTTATTCTTTTGCATAACTGCTGATGATTTTACGTAATTGTTGTAATATTTCATTTAAGGAACAACATCTGTATGTGTCAATGTCATTTGCACCTAAAACAACGTATTTGGGGATATTCATTTCACAATTTCTTAAAGAACTTTGACAATAAAGGTACATTTTTAGTATTCAACATTACAAAACACTTAAACAATATAGATAGGATACGCTTTTCACATTTTATAAAAAAAAATTCATTGTTAAAGTTGTCTACAGCTTTTATTATTTACATATACTTCATGTTTACTTTTTATACAGAATGAATAGTGTTCACTCTGTTTAAGCATTAACTGAAGGTGAGTATTCAAATACAATTTGCATTTTGCATACAAAGGCATACATTGACTCACTTCGTCTGATATTTTTGATAGAATCCAGTCAAGGACTAGGCTGTTAATCAAAATGGTGAGAATTGCTGTTATTGGGGCTGGAATCGTTGGATTATCAACAGCAGTGAATATACAACGGAAGATAGATGGTGCTGAGGTGATAATTTATGCTGATAAGTTTGGAGTTGACACAACAAGCGATGGAGCTGCTGGGATTTTCCTAATGGCACAACCTCCTCCAGGTGTACCTGATGATATTGTGAAGTAATAAAAACTTTTACTTTCTCTTGCATCTTCATTTTGATTCAAGCATTTTTTCACCATTTAAAATTTTGATATGTTCGGTGTCTGAAAATTCCTAATTTTAAACTAAATGGTGCAGTTAAAAAAATCATTATTATAGAGGAATTTTTATGATTATTTTGTTGCATTGGATAAAAATTAAAATATAGTTTCTATAATACAGCAATTTTAGTTATCTACAAGGAAAAAGTGCATAATACATAATACATGTATGGTGATATGCTACATTACAAATTATAATATTGAGGCAATTTCATTGGAGAGGTGCTCATGTGTCACAAGTCTTTAAGTACAAATTTCTTGTAGACTATGGCTGGGTGAAGGATGGAAACATTATGATTCTATAGCATCCTCAGCTGAGGCAAGTTCTGCAGGGATACATGTTTTATCTGGCTATGTATTATACAATGATGGACCAAAAGTAGGTATTTGTACTGATGAATTTAATATATAATATAAAAGGGTTGTCGCATGGGAAAGATTAGAATTGATTTATTTCATATCAGGTCTCTCTGGGAAATTGTGAACATATTATTTATGCTTATACAGTATAGTAGAAATAATCTTGTATTTTATCATCAAATATTGAAAAATGAATCAAAATGATGTAATCTCGTATATGAGGTTTCCAAATCAAATTGCAGAAATGTGGTTTTAAAATATAATTCAAGAATTTTGAATTTTTTTTTGAGGTTTTTAGCTCTAGTCTAAAAGTATCAATGAAAACTGGATATGACCTTTTCTTCTGGGAGGGGTGATGTGGTCTCCCGATGCTTTCAGTCAGATATCAAATCATACCTGTGATAAAACCCATATATAAAGCTTCCTGGTGTAAAACCTGTATTTCGTAGGAATGTGAAATTTATAATTGTGCTATCTAATGCAGAGTCCCTATAATTCCAAGCTATTTATATTTCTTTGATATTTTTTCAGGACCCACTTTATAAGGATTATGTATACCACTATAGAAACTGTACAGACAAAGAGCTCCAAAAGATGGGTTTCAAATATGGTGAATTTGCGACAACACTTATTGTGGAGGGTCGAAGGTATCTTCCATGGATCACTAAGGAGTTCATTAAAAATGGTGGTAAATTTGTCAAAAAGAGGCTTTCAACGCTTGGAGATATAGGCGACTCATATGAAATCATAGTAAATTGCTCAGGACTGGGAAGTCGGGAACTAGTTGGTGATGCCAAGACTTATCCAATACGGGGCCAGGTTATAAGGGTAAGATTGAACATTTCAAAATAAATTTCTATTCAGGGGCAATTTTGAATGAGACAAATAATTTCAGTATTGCAATATATTTTAACAAATCTAACTGTTTCTTCACTATAGGAAAATTTGTTTTTCCTGAAAGTGAAGCTTGAGATACAGCAGGAGACATGATATAATTTCTATATCCTGCTCTACCTGAACCTTCACTAGTCATAGGATATATCAATATACTAACAATGCATGTTCACAATTTTTCATCATTGTAGGTGAAGGCTCCCTGGGTTAAACATTTCTACTATGACACACAAAATGTTGTATATGTAATTCCTGGGTAAGATAATAAGAGTTAAAGTGCCCATGAAAAGTTCAATTTTCAAATGTTATATCCTTAGGATTTAAGAAAAGTTATTCTTAGGTACCGTATGAGTACTTATTTTTTATGTAATCTGTCAATTGACTGAATAATCTGACTTTTCACAATTTTAACAACAAAGTCCCCCCCATTCAAGAGTTGACAACACCTGAAAGTGAATTTTTTTTCAGTTTCATATAAACATAATATTTCTAACTCCAGTGTAGATAATGTGACACTTGGAGGCACAAAGCTGGTTGGTGATGAAGATAAAGTTGTAAGAGTAGAAACTAGAGATGAAATTCTTCAAAACTGTTGTACACTTGTGCCAAGTTTAGCCGTAAGTAGATACTTTTAGTCTGTCGCGCATCAAGCACTTTTCATTTTCCACCTTCTGTCATTGTGTTTACATATTTGTATTTAAAACAAAACAAATGACATTTTCATTTCAGAAAGCAGATTTCCAATGGGATTGGGTGGGCCAGAGGCCAGGCAGGTCAACTGCAAGAGTTGAGGCTCAAATCGTAAATATCAATGGCAAAGCACAGAAGGTATGTGCATGTATGCTAGTATATTAACCCTTCTGTAAGTGAACACTGAATCATTTCATGTTAGATGATCCAAACTTTGACTTGCACTGATACCAAGTGGATGAACTAATTCCTAGTTCTTACCCTTTCTCCTATATTAATTTTGAGACACCTGGTTTCTATAGTAACATAACCGTATTTTCAGGTGGTGCATAACTATGGCCATGGAGCAGTTGGGATCACCCTAAGCTGGGGTTCAGCAGTACATGCTACCAACCTCCTTAAAACTCTTCTAAGCAATACAAACGCTAAATTATGAAACATTAGGAAAATTTTTTAGCAATTTTTTATATCAAACATTTCAAAACCATGGTTTTACCAGCACATTATATCACGTATTAACCAAAGGAAAGAGTTGCAATTTAAATTTAACTGTTAATTTTGAGATAGCAAGCTCCTGAATACAAGACATTCATTATACAGTACATAGCTGTTCATATCACTATATATTATTCTAATATGATACAGTATATGCACCAACTTAAAATATGTACACACATAAATAAACGTTTAATTGTTAAATTATAGATAAGAACTTATTTTAATGAAATTAATTTTTATTCAACATATTTTGTTATTGTGTTTGTTATATTATTTAATTGATTAAACATCAAATTATTTTAATAAAATTAATGTTTATTTTTACATCTTTGTTATATTATGTTTGTTATCATATACAATGTACATTGCTCTTTAGGAAAGTAACAAAATTCCAAGAATTGAAAAATTTCTAAGAGTTAAAGGATATTTGATTACTTGTGAAAATTTACAGACCCTTGTAATATACATCGTAAAAATATGTTTTTCATAAGAGGTAAGTAAAGTGCACAATAAAATAATATATCCTTTAGATAGTATAATAATTATATCCAAAATCTTTATAAATTGTCATTAATTTCGAGCACTCTTCTTAATAATCGACCATCCCTAAAATCATTATCCATTGCCAGGCTGACCTGAAAGTTATTCTCTGATTTTTTGGCATGTTAACAAAAATCCAGTTTGTCTGTGAGCCATTCAATTTTGGCAAGTACATGTATGTCTGCAATAATGCATCCTGATGAAATATGGATCTTTCAATATAGCACACTTAACTGGCCCTCCAAAGTTTGCCTACATTTCATCCTTTCCTTGAAGAAATGTGATGGTTATCCAAGAAATGCATGTAGCTGTGTATCTCCATATCCAATATCTTTCAGAAGCCTGGAAATAATAAAGTAATCAACCACTAAAAACACTTTAAATCTGTTGAACTATCATTTAACAAATATTATACAGAACTATACATGGGCAGGTAGTGTAAAGCATGTTAATGTCCTCTTGTACTAACTAACTATAACTATATTTTAAAGCAAATACAAAACAAGGCATTAACATGTAAAATGTCACCACATGCCATTTGTTACGCACACTCCAGCTCCAAATGCTGAATGCACTACACTGTCCAAATGCCGAACACTGTCCATAAAAGAGACTATATCACCACTTGTGGTGGTGACAAAATTGTATTTGTATATGCTATATATGAACTTAGAAATGTATGTAATTTAATCTATTAAGCCTATACAATATTTTATATATTCATGTACATTAAAAACGTTTGTAGATCAAAAAGGTGTTCTGCTTATGGAGGTGTTCCACTAACAGAGGTTCTTTTTATATTAAGTTAATGGATAACAGAACTTGGAAAAGTGTTCAACTTTTACAGTATCATATATATCATAGTTGTCATACCTAATAGTCTGATTGGTGAAAGCAATTGGGCCACACACACATACGAGTGTGTTGTTAATATTTTGCTGGGATGTACATTGCTTCAATAAGTCCAGACTGACTCGTCCTGTTAATCCAGACCAGTCAGAACCAGCCTGAGAAAGTACATGAGACACTGCAAATCTGTAGAAGAAAAAGGGGGAAAAATTACAAACAGTAAAAGCTATTGAACAATGCCAATATGTACTAGATAGTAAGTATTTTGCTGAATGGAGTCAAACTGGAAATTTTTGAAAAATTTCAAATTTACAGATTGGATCAGATGAGGTCTCTAAAGTTATGAACCTAATGAATGGTGCCCTTTATTTTATTTTGTTGTCAAACCTGTTTACACTTTGAGACATATTACTGAAAATCATTGAAACCATAATTTAACAAATCAATTTGATAGGCAATTGGACACTGATATTTGCATCTACATTCTTCGAAAACTTACGCCTTGACTTTTCAACATTTTAAAGAAAAGCTTGTAGACTTCAGCATTCCGAAGTTGACATTTTTGAGCATTAATTGAAAACTGACCTTTCATTAGCAGCTTCTAGTTCATTCAGTTGTTCATGCCATAGAATATCCTTTTCTGTTTTGTTGAAAAACATCAACTTTGTATCTCTGAAAAAGATTGGAGCATACAAAATATTAACATACCTATGTCATATTCTACAACTATTTAAATTATGTGAAAGTTTGTATAGATCTTGATATTCAAGTTTACTTACAAGTTTACTGTTTACTACCCAAAGTGGAAAACTTTGTCACACAAAGAAATTAACATCAAGGATTAAAAGTTTGTAAAGGCAAATCTCTGAGCTACTTTATATCAGATAATAATTTCATAAACGATAACTTACTTGATTGACTTGTGTTTATTTGAGACAGTTTTGTTGATAAGTTTTATCATTGGCGTAAAGCCTGTTCCCGCAGCTAGTAGCACCAGATTGGTAAAACTATCTAATTTCTTTTCTAAAAAGTTCCCATCGCTGTTACTAATTTCTAGAGTGTCCCCTGCAATGGATAGTATCATACATTCAATGATTTACAGTACATTTATATTAATATTGTTAGAATTCAAAGTTATGTTATTCCCTATATTGAGGACCATAATTTCCTGAATTCTCACAAAAGGATAGGTATCGATATGGAGAACTGAATTCAACAATGTTTTTCTCTTAAACCAATCATTGAAAACATTCTGTAAAAAAACATGGTATTTTATGTAATGTTGACTGATTGACAACAATTTAATGCGAAAATTATTTAGAAATATTTTATGTAACTGTTTTTGATAACATTTTTTGTTTTTTTAGTGGAACTGTTTTTGCTCCATTCTACCAATTCTTGAAAATGAAATAAAATGTCTTTCCGAACCTTGTTGGAACAAAATAGCATATACAACATGTTTTTAGACCTCTCAATATTAAAGTTATACAAAGGAATTTTCGGTTGATTTGAAAAAAGTATTCAAAAAATTAAAACAAAATCCCCTAAAATAGATAAAAACCAAGAAAAACCTTTTGTGTCATTAACAAGATACTTTGTACAATTACAATATTGAGAGACCTAAACATGTTGTGTTTATGTCGTTTTGTTCCAATGAGGTTCGGAAAGATGTTTCATTTCACTCTGGAAACATGATACCAAGAACAAAACAAGTGTTCGATGTGTTGTTTTAAACAATATAGATAACAGTATGCATATCTATTTCAAATTATATTGTTACCATTTAAAAGATGGCCATTAAATTGACAATTTGTAAGATTTTCAGAAATTTTTCATGACTGGTTTAAGAGAAACGTGTGTTCAAAAAGTTTGCCATATCGATACCCATTCTTTATCAAGATAGAGAAAGGTATATTTTGCTTTCTCATGCTCTCAGATACCCATGATCTATGAGCTTGACATACTTCCATTGTACAATTAACTGCCCAGCTTCAGTTGTTACAACTCTTAATGAAACTGGCATGAGAATGGTATTTGTCAATTCTGAAAGTTATGTGCTAACAAGTGTAAAGGTGGAGTGTTATGAAATACACACCTATATTTAAATTTCCTATGTGAGGTGTCATGGCACCATCCAGGTACACTTTCACCATGAGGTAGAACACCCTCCCCTCTAGCAAACGAGTATCTTGCTCTGTGGACACCAGAGATGGTAGAACAACAGTGTAACTCCGAACTACCTCAGTACCTACAATTAACAAAGAGTAAAGCCATGATAAGTAGTAATAGGTAATGATTGTTTAGCATTAAAGCTGAAACAGACAATAAAATACACTGAACTCGATACCATAAATTCAAATCTGTTTCTGGACCAAATCAATAAAGATTTGAGTTTGGGCCTTTAAGTATCTAGAAACCATTGTTTTGAAAAAATATTTGATAGGTAATCATCCATAAGAGTAAATGTATGTACTTTATTCATTTGGATAAGCAGAGAGAGTTGTAAAGCAATACCTTGGATATTCCGTCTTATATAAACATGGTGCCCTACAGGCACACACATTCTACAGCCCTGGGGCAACTGGAAGCCAAGTAACAGCGTATCGTGACTAACGTCACATCTTTCGATGAGTTCACAAGATCTGTAGTTTCGCTCTAAAACAATACAATACAAGGAATTTAAGAGCAAAAGTATAATTTAAACAAAGTACTTGTCTTTGCATTCATCAAACCACTGAATTGTCCCTCTAATATTCATTCACAAAATATGGTATTAAAGTATAAACTGGACCTAAATATTCTTATATGTTGTAAATATTGCAATTGTTGCATAGCAATGGTAGACATCCCTTGTGTAAATCTTCTTTCATTTTGGGCCTAAAATTAACTTTAATAAAGTCATCTTATTTTCAGTAATAAGCCTACTTTTTGGAAAAATTGGCCTTCTTTAGAATGATTCTAATAAATAAAGAATAATTTTCAAAATAATTTTTTACAGGAAATTTTGGGGCGCACCCTCGTCAGATTCCAAGTCTGTTCTTGCATAGTCATCACAAATATGATAAATTTTTGGAAAAGCATCACCTTATTCATTGGACACTTACTTTTTTCTACTGACTTGACTAAAGACTGGTGTTGCATTAGTGGTCTACCCAATGTGGGCCAATGGATCCCTTGTTCAGATTTTCTTAGGATCAGCTGGCATTTACCATTTGGATAAGTTTTAACTGAAATATATCAAACAATTAACAAACGCGACATGAGATAATCAGCTGAATTTCAGAGATTTCAATTTTCATTAATAAAGCAATTGCATGTTATGTTCAAATGTAGTTAACTGCCATAGAACAAAAATTGACTTATTTAAACTATTAAAATTGAATTGTAATTGTTGAGACCCCAAAACAAATAGATAAATTCCACCTACCTTTATATTCATATTCCAGTTTGTTCTCTAAATCTGGAAATAAAAAAATAATTGAATGAAAACAAAACAAACACTTGTCACTCAAAAAAAACATTTCAAAATTTGCATTGTAAAGATTTAATTATCATTGAATCAAAAGTTATAAACAAAGCATAAACAAACATGCAAAATGTCACAACCTGCCATTTGTTACAGAAACCAAATGCCAAACTCCCAACTCCAACCATTGAAAAACATCCACAAAAAAAGTTAGAAACTAATAACAATATGTAGTGTGTAACATTAAAGGGATCAGATGTCCTTAAAAGAAACAACAGACCACCTACCTAAGTGTATGGTGAATATGAGATCTAAGAGGGTCATGGTGACCAGGAACTCTGAGCCTGAGTAGTCAATGATGACATCTTCATGCTGTATAGAGGGATGCTTCGTATATACCTCAATGTGTATCTCGGAGTCAGTCTGCAGCCAGTCATACCTAAATAATAAAACAGAATTAACAAGGCATTAACATGCAAAATGTCACCACCTGTTGTTTGTTACAAGCACCAACCGCCGAACACTTACTGCCAAACATCAACCACCGATCGCTGCCACAAAAAAGTTGGAGACTATAATGATAGGTCACCATCACTAGGGACTCATAAAAACGTGGCATTTACTTCAGCCTATCATCTTGGAATTGATTACAATGTTATTTATTTGTCATATTCACTGAATAAATGCTACAGATAGCTTACCTAGGTTTGGTGGGGGTCTCAGCCTCTGTAGCCTTTCTTACATTTTGTGGAACTGGAGGTGCTAGACCTGAAATACAAAACAATACACATTTAGAATACAAAGCAATACATACTTATAATACAAAGCAATACACATTTAGAATTAAAAAGCAATACATATTTAGAAATACAAAGTGATATATATTTATAATACAAAGCAATACATATTTAGAATATAAAGCAATACACATTTAGAATACAAAGCAATACACATTTAGAATACAGAGCAATACATATTTAGAATACAAAGCAATACAGATTTAGAACACACAGTGATAATCATTTAAAATACAAAGCAATACATATTTAGAATGGAAAGCAATACAGATTTTGAACATTAGAATGTAAAATAATACACATTGTTAGTTTACACATACATACTTATAATCAAAACCTAAACTACTAACTTTTTTTTTCATCAAGAGATTTTATTGCCATTAATCATTAAAAGTACATATCATACATGAGGGACCCAATCGCCAGTGGCATTATAGGTGTCCCTCAATGTAGTAATTACAATTTGTAAACATGGTTTTAATACACAATTATATATTAGAAAAAAATAGAAAAGAAAGCATCTGCATTTTAATTGGAGTGTGGGGGGGGGGCTGCTGCCTCTGCCTATAGGGTCCTGGAAACAAAGATATAGTAGTATGAGTAGGGAAAAGAGGTTCACGCCATAGTCTCCCATGGCTAAATGGCTGATCTGTACTTTCTATGTGGCACAAAGAAGACTTCATGGTGCTACAGTATAATATAAGAAAATGAAACAAGGGGAGAAAAGCAGTAGAGATAAGGAGTGGTAGGGCTGAGAACAAAAGTAGACCAGCTTCCAACTACATGTAACTATGCATGCTCAATAAGATATAGGCTCACCACTGATAAAAGATTGTCAATTTGTTCCTGAGTAAGTGAAGGGTGAGCAAATAAGTAAAGATTTATTTTGTCCATTTGGGTCCTAAACTGAGATTGGTTTCCAGTGATTAGTTCAATATCTCTATTAAATTTAAGAATTTGTTCAGTTTTCAATGGGCATTTAAAAAACAAATGGCGGAAAGTCTCAGGGGCTCCGCATTCGCAGTTTGGAGAGTCAACAGTTGTCCAGTTGTGGGCCTTGAGTTGTGATTTGAGAATGAGATCTGATCTGGCACGATTTAGAAAAATTTCTTGTTTCCTTGAGAGTTTTAAGGTCATTGTTGAGATTGTGCCTTGGAAGAGTAATTTTTTCAAGTTGTACTTGAATGATGCTATACTTGGTAATGATTTAAGCTCTCTTGGAATTTTATTCCATATATTCATCATATTATAAACAGGTGATTTCCTTGGCATTGTGATTGGTATACTATAGTCCAGTGTACCTCGCAACATTCTATTGTTTATCTTTTTAAAAGGATGAAATATGTCGCTAATGTATGATGGAGTATTTTGATTAAATATATTATACATTTGCTTTTTGAAATGAAAAATTCTTCTTTCATTTAGACTTGACCAGTTTAGCAAATCAAGGACTTTCTTTGCATTAGATCCTGGTAAGCAACCAGAGACAATCAATGAAGCTTGGTATTGGAGCTTGTCCAGTCTCTTTAGATTGGCCTGTGTTGCACAGTGATAGAGTATGTCACAGTAATCAAAAAGTGATTGGATATAAGAATTGTACATGATGTTGAGCTGTTTTGATTTAAGTTTGCTTTTGAGTGGTTTCATTGGATTTAGAGCTTTTTGAATTTTGTCAACAAGATAGTTTATATGTTCAGAGCCGCTGAGTTTACTGTCAAAGTAGAAGCCTAGATGTTTATGCTGATTATGCCTAGATATTGGCTGATCATTCAAAAAGACTTGTTCATAATTATGGGTGTTTTTCTTAGAAAAAATGACTTCTTTACTTTTTTCAGGTTTGAAATCTAACTTCCAGGATTTAGACCACTGTTCAATGGTCTTCAGGTCATTTTGTAGCAGTTGATGAGATTCTCTATCATTTGGAGTACATGGGACAAAAATAGATGTATCGTCAGCGTAAATAAAACATTTTGAGGTCAGGTTGTAAACTACTAACTCACCATTTAGGTTACCTGCCAAGGAGGGAGGGGACTTTTTAACACCTGAAATAGAGTTCATGGTAAATTCAATTGCATTATATTGAACTTATGTAAAATTGAAGTTGAATTTATTAATTGATAATTTAAGGTTCAATAATTAATTCCATCTTCTTATATTATTAACAGTTGGATACATTGACCCAATAAAGCATATCACTTAAAGGACAATTCTCGGTTTGGAGAACAGTCTCCTGGGTTAATAATTTTTTTCATGAAAAATATAGAAATATTACCCAAATTAAACTATGAATATTCAAAAGAGGACATTTAAATCTACAAGATGTAAAAATAACAAATTGGTCTGAAGCAGGGATAACGCTCAATTAGACCGATTCAATAAAATACAAGTCTCGATTTTGGGAAAGAAGTTCATCAGTGTACTGCGCTAATATTTTTTTGCGAAAAATCTAGAAATATTACCCAAATTAAATTTTAACTATTCAAAAGAGGACATTCAAATCTATATTATGTAAAAAATCAAATTTGTCCGAAGCAGGGATAATGCTCATTTAGATTGATGAACTTCGTTCTCCAAACCGAGAATCGTCCTTTGAAGCATTTCTTGTAGCTGTGTTTATTTAAATGTGTGATTTCTAACCCTGGTCAACTCACTCTATTTAATCAAATGAACTCACTTTTAACAGGTCTGGTCTCCTGTAGTTTTCCAATGAGGCAAGGGGCAAGCATAGATTCTATATTCACCCAGCGATGAATCTGAAAAAAAATTACACTACAGTAAAACTTAGAGACTGGACATATTGAGCAAATGAGAAGGTTTGAAACTGTTCCCACTTTGATAAATAGCATGCTTCAATGGATACATTGTTGATTTATTCAATAGAAACAAACTACCTTTGTAACCACATTGATTAACCAAGGCAAATAATACTCGAATTTCAATTCATGAAAAATAGATGTCATGTGAGTCTTAACCTCTCCAAATAAGATTCAGATGGGTCTGCTGTTAAATGATCTATTCTGATATTGCTCTATCAACCATCTGTACATCCTTCATTCAAAGGGCTTCATTTATTTTTTTAATTCGGAAAGAAGTGAAATACACTTGGATGAGAAATGCATTGTATACACTTTACTGTTGGTTGATCTGAGTAGTTTGTTCTAAATTGAGTCTAGTTGAGTGTATGATTATTGATTAAATGAGTTGATTGTTGACTGATTTTAAATTGAGTTATGGGACTCTGATAGCCCATGATTCATCTGATTTGATTGGTCTAATTGATTTAATATTTTATGAAGTTTGTCTATTTATATAATACAAATAAAATATTACCTCATCAAATAATCTGGTAGCATCTATTCCAGCTCCACGCATCAATTCATCTAATCCCCCTGGGTGGAACTCCATATATGGTGTTACATTATAAACACGTCCTGTAAATCATATACATGTAATTAGATTATCAGTTCAAAAATAACTGACACACAATGTACAATGTCAAAATCAATTCAGTTCAAAATTTCAATTCTTTAAAAAATATAATATATACATTTGGAATAATGTAACATAACTGCTAAAAGGTAAGCTTGGAAGAAAAATTAAAACATCTCAAAAACACATCCTCTGAACACATAGCTAGAGGACTCATTCCTCCAGAAAATAGAAAGACGATATTCTGATATAAACTGAAATCTAAGATTATTCAATCAATGCCAAAAATCTCCATCTTGATTAGCTTTTGTTACAACATAACACATCAGCTTAAGTGGGTGTAAAATTGGAATTTTCACACTTGGATCTTTGGTTGTAATCCTGTAGTTATAGAAGAGATGTATGAATTATTACCAAGCTTCCTCTTTGAAGTTGACAAGGGTCATAATTTATGCCTGACAGATCTTTGGAAACAGAAGAATGTAATATCATTCTACCACTGCTTTATGTAAATCACTTTCCAGAAGCCATAGATTCAAAGATGTCTTACCTCTAACACTTATCCAAGCATCATCCACTTTATTATGTTGTTTCAAATCCTCTATTGAGACCTCTTGCCTACGTACACCGCCAACACCCGTTAAATCCTTTCCACTTTTCCCTAATTTAATCCAGTCCATTAGAGACCTGCCTGGCTTCAAGGCGAACTTATTTCTACCAGATCCCGTGGCATTCGATGTTCCTACCGTCAGGTTTCCGGTTCCTGCCCCTGGTAGCTGGGTAGGAACAGAAAGGCCTCCACCGGGCAACATTTTCCCGTTGCGATCCTCCCCCACCCCCTCCCCAGAGAGGGGAGCTTTCCGGGGACTGTCGTCAGTTTTGGACTTCCCGCAACCCAGTTTGAAGTTAATCCAAGTTCATTGTTAAAGATGTCTAGTAATTCTAGCTATGGCAGATTCTGTCAGCTTATCCTGAAGATATACAATGAAAAATTGTTATTACATTATTGTACTCCCTGATTATCTGTGTGAACCTCTTAAGAATTGTTATTCTATTGTTCTTTTAATCAATAAATCAATAGAAAGATGTCAACAAAGGATATTGATATTGACCCCTGTTACACAGGCCAGTTGAAATGCTTCGTTACGAAGCAATTTGACAAAAAGCTTTGGGCCAGTGTAACACCTCCGCCTTCGTTGGAAAAGCTTAGTTGATAACGAAGCAATTGAGTAGAAAATTCAACGAAGGTTAGCTCCCAACGAAGCTTTTTTGGCCTGTGTAACAGGTACCTTCGTTAGAAAATGCTTAGTTGGCGGTTTGCGCATGCGCGTAATAAAGAGCACATTCATCATTTTGTATTAAATGAGAGGAATCGCGAGGAGAGAACATGTTTTTAAGTACGTATTATTATAATGCTACGTTTTGATTAAAATAATTACCTATTTGCGTCACTGATTGACGCTAACTCAAGCCCTAAACGCCACGTACAAATGTGATTTACCGTCTTTCGTAGCATTTCATTCGATTTCCTGCCTTTCCTCGCATTGATATGACAAAAAGTATTAAACTAAAAACGCAGGTTTTACCGTATATATTTTTGGAACGTTTATCTGATCTATAGAGAATAAACCTAGAATATTTAAATGTCCCTCTTTCGGAAAACTCCGTCTCAAGTGTGGAAGGGTAAACTTTTGAAATTACATAAGATATGCTTAAACTAAATAGAAAGTTGTGGCATACATGTTTAATATAATTTTTTCTTGCGCCTCGAATAATTATACCTTGAATGTAATTCTAAAGATGTTAATACCATGATACTGATACAATTGCTTCCCGGTGAACCCGGCCGGTGAATCACATCAGAGAATATAGCCGATTTGATTGGTTCGAAAATGTCTCTCTTCAGAAATCGTATTCAACTGGCTATCGCCCCATTGCAATACATGTACTTGTACTAGTCGTTCCATTATTTTATTCTTCGACGATTTTAAATTGTAATTGAATTTAAACTTCATGTTGAAATATATTGAATTAATTACGTTTCAAAACTTCCGTATACAAATACGGTAAAACCTGCGGACAAGGAACGGTGGCCAAAATTGTTTCTTGTCGACAGATATTTGCCACAGAGAGGCTGCATGTTTTAGGCCAGCCCCAAACACTATTGATGTGTCGTAAGACGATGCTTACAACTGGTATTCAAGTTTCTTCCTATTTGCGCCATTTTCGAATTCAACGGACGGCTGATGGATTAACATACTAATTTATGTCAAACTCACTCAAATATGCATGGAGTATTGGCGAGATGGGTAATATTCATATTAAAATGAATTGGTCATGAAATAGTAGTTACACGCGGTCCTAACTTCGACCGTTAATTTAAATTTTTGACCTACCGGATGTTTGAAAATCAAGGATTACGAGTCTCATACTGCACCGTTTTTCTTCAAACTTGTTCCATTCAAAGCATAACAAAAATCCCTTTCTGATGGTACATTATTCTCTGAAACAGAGTCCCTACTTCCAGCGGCATTTTGGTCCCCAGCTGTAAGAAGGCCTTCTAACAGCTGGGGACCAAAACGCTGCTAGAACGAGGGACTTTTTACAATAAAGTAATGCACCGACAGAAAGGCAATTTTGTTTTGCTTTTAATGGTATAGCTTTGAAGAAAAACGGTGCAGTATGAGACTCGCAATCCTTGATTTTCAAGCATCTGGTAGGTCGGAAATTCAAATTAAAGATCGAAGTTAGGACCGCGTGAGTTAAACCACCAGACGATCACCGAGATATTTTAGTAATGGCTACACTATTTGAAATATAACTGAGAAGTCCATTTGGAAATTGAACGTTTTCATACGATATTACATACTAGTCGTCTGTATAAACCCCAAATCCAATTCCTCCTAGTAATTAACATAGGCCTATTTTTATTCCATATGTTTTCCAAAGGAAATGATAGAAAATGAATATTGTAATCGTATTGACAGCTGAAATATATAAAAATCGAAATGATAGGAAAAATGTACGGACATGTGTATGGAATGATCACATTAATCTTGTTTTATTTTCCCGAGAATTTTGAACTAGTCTTTTTCTGTGCTGACTTATTAAAATAAAGATTAAAAATTAGATTTTTGAGTTTGATCAATGGTTTATATCAAAAGAATAAAAATATTAATCATAATAAGTGGATGGGGCAGATGAGTAATGCGCACGCGCAACGAAGCATTTTATGTGCAGTGTAACACCAAATAATTGCTTCGTTAGGGTTGGATAAAGCCAGTGTGGACACAATTTTTTCGCTAACCTTCGTTACAAAAATGCTTCGTTAGACTCAACCCAGCAGTGTAACAGGTACCATTGACTTCTATGTATGTATTACATTGAAATTGTGGAAAGTTTTAAATAATGGGGAGGCTATCTCTTAAAAAGGAAAACAGGAGGAAGGAGTAACGATTAAATTTAATTAATTTTTGAACAATTATAAAAGGATTTTTTGTAAGCTAAAATAAAAGTTCATGCTTTTTGAACAATTCCAATTGAAGACATTTAAAGTTAAAATGAATCTTCAAGCTTTATCGATGATCACATGTAGATCAGTGGTCTTGCCAACAATTCCAAATGAAGACATTTTAAAGTTGAAGTGAATCTTCATATCTTATCGATGATCATATGTAGATCAGTGGTTCTGGGAGAACACAGTGAGTGAATAATAAAGAAGTTTTCCTCTAGTTAACCAGAGTGAAAGATATTGATTGTAGAAGACAGACAAGACTCATCACTCAATTATTGTTGAATAAATGAATAATTTGCCAGTTCATCAATACATTCAATATCCATGATTTGATATACATGTAATTAATTTGATCCTTTGAGGATTTCCTTGTCATTGAGTATACTCGGGGAGTAGAAGTGTACTTTGTAATTTTGTCTTCCCCAGGATGCTCAAATGGGCGCGCAAAAAGAGAATTTAACCAATTCTAAATGACGCAGCTTAAAATTCCACTTTCCATGATTTTTCAAATTTCCAACTGGGTGGAACTTCAAGTGGGTGGAACTCTATAGTAACTTTGATTTGGAAGAAATCATTAACTTCCTTTTCCCAAATACTACTCCTAGAAGCCTGTAATTACTCATAATAAAGAAACAATACAAAAAATATCATCCAAGAAATTCTAATAATGATAAATTATCTTTTTTGTTATATCTATTTGCTCCTTTTCAGTGTGATGGCTTCTATATTGCTGTGTTTCAACATTATAGCTGAGGTTGTTTCCTGTGATGTGAAAAAATCTATCATTTTCATGAAATAAAACCCTACACTGTGAAATTGCTAACTATTTCTTACCAAAAAGGTTCAAAATATTACCATTACCTTTATTATATCCCTACATGTTTGCTGTGTATATTCCACAGTTAGTAAAATATAATCCAGTCTAATCAATCTAAGATCAAGCTATGGCAATGTTATCCACAAGCTAGTTAGGTTTTAGCTGTTTTCCTGTCTATGCAATATATTCTATTAAACGCTAGAGGAAGTGCTTGCAATATAAATCGTATCTCCAAGGCAAAAAATATGTAATAGTTTAATATAATATGAGTCTGTAATGTCTTTCATATATTTACTTTTATTTCCCTTATACTTAATAAACAACATACTGTAGATAATCCTCCTCATTGATCTTTTTAATGGTGGTTCATCAGAGATCTTTGCAACCCAACATGGGGCATAAAAATATTTTTGATTTGGGTAAAAAACAAAATGGTTACACCAATCTCATGCTTTGTTATTAAACATAATTATGTCACAAACATTTCAAATTGGAAAAAATATGTGCAATTAATCATTAAATATTCTATGCCTCTATGACAGCTTGGTGATCAGAAATAAGAATTCATTTCGTGGCCTATTCAGACAAATGCATATTAGTTGTAGGTATTAATTATTTGTGTTTTCATTTTCCATTGCAGTTTTTGTCATTATTTTGACATATGAGATACATTAATAAAATGTCTATCGCAAACTCCAACTGTTACCCTAATGGCAAATTAACAACATTTAGCATTTACATGTAGCCTGGATTTTTCTTAACTGGATGCGAAATCACATTTAACCTTCAGAAAACCTTCAAAAGTGTTGATATCCAGATTTTTACATCTTTTCATCAAGGGTGTGATAGAATTTCAACTGTGTACAAAGAAGTTTTAAAATGCTCACTTATGACTAGATAGTGCAGCACTTGTCCCGACTTCTAGCTTATAACTTATTTTTTTTATTTTTTTTTATTAAGTTATTCATTTGTACAAAGAATACAATACAAAAATACAGTGTGAGTGGCTGTGCTTTTAGCATTATTAGCCACGTTCTACAATTACAATATACAATGTATTCAATCAATACTATTGATTACAATAAATGAGATACAATAAGATAAAATTGTTTATAACTTATTCTGATTAGTAAAGACTAGTTTTGAAGAATTATCTATGATTCAGAGTACAAGAAAGGTCAAGTTCTTGTGAAGGGTACAATATATGGTTAGTTGAAATAAGAGGAAGTGTAAGCTTTATAATTAATTGGCTTTTTGTGTTTATCATCTACTGCAATGTAGCAACAAATTAATAATAGCAATTTATCTTCATCATCTTACTCTATCATATGCAAATCACTCTTATAAATATTATAAATAAATATAAGGCATTCCTTTTAATCAGTTGATGAGAGAAAAGGAAGAGCAGAAACTGAAGATACCACATATTATGAGGAACATGTTAATGGTGCTTGTAGGAAATGCTCAGTGCCTTTGTGTGGCTATCATAATTTAAAAATGACTGTTAACTTCTCATCACATATGCATGATATCTGCATCGAGCATTTTCTGCAAGCACCAACTACAAAAAAATAATGAAGTTTAGTAATATATAAACTATACACTGGCGGATCTGGGGCTGAATAAGGCCTTAAGGCCCC